AGAAAAGTGTTTAGAAAAAAGTGAATTAGCGATGTCGGAGTGAAGGGACGTGGCATACACCGTTCGAACCATAATCGAATGAAATTTCAGAATGCGGAGTTTCAGCTTCTTTGGAGTCAAATTACGCCGGTAGCGAGCGAAAAACTTTGATATTGTACTAGAAAAGTGTTTAGAAAAAAAGTGAATTAGCGATGTCGGAGTGAAGGGACGTGGCATACACCGTTCGAACCATAATCGAATGAAATTTCAGAATGCGGAGTTTCAGCTTCTTTGGAGTCAAATTACGCCGGTAGCGAGCGAAAAACTTTGATATTGTACTAGAAAAGTGTTTAGAAAAAAAGTGAATTAGCGATGTCGGAGTGAAGGGACGTGGCATACACCGTTCGAACCATAATCGAATGAAATTTCAGAATGCGGAGTTTCAGCTTCTTTGGAGTCAAATTACGCCGGTAGCGAGCGAAAAACTTTGATATTGTACTAGAAAAGTGTTTAGAAAAAAAGTGAATTAGCGATGTCGGAGTGAAGGGACGTGGCATACACCGTTCGAACCATAATCGAATGAAATTTCAGAATGCGGAGTTTCAGCTCCTTTGGAGTCAAATTACGCCGGTAGCGAGCGAAAAACTTTGATATTGTACTAGAAAAGTGTTTAGAAAAAAAGTGAATTAGCGATGTCGGAGTGAAGGGACGTGGCATACACCGTTCGAACCATAATCGAATGAAATTTCAGAATGCGGAGTTTCAGCTTCTTTGGAGTCAAATTACGCCGGTAGCGAGCGAAAAACTTTGATATTGTACTATTAGGTTGTCCAACAAATAATGACCCTCTGTGGAGGGGCGAAATTTAAACCTCTTCAAAGGAAAACGATGGTAAATTTCAAATATTATAACATTTTGTGGCTGATTTCGACTTTCGTTTGATGTATCGATTTATCATATTCAAGATTAAATTGTAATGTAGCTAATCGAAATTATCAAAAAAAAGTCGGTTCTTTCTCGTCTTCTTGGGCAAAAACAGGATGCGAAGAAGTTTCAGAAGCTACGCAAAGTATCAACGCTATGTTCGACTAGTGTGTTCAGTCTGAACACGGTGAAACGATGGTTAAAAATTACGATTTGACGGCAAGGGACCCAAAGATAAAGTACGGAATCCAAACCTTATCAAGTTACCCTGAGGTCATCAGTTGACGAACATCCTAGAATCAACATCCAACGCGTCTCTGACATCCTTCAGAAAGCCATTGAAATATCGACGGCTAACCATTCGATGTCGATGGAATTCAAAAATGCCCGGCAACCGCCCATATTGTTGGATCAAACAAAAATGGAAGCATTATTTCTCGCGTTTGCGTGCCTGGATCGAATCGTTGCCTCTGGTGAAAAGGGACTACTGAAGGACAAACCAGACCAGATATGCTGAACGGAGTCCTCCGAGGGTATCATTTGCGGCTTTTCGTCAAAGGCCCATTCCCCAACACCCAAAGGCTGACTAGTTATTAATGGTGCAGCATGGGCATAGTACAATACAGCTTCTTGAAAGCTGGCCAAAATGTAGATACGATCCCCTACTGTATCCAGATAGACAGTTTGTGGCAGCGTCTGTCTTCAACGATGCGTCGCAGAAGTCCAAAATTCATGGCGGCTACAGGAACCTCTGCTGAAGATGAGTACTCAAGCCGATTTAATAGAGATACGAGACTGTCCCTCAGTCCAGCCTATTTGTGTCAAAGCTGGCCTCTTACTATCGATTCCAAGAATCTAACACGTTTCATCAGTGGTAGGAATTCGACAATCAAGACGCCCCATGAAGGAGGCCCTTCAAAGAAAGTTTCATCGGCTCCAGAAGCCGGGGTTCCTAACTACAGACATAAAAAAACTTTTTGGCACATTGTAACAAGCGTGATAAAGCACGTGATAATTATTTTGATTAAATAGATCGCAGTTATTACGGTAGATTTTGCCGAAAAAAATAAATTTTTTGAAGGGTCATTATTTGTTGGACAACCTAATAGAAAAGTGTTTAGAAAAAAAGTGAATTAGCGATGTCGGAGTGAAGGGACGTGGCATACACCGTTCGAACCATAATCGAATGAAATTTCAGAATGCGGAGTTTCAGCTTCTTTGGAGTCAAATTACGCCGGTAGCGAGCGAAAAACTTTGATATTGTACTAGAAAAGTGTTTAGAAAAAAAGTGAATTAGCGATGTCGGAGTGAAGGGACGTGGCATACACCGTTCGAACCATAATCGAATGAAATTTCCAGAATGCGGAGTTTCAGCTTCTTTGGAGTCAAATTACGCCGGTAGCGAGCGAAAAACTTTGATATTGTACTAGAAAAGTGTTTAGAAAAAAAGTGAATTAGCGATGTCGGAGTGAAGGGACGTGGCATACACCGTTCGAACCATAATCGAATGAAATTTCAGAATGCGGAGTTTCAGCTTTTTTGGAGTCAAATTACGCCGGTAGCGAGCGAAAAACTTTGATAGCCGACCGGGGCCCCGCTAAGAATGCAATCGACACAATGACTAAAATTTCAGTCTCAAAAGCGAAAATTAGGGTTGCCAATAAAAATAAAACGCAGAGCCAAATGCAGTTAGGTCTACTGAAGTATATCCCATGATAATGGATATTTTTTGTTTCAAAATTTTTTGGGGTGTGTGAAATGGACAAAACAGTGAGGGGGTTTGAACTACCCTGAACTACACCAAGGCCCAAAAAAATGTGGTATGTCCTCGTAATGAGCCAGTATTTACATTTTAGTTCGGCCCCCGGCCCGGCCACTCGACACCTGAACAAGTTGATTAATGAAGCACCCCGGAGTACTACCACAGTACTTCCCCAGTTCTGATTCCACTAGAAGACGGTCACAAACACTTTTTGATGGCTGCACAGTACAAATTCCTGGAACATTGGGCAAACAGTAAATAGCATCCTCTACTGTACCTACGTATACAATTTGTGGCGCAATCTGCCTTCAGAATACACTGCAGAAGTCCGAAAGTTCTTGGCGGGAACGCAACCCTCACCTTGCAAAAATGACCTCCGGAATCCAAATTAACAGAGATACGAGCTCTCTCCATTAGGCGTATTCGTCAAACGTAGCTAAAATTACTAACCGTACGAGATCTACGTTTCATCCGTGGTAAGGAATTGTCAATTAAGACACCCTTCAAAAGACCTTTGAAAGTTTCATCGGCTCCAGAATCCAGGGTTTGAAGCTACCGGCATAAAAAAGCTCTTGCTTTCTGATGTTGATGGCTATGTATTCATTGAGGTTCTTAGCCGGGCTTCCAACAGAAAGAAGTAAACTCCCACCTCCAAGCCGCAAAGAAGATCTGTTCCAAACTTTTTGACGCAGTATATCCTGAATCTCGAACCAAGAGTGGGTTTGCTATTATAGTAAGATAATTTCTTATTATTTATTTTGACTTTTGCGTAATTTTACAAAAGGCTAAGAACAAAGCAAAAACGCTGAATTTTCCAGACAAAGCCTAAGCGTATGGCTCGGGTTTGTGGTTTCGGCGCCATGCTTAGGATGGGGGCAAGCACTTTTTACAAGCTAAAAATTTAATTATTATATTAAAAGCTGAAGCCGAGACATACGTCAATTTTAAAGCTCATAAAAACCTGCTCAAGATGTGCAATGATTAAAAATCGTAAGCAAATTCTATTGTGCGCTTAGGCTAAGAATAACACTTACCCTGAGCTGAGAATTAGACTTAGCCTAAGGTAGGCTAAGAATCAGACTTATCCTGAGCTGAGAATTAGTCTTAGCCTAAGCTAAAAGCGCAGAAATTCTTAGCCTTAGGTCTATGCCCGAAGCTTTGCGTTATTTCTAAGAGGCCGCTTAGATTATTAAATCAAGCCTACATATGGCGGAAAAGTCCAGCTTACTGTTAGTCGAAGCTCAATAAATAACAACTCTACTAAATATTTAAGGATTAGAGAAAGGCAACGAAATTATGAGTTAACAATACTGTTTAAAACCTGCACTAGTGGTGATTAAACAAAAGTCTAACCGGCTTTCAGCGGCCTGTAAGTTATAAATGTAACCAAAAGCAATTTCCAGAAATCGGCCATATTTTTTTGTCTATCTGTTGCATGCTGACTATAAATTTGGACTTTCCTGGATCACATTTGCCTTAGACTGTTTGGCTAGAGCGAATCAAGCCCAGCAAGGCTTTTTATGACTCAAAAAGAAATTGGCACATCACAACAGCCTCCGAAATCACTCACTACCGGGAAATTTTGGCAGTGAAATCTGCGCAGTATTTTACCCGACTTAACTTTAACGACAGATCAAATAAGGCTTAGTACCAGTTAGTCGAGAAAATAATTCGGATGAGACGCGCCCTGGAATAGCGCATCACTGCTTTTCCCAACAGACTGAACTTTTCGACGCTAAACGCGCAGATTTGTTGACACCAGACTTACATAAGACTAGACATTCCGCGTGGTAGAGCCAGCAAAAAGCGTTAACTCCAACTTTTACACCATCAACAATCAAAATCTCGATTTTGCTTAGGATGAGTTTGTTAACTAAGTATACGTAATACCAGTTTTCAACTTATTATGAGATATTGCTTAAAACGTTTTTACCGTCCAGATTATAAATTAAGTTTGGACAAAATCACCAACAATGTTCCAACACAGACACACTTTCCTTGCATATTGTAACCTCTCTAAAAAGAATTCTATGAGTACAGTGAAAGCTGAGAATTTGATCTTTTAAAACTTTATTATCGGTTTAATTTGTTTATCTGTTTAAATTGATTAATACTGGAGAAAATACATAATCACTTCTGCCGCAGAATTTTAAAGCACCACGCCGTGCAAGTTCTGATGCGCTTCTTGGAGGCATTATTCAATAACCGACAGGCAACATTGGAAGTGAAAAGCGCTTCTGAGAAGCCTGTTTTTATAATATATTGGGATACAATATATGCGGTGCGGACACAACAATAAAACTGACAATGAGACGGCGAGAAATCGTTTACGATTTTAGAAGAAAAAAAGAGGTAAGGCAACTTGTTCATATTTGGGAGGGCTGAAATAGAACTCTTTCTTTTTTTAATCACAAGAAATGATAATTATAATACATGTAAATTCCGCACTTCAAACACGTAAGAATGTAATATAATATATTGGAGACAATAAATAAAAGTGAATTATGTATTACTTTGATTTCCGTCCCCACTTATTGTTTGTCGGTGAAGCATTCTTCTCTTTTTGCTTGCCATGATTCTCCAAATGTCGGTCTTTCTTCGCTCGTTTGGACTTATTTGTGAACATTTTTCCTCTGGGATAAAAATCTAGCTCCGGAGCGTCCGGTTTGCAGTATTTGTCTCGTGCCTTTTCGATCGCTTCGCACCATTCGTTTGCATGACTATCTGGGTCGTAAAGGAAGTACGTCCGTAGCGGCTGAAAGCGTTGGAGTTAGAAATCAAACACTTCTTTTCATACTTGTTCCGCTACATGATCAAAAGTGAGGTCAAAAGTAGATATTTTTATTCCGAAAACCTTACCGTGTGAATGAAGAACGTGTGAAAGTTTTTAGCCTCGGTCCTTAACGATGGGGTTATGGGGATTTCTCCTCTCAATTCTTTCATGTCAGGATCAACGTAGAACAACCTGGGACCCTCTGTCAGCAAAAACATGCGTCGTCTGGCGAACATCCCTTTCTTTTTGTCAATAAGGCCTGATCGTAAAATAAGGTTGTCCTCCACGAACCGATGGTAGGAGTGGTCTTTCCTTTGTGCATCTAGCAAGCCTTTTCGAACGGCTTCCTCGGACTTCTCCTGCTTTGGCATCGCCGTCTTCGTAGGCTGAGAAGGCGATGGAGTAAACAACTCATCTAAACCCATTAGCCGCGCCATGGTTTTTCGCGTAAGTCCCGGCTCCATATGTTCGGGCACCTTAAAGTTTGAGTAGAAAGCTGGCTGGTTTCCGGAAGCAGGGAGAAATGGTTTCAACTCCGGTGGACTGCTGTTTGTAATATTGTTGAAGTCAACGTTCTAAAATAATTTAGAATTTATTTGACGTATCTTAAGACTGGATTACTAACAGCTCCCGTTTACAGCTACCTACCTCGAAAAATTTGTGCCCCTTAATTGCTTCAGCTCCATTATGACCTAGCCGTTTCGTCGGCTCCAGCACGAGCAACTCCTGGATTAGTTCGGCGGCGACTGCATCAAAGCCTTGAGGTATCTTGTAATCCAATTGTGTAATTTTCTTGGTGACTTGATATTCATTGATTCCCCGGAACGGCGGCTGTCCTGATATCATCTGATACAAAATACATCCCAACGCCCAAAAATCGGCCTCCGGACCACAGGTATGAGACTGCGCTACCTCAGGCGAAATATAAAAAGCAGTGCCGACAAAGGACCCCCGTTCCTTGCGCATAGTCTCCCCATTCTTTTGGCTCATAATTCGACGGACTTGTGATGGTTCTGAAAGGAATTATCACTGTTTTGGATATGCGTCGAGAAAGCTTCAAAATTGGCCAGTACCAACTCACCGTCTCCTTCAAAACCTTGAACCTTTGCAGAACCAAAGTCAGTTACCATGATATGCCAGTCCTTTTTGATCAGAATATTTTCCGGCTTCAGATCACGGTGAATGACCCCGCAACGATGTATGAAGTCAAGGGCTTCCAGGATCTCACTCGCAAAGAATCTCGAGACATTTAGGTCGAAGGAACCGAGACGACGAAGCCACTCCAATAATTCGCCATGCGGCGCGTACTCCATCACAAAACCTGAATTATCGTGTATCACAAAATGTTTGCGTTTAATAGCGTATTAAGCAATAGTTTTCATTTTTTAAGGTTGTTCAACGAAGGTGTTTTTGTGAACATGCAAAAAAATATTGGCTCAAGAATCCCATGCTGTCTCATTGAGCCAATAAACTGTTAGTTTTTTTTTTCATGTTGCTGACTATAAACAAGAGACAAGTGTTTTCAAATCAAACGTAAGCAACAAAATGTTGTTTTTTTTAACTAAGTAGAACGCTAATGCCTTATGTTAGCCTTTTTGAACTCCAGTGGACAACATTTTACGGCCCTATTCCCGGAAAGTGGGTCGGATTAAAGTACGGCGGCAGACTTTAGAACAAAAACATGTTTACGCCGTCGGGAGTGAGTCTTCCGCGAGATTGCGAAACAATTTGTCGAAACTACTATATCAGATAGTTACTTTGACTCATCCGAAAACCATAAAATACGTATTTGCTAAGGGCAATATTTAAATAGATGTTCTGATTAAGTTATAACCGACTTACATATTCTTTCATTGTTTTCTTGAAACGAGCTATGAAGTTTGGCTATGAAAGGATGCCCCCCAAAGCCATGATGTAATGTCGTCATAATATCCTTTTCCCGAACGACGTACGGCAACTGAAATGCGTTATTATAAGGCGAAATGCGGCAAAGATGGACTGCGCAGTCCAAAAGTTGAAAACGGCTAGATGCATACTCACCTTTCGTTCACGTTTTATGCCTTTTTTGCTCATTATCTTTATCGCATATTGCTCTCCACTTTTGACATCTTGAACATGGTAAACACTCCCAAAACTGCCGTCTCCCAGGGTTCGCACAAAGTAGAAGTCAGCCGTCTTTTCCGTGGGCGCTTTCAGTCGCTGGTTGTGTCGTCTAACCCTGGAGAACATCAGTCGGATCGTATCCGTTTTTGTCAATGGCCCAAAAGTCGGATAGCCATTTTGTACAACCTTTTCGGCATTTGACTCGTTTTCTTGATCAAAATTGTCAAATGCATGGGGTCCGTAGTCTTCGTAATAATCGTCAGCTTTATCTTCACTCCGCGCAGTCAAACTGGGCGGACTCAAGAACGAGGTGTACTTGTTCCACTGTGCTAGAGAACTGGCCGCGGTCGACGGCTGTATGTCTTGTAGATCGACAGTGTCGCTGAGCTCTGCCCGAAGCATATGTGCCTGCATTGGTTCCGCAAACGCGGTCTGTTTCTCGGCTTTAAAAGTCGCCTTCTTGAGTCCCACTGATGGTTCAAGCTCATTCTTCAGAAGGTGTGACGGTTCACCCATTGTAGAGAACGGTGAATCCATGGGGGTCAGTGGCATTCCCATCGGCATCCCCGGATTGGCTTTAAGACCGGCAAACGTTGAGGACAAGGCGTTTACCTGCATGGAGGCGGCTATTGCAGCGTCCGCCCCCTCGGACAGGTGGAGCTGCTGCGCCGCGACAAATTGGTAATTAGGGACAGTCATTGGAATCGAGATCTCTTCGCCCTTCTCGTTTGTTGCGACAAATTTCCCAACAACGGGCTGGAATGCTTCAAGTGGGCTCATCGTTGAAGTTGCCGACGACTTCTTTCTTGAATTGAGCGATGAACTAGTAGAAACTGCCGAAATTTCGGACTCTTCGCTTGTACTGGATTTAATTTTGCGCTTTGCAGACCCTGACGGTGAAATTATAACGTCGTCTTCGTCGCTTTGCTTGTGTGCGGAGGTCGATGCAGCCGTTCCAGACAGTTGATCTGTTTCGTCGAGAAAGTCAGTAAGTTTTCTACGAACTTCTTCTTGATAAGGAGGCATCTCTTTGCCATGCGTTTTTTCGTTTTCCATCTGAAAGTGAATTATTCATTCACGCAAAAGTTTTCTGGGCACGGATAGATACATGCACTAGACCGACGCCAATAAACATCTAGCTTAAGGAATCGTTAAAGAATCCGTACAAGCACCAGTAATCCCACTCTAACCTACTGTCAAAACTCAAAATTTCATTTAACACACGTCACTGCCGCTGTTTTTACGGTCACAAAAAATGAAATGGGAATAAAATTAAACGCAAAAAACTAATATTAATGGTGTTTTTGAAACTTCGCTGGCGTAAACAGCCAGATAATGGAAGCATTAAGGCACGCCCTCTTTCCAGGTCCAGATACATATATATATTAGTACAAAAAAACAGAAAAATAAAAAGTGCAAAGGACAATTTGCGTAAAGTTAGAACGCAGCATAAGATCGATTGGCTTAAACAATATATGTATTTAGCTTACCCGAGCTTTACAAAAAGTCAACAATGCGAAATACCTTTGCAAATTGGTTCCTCTGAAGCACTACACATTTTGCAATAATTTTTTCAATGCTATAGACAACAGCAGTAGGAAAAAGTTTCTTAATGTGTTTTCAAATAAACAAACGTTAGGGAAAAATACTAGGTTCGAAGAGTCCGTCAGCAAAGTCGCTGGAACGATTTTTGCGACAGACGATGTGCAAAAAAAAGTTTACTTTGCACTGCCACTTTGTGGGCAGCTTGATGAACCACGCAGATTCTGCGGGCATGTTTGGAAATCAGGCAACATTTGGTCACAGCAGGAAATTCAAGCGATGGATTTGTTGCAAATTAAGTTTCCAGGTGCATAAGTGGCTTGAATAGTTACCATAAGTTTAACCAGGCATTTCTACTATTTTTTCTTTGAAAACAGATTTCCATAACTTTGAATGCAGTGGATGAATTCCATCGATTCGTTTACTTATCAGTACCAGGAAGTTGTCAATACAAAATTTCTCTCGTACCACATAGATTATGGTTGGAAAATCGTAATTCTAACCGAAAAATGTCGGCTGCCGCAAAATGGTTGCCCGCAAGTGTCGCGACGCCATATCTACACGGTCCTCAACTAATTGTAAGTCCAGACAAACTACAGTGACTCGTAATTTATAAACTTGAGAGAAGATGATTTGAAGTAGAAGCTCGTATGTTCCTCTCTTTTTCTTCTCGAGGAAGCATAAGCGATTGACGATAAACTATAGTTACGAACAAAAATACCTTCGATTAAAATGAGCAAGAACTCAGGCCGCACTAGAAACAAAACATGACCAACGAAGGAAATCGATCAAAAGGTGCCCAGTGGGGCAACGCAAGTGTAGACCAGTGCAACTTTTAGTTCAAAAATTTTGCCAAAGCCCATTGTTTAAGTATAGCCAATAGAAACAATCCTTGCAACTCCCAGCCTAAAGCCCGGCGAAATGTTTCAAATCCCGCTGCAAAACGTCGGAGAGAATTGTTGTGAACGCCCGAAAGAATCCTCTCCTCTTTTTTCGGGGGGAAAAGACGAAAAACAACAGAGACTGTGCGGACTGCAGAGCGTCGTCAGAGCCAGCCCAGAGAAGCCGCGTTTGTCGGAAACGGAGCGAGAAAACTGTTTGCGTGCGGGAGAAAGAAAGATTCGCATGCAGGAAGAGAACGTTTCTCTGCCAGAAAGGAAGAAATAAATCGTCGGCGCGGAAGACAACGCGGCAGATTGAGACCTTTTCGCGGGAAGAAGAAGGTAGGGGGGGTGGGACCAGTGTGCAAAAGATAAGGACGTAGACGAGTATCCCGGAAAAACAGTAGTGGTGTGTTTTTGTCGAAGTGAAGCAGTGTTTTGAAATGTTTTCGAAGCACAAGGGCTTGGCGAGAAACAAATTAGACAACGTTTTTGAAGCCAATGGAACGAGGATTTCGGGTAAAGCAAAACAAAAAGAGAGCGGAAAACAAAACAACGTCATAGTTCTGGAATGACGTTGCGAATCGGGAAAGTTGTCCAACTTTCCAGCACCTTTTGAACCATCATATTAACTCATCTGCAGGCGATTAAACCGCTAATTTGCAATCAAAGCAAATAGAATGGAATCGCCCACGAACCGCATGCGTCAATGGGCGTCTTTGAGAGCAAAAAACATTTTGAAATAGACCTGATATTGACTTGCGAAAACAAGAAATAATGAAAGCGCCCTGAACTTCTGGCCTTGCGAATGCCCGGCGGATGTTTATGAGAAAAAGTGAAGAGAGCCGTTCTGAGAAACGGCCTTGTTTTGGTCGGAAATTTACGTGAAATGTGGGTCTAAATTTTAAATTCAGTGAAAAATAGTTAGAGTGAATAAAAGATAACAAAGCAAGGGATAGCTGCGATTGTGCACACGAGCCATGCGGCTTTAGGCTTTGCTATGTAAATTCGTTTTTATTGAAAGCCGAGAGAGAGAGAAACATTTTCGTAAGCCTTTTGTTGATGGTAAAATAAAAACAACGCGGAGTTCATCATGCGATTTTAGATGAATGGAAGAGTCACGTGCGCATTTCCAGTGAAAAGAACTTGTAAACAAGAGTGAACTTGCTAAAAAGGAAAAGTAAACAAGACATAAATCAAACTGTTTTTCTGAAAATTTTACGCTTTAACGTACGATCCGAAATGAAAAATAAACAGAGTCAACTCACACCATTGTCACTCTTACACTATTCGGCGCTTCTCCAAATTAAAGTAAAAGCAAGGGCAATTTTGTTTTTCTTATTCCAAAATCCAATTTTTGTTTTTGATCGCACCGAAAAATAACCGAGCACAGTGGTACGGGACGGCACTTCGGACATTTTCGAATTTTGTTATTTGTTTTTTGTTTGTCGAAAACATTGCTCCGGCGTGGGGGAAAACAAGACAAAAATGGGAACCCTGTTATTCAAGCACACGGCAACACAACAGCACACATTATCAAATAAGAAAAATATTTTCGCTCACAGGTGAAGTAGTGCAAGCTCAGATTTTGATAAAACTGTGCAAAGTTAGACTTATTCTTTTTCAAAACATGAGAACTTGTTCTTCGCAGAAGCGACCGAAAATTCTTTGGTCGAAAGTTGGAAAAATGCTCTCGATACTATCAGTTTTTTACAATCAACATTTTTCTAGCTTTTCAGAGAAAATCCAGCAAAGCGCGAGCCAGAAATTTCAGAAATTGATGTGATAAATGCCCGAAGCATGTGCAAAATTTACACAAACCCATTTTGCCGCGTCATAATTCATTTTCTCGGCGGTGATGTGATTTTCGATGGGACAGAATGCTCATGATTTTCCCGACAGGATGATGTCAGCAATGATTTTCATTTTTTACATATAATATTTTTGGCTTTTTGAAGAAAATAGTTGAAATGGATCAGGAGGAATTGCAAAATGAGATCATTTTGCCCTCCATCTTGGCAAAATGTTGGTCGGTTGTTTTCTAATCTCCCTTCTCTGCGCTCAGCCATTTCTATTATCAGCCGTTGAAAATGTAAGCTCAATTTTTCGTCCAATGTCGGTTTGCTTTAGGATTCAACGACAATCTCACCATCAGATTCCTGCAAAGCAGGATTTGATCGCAAGGTTGAAGCCGTGGCGATGCCGCTCGGGGCAACGATGGTGTTCACACTCTTGGCGCTAATTTTCACCGCCTTCTTGCTCTTCTCGGCCATGAAGAGAATCACTTTTCGCACGCTGGAGACCGAAGCTCGCGTTTTCATGGCGTTGGATCAGGTGATAAGGAACGTAATCCCGTGCGGACTGCTCCAGGATATTCATGAGACTTCGTTGCAGAGCTTTGCCAACAGATAGAAATGCAGAGCAGGACTTTCTCCTGTTTTTTAGCCTGATAAAATAAACCTTGATCTGAGATACCATAGGAAAGTTCATGTATAATAAAAAAATGCGTATACTATTCCGTTTCCAAAATTTATTGTTGACATAGGCCAAGACACAAACTTTTGCATATTCTCTTTGTGCCTACAAATCGTCGATGAACCTCTTTGTCTTTTCGATGTCCACGTCGCCAGTATACACGACAGGTGTAGTTATTTTTCTGATCCGAATCCGTTTTTCCGACCAACTTCTGTCATCATGGCATTGACCTGCAAATTTCAGGTAGAAATCGTAGCTCATGTCGTAGTCGGCGTAGCAGCGGATATGATACCGGCTGTCGTTGTACGTGGTGCGGATTGAACAGGCACTGAAAATAGCCTTGTCAACGGCTATTTCTAACATAAGACAGGTTTGACTGTGTTAAATCTGTTTTTATTGATTTATTCCTCCCTTAAATATAATATAATAGAACTGGCAAGAGAGAGCGGGGCATTCAAATTTAGATAAGAATTTATATGTTAGGGCGCCGAGCTAGTGAACGATCTCCTTCCGGCGAGCTTTAAGCTTGTATTTCTCAACGACCACCGAACTATTCAACTGTCGAAGAAGGAGCTTGCAAAATGAGGAAAACTGGCCTAACAAATAAGCAAACTATGCCAAGTGCGTAGTTCGCCGGATCTGGATAAAATTGGCAAACTGTGAGAATATTTTTTCTAAGATACATGAGAGACTTCTCACTTGGATTTACTTTTTCCAACTTACTCTTCTCTCTCCGTCCAATCGCCTCCCTTCAGCACATGAAATTCGACTTTACAGTCTCGTCCGAGACAAGATTCTCCGTTCTCGCACGTTATTCGTCCATAGTATTCGAATTCGCGATTCTTCCGACTGACTACAAAGACGGTCAGTAAGAAATAGAGCAGAAACTTCATTGCAGTGGTGTTCGAGTATGATTCTTAGCTGGGAATCCGAGCCGTCGTCTAATTTACATTCTGACTTTGCTAATAAAACACATACCATTCACTGTATAATTAAGAATTTTAATTCTTAGTGAATTTTAAAAAAATTGATTAAAATTAGGGTTTATTTCAAATATATATTTAACATCTGTCAATAAAAATTTACTTATTTTTGGACTTTTAGGAACCATGATATTAGCAAGAATACAATATGGCGAGTAAATTACTTCTCTCTCGCAATTAATTTGAACTCCTCAGGACGAAGGAGCTCCTTGACCACAGCGGTTTCCAGTTTGTCGAGTTTTTCGACCACTGATGAAACGTCTTTCCGGTCGATTCCGGGCTCAGTAATCAGCTCAATGTAATACTTCACCTTCGGTTCTGTGCCGGACGCGCGCAGAGTGATGATGGACCCAGTTTCCAGGGTGTACGTGATCATGGGAGAGCTGGCAGAAGGGGGAAGTGTCTGGAACAATTTAGACATTTTTCAACAGGCTTTGCGATGCATAGAATGCATGGTATAAACCACATAAAGAGTATTTTTTCTCTCCAACCTTTTTTCTCTACAGGGTGGGCCACTCGAAACTGACAAGTTGTTTCTTTGAACTTCTCCGCGGAGGCTCCGCGGAGAAAAAACTACTTCTAAAATTTAGATTTTTCTGTAGCTGAGACCCGCCATTTTCAACCGACTGAATTTCAAAAATATATATTTTAAACTGACCTTTCCATGCCTTCCCAAAGTTTTGAAAAATTATTTTCAAGCCGAAACCGCTAAAACTTACAGGGGAAGTACTCCAAGTGAGACGCTCAGATTTTCTTTAAATTTTGCACACACGTCGGGTATGGGCTAAACATGAATTCCCGAAAGTTTTAGCTCGCGCTTTGCAAGCGCCGCGTAGATATCGAACGATTTTTGCCGCCGAGAGAGCACACTAAACGTGGAGAGCGGTCAGAGAGAAAAGCGTTTTTTGGCCATAACTTTGTTAGCTTGGTGCGGAAAAATTTGATTTTTTGTAGAAACATTATCCTTTACGGTTGAAATAGACATGAAACTTTTCGTGCCGAAATTCGGCAAAGAGTCAAAAAAAAAATTTTCGCCGACTTTCGATCTAACAAGGAAAGTACTTTTATGGGGGCTCCTACTTTTTGACGGGACATATCTCAAAAAATCAGAAAAAATGTGCTGATCAAGGATATATAAATCTTAGCTGCCCATTTTAGGTTTTTAGGGGTGAAAACTCAATCGGAAGTTGACTTAAAGTCCTATATGAACCCCTTTTCGCTTAATTTTTCACAGGTTTACAATTTTTATTCTGGCTTAAAATGATGTTTAATGAGTTTCTAAGACGTAATAAATCAGTCTTGGCCCAAAAATTTATTTTTCCGACCTTCATCTTCAAAAAAAGTTAATTCGGCCCAAAAGGGAAATCAAACCCGTGCGGCGTCCTCCCTCTTGATTCCCAAACTACGGCACTAACCACTCGGCCACACCGCTCTCTTCCGAAGGAAGAGACCGAGCGCGCTTTTTATCGTTTCGATTGCCTGCGCCTTTTGTAGGGAAATTAAGCCAATTTTTGGGCATTTTCAACCATAAAAACCTAAAATGGGCAGCTAAGATTTATATATCCTTGATCAGCACATTTTTTCTGATTTTTTGAGATATGTCCCGTCAAAAAGTAGGAGCCCCCATAAAAGTACTTTCCTTGTAAAAATCTCGGTTGTTTCTGCAAAGCGCGAGCTAGGATTCTCGCATATACCTTAGAAAAAATTATTTTAAATTTGCGCCAAGTTTCATCAAAATCTAAGCGTCGCACTTGGAGTACTTCCCTAGTAAGTCCGAGAAAGACAACTGAAAATCATCCCAAAAATTTTAGCGGTTGGCACGAAAATAATTTTTCAAAACTTTGGGAAGGCATAGAAAGGCCAATTCAAAAAAAATTTTGTTTTTGAAATTCAATCAGTTAAAAATGGCGGGTCTCAGCTCCAGAAAAGCATAAATTTTAGGAAAATCGGCGCACTCTCCGCGGAGAAATTCAAAGAAACAACCTGTCAGTGTCGAGTGGCCCACCCTGTACAAAATTTCAAAAATCTATTTTTTTTCAAAATTTGCCCCGTTCACTTCACCATAACCATTCATCTGGCGGGTCATCCGATAAAACGACCGGCCGCTTACGATCTCAAATTTTTACACCACTCTACCCCCACATACCGCGCCTTTTGTCGTATTGTACACAGTCAAGTCTCGGACGTCGACCACTTTCACTCCATTGATGGTAGCTGGCGGATTATAGCTGACCGTCTCGAAGATCTTGGCGGTCACACTTTTCTCCGGTACGATCCAATAAGAATTCCGGGTCACGTGGTACCCATACTTCTTGAACAATTCGAACAATTCGTCGCTGAGTCGAGTCTTCCTCTTCGTCCAAAGGTCGTTCGCTATTTCCGCAAAGATGGCTGCTACGGAAACCCCGTCCTTGTCCAGGGTGCATCCCGGCATGTAGCCAATCGATTCTTCCCAGCCGAGAATCACAGTTTTGCCTAAAAATCATCGAACAATCGTTAGTTTCCGGAAACATTCGTCCTATCGGAGCTCAAAAGAGTGATTGAAACCTGCCTTCCTTCCTCTTTTTGTCCGCCAGATTTCCGATCCACTTGAAGCCGGTTAGCGCGACGTCCTGTTTGAATCCCTCCTTCGACGCCATCGTCTTGGCGAATTGCGAAGACACCGCACTGTTGAGGACGTACACATCGCTAAAGTTGGCCGTGGGATTCTCAGCGCTCCAATGGCGCCATGTCCATTCGGTGAGGATAACGCCCATCTCGTTGCCTGTGAAAGCGCGCCACGAGCCGCTAAAAACACAGAGCCGGTTAATTTCACTCAAAGATAAAATAAAAGGCTCGTGGAAAATAAAAACCCCTACTCCTCTTGCTTCTCAGCCACCTGGATGCGATCAGCGTCCGGATCATTGACCAGTAGCACTTGACTTCCATTTCGATCCGCTTCCTCGAGGCAAAGCTTCAAAACCCGCAGTCCTTCTTCGGGATTCGGATTCGGCACGGTTCGGAAGGTTGGATCGGGCTCTTGTTGCTCCTACACACATCGATTTATTTCACTGGTAAGGAAATCATACCTTAACGCTGAATATCGCCGAATCTGGGAATCCAAAGGCCTTGAACATCTTCATTGCGCTTTCGTACCCAACTCCATGGAATGCGGAGTACGTGAATTTCAGCGGGGTTTGACCGTTGTTCTGCGGGTATTTGGCCAGCTTCCCCTCGGACTTGATGTATTCTTCCAACACCCAGTCCGCATTCTCCACTTGGGAGGTGATGGACCAGTCAAAATAGTCCGGGTTCGGTGGTTGACCATCGAATGCGATTTTGCAGATGTCCGTGTCGATCGGGGACACAATTTGAGCACCGTTGGCCCAATAGGCCTTGTATCCATTGTCCGGCTTGGGGTTGTGGGAGGCAGTGATCATAAGGCCGGCATCACAATTGAGAAATGGAGTCGCGAAGGAAGTCACGGGTGTGGGTACCACCTAAAAATCACCGTCCATTATACCTTGGTTTTTTTCAGCCCTATCAAAAAAGAATTTTAATGAAATTTGCCACAAACTATGTCCATAATTTTCCAGAGCAAGTCCGATTTTTTAGCGAAAAAAATGATTATATTAAAATTTCAAACCGTTGTAGCTCTCAGACAAAGCATTCATGTTTTCGGACGTAAAATAAAAATAAGAATTTTCGACCGCATAATGCCTTTCCGCGCAAGATTCAAACATACAGTCAACAGTCCCTTTTCTCCGGGCGACCAACATTTTTCACAGTCCATGGCCAAAAACCGCTCTAATTACCTGAAGACATCCGCACATACCTTGGTAAATAAGTGAACCTTGATTCCGTTCCTCAAGAAAACACTGGCGGCGTCCTTGGCGAAATCGGCGGATCGGAACCTTCCATCATATCCGATAACGACCGAGAAATTGGGCTTATTCTTTCCATGAAGCTTGATGTACTGCGCCATTCCATGCGACAACTGGACCACAGTCAGATGGTTCAAGGCGCTGAACCCGGGCGCCATTCGACATCTCACGCCGGCGGTTCCGAACGCGAGCGGATCGCCGAGGAAGTATTTGCGAAGGACGGCTTCAGACTCGGTGGAAATGAATTCTCTCGCCTCTTTCAGGGCCTCCGGGTTCTAAAACAAGGGTTCAAAACTAAACACACACAATTTTTGCCAATAATTTAAATTATTATGCATTAACCTGAATGAAAAGAAGAATAAAATCATTCTTGAATCACCTTTTCCCAATCCAAGTACTTGTTAATCGCGGACTCGAGGTCGGCTGGATGTGAAGTCATGTTTTTGGCCTGCAAAACTTGAAGCTAGAAAAAATGGAAAATTTCTTGAAATACGACCGATTGAAATTTGAAAAAAGATGAAACAACTCGTCCCAAAAAATAATTTCCAGTGATTTTTTCGAGGTTTTTATTTTACCTCAGCGACTGCAAGAAGAAAACGCTGCGGAGTATAAAATTCACAAAGGCCTAATTCAAAATTTCTCACAAGGAAAGTACTTTTATGGGGGCTCCTACTTTTTGACGGGACATATCTCAAAAAATCAGAAAAAATGTGCTGATCAAGGATATATAAATCTTAGCTGCCCATTTTAGGTTTTTATAGGTGAAAATGCCCAAAAACTGGCTTATTTTCCCTACAAAAGGTACAGGCATTCGAAACGATAAAAAGCGCAGTCGGTCTCTTCCTTCGGAAGAGAGCGGTGTGGCCGAGTGGCTAGGGCCGTAGTCTGGAAATCAAGAGGGGGAACGCCGCACGGGTTCGATTTCCCTTTTGGGCTGAATCAACTTTTTTTGAAGTTGATGGTCGGAAAAATAAATTTTTTGGCCAAGACAGATTTATTACGTCTTAGAAACTCAATAAACATCATTTTAAGCCAAAATAAAAATTGTAAACATGTGAAAAATTAAGCGAAAAGGGGTTCATATAGGACTTTAAGTCAACTTCCGATTAAATTTTCACCCCTAAAAACCTAAAATGGGCAGCTAAGATTTATATATCCTTGATCAGCACATTTTTTCTGATTTTTTGAGATATGTCCCGCCAAAAAGTAGGAGCCCCCATAAAAGTACTTTCCTTGTCAACTAAAGACTCAATCCACTCAGTTAGGAAGCGGATATTCACCTTCAAACGTTTGTTTAGACAAAAAAAAACAGTGAAAGTATGGTCTGAGAAGCCAATGTTTAATTTACACCATCAGAGCCCATCTTATGACCTTCAAATAAAGCAGCGGTCAACCCGGACCCAAGAGACACTATAAGATGGATAGAAAGTCCGAGCGACTTAAACTTATCAAACCGAGGGGACCAAAGAAGTTTAGATTATATCTGACCATCGGTTTCGTGTTCGCTGAGGCGGTTTCCGTACAGAAAAAATAGTGTATACATAGGCGCGCACATATTCAGCGACATTCCGCTGAATATTTACGTTTTAGGTTTTCTGGTGTAAAGAAGCGTCATAAGAAGCGCGGTCAATCATCTTTTACCACGCTCGATTGACTGTTTGATTAGGCATTTTTTTGGCGTTTCATTCGATAGCGACCCAGGCAGATTGAAAAAGTTCAAGTTCATGTCCTTTATGCGCAAAATCGTGATAAATATATTTCCAAGAGAATAAGTTAAACTCGCAAAACTGTTTTGTCCAGATTCCGCTGCCCCTATTCTAGGTCGCAATTGAAAAAAAAGTGACACTTAAAACGAACTTGCTTCTTCATACTAGAAATCCCCAAAACTTTTGGCAAAACAACGTCCACACCGCCTATTTATATACTTTCTATTTTCCAGTCACAACGAGAATAGCCACGCGCTTTCTCGGAGCTTTCGAAACATTTGCAAAAATTTTTTTTCGCAAAAAAAACACGGCAAAACATATGAAAACATGCGGTTTGAAATACCGATTCGCCATCATAAACTGAGAATATTTACATTTATGTACAATAAACCTAAGACTGTAGAACAACAGAATAAATCAATAAGCACCCGATAAAATTAATGCCGTTTAGTTCATCTTCGGCAATGAGGTCTGTAGTTGACTTGGTGGTCTGACAGTGACAATTTCGACAAATGCCGAACCAAAAGTCTCTAAAATTTGAGATAAACGTAAATTGACAAGTAAACAAAAATAAAGGAAACAAACCAAGTGAAAATATGACACCTACGTTTGTAAATTCGTATCGCGCCGTCGTCATAAAGCACTGAAATCGCAGCACCACCCGAATTCCATTGAAGCGTTATTATATCCGACTGAATTTCGTCGACGATTTCGGCAATAAGCCGCGGCGGTTTATTAATGACCTGCCCTCGTTCGGTTCGGCCAGACTTCTCCGAGAAGAATGCAAAAATCAGGACCTTCCTCCTTGTTGCAATCGCCACTTTGGTGTAGACGGCTGAAATCTGTGGGGCAAATCGGACGCACTGGATCTTTTCGCTCGAACGGAGAGGCGTGAATTGGATTGCCTCACGAATAGTTGGGCTGAATTTAAAATAATATCACTCGATCAGTTGCAAATCCTAAAATTCAATACAATAATACTAAAAAGAACTTACAGTTGAGTCGAAATTTCCAAGACTGTTAATCGCTTGTCGCTTGGAATGTTGGTAGCGTTTGATCCGACAACCAGGAAAGGCGATTCATTGTATCGTCCGGGATTCCAATCCAACGTCGAAAGGCGGACTCCCAATCGGATGTCGTATATCAAATTGAAGTAGTTTATATTCAGCGGATCGTGGGCTTCGTACACAATAACATGTCCATGAGCCGTGCAAGCCGCCTAAAAGGTGGTTCGATTACGAATCGCACAAGTTTAACCTCTAAAGTAAGGCTACTCAAACCGAATATATAACTAAATGATAAAACTAACCAACATTAACCCATGAAAAGCCGGTGAGAATTTGATATCCAAAATAGCCGATGTGTAATACTTTAATGTTGTCTGATGTTGCCAATTTAACCTTCGAGAAGTCTTAGTAGTTGCTTAAAACAAGCTTTATTAAAAAAAATCCCCAAATCACCTCAATAAAAAGTTTCTTACGGGTTTCAAGAAATAAAAATATATTCGCGTCGATAGAGCAGGTGGCGATCAAATTGCCAAAGCTTGGATGAGCGAATCGAGCTCGCCAAATAGCTCCATTGTGTCCCTAAAACAAGATCAATGCCTTCAAGCGCCCATTAAAATAATTCTTGCTCTATTCAAACACCTAAAAAATACAAAAATCTAAAATAAAACCTTACCTTAAATTTCTGTTGTTTGATCCACTTGTCAAAGCCATCATTCCGTCGCCAAATCGTAACCATCTTGTCAACCGAAACCACGCATAATATAAGGCCATCTGAGCTCAATTCAACATGTGTAATAACGTCCTGATGATCGTACGCAGGCAGAAACTCGGCTCGAGGAATGCACGTTTTCAGGAAATTTTTTGCTGCTTCCGATTGAAGAGCAAAAGAATTCAGTTGGTCTGACGTAAATTCATGAGCAAGACTGGCCATGGTGTTATTCTCCGAATTTTGTGCCGGGAAAGGAACAATTTGTAACTACTCAAAACATCTCAAGTCACCCCGACAAAAACTCGAAAAAATAAATGCGATAAATAAAATCTGACAGAATGCCACAAATATTTGGCATTCGGTTTTTCGTTTTGAAACCCGAGCCAACGTTCGCTTTCGTGTGTACCAGAAAGCATTAACGGCAAAAAAAAGTAAAACAAGAGGTTTTTAAGTATTTTATCTTGTAAAAATGATGTCAACAACATTCCATGATCTGGAAATCGAAGAATTCCAAGCCTTCCAGCTTGAAGTCTCCCGGGATTTTCGTTTCGTCCATGTAAACTTGGCCATCAATGCCGAAAACCATTATGTAAGTTGCTAATGGCCAATTAGAGACTTCCTCGGATTTTATCGCCACGATAATGTTGTCTTGAGAGCCTGAAAGATGCGAAAGATATGTTTCCTTGCAATGTCAACCTACCGGGTACAAACTGAAAGGCCGAGAATCCTCGTGTAGGGTGGACGTTTCCAACCTTCACCACTTCGAACGTTTCAAAGTTTTCGTCAGTACTGATAAGGTAATTGGTACTCATGAATTGCACTGTTTCGTCTGTGTACGGTTCAAATGATGCTCGACGTGGCAGGAAGAACCATTTTCTGTGAATGTCCGACCATTGGACTGCTTCGTGTATCATATAAGCCGGGAATTGAATTCCGATGCTAGCTCGAACTTTTTTGAACTCCATTTCCCAGTTGACATGTTGTATTACCCCAAACCGGTCGATTATCTGAATAGAACCTTTGGATCACGAAAAAAAAAACAATGTGGATTATGTTTTTGTAGAAGTTTTTAATCCGGTCAAAACAAACGAATAAGTGATCTTCAAATCATACCTTGATGTAGAATGGCTTATTATCCCTGATGGAACCGTCTTCGTTAGTGTATTCTTTACCGTAGCCTCCAATCCACAGGTGTTCGTCTTTTATCGTCATCCACTCGGTTTTGAATGCTGCAATTTGCATAATTAACCTTATTATATCGGGATTTTAGTGAACTGGTCGGTTAGATCAACTCACTTTTATTATCGAACCCATCCCCATCAGGGTTAATTACCCATGGAATTGCCTTGTCAGTAGTTAACCTAAAAATTTATTGTTTATGTATGCATGCGTTACCTGAAAACCACCCCGGTCTTATCATCTACGGAGTATAAATAGCCATTAAAAGTCTTGAGGTCGGATAGCTCCATCCCTCGCCCTTCATAGTTAAGACGAGATGTGTAGTTGTAGGTGTATTGCCAATCAATACTGAATTGTTTTGTGTTCTGAAAAAAATCAAACAAGTTCTAAAATGTTTGCGTGTTTCTAACAATTAAATCCTCTAATCGGTTTTCGTTTGACAAATCCATTATAATAATTATCGACTCACCAAGTTGTAAGTGAAGAAGCCTCGAACGCTTGGGCTAACGTAGGTTCCTTCCATTGTCTCGGACGGACTTTCCTCATCCATATCGGCAACCGCCATTATTGGAAGCGTCATGGATCCGTCCATAATGTTAAGTGTTGCAGTGTACATGGGTCTCCGGCTTAGCGGACTTACTGACTGCACTGCTATGTTCACCTTCCTTGAACCGTAATGAATGTTTATACGGCTTTCCGGAATCCGATACGCCGAAGACTGCAGAATCAGGCTGAGGTAGATGAACTGTTGAATCTGTTGGTAATTCATTGTTATCATTTGGGCCAACTGTCATATAATCCGACGACTTGTGGAGATGTAAATCCAATCTTGGTAGTTTCTTGTATACCTCGAAAGGTAATCGACCAAAAATGCCGTATAAATTGTTTAGTATTGGTGATAAATATAATCAGGACTCTAGTTAGAATAAAGTAACATGTACCAATTGATAGCAGTTGGCATGTAGCTACAGTTCAAATACGATTCGAACAGAAGAAACGACGGATTAAATTATCATAGAGCAAATTTTTCGAATAATTTGTAAACAGAGCGATGGACTGAAAGCGCGCAATTCTTCCTCCTTGGACTGTTAGCCGTTCGGTTCAAGCGAAGAAACCACTTCAACTCTCCGCCCTCGAAATACTCCGAGTAGCCAGCCTAGGATAAGCCGCTCATGGGTCATCATCTGGATCTTTCCGAAGAGCTAAGAGATTGTAGAATTAAAACTTCAGGAAGTTTTAGAAGTGCACAGAGAAACTCACGCCAGATGGGACGTTGTACAGTAACAAGTCTTTTCCGATTGTCCTCTTTGGTTTGCATTGCAAGCAGTGCTTTCAAAGATCTTGTACAATCATTTCTGTCTATCAGTCTGTCGGGAAAATAACGGCGGTCGTCGCGCCTCGGAATCGCCCATCATCGCTTTGCGACGGCTGCCGAAGCTGGAGATTTGGCGCACGATAGCGGTGAGGCGAGACATTTTGTTGCGACGATCCGCCGTTATTTTCCCGACAGACTGATAATTGTATATTATCAGTCTAAAATTCAGCCCTAATTCCACATAGCAATCTCCGTTCCTTTAATTAAACATACAAGCCGATCAGTTTTTTTAGTTTGGAAAAAAAAACCCTGCGAATAGCCAATTCGGTGAGCAAATAGGTCACCTGAAATCCCTTTTCGACGACACTTCTATTTATTCACAGCATAAGGACCGCGCGTCTCCAAAAAATATCTCCTTCACAAACAGCAACTGTAAAGCAGGCTTTCAGGTTTTGGGTACAAGATTTTTTGGCAAGGTAAAAACGATGGCACAACCAAGGGAAAGAAGTGGCCATGAGGTTTTTTTGTGTGTACGAATAACCGTACATGGAACGACAAGACTATTTTTTACAGTTTATTCATTTCGAATTTGCAAATTTTTTCAACAGGCTGCTTATCGACTTTCACATAAATCGTCGGTAAAAAATGTAGATGTCAACTTTTAATGCCATAAAAATACATAAAATCCCTGTTGCTTTTGCAAAGCGCCAGCTGCAAGTCTCGTCCAGACTTGAGCGTCGCACTTTTGGTGCTTTCTTGTAAGTTACGTTGATTCACCTCGCAAGTTTAATATGGAATTCATACCTTAACAGCTCGAAAACAAATGTCCGTGTAAATTATTTAACGGGCTTTTTACTTGTTTAACTCCACACCAGGAACGGCAATGCCTTTTACAAATGTGTCATACTTGTTTTCTTTATTTTTTCCAGGGATGGCTTATCATGCTGCTTAAAAATCGTTTTTACTTGTATTTCTGTGGTAACAAATGAGCTAATCGTGTATAAGTAAAATAATGGCTCCAAACGTTCCAAGTTTTTCAGTTTTACGAGGACAGCAGATCACTAACTTATAATTTATCAGTCTGTCAGAAAAAAACGAGCACAACGTCGCGGCGATGGATTTGATTTTGCCGCGACGCAATTCACTTCATGAACGGCAGTGCCATTTTCGATGCGTAATTGTGCTTATCATTTTCCCGACAGGCTAAATTCTACAATGTAGTATAATCCTAGAAATGTATCATAAGATTGTGCGAATTAATGAATTCCTTCTCATTCCGCGGTTACCTAACAAGAAGCCTGCAAATTATTTTGAGCTTATTGTTAATATATAAATAACATCCAGCTTGATAAACATCTAGTTTCCTTGAGCTTGGTTAACACCCGCTTTCTTTTGCAACCATTTTTATAATAATTTGCTTAAATTTATAATTTTGCCATTTATTAATTTTACAGATGTTCTGGTATGAAATTCTGTATATGTTTACATTTTGTTTACCTCTGTATTGTTTGTGTCTTCGGCTGACGTATGTTCTCTGGAGATGGAGGAAACAATTTCAGTCATCTTTCTACAGAATACTTTTTATTGCAGGATTGGTTGTAAGTCAGTAAAATAAATAAATTATTGACTTTATTTTCTACACAATGTGAATTGATAAGGTTTGCAAAATGTTGATTTTAGGACTCTGTCGGTCTAACAGTGCACCATATTACTAATCGTTTCGCTAACACCGGTGTGTTCGTAGTGCTGTTCTTGCCTTATCTGAAAGGCTTTCATTGGTTTCTTATGCCTGTAAACTATGTAATTTATCATTGCCTACATGCCTCCATGCTGTCGGCTCTGCTAATGGCCTTCAACCGACTCACAAGTTTTATGACTTTTTATTTTGAAAGGGTAAGTAGTAAAGGTAATACTCGTAGGCGTATAAAGTCACCTGTGCTTCGGTGTAGAAATGGCTCTGGGAAATCGCGGCCCGGCCCCGGCCAATTGTGCGTTTTTGCTTACAATTCGCGTTTGTCGCGACAATTTCCCGATTTTGCACCAGATACGCGCATTTTTTCGCGCAACAGCCCAAATTTTTGCGTGCGGCAATAAATTGTCCGGCCATTTCAGCGCGAGGAATGTACCGGGTATTAGGAAGGGCAAACAATATACGCATTTAACAACACCTTTTTTCAAAATTTTTTTATTGTAGATTTGGAAGTTCGAGACCTATATCTTGAGTTTTTGCTATATTCTTGTGCCATTTTCGCTAATATTTTACATGTTGTTCAACAAAGCCGGCTTCACTTATGATAACACGGAGTTGTGGTTCACGTACACGGGGTTCGATTACGATCACAATATCACTTTTGGGGTAGGTGACATGAGGTGAAAGTAATCTTTCAGTTAGTGGATGGAGTTGTAACGTTTTACTACTTCTTGGTATTATCGCTGATTACATTCGTCCTCAACGTGGCTAATGTTGTTCTGCTGACGAGAATTAAAAATAAAGAGTTGGCAAAGGTTAAACGGGAGAGGCAGTTGACGTATTCTACGCTGATCATCTTTGGCGTTCAATGTACGGTCATGTTTGCTTATGTATGTTTGTCGTTGACCTTAAGACGAGACCAAGGCCCACCTGCGCTATTCAACCTTCTTTTTTCAGCTCTCGTTTAACGTTCAAGCCCTGAACGTGTACGTGTTTCTTCGCTTTGTTTTGGCTCCGGTTACCGAACTTTTGTATCTAATGCCTTCAGTGATTATCATAACGTATGTTGTACCATTGCGCAAGATGGTGTTTAATGTCTTCGCGAAGACTCAACCGCCTACCAGTGTTGTAGCGGCGAATTACCTGGGCAGTAGTGGTAGCCGGATGACCAGGTAGACCAGCTGCATTGCGTCCATGTCTTGGCAATACAAAAAACCTTCTTCGAATGCAAGGAACCGATACGAACCGAAAAGCTGCGTAAACTAGTGCATACCTCATCCTGTTCATCATTGCCACCGATAAATATTTATTTCTCTTAAAATAAAGGCAATACAACGAAAAGTTTATGTGGAGCTTCGAGTTGAGTACTGTATTGAAAAAATAAAAGCCTTGCGTTCACGGTAGTTGCAAAAGTTGCAAGTGTTGAAAAGATGTTCTCCTTAATCGATTTGATCGTAAATTGTAGTCGGGAAAGAAATGACAGATTCATTGTCCAATTCGCGCCGACGATCTTCCAGCTGGCATAGAGGGCAAATTACGAGGTCATGGATCTCGTGAGCGACGATATTACGAACGACGTTGTGTTCCACTGAAATTGACAAAGCAACGCTTTGACACTTGCAAGTATAAGGAACATACCCTTCCGAACTGAGCCACCGCTTTGCAGAGTTCCATCGCTCAGATCTCCGCTTTCAACGACGCTACGTCTGCTCTCCGGTCTTGAGGTTTCCTTGGCATGGGGATCAAATTGTTTTTTCAAAACATTTACCGGTCGAATGGAAGACTCTTCTATTTCGGTTTGAATAGAATCGTAGACATTCTGGTTTTGGTTATGCTCGCAAGTGCATTTGTGTTCCCTCGGGTAGTGCTCGTGTTTGCCATGGATTTCTCGCTGCTCATGCTCTCGCGTGATTCCTTGATTGTGTTGGTGATGCACTCCTGAATGTCCATGCGCATGACTGGACAGAGTCGAGTTGCTGCTTTGCCGGGAGACCTGTTTATTGTACCAAGCGGTCTCATGTCCATTAACTGAAAACGTCTTTTATTATTCCTCTAATAAAAATTACCAACAGCGGCTAAAGCCTCAGAACAAGATCACACATGTAATAATGAGATCAAAAAAATTTTACCTTCCATTTTAAATTTTTTTACGGTCTGCGGGAAAGGATGGACAGCTCGCCCAAACAAAACGGAAGTTCTTTCTCAAAAAATTTCTTCATCGTAAACATCTGTGTTGTTTTTGCCTTAGGCAACAAGAGGAAATGCATGTTTCAAAAAAAGCAATCGGGTTAGCCAGCTCTAATTTACAGCGCCTTCGAAAATTGAATCGCTTTGCTTTGTTGAGGACAATATCATGCCCAAAAGGTTTGGGGGAGGGGGAGGTCGCTTGCGGGGGGTTGAAAACATGCAAGACCTTTGACCCGCCAAGCAGAAATCGTCTTTCGAACTGAAGTTTGCAGACAGAAACTAGCTCTTACCCTGCCCATTTCCATCCGCTTGATTTCCATTGCTTTGGCTATATAGGTTTACAGTGACAATCTTTTCATTTTCGACGTGATTCTCTTCGATCAATCGTCGCTTCAGCAGCGCCTTTTCTAATGCAGTCAACTCGTCGAAATTGATCATTTCCCTCTCCTTTTTATGGTAGACTGGCTGCTCGACGTGGACATGGCCCTTTCGGTAATAACTAAAGTTGTTTTCATCTTCCAGTTGAACCTGAAGAGGGCCCTTCGGTTCATGCGCTTGCGCTTGATATTGCGACTGTTGGTAGGCCAATTCTTGTTGACGATTCCTTTCATATTCTTCTTCCTGTTTCTTCAGCAGCTCTTGCTCATACTTTTGCTGCTGTCGGTAGGTCAAAAACTGTTCTTCCAGTTGAGGAATCAGTTCAGGGATTGGTTCATAGATTTGAACCTTCTTGAGATGTTTCCTGGCTTTTTTGATTTCATGACGACCACATAGATGGAAGGAGATGTTTACCTCATCATTCTTCTCAAGGTAGATGTTCTTGTTTTCTTCAACATCATCCTTCTGATAACTTCTGGTTTGTGCAACGTTGCGAATGGACTGGGTTGGCTTTTTGGGAATGCCGGATACCTTGGGCGAGTTTGGAATGCTGGTCTGACGTTGGACTACAGAAGCTCTTGGCTGAGAATGAGCAATTGGAGCAGCTGGAGTTGGAGGTGTATAGGTCTTTAGGCTTGAACGGAAAGATGGCTGTTTCGGAGGAAGATGAACGTGGTCGGAGACCTGTAGATAACGGATTAGTAAAAAGCTAGAGTTATTGTTTTTTTTTGTAAAGGCTGAAAACTAAAAATTTACCGTCCTCCAATGAGCAAAGTTGATATTTCCGGACATAAATTTTACAGCATAAACTAACAGTACCTCCCTTTCGGCAATATATTATGAAGAGAACAAAGGATCTCTTCAGTACGAGAATGAATAAAACGCCTTCCAAACTCGGACTTTATTGGGGAGTGGCAGAAAACCCCTTTCAAGGAATTATCAAGGTTTTAACTATCCGTAAATGAATCAACATTGGTTTGAAAGAGGAATAAAAACTTTTATGACAAATCTAGATAATACGGCGAAAAGCCAAGTTTTGGTTTTATGGAGACATACACACGGTAATTGTCAAGAAGATAAAGCACACTTACTCGAGCACCATGACCGATCTCATGATGCGTTTGGATCCTTTGCCCAATCCCACCCAAGATTATGCCCTGTTCCGCGTGATCTGGCAACTTTGGTGGCCCAGTCTTCAATGTTCTAGCTGTCGCCCCGCTCAAAGGTGATACGTAAGTGGCTGTTGGTTGCACCTCGTTTGTGATTCGGACGTTTCCCCTAGAACTAGCGCTACTCTTCGTAGATCTGACGGTGTCGTACTTCGCGAAGTCGTCGACTTTCCAACCAATCTCTTTTAGGACTTTATCTTGGATATCCGCGTCGTCAAAGGTAGAGACGACATAATCCGACGAACTCGAGCGTTGCCGCTGATGTCGCGGCGGACTTGGAGGTTCAGTGTTATGATGACCATTTTGAGCAGTCTGTTGCAAGTGCTGTTCGTATGGCACTTCATCGTAAATATGGTCCTGAGGCTCGGTTTGGCTAGTCAAGTGCGCACGATCGGAAACGTATGAGCCGTGGCTTCTTTGCTAAAAGTACGGATAGTTCCGACCACATAGTTTAGACTGCGTACCGAATCGCGTCGTAAATTGTATTCCCCCGCCACAGACGTGTCGTGTGTCGTAGAACTGATGCGACGATAAGTGGCGTCCAACTCGTCAATTTCTTTCTCAATATCTTTTTGCTCAGATTGGCTGAGATGGCGGCCGATGCCTCGTTGGTTTGAAGACCGAGAATGTACCGATACTGAAGTTTGACGTGCTGGAATTCCCTAAAGAAATTCTTTTTTTACATTATTTACGATTAATAACCGGCCCTTAAGACTCTCCCCCACCTGGAAGACTTGCTCCAGGTCAATTGGAGATGGGTCCACTGGAACCTTGTTTTCCTTTGTTTCACCAGCCACAATACTAGTTGCAGTAGTATTGCCATTACTCGAATTAGCAATGGTTGTGGTTACTTCCTGAGTCTCTTTCACTACGTGCACTGTATTGTAACCACGGCTATCGACCGGCTCGGCTTTGATGGTTGAGTCAGAGGATTCGGAAGCCGTGCTGACTCTTGATCCGGACTTGGATACAGGCCGAATTTCGGTGATAATCTCGTCTCGCGTCGCGGTTCCATTTGCATCCCGAAAGAACTCTGTGGTCCTCAATTCAACTTGCTTTTCCAACTGTTCTGTCTTTCGGCTAGCCCTACTGACCTGACTTGCCTGGCTTCCCTGACGGGAGTGGCGAGGTTTTGCTTCAGATCGTCGTTTTGGCACCGGGACCTCTGTCGGTTCGTCTCCGACGGAATTGTATCTGACAGGTGGCAAGTTTACATTATTGAAAACATTGGCAATCAGTTGGTCTAAAAACACATTGTTCTCATTATTTATTAGTCCAATAATCCTTACCTTCAGTGGTCATTTTTATGTCTCGGCTTGCTCACGTTTAGACTAAAAAAATAGTTAAAACTTATTACATACATGTATATATAGAGTAATAGCCTGTTACTTTACAGAATACACGTAATCAACATTTAATTTCGTCTAAATGCTTTTCTAACAATAAGATAGATCCAACGGAGGCGCTATAATTATTCCTTTATAACTCTTAAACAAGTCTCAAAAACACTTCCAAGACAGCTTTGCGGCCCTTAAGCGGTTATTAAAACAACAATCGAAAACGGTCTGTTTGAGGAAATTAGGCATAAAGATAAGAGAATTAAAGAGGAAGAAAGGGAGTGACTGGAATTCAAAATTTTTTAGAAGGAGAGAGACAAAACTTAGCGAATATAGAACAGCCAGCCTATCACTCCGTTAATTATGATTTATTTGGATGCTTAGTTAGATAAGATTGGAGCAGCTTCTTGAAGTTGTAGTCGTCCCATATCATTATTTCTCAAAATGATTACAAAAATTTGACATGGAATATAATTGACGGACAAGAATAAACGGAACTCGGATTGTGATTACCCAGCCATGTCCGGTTTGCTGGTTCTTGGTGTTCGTTTAATATCGCATTTTAATAAACTGACAGTGAAAACTTTATGAGCTTTAAAACCAGAACAACTGACAACCATATATACAAGCGTCCACTGGGCGCACAAAGCAACTTTCGCATGATTCTGGGCACACCTTGCTTTGTCAAAAAAATAGTCGGGAACCCGGTTCGAGCTTTAAAAACGGACCCTGAAGCCTGTTTGTTTGCATGTTCGATTCCTTTTACGATCCTCCAAAATTCATCGCTTTGAAAGATAAGAATAGCCCGCTAATTAACGCAAATGCTTGAGTTTTTTTGTTTATCAATTAATATATTCCGGGAATGATATAACACACATGATATCCAGAATGAATCTTCGAAAACCACTGTACAAATAATAAATATGAGGAGGAGAACAAGAATATGTGATTGTTTGAGTTTTGGAAACAAATAACTGAGATTTGCAGTACAACTGAGATGAACACAATTTGAGAGTGATCAACAGCGAGCTTACACATCTGTTGGACGGTCTTCTAAATGATAAATTGCCGAGTGGCCGTGCTTATCAATGCCAACAATGTTTTCAATGGGGTGAAATTGACACCTGGCCAACTTGTCGCTATTGCGGTAAACCATATCATTGTGATCATTTGGCAGCAATCCGGCATTTTGTCGGCATATATAATCCTGAAAAGTTGCAATTTAAATTTTTTCTGCAACCTGCGTAGCTCAATCAATCCGACAAAAACTGTTTGAATATGAAAAAAAGAGGAATCAATCACAAATATAATGGTACTTACTGTATGAGGGCACAATGAAAAGTCCTTCTTGCTGTTCTTGTAAAACTCTTGTATGTCCCGGATGTAGACCAAGCACCGGTAAACAACCACTCCACTGCCAATTAGAATCATCAAGACTGCGGCCAACATGACACAGCGGGTGATTCCATTTTGGGCAAGCACACTCTCGTCTAAAGAAAAGTCAGCCCTCATCCGAACAAAACTTACGAACAGAATCAAAGAAGCTCGCAAAAGCGACGATCGCAAGGGCAAAGAACGCCAGAAACCCCCGCAAAATTATGCCAACACTAAGGTAGAGTGCTAAAAACACTGGTCGATTGTACTTTACACCGTGAAAGAGAAGATAACAGACAACCAGCTGGACGGCGGACGACAGTGCAATAAGAAAGGTCCATGTTGTGCAGCAGTAGATCATCATTCTGGCCGCAACATAAGCGAGTTGTGCCGTCAGACCCATGAGATCGATGTACACAACAATGTAAACACCGGTCTGAAAATAATTCCTTTAGCCGATTGCACATTTTTGCGGGTTTGAGATAAAGGATTAACTTGCGATGACTTCTAATATTGTGCCAGTGTATTATATTTTATCGCTGCTTAGGTTTTGAAGCAAACCCCTAGGTTCCCAACTTGGCATCAATTTTGCTTGGACAACGATCGCTTATTCCTGTACCAGTAAGCTTTCGTTTTCCACTCTTTCGTCAAACACAATTTCACCAAAACCTGTCAAAAACACTTGAGGAATATTATTGGTATTGCGAGAATACTCCCACAACTCCCGGAAAACTCCGAAATGCCAAACCGTCTGAGCCTCATGAGAATTCTGTAATTACCGCAAAAACTTGTATACCGTCTTTTCCAATTTTTCCAAAAATACTTTTCTTGGCTACTATCTACTGTACAACTTTCTATGATTTATGCTTTCTTTACCAAAAACCCTGGCATCACCTGGCACTCACCTTTACGCTCATAAAATTCATACAACATAATCCGCTAGGAATGGGTTGGTAGTTCGCCGGCAAGGCCAGGTTCGACTGGACTTTCATCCTCTGAAAATATAACAATTTTTTCTTTTTAATTGACTTGAAAAACATTTACTCGGCCCGTGAGTCGCATACGAAGTTTCAGAAAACTGGTCAAGAATATTAATCGACCTAATTCAAAGTGACATCAGAGTAAATGTAGCAAGTCTATGAAGTGCTGTAAACCAATCGACGACGAAAGTAATGAATTTTTTGTAGCAGCAAACCTCAACCCTGTAGGATAACCAAGGATTCCAAAAAAAGTACAACTCAGCAAGCGTCGAAACCGCCACCCATTGAAATGGCCGCCGCCCAAAGTTCTCGATATTATCCAAGCAGAAACGCCCTTTTTTTGGAACGGCTTAGAGCCGCCATTGAATTCACGGCCCATAAAGACAACACAAATTATGATGTATGAGTCCCTTTGAAGTCAGAATTTTAAACGTATGTGTGCCCATAAAGAAATGCGGGTGTCAGCGCACCATGCAAAAATATTGTGTCCCAATCTTGGCGCAACAAACCCACAGGATGTTGAAGTGTTTCAATAAAACAACGCAAATCAGCCAAGCGCTTGGGAATTGACATTGTGCGGTCAGCATTTCCAATTTTGCGACGCCAAAACCTTCGTAAATTAAATGGCAATCTCTTGAGATCTCGGAGATTTGAGGACAAACCAGAGCCCCGAAGCTCCAAAAAGGGGATGAGCACATAAAACACTTTTGTTTTCTGTTTCCTTTCCCACGTACGCTTGCGTTGCCATCCTCCAATTTACTGCTGCAAGCACGGTCCGGGTGCACTCTTCTTGGTTTGAACGCCGAGAAAACAAAGAAACCTTGTTTTGCAAATTTTGTTTCACAAATACGTTTACTTTCTTGAAAGCGCATTAGCAATATAAGGAACGTAAACGAGACATCTGGACGTTGTGCGAAATTTGCAAAGCAGATGGAAGAATCGTTCTTGCGTAGCATTCATGGCAATTGAGCCGAGCCGATATTCGCGAGCCAGCCCGTGTACAGGCCGACCCGGGTTTTTTAAGCTTGCTCAGGCCCGTCCAGGTTCTGTTAGGCTTGTATTTAGTAATGTTTACAAAACGTCCAAAAGTCTTTTTATTTTTGCTCAAAAAGTTTTATGCTCTTCAGAATTCGTTTTACATGACGATGTTCAAAACGCTCTAAATTAAAAACTGCTATTGAAACGTTCGCAATGGCCCTGAAGGTAGCTGACTGTTAGCCAAAAAGTTGGATTCGCCTTGTGCTGCGGATTTTTTTCACAAAAAAGTTTACAACTGCGCACGTACGTATTTTTCATCTACATCTCATCACCGAATTTCAGTGATTTTTTTAAGTTTACCTCTCGAAATTGATATTTATTTAGACCAGTGTACATTTAGGTGTGATTACAATAGGTCAAAGCCGTCAAAGAACTTCTAAAAGTTAAAAAAAAAAACGTTTGTTAAAATTGTAAAAATCAAACAAAAAATGTAAAAATATGTATTATAAGACAAAGAGGTCAAAAAGAGGGACTATTAGTGACTCAGTGCAAAACATTTACGGTTTGTCAACCTTTTTTAATATTAAAATTTATTTCTTTATCTGCAAACTCGACCTTCTGGACCAGGACGAAACTCACGGGTCGGCCTGGGGCTTCTTCAAATTGGCTCTGGCAGGCTCGACACATCACTCTTTTATTTTAGGAAAAACTGATCTTATTGATATAAGCGCCAAGTCATGACAAATGGGCGGGCGCACACTTGCGGGCAACCACTTTGCGGGCAACCAGTTTGCGGGCAAATTTTTTGCGGGCAGCCACTTTGCGGGCAGCCGACATTTGCGGCCAGCACCGGCATTTGCGGGCAGTCTGGGACATTTGCGGGCAGGGTCGACAGTTGCGGGCAGCCTGGAAGATTTGCGGGCAGCCGACATTTGCGGGCAACCGACACCTGATTGTGAGGGCAACAGGGTGGGCGTGGAAAAATTACTATGATATTATATTTTGGAAATTTGCCGACATTTGCGGGCAACCGGCCCTTGAGGATAACAAGGTGGAGGTGAAAAAATTACTTCGATATTTTGGAAGTTTTCCGACATTTGCGGGCAGGCAATACTTGCGGGAAACCGACATTTGCGGGCAACAGTTCCAAAAGTTCCAATACAGTCTGTGTGATTGTTTTTTCCTGTTGCCCGCAAGTGTCGGCTGCCCGCAAATGTCGGCAAATTTCCAAAATATCGCAGTAATATTTTCACCTCCACCCTGTTACCCTCAGGTGCCGGTTGCCCGCAAGTGTCGGCTGCCCGCAAGTGTCGGTTGCCCGCAAGTGTCCCAGGCTGCCCGCAAGTGTCTCAGCTGCCCGCAAATGTTTCAGCTGCCCGCAAATGTGACCCCCCAAATTTTGCCCGCAAAGTGGTTGCCCGCAAAAACTTTGCCCGCAAACTGGTTGCCCGCAAAGTGGTTGCCCGCAAGTGTCGCGACGCCGACAAATGCAACTCAAAAGCATCTAATTTTCAAACCTATAAAAAATCAGTAAAATATTCGCGAAACATTAAGCATTACTTAACCGCTCAAGTTCAGTCATCCATTTAAATTAATTTGAGTAAAAACCTCATGGGCCTCATGCCCAAGAGCACCCACTCCTCGACAAGCAAATTAGGTCGTAAAACCGCCGGCTTTACGACAAAGCAAAGCCAGCTCAGAAATGATGATTTACTATTTCGAATTTTAAAGCATTCCCTACCATACTGCCTTATGGATTATGAAAACTTGCCTGTCTTCACCCTTATGCCCTTCGGAAGTCTTCTTTTGGAAGTTTTCCCAACGTTGGGTAATGACCGTGAAATTGGAGGGAGCTGGCTGGCTAATCAAGTGCTGGGACTTTCTCCTTTTTCTGAGCAAAAACAAAAACAAACTGACGCTTGGCACTCCCAAACATTCCCCGGGATTCACATTCTTTTTTGGCTACCAAAAGTTCAAACCAAGATTACCAATTAACGATGTCATTGCCGCAAAGATTTTGAAGAATCCGTGGAAACATCTACATAAACAATAGAAGTTTTCAAAGTGCAGCGCTGAGAGCTTGCGTAGACATTCAACAATCTTTACCGACGAGAGAATGCGCGTAATTCCGAGACCGGACAGAGAAAAAAAAACACTTATTGGCCGCTCTCTGTCAGTTTTGGTTTTTTCTGCAAAGCGTAAGCAGAGATTTCGCAAAACTCAGTGTTTCATTAAAATCGAAGCGTCGCAATTCAAGTATTTCCCCTGTGTATTTACTTTCTCTTAAAGCAATGAGAAATTCTGGGTGGCGCTTTTCTGAAACCAGTTGATGTTGCCGGATGTTTGGTTTTTTGTAATTCTGATCGCTACAAAGAACAACTAGTATGCACTTTCTCATCATCATTTCGAACACAGTGATGTCTAAAACTAAAACCGTCAAAGCTTTTTCATGCCAAAAAAACAATGGCCAATCAGCGCTATAATTGAAACAACGCAGCGGGAATTTCTGTTTGTCTTTGAATACATTGATGGTTGTGTTCCACAGCGTGAAATTCGATGTCAATGAACGTTTATAAAAAGACAACACAGATGAATAAAACGGAAACAACGGCATTATGAAACAATGATTACTTGCTTAGCCTGGCTGAAAAAGAACCGGCCTCCGCAAGATCTTCCATTCAATCCCCAATTTGCATAGCGGAGAAATTTGGAGAGCGTCGCCGTAAGAAAAAGCAAGAACGACGCATCGCCAGCGATAAAAGTAGGTTTTGCACAGTGCAAACGCCCTTTTTCTGCTGTTTCGCACTGTGCAATCAAGAAAATTCCCACAAATTCAGCGATTCGAAGTCGCGCGCTTTTGCTATGATCGCAAAAACGTTCATTTCGGGGTTGCGATTTCGATGTGAGGGGGAGGCCGGTTCTTTTTCGGCCAGACATAATTATAGTTGTTTCAGTCAAAAGCGCCGTCGTCTTTCTTATTTCGCCCTCCAATTTACATTCGAATGCTGTATTGGTACTCAGAAGATCACCGCGAACAGAATCTTTTAACCACGGAGCTTTTACCCAATTTGTACTAAATCACCCGCTACTTCCCTGAAATCACATTCATGTTCTCAAAACAGCACAATAATTACAGTAACTCAGACAAAACATACGTGATTTCAGTCAGCATTATGACCCACCACAGTAAAAACAAAACTTTCAAAGAAAAATTTTTTGGTTTGAGACTCCGATATAATTGAGAAGAAGACGTTCTCCGCGAAATTTTGGCAGTTCGGTGGTGTTTTTGGAGCCCAGTTTGGTCGAATCGCAGAATACAAAGATGGCTCGTGCAAGTCTTGCGAGAAGATGTAAGTTTCAAGTACAGCAACGCGATCTTTATTTCATTTCTGGTCATGTCATTGTACAGTCAGCCGATAAATTAGTCGGTGACCACTGTTTTTTCCTTCGGAACGGCCGATTTATAACAGTGGCAGACCTGATCCGGTGGCCAAAAAATGTACCATTTTGCATCCAGGAAGCATCAAAAAAATGTGGCAAAATACCTCCCTCTCCGAGTGAAAAAAATCAATTTCAAAAGCCCGCTCTTTTTGTGAGGAAAAAATTTTTTCACATGGAAATGGAAGCATTTTGCCACATTTTGACACTAGGCCGTTCGCAAAGTCGCTGGAATGTTTTCGGCGACATGCACTCCACGAAAACAAAACTTCACTTTGCACTGTGCAATTTTTGGCTTTTTACACAATGCAATAGGCTTTTTGGGGCTGTCGCTCGCACCCTGACTTTTTTCGCAAAGTGCACGTCCCCGAAATCATTCCAGCGACTTCACGAACGGACTGATACTTCCTGGATTCAAAATTGTACGTTTTTTGCCACTGGAATAGGTCCCCCACTGTAATTCTGCAATTTTAGCACCCCATTCTACCGTCGAACGAAATGATAGCGAGCAGCGCCGTTTCCAACACAAGAAACTCTCCCAGAAATCCGTCAACTATCGCAACTACATCCACCGTATCATCAAGAACACCGAGGCGGCCACGAATCAACGTTTCGCCATCTCTTCTCGTGGAATGGAGACCTTAAATGACCTATCGATGGACCTGGTTATTCGAATGATCCGATCGGCTAGTTGTTTGGCTCGCGATCAGAGCATCCAAACCCTGAAAGAAACCGAAATCAAAGCCGCGTGTGGATTGATCTTCAAGCACGAACTAGTTCAACACTCCGTTAACAATATCAACAGAGCCATTCGCCTCTACAAGACCAACGTTTAAGCCTTTTCCTCATAACAACACAACAAGAAAGAATCTTGTGTTTATATTATTTTGATAAGTAAACGCTGAGAATGCTCCCATGTGTCATCTACAGAAGGAATAAGGGGTCTAAAGCCATTCAAAAGTCAGAAAAGGGTTTTCTAATCCACACACAACTGTCAAAAGTAATTTATCCCCTACCAAAACGCTTCAAACAATGCAAATCAACAAACAAACAAATATTAGAAAAGAGAATCTAATCGAATGAGGTTAATCTCGGCCGTGAATCAATTCCTTAAGACTCAATCTTGGCCACGATATCCTGCTCTCTGTAGATATAGTATTCTTGGTTTTCGAGGGTGATCTTGGATCCTCCATATTCGGGTAAAAGTACTTTGTCGCCGGCCTTTAGCGAGTTTGGAACGGTTTGCCCATTTTCGGCACGATATCCGGGACCGGCAGCAACAACCGTACCTTCCAAAACTTTTCCGGTGGCCTTCTCGGGGATCATAATTCCTCCTTTGGTTTTTGTTTCAGGAAGAGCACGCTCGATGATCACTCGGTCGAACAACGGTTTCAGACCAGAAAGTCGCTGAAAACAAACGCAATTACAACTTGAAATCGGCTTAAAAATATCAACCAGATAGAAATCGACAGGATTGGATTGATCTTTCATAAAAAATTAAAGTATCTGTCCATCCAGTGAATTCTCTCAGTCTACATACAGCCTCATAATAACATGCTCCTCAACAGGAAACCTAAAACAAGAAGCAGGCACAAAACAAACTTACATTGCATACACGAGAGAAGAAAACCATGGTTTATGGATGTTGAGGTCCGAGTGAAGCTGAAACAATTTCAAGATAAGTTGTTACAACACAAAAAACATAAAAGAAAGCACCATCACATCACGAACATCAATCAACGAGCACATCAGAATAAGAAAATTCCAGAAAAATAAATTTTCTTTGGCCCACAAAGAAACTGGAATTCTCCGAACTGCGCCCTGATTTTAAAATATTTATTTCAAAAAATAGGCCCAAAAAAATTCGAGAATATTCTGGAGAGTTGCGGCACGTTGCAAGACGGTTTTCTTTTGCTAGCACGATGTTTTTGTCGGCGTGCGGTGTTATTTTGAGGTTTATACTTGAAATTACAGGCGATTTCTAGGTAATAGATTTTCCCTTACGAACAAAAAGTATTTAGTTAAAAAGTTTCGAAAGCTACATCAGATATATCGGGACAGAAAGAACACTGTAGTGTAAATCAGACCCGTCGTAAATAGTCTATTCCACTTGGCTTTGAGATTCGTTCTATTTAGAATCTTATCATTCAGCCCGCCTTCGAAAACCATCTAGAACGATGTTTCTGCCCGCGTTTTTGATCCTTTTCCGGCGTGTACCCAATAAAAAATCTCGCAAGAGTTCAACGAACACTCGTTTCTTGTTTTGGACGTTGTTATCATTACGATTTCGCTGCTTGGTCAAAGGGCTAGGAAAGTTCGAGAATCCTCCCGCATTTTTTGTTTTGTCGCTTCCACCTCTTTCAGAATGCAAAAAGGAGAAGTTCCGGTTGTGTTCACTGCTCCAATGCCTATCTTCGGGTTGATAATATATGCTTCAAAGTCGATTAGTCTTACATTAGGTTTTAGCGGAAATTCAGAGGTCGATTGCAACATTGACTTTTTGAACAGTGGGATTATGTTTGTGTTCATATCGCGTTTTCCTTTGTTTTTTACCTGTTTCTAAAATCCCTTTTATTTTTATTTAATTTAGGTTTCACTCGCAAAGATGCTGCGCAAAATTCCCAACAGATACTCAATTGTTCGCCATTATGCCAAGGACTTGAAATTCGGTGCTGATGGCCGTAAGAACATGCTTGTTGGAATTGATCTTTTGGCTGATGCCGTCGCTGTTACAATGGGACCTAAGGTATGCCTTTGGCAATTTTTTTTGTGTTTTAGGTTCACTAATGAGATGTTTTTGTGTGTGAAGTCGCTGGACTTTCTTTATTGAGTCTTGTCGTTTCAGGGGCGGAATGTGATCATTGAACAGTCATGGGGATCTCCCAAGATCACCAAGGACGGAGTGACTGTTGCCAAGGCTGTTGATCTCGGAGACAAATACCAGAACCTCGGAGCGCGTCTCGTGCAAGATGTGGCCTCAAAGGCCAATGACGAAGCTGGAGATGGAACCACTTGTGCCACCGTTCTTGCTCGCGCTATTGCCAAAGAAGGTTTTGAGAACATCAGCAAGGGTGCCAACCCCGTCGAAGTCAGAAAGGGAGTCATGAAGGCTGTTGATACTATTGTCGCTGACCTCAAGAAGTTGTCAAAAGATGTTACCACCCCGGAGGAGATCGCGCAAGTTGCAACGATTTCGGCCAATGGCGATAAGAAGATTGGAGACTTGATCTCTGAAGCCATGAAGAAGGTCGGAAACAAGGGTGTCATCACCGTCAAGGATGGAAAGACCCTTTATGACGAGCTCGAAGTTATTGAGGGATTGAGCTTCGATCGAGGATTCATCTCTCCTTACTTCATCAACTCTTCGAAGGGCGCCAAAGTCGAGTTCGAAAAAGCTTTGCTTTTGTTCAGCGAGAAGAAGATCTCAAATGTTCAGGTATGTATTGCATTCAAGGGTCAATGTTGATAACGTTTTAGGACATTGTTCCCGCTCTGGAATTGGCCAACAAATACCGCCGTCCGCTGGTTATCGTCGCCGAAGACGTCGATGGAGAAGCGCTTACCACCTTGGTCCTCAACAGATTGAAGGTTGGCCTCCAAGTTGCTGCCGTCAAAGCCCCAGGATTTGGTGACAATCGCAAGAACACCCTGAAGGATATGGCCATCGCTACTGGCGGAGTTGTTTTCAACGAGGAAGCGAGTCTCACCAAGATTGAAGACATTACCATCGATGACTTTGGAGAAGCCGGCGAAGTCACCATCACCAAGGACGACACATTGATCTTGAAAGGAAATGGGCGAACGGAAGAAGTCGAGAAAAGGGTGGCCCAAATCCAAGAGGAGATCGAGAGCTCGACTTCGGATTATGAGAAGGAGAAGCTGAACGAGAGATTGGCCAAACTATCCCGAGGCGTCGCTTTGTTGAAGGTTGGAGGATCATCTGAGGTCGAGGTCAACGAGAAGAAGGACCGAGTAACTGACGCTTTGTGTGCCACTCGCGCAGCTGTTGAGGAGGGTATTGTTCCAGGTGGTGGTGTCGCCCTTCTGAGATCATTGAAGAGTTTGGACTCTCTTCAAGGAGATAACGATGACCAGAAGGCCGGTAAGGAATGATTTTCACATGTGTTTTTGTTATCTTTGTCGTTTCGTCAAGAAATTTTTTTAGGTATCAAAATCGTGCAGAAGGCCGTCCGCCAACCCATCTCTACCATTGTTCAGAACGCTGGTCTCGAAGCCGCCACAATTGTCGCTAAAGTGCTTGAGAACTCGGACGTCAACTTCGGATACGATGCGTTGAACGACAAGTTTGTGAACATGGTCGAAGCTGGTATCATCGATCCCACCAAAGTGGTCAGAACTGCTCTCCAAGATGCTGCTGGAGTAGCTTCGCTTTTGGCCACCACTGAGTGCGTCGTTACAGAGATCCCCAAGCCAGAGCCGGCTGCTGCTGCAGGAGCCGGAGGAATGGGCGGCATGGGTGGAATGGGAGGAATGGGCTTCTAAATGGCTAATCGACGTTGTTTTTCGGTCTATTAGAAGAAGTGGGAACAATTCGAACGTATTGTCTCTATCTCTCCTCTATATATTTAGCCACCGTTCCTTTCATGACCTCGATTTATATTGTTTGGCGGATTCACGAATAATAAAATTTGCTTGTGTTATCCTGTCTTATTTCCTTTTCTCATCCCCCTTGATTCTCCCGCTTGGTCAGGGCTTTGGCCCTCGGCCACTCATCTATTAGGACATTCACTATTGTTTTGTTTGTTGTTTTTGTTCATACCATGAATAAATATATTTTGCAAAATCCAGTTGCTTCAATGAAACCAAAGTTTCTTGTGGAAAACGATAATCATACGTACAGGTTCACTATCTGATCAGCTGGACGGCCTTCTCCTCTCTTTCGCACTCAAAAAGGTCATTGAATGCAGCGAATGGACTCTCAGTCGCTTTTGAAGGCTGATTTCAATGGATGTCGAGAAGCAGTTTTATGTATAAAAAAGGATGTTTTCGCCAGTGACTGGGTGTTGTCACACATGGTCCAACGGTTTCCATAATTTTTGACAAAAGAGCGTGTTTAACGCCGCTCTGGTCAAGCCTTTGAATTCTTGGTAAAAAGCCTAAGGTCATGTCACTATGTCAACACATTCAATCATCGGCTTTTATTGCGGTTTTTGTTGCGACTTGGGAGTCCTGTTTCATTCCTGCCTCCTTGTTGTTATTTTCGTGACATTTTTTTGACGTCCTTGTCCTTCTTTCCCTTCTTGCAGTTTGGTTGTAGCGGAAAGGGCGGAAAAATTTTCTCATAACTTTAATGGGAGACAGGGATTTTAAATCGCTAAGCGGTTATTGTATTCGCTGCCGTTCAGCTGACCATGGGCGTGGTAGTTCTGCTTGGGCGGGGGTTTGTTTGGCAACTGATGATTGAAGCGAGAGAGAGAGGCGCCTTCTGGTTCTTTACGCTCTTGTTTTTCAACGAGTAATTATCCAAGAGTTCTCTTCACGTTGCTGAAGCCGCTTTGACGCCTCGGCTGATAATTTGGAAGGGGTTTCTCCAGGACGTTTTGTTTACAGTGCAAAAATGGGAAGGAAATGTTTTGCAATTTCTCTCAGAGAATTCGTTGATGGATTCCTGTTTTCGTCCTTACAGTGGAAGTACCCCAAGCGCGACGCTGGGATTTTGTTCGAGCTTGAGACAAAATCAAGTAAATTTTTTTAAGACGTGTGTGTGCGCTTTGCATAAACCATCAAGATTTTTGGTCAAAAGTTGGCAAAAATGCAATTCTTTTGTTGCGAATTATGACATGAAAAGTTTCATTTCTATCTTAGAGTGTAGCGTTTCTTTACAAACCAATTTTTTCACCACCAAACTGGCAAAAATATGGCCGAAATCGTTGAATATCTCTGGTCTTCCTGCAGAGCGCGAGATAAAAGCTCTCAGGAATTGATATGTGGCCTACGCCCGGTGTGTGTGCAAAATTTAAAGAAAATCCAAGCGTCGCACTTGGGGTATTTTCCTTGTCAATAGAAGTGGATCAACAACAAATTGGATTGTTTTTTAAATGGGCGAAGCTACGGATGGAAAGTTTAAAAGATGCAGTTTTATTGTTAGTCAATGAGACTGTGTAATATCTTTCTATGTTACATTGCGCGCTACCACAACTGTTTGCAACTTTTACGTTCCATCGTTTAGATTGTCGCGGACGACCAAAGATTATAACCGAAGTCCAACTGCGATTGTTTAACTTTTATTCTTTGGGGGATCCTCTACGCTGCGATTTTGTACTTTTTCAGACTGCGGCAAATGACCTTTAAGACAAACAAACGCACCCACAAAAACGTCTAGGGTATTTAGAGAGTCCGCCGGTGTTTTCGCAGTTTTGAAACAAACTCGCCACGCCAACTCAACATGACCACCGCGATTTTGGGTACATTTTCGGAGCTGTCGCAGCCATTGTATTTTGCTACGCAGTATGAAATATGTACATGGGTGTCGTTGTGGTTGAGAGGAAATAAAAGTTTTTGTTGCCTAATGTTCGGTTCAACGTTTTATACGTTAACAAAAAGCAGCTGACTGATTATCAATTGGTTTTTGGGTCTTCGCGTCTCTCTCACTCTTGAATGGAAGTGAAATGTTCCTTTTTCGCCCGGTCAGAAGTAATCTTTTCGCTACTTCCTGAGTTTTGTGTGTGTGCAGAAAGTGGTGTTCGCAAAATTGCACAACGAACTTGCGCATTGATTAATAAATTTTAGAGTATTGGGTTGTTTCGACTCGATATGTTCTGTACCTTATAACATTGTCACTTATCCAACGTCCTCAATGCATTTTATCATCCTCGTCGCATAAAAATTTTTGATCTTCAACCCAATTGCAGGGTCAATTTGGCAATTGTCAGGTGCTGAGGAATCAAATTTATTTTAAAACATGTGTTATTTCGATCTCCGGCTTATGAACCCCGCCGTGATATGACGTAACTGCTGACTTATGCACTCTTAAACGTACGCATAGCCGTTTGTTTGCACAGTGTTGGGGCTATATTCGACATAAATCCGCATGGAATATGGGCGGCTGGAACGACTCCAAAAGGGTCGCACGGTCCTAATTCTCCATGATTTTATGTTCTTTTCGCTCCAAAAATGATAAGGCGATAGTTTCGGTCTGTGAGTTCGATTCTTGGAGGTCGAAATTTCTTTTTGCACTCGTAACAGGGCAAATTTTTTTGTAAGCAAAGAAAATATTATAGTAAGTGACCAGCTTTTATCTTGATAAGATATGTGCATTCCATTTTTAGGCCCATTATTGTGGGTGGGCATTTCGTGCACTGTAATAAGTCGGAGATTTGAAAAGATCATCTTTTTGATAAAAGGAAAAATTTAAGTCTGCAAGCTATGCTAAACCCGCTTTGGAACACCTTAAAATAGCCGTTGGCTTGGTGTCAAATTTTTACATCGTTCAATTCCTCATTTTCTTTTAATTAACAGATCATAAAAGTTCATTATTTGGCGTTATCAAGCTTGTACCCAGTTTTCGTTCTGCAAGCCCTCGAACGGCGGAATTTCCCATTGAAAAAAGATTGTGAATTCATGATTTGACCATACATTTAGAGAGAGATAGAGAGCGTTGACTCTCAAGGACACTACAACGTTCTCTTCTTTAGTGTTTTCTCTGATCTCTCTTTTCTGTCTGCGACGGCCTCCGGAACGTTTTTATAAAATCATTCGGTCGCTTTTCGATTTTAGGCCACCCGTCATTGTTGGTTTCAGGGATTGTTTTATCGGGTCAAAGTCACTTTATTCACTTTTTAATTGCTTTAGAAATAAAGTCGAGTGCACAATATGTATTATACTATATTTTCTTACTGTCCTTGGACTGGCGAGATTTGAAAAGGCAGGACTTGTTTTAAATCTGTACGTCACCGTTTGAAAAGTTGCGTGGTGGCGCACTGGGCAGACATATAAAGACTTTTTGGCCCACCTAATAGATATTTTTGACAGTATTTCTCTCTTCATTAATAAGGATTTTTCATCCGTATCACTCACGTTTTCTGTCCGTTGAGCTAAACATTCCTTTGTCATCCTTGACCCGACGCCATTCCAATTCATTTTTGATTCAATTCTCCGCCATTTCCCCCATTTTTTCTGGCTTAAATCTTATTGGATCGTGGGCCCAGACTTTCTCATCGTCTCTGAATGAGAAAGTTTTTCGAATCAATTTTAACAGCAAAAAGATCTGAATTACAAACTTTTTGCACTCCTGTGCAGACGGTGATGACATGACACACTTATTCACCTTGTCATCCGGTTCTATTTTTAGGCCATGGGCTATAATATGGCCAACAACCCTCTTCCACAGCATGTGCATTTGATACCCGTAGTTTCCGGTAAATCTATTTCGGATTCTGTTGGAAATATTCATGCTGGCAAACATGACGTGCTTGTCCGTTCCATTTTTGGGCCGCTTCACATCAGTCTGGATAGCATGCCAGTGTTTGGTCGAATGCGCAATGTAGGGCAGCTATAGTAGATCAAATTGAGTTCTTCATAGAGATGGCAGACTGCTCATAAACGTTTCATTATCTATTAGAGATGTTGATACTTGAAGTGTATTATAGAGTAGTCCCATAACGCCTGAAAAATTCTTCCGCTGAAAATTTAGTTCATCATTTCCTCAAAAACTTCCGTTTTCTTCCACTTTTGTCATTTCAATTTACGCAACAGACGTTTAATTATGCATTCGTTAATCGTAACATTTACACGCGGTTTCAATTACGCATTTCTGGCCCCTTTTTCATTCCGCATTTCTTTATTCTTTGGACAGAGGTTTGCAAAATAAGTTTTTTTTGACATACCATGTCGTTTCATCATTATTCCTTATCGTGTTTGTCTTTTCCCTATTTTTGGGAGCAAGAGAACGCTCCGTGGGTTTCATGTGGCCCGAGCAGAAATCATCGGTGATTCGAAGAAGAGCGGGCGATCGATCTTTTGACCAGAAGGAAATGGTTTAAGGACCCCATCGGAATGCATGTGCAAAAGTTATGCACCCACAGCTTCTGAAATTATTTTTCTGAAATTCTTGTTTACACGTTCGTAACTTTAGCCCTTTATCGGAACAAGGTGTTTATTTTTCGACTTCCGATGACATAACACATCAGCTGACAATGCAGCTGATTTGTTTTGTGGGCGTCGAGTTTCTGGGTAAAACGGAACGGAGGGGTTGCAGACGCCGAATGATTCCCTGGGTATTTACTCTGACCTCTGAGTGATGAACAACTGTCCAAAGGTTAGACAAAACATGTCTGCATTCCGAAATGATGTTTCATGTCACCATGAAAACGGTTGCAACGATTTGCCAGTAAACGTAATAGTTATTAATCACGAAAATCAGGTGGTTCGATTACCCCAAGGGTGTTCCGCTTTTTATATCAAGAGCGGTGTTGTTTAGGGAGAAAAAACGTTCCAATTTCCTCGGATGTTGGTTTTTGCTCTTCGCAAATGGAACATTGATTTTGGAGAGTGTTAGGGTCAGGGTTCGCAAATACTGTGTGCACGGTGATTCCTAGTGTCAAATAGGTTGTTTCATTGATGGTGTGACAAGCACCTAGTCGGTGAAAATCTTGTTAAAAATTTTTGAAAAGCTTTTGATTATGACCCTTCTATCTTTTGCGAGTTGTTGCCGTTTATGCTGGTCTGTTTGCAAAGGAGCTGGGGTAATTTCTTTGACATAAAAAAACAAAAGTGCACCTTGAACTGTTTTGCTGACTTTTTAGCCTTTGTAATAGTTGCTAATTTAAAACGCACTCTGGAAAGTTGTAGCAAATTTAATCAGGATCTATTCTTGAGTTATTGACTACGGATCCCGACCTCCATGTAAACAACCCAATTCCCTCCACATTTATTACTCACTCCCTCCTTCCAACCTCCTCTCCCCTTCCGTCTCCCATCCATTTCGTGATTTTTGAACGTCCAGCTGACCTGTTGCGTTTTTTTGTCTTTCTGGCCATTTCCATGAAATTTCTTTAGGCCCCCCGAACTGCAAAGGATGGAAGAAAAAAAGTCTCGTCGACCTCACCAGCTCGACCCCCATCGCACTCTTTTATTTTATTTTTTTCTACGCACCCAGCTGGTTCGTCCCCTAAAGTAGTCCCCGTTTTTTTCGCCGCCCTTCGGTCGTTCAGCCGTTCCATTCAAAAAAATGTTTCACCCTGTTCTCTTTAGGCTTATCGCTTTGGGAAAAATGGAATTTTTCCGAACTCTCTCGGCGTTTTCTGGCATAAAATTTCGATTTTAGGTTTCATTCTTAATTTTACAATGACCACAAAAACCCTGCTCTCATTTATTGCGAATTTTTTGTCTTGTCAGTTTCCAAAAAGCCTCTGAAACATCAAATATTTATGAGTCCAGTCCGTTCGTAAAGTGGCCGGAGTGATTTTTGCGACATGCACTGTGAGAAAACAAAAGTGCACCTTACACTGTAAATACCCGGCTCTAAGGTCCGGCCGAAAGCGCCGGATAACAGTGTTTGCGATTTGTTTGAACGTATGTTCCGCACAACAGCTGTTTCTTTTCCGGAGCATTGTTCCGGGACGTCGGGAGAAACCCCAAGCTGCCAAACTTTGATAAAGCCTCACGATTTTGACCGAATTCTCACATACTTGCATGAATTCTCATTTGTCATAATTTTCTCGTGGTCTGACTTAAGTTTTGACATTTTGGGACTCCTATGGAAACGTCTTTTATCAATGGCTGGTTTAGTAATTGAGAGTAGAAAATGCGATTGCTCTTTGATTAGAATTCACATCTAGCAATGTAATGCATTTGATAACCTTACCTTTTTGTATAAACATGCCTTATTTCAAGACTTATCAATTTAATCCGAGGAAACGCGCGAAAAGTTTTTTCAAACAAAATTTTTTTCAACTTGCAGACTGTGAGCCCGGGATTCCGCCTTCCCCACCGAACGCAACCAATCTTTCCGCAAGACCATCGCCGAAACAAGAACACAATGAACAGTTTCGAGGAAAACACTGAGGGCGGATCAAAGGGGACGGTTTGCAACCCAACTACGGGGTGAGTTAATAAAATCTAGACCAACAATACCGTCTCAAAAATAGATGACTGAAATTGTATACTTGATTACTGAACAAATGTTTTAACAGTTTTTTGCGTTTAATTTGTAACAATTTTTTCAGATTTGCATCAATGCTTCAGTCAAGAATTTTGGGGGAACAAATGGCCGACTTGCCGGCCTCTTCAAACAACAACATTCATCAACATCATGGACAAGAACACTCGACCGACAGTCGAACGACTAACATCAGGTCGGACAACAACACTGAGAGTAACGGACGCTTCGACGGAGAAGCCGGACTTCTCACCGGGACGTCAAAGAACTCGATGAAAACCGAACAGTGCGAGGATTCGTGTCGATTCGAGAAAGGTTCGCGCTCGGATTTACGCAATTTCAACATGAACCAGGCCGACCAATCGAGCCAGGACGAGCCGGACGATAATGCCTCTTTGGGAGGGTCGGCATCGCCAAAGTCCTCATCCCGTTCTTCATCAAGAGCGTCGCCTTCACTCAACCAACACCGAGTCCAGTTTAAAACCCAAGACCAAGTAGACGATCGCCGCTTGAGACGTCAGATAGCCAACTGCAATGAGCGGCGGAGAATGCAATCGATTAATGCCGGGTTCCAGGCCCTGCGCCAATTCCTGCCTCAAAAAGGCGGTGATAAAATGTCGAAAGCCGCCATCCTGCAGCAAACCGCCGACTTGATTTTGACATTGCGGGCTGAAAAAGAGGAACTGGCTTCCCAGCTCCACGGCAGTTTGAATCCCGCGCCACCAAGTGATCCAAGCGTCTCGTGTCGGACCACACCAAAGAAGAGACGCATTGATGTCGAGGAGATGGAGGGAAAAGACGACGTTTCAGTCTACTTGAAGACGATTGAGGACCTTAAAGCTGCCTTGAATCGAGAACAACAGTTGAGAATACTGTATGAGAAAGAGATCATTGATACTCGACGGAATGCCTCCACTTCAACCCCGCTGGGACTAGATTCCTCTCTTCTGAACATCAGTGAACTGCTGAGAAAGAATGAAGGTAGGTGTAATCGTGTGATTTCTTCGAACATGATGTCTTTGTTTCACCTGCATTTTTGTAGCATTTATGATTTTTTAAAATACTTTCAGCGCTTCAAAGTCCTTGTACTCGACAGCAGGAACGCTCGCCGTTATCCATTGCGACTCTAAGTCCCAACCGTGAGCTGGGAAGTCCAGTGCAACATCCACCCAACCTCGGAGGAAATCTATCGCCTCTTCTAAATGTACGAAAGGCTGTTTTCAACTCGACGTTGCTTCAAAGACCTGGAGCGCTGCAAAACACCTGCTTGCAGGATACCGTAAGAATATTTATTAGACTTGTAGGTCTTACGAGGAGCGCCTAGCATAATATAAGAAAGAAAAATTCAGAAAAATTGTGTAATCTTGCCTTGTTTTTTAGACCGAGCACTCCAATCAAAATCCCGTCAACGCCAACAGCCTGCTGGCATCCCAACAAAGCCTTTTGAATCCGGCCTTTCTCACTTCCGCTCTTCTGAATACGGCCCAACCCGACATTCAGCGCTCGATGAATCTCTCATTGGCTTTCTCGAATCCTCAACAAAGAGCTGCGACAACTACCGTTCAGACTTCCGTGAACAACAGTGTGGAAGCCAGCCTACTGGCCGACAACCGCAATCTTAACGCTCTTTTTGAAGCCATTCGCCAACTGGAAAACGCGAATCTGAACGCTCAAATCCCGGTTCAACAACGGCTGGCACCGAGTGGGGGGTTCGCGCCGCCCAATACAGCGGCCAGCTCGCAAAATGGCCAAGTTCCAACTGACCTCTTGGTCCGATGAATCCTTGAGGAAACGTTGAGGAGCGTTGAAAGAGAGCTACATTAGTCTTGGGCAAAGTCTTACTCTATATCCGAGAATGTGAATGGGGCTTTGTCTTCAACTTTTTTGGAGCGATATCTTTAGTATGCTACTTAAAATGAAGATATTTCAATTCAAAAATTAAGATTTTTTTAAATTTCAAACGTTGAGACAAGCTCCATTCGCTCTTCTCCGCAATTTAGGTAGTGCATAGGGCAGAAATAGAGCTAATAGTTTTAAATTGTTTTTAGAAAGAATTGTTGTGTTGAGTGCAATTCGGCTTCTCACGCCTGGAATGGTGCACTCCAAGACCTCCAAGTTGAACGTTTTCTCTCATTGTTTCTCTTTTCTTATGACCTCGCTCTGTTTCTCTGCACTCAAAATGGAATGAGGGGAATGTGATAACGAAAAAGAGTAATGTTATTTTTAACTTTCTTTTTTGCTCTTCAAGGATAAGTAAAACTAGTGTTTTGATTAAAATTTTTTCTGCTAAACATTATATTAGTTGTCACATCTTCCAAACGTCCAACCAAACGATGATGCTGATTTTATATTGATCCAAAAACCCGATGATTTTCCATATTTTTCTCTAAAATTAGGTGATGCAAATTATTTATATTGTTTAGCAGAGGCTGCCATCGCCTTTGAAAATCCCTGGTAGACTTGCAAAGAAAATGGAACGTTTTTTATATTAGAGATGGGCTGCCACAAAGTCGTCATTCTTCCAGAATTTTTATTTACTCAAGTCAAACACAGACCATGGCCGTTCATAGCAGATCTAATTTTTTTCTCCTCTACTCGGAAAAAACCTCAAAAACAATTAATTTTATTTAAGATCGACCGTTCCCGAATCCTAATAACTTTTTCTCCATTGAACTTTTTATTGTTGCCCTAACTTGTTGTTATGTTGTCGCTGTTGTTGTGATCATTTTTTGGGTCTTGCTCTTTTTCAAATCTTTGTTTCTATTGCGGATTGTCCATCTTATCATTTTTGAATTCAAAATCTCCGAGATTTTTGAAAGAAAGATTGTCTTTGGAAGAAACGATTTGAAACAAGTTAAAGATCAATAAATATGATTAATGAGCACGTCGGCAATGTCTTTCTTGCAGAAAGTAGAGGTGGCAATCGGGCTGGGCCGGCCCGGCCCGCCGGGCCTGAGCAGATTTGAAAAAGCCCTGGGCCGGCCTGACCGCTTCGGCCCGTGGGCCGGGCCGACACTTTCGGCCCGGCCCGGCCCGGAAGATAGATAAGTAAAAAATTTTAAATGCTAAACCAGCAAAATAAAGCACAAATGCTTTGTAGAATGGATGGAAATTAGATTAAACCTTTTTTGACTTATTCGCTGTTTTACTACTTTTTAAAATTATGTATTTATATGTATATGTAACATATTATGTATATGTAAAATCCCACCCAAATATGCAAGGGTCGGGCAAAAATCTTCGAATTTTTTTATGGTAAATTTAAAAATTTCACTGTAATTTTGATTCCTTGATGTAAATGAAAGTGTTTAAACTTTTTTTGGTTAATCATGTACCCTATAACGTCCATACTTTTATATAGCTGACTTACTATAGGATTAAAGAATTAAACACAATCCAACTTTTTGGCTAGGTTTTAGCTAACTGTACGGATGTTCCAGTCATCCGAATAGACTTTTTAATTTCACGCAGACACACGTAAAAACCTTCTAGAAAGCATAAGAGCTTCCAGTAGAAAGTGCAAAGACGTTTATCCAACTTTTCTGTATTAGCGGGCCAAACCGGGCCGGGCCGGCCTGGGCTTTCACCGGGCCGGGCCGGGCCTGAGAAAATTTGAAAAAGCCCTGGGCCGGCCTGGTCACTTCGGCCCGCGGGCCGGGCCGCAAAAATCGGCCCGGCCCGGCCCGATTGCCACCTCTAGCAGAAAGTAGGGCGAAATCAAAGACTATCGTAAGAGTCATGCCATCTCGCAGCGAAAACAATGAATGCCAAAAATTTCGTGGCATTATGTTTTAAGGTGTTATTTTATTTTGTTTTTGAGTTTAGATAATTTTTGTTTGTTTCTGGCGGTTTCAAAAGTAAGTTCACGTGTTTGATCGTTGATTATTTGCTGTTGTAATTTTGTCTGTCTTCTAAAGTTATATTTTGGTTGTTAATTTGATGTAAAGGCCTTCTTCTTTCAGGTCCTCAGCTAATTCAAGATGGGTAATGTCGCAACCAAGAATGTGGACAAGGAAGCTGTCAACAAGGATGTAGGTTTATTTTTCATTTTACATTTCGTGTTATTTGTTTAGGGGAAACTTTGGAGTTTATTTTTAATCTCGTTTTGGTTTTAGGTAAATGACTATCCAATTGTAATGTACACAAGGCCGACTTGTGGTTACTGCAAGCTGGCCAAAGACATTCTTCTCGAAGAACAAGCACTGTACAGAGAGAAGGACCTTGAATTGATGAAAGCAATGTATCCGGAGACTGCGCAGGTAAGTTTTTTTTTAATTGATTTGTTATACTCTTAGAACTACATCAATGGATTGGTTTACCAGACAAGGAGTACGTCTGTACCGCAGATTTTTATTTGTGGAGAATACATCGGAGGTATGTGGTGGTATCAAAACTGTTTGTTTATTTGTTCTTTCGCCAGGCTGAAGATTATTCCGATTTCCAACGTTAGTTTTATAATGCCTCGTTTTCAGGCTTTATGGAGCTGAAAAAACTTCGCGAAGCAGGCAAACTTTGGAGTACGATCAACAAATGCCGAGAACAATACGACCAGAAACCAGTGGTTTCGCCTCCGTGATATTCAATTGGAACATCATGGATCTTGTTGATCATTGCTGCATTTTGCAATTTGGAAGTTCCCTCATTTGCTCTTCGATTGTGCTGACCTCTTCTATATTTCTATGCCTTTATTAGTACTTGGCATCAGTTAGGCTATTTTCAACCGGTTGATAAGAAACTTTATTATGAATCCGACGTATTTAAATGTGTAATTTAAATGTATACATGAGATCGGAATGTCGCGAGAACAATAAAGAATCAACTTATTAGATGTATTGATGTTGAAAAAGGCGAGAAACCTTGAAATACTTGGGACTAGATTACAATTTTTCTATTTTTTTATTTACATATGTATTTTTGGTTTTTTTGGCCGGAATGACTTTTTTGAAAATTTACATAAAAATATCATGGGATTCTATCGGTTGTATAATATTAAAGCAGATTAGGACAAAATCACTTCTTGTTGAACACATTCAAAGCGCATATTATTCAACAGGACAAGATATTTACTCGGGTTAATAACATGGATTTGAACAGGGACTCATTCCTTTCGGTTTGCTATGCAAAAAAGAGAATAATTATTAAGGGATCTCTCCGAACGAATACTCCAATTGAGCCAATTGACTAGACTGTTTTCTGTTTTTGATGGAGGAGGGGGCGCTTTGGCGTTGCTGGTGTTTATTTCCCCACTCGAGCACGGTAGACCTGACGTTTGCCGATCCGCGCAACGTACATGCGCTTCACTTGGAATTCGGGGGCAGGTTGATCGGCGGCTCTGAAATTTTATGTAGATTAGAATAGAAATACGAACAAAGGAGAGTTTTTTGTCGATCAGAAAAAATAGGTTTTTAGGTGACGGCCTTTCAGCGGCAAAAAACGTTCCCATCCGGGAAGCGTCAAAAATGAGGCAAAATGCTTCCCTCTCCAAGTGAAAACACTTCGTTTTGATGGGCGCGTCCTCCTCGCAAAAAGAGCGGGCGCGCTTTTGAAATCGGAGTTTTTTTACTTGAAGAGGGAAGCATTTTACCACATTTTTGATACTTCCCGGATGAAAAATGGTACGTTTTTGCCACTAGATCAGGTCCCCACTGTATCATACGGCTATTTTCCGTCTTTCTCATGCATTATTACTGTACCGTGGCCATTCATATTATTCCCTGTACCGTGGCCATTCATATTATTCCCATTTTTTGTGAATCCGTTTCTCAGGTATTAACCTTAAAATTTTGCAGGTCGAACCCACCAGACCACCCTCCGGTCCCCCGATTAGCTACCCTAAAAGTAAGTAGAATGCGTGCCGTCGCCGAGGTTATCTCTTTCTCCGCTAATCTCCGTTTCATACAAAAGACTTGATGCATCAGTCCCAGGGATTTATTTCACGGCCGTCTTCCTGGAAAATACAATCAAAACGGCATGTGTTGTAATTGCAAAATCTCGGGTCCAGCTCCGGATAAGTAGTGTTTAATGAAAAATTATGAGCCGTCTGTGGGGGATTAGTCGGGTCCGAAATTAGATTGATGTGTAAGAATGAGCAAAGGACCTCCATGTTGGTCCATGTGTTTTTCACCAAAATATATCCGTCTTGGGGTAGAACCGACTTTTAGCGCATGCTAAATTATCGCCATGGCTTTAAAAAGACGACATTCTTTGATTGCGTAGTGAAGAAATCGAACGTCATCACATTAATAATTTCCTATCTTACACCTACATGACCTTAAGCACCTTGCGGACTTCCCGAAACCTCCGGTAAACAACAACGTTCGCGAAACGGCAGTTGCGTGCAAACTAATTTCTATTACTTCTTTTGGCCGCAAACCTTTGAACCGTCTTACACTCGTAAACAGCGGATTGCGTGCCATGGCCCACGGATAGTTTGGGTGGAAGTAAATCCGTGATGTGCTTCATGGACCCTTACGCACGAAAAAAGGTTACCGTAAACTGATGGGGCCAGGAGTTATGACGCTATAGTGTTTTAAAAAAGCCAAACGTACCGTTTGAATAACCCGTATACTCGGCTTGGATATTTTCCAGGCGTTACATAGACATCTGAACCTCTGCTCCCTAAAATAGCAGGGTAATAAGCATAGTAGGTTTTGTAGACTTTTCTTCTGACTGTAATTTAACCTACTCAACTGCGATGCTTCAACGGGAACTCCAATAGGCTTAGGCACGGCGAACCGCTCGCTGAACAGTTCTTGTGAGCTGACGTACACGAGGCATAGGCAAAGCAGGACGGCGACTGCGGCGTTTTTCATCTCTGGACTGATCTCAAAAGGGGTGGAATGGGTCAAGGAGGGCTGTATATATGATTAGAGTAAGATCCCACAGTCCCGAACGGCCCACTCGTCAATGAAATGCCTCGTAGCCCGAATGTAATATACCCATTCTCGTAATTATCAGCGTTAAACACGGAATGGGCCGGATTTCGCTGAAACCCCACGGGACCCAGGGCGAAGCGAAATTTCGTACAATCACGAATTAGAGAAATTTACAATTTCTCTGAATATCACCATAGCTATGTATAAAAAATTTGTTTCAAAGCGGTGGTCACAACGCTTCCCTTGGAAGGTACCATAAAGGTCCCGCAAACCCAACCCAAGTTCTGTTTAACAATTAGAATTCTGTAGATGCCCAAAAATTATGCATTCCTTCACTAGAACTAATTTGTCTTTAGAAATGCCGACCGTTTTTTACGTACCAATGAAAATCCAAAAAAAAATTGTCTGCAATCAAAAATAATATACAATAACATTTGAGAAACCTGTTTTCCGAATAGCTTTAATCCAGAAATGTAGATAGAAGTATGGCTTTATACGTCTTACTAATCCCGCCCTACCTTTTTACATTCCGTTTCCCCGCAACATTAAACTGTGGTAATCATGTTTCCAAGCCATTTTTTCCGAACGATTTGCGTAGTATGCCCGCCCATTCGGCAAGCAGTACAGTTCTGTTGTATGGGGTCCATGACAAATCTTTCGTGACGTTATATGTTAGGGTATTAAAATTACAGAAATTCTTAGTTCCTCGCAAGATGTTGACCGAGCTTTTTACTTGTAAGACTTGCCTGACAGTTGTTCTACGTTTCATTAAAATACAAGTCTACTGGAAAAGCTAAGGGGTTTGAGCTACTGTGACTTCGGATATCTCAACAAGTTGTTTTAAAACGCATAGTAATATAGGAAACATGCGACTTAAAAAAGCAGTGATGTCAATGTCCGTTAATGTGTGCGAAGTTAATATCCCGCAACAAAAATTAATTAATCCGATAGTGAGTGAAGTAACACCGAGCATGATGCTAGTTGGAGACCAATATTACGGTTGTTTGTCGACACCCCCGGATCCCTTTACCATACCCATAAGAGATTCTTTATTTGAACTACCACTCCCACGGCGCATCAATACGAAAATACTTCGACATGGATTCAAAAATGAACGCGGTACGCGGTGAGATGCTGATTGCGCAACAAGGCTTCTTTTCGATGGTCGAAATACCTTTTGGAAAAAAGGGAAATTCAAAAATAAAGATACGTCCTAAATTGCATAGACAGAGTCATAACAGGCGATTGCAGAAAGCCTGTTTCACGCGTTAAACAAACCCGTAGGCTTATTAAATTCCAAGCGCGTTTTATATTAATGAGGAATGAATCCGTATGAGAACGCTTCAACGATTTCATTTCTCCTCCAGAAATGGCCGTTATGAATTAGTACGGGGGAGAAATTCACGACCGTAGGGATAAATAATGATGGATGGGATGCAGATTTATTGCGTGACTACGATACGGAGCACTTTCTTCAGCGATAACTTTGTTGTAGAAAGTCCAGGTCTTAAGAGCCAAATTAAGGCCTGGACTTTTTGCAGAGAAACAAAACTCGCTAAGATAACGCAAAAAGATTTTTTAACAAAGTTTTTAACAATTTATGAAATGAATAGAAAAAACGTTGAAACAAATTTTTAACTCTTTTACATAATATTTTACAATTAAAAGAAAACTTCTGCAAAAAGTGGGATTTCGAGAATTCATGGGTGGAATTTTAAGTGCGCATCAAAGTGAGCCCGCAAAAAAAATTTACGCCACCACTTCATGTGTTGTAGCACTTTTCACCGCCTTTCTTTGGGATTTCCTGTTTTGTAATAAGTAGAAATTGCGTCGACGAAAAATAAAAACATGCCAAAAACCACAGTGATAATGCCTCAGGATGCGTGGGAGATTAAGCTCAGGAAAATCTGCGGTCTAAATCCGCCCGCCTTTTTTCGTTAGCATAAAGGTTTTTACTTTCTATATACTTCGCCGAACCAATCAGAATTGTAAGATTACAGTTTGGATTACGTATCGCGAACGAATATATGTAGTCAAAACTACCGGACACGCAATTCTCTGAAGGCACGAAATGAACCAAAACTTTTTGGGGAAAATGGTATAATGTGGGCATCATTAGTAAAACCTGCAAACACTGTTGTTGCAAAACACACCCGAGAATCCTCTAATCGCCATAATCACCATATTTTCTACATAATTGAGGGCCCATTAATGACCTCCCCGGGGATTTCAGATGATCTCAAATTTCCTAAAACTGCTGCTAATGTTGGCAACCGCAGGTGGAATAATGGCACGTGATGCAGAATCTCATGAAACGGTAGAAAATGGAGGATGGAAACTTGTACGCGAAATTCCAATAGCAGGTACTGGAAGATGCACCGTTCAACGGAGAGACGGGAAGACACTTACTCAAACCGAATTTTTGAATGAGTAGGTGTCCTAAATGCGGTGTTAATAGAATTTATCAGATTTGCATACACACAGCCCCTTATCATTTACAACGTCGAGAATGGCGAATTCGCCCACAAAACTGGCCGATTGGAAATGTTGAAGAGCTTTGAAGACACGCCTGTGACTCTGAACTCGGCTAACACGCACTCTTACACTCGCGGTAAGTATTCCGAATTGGAGCCGATTGTAAAAGGGATGTCTCAAATGCCATTTACTCACTTTAAGTTGTAATGTTTTAGTTCCAACCACGTTCGGCGACTATTTGAGCACTCATCTGAAACCGCAGAGCTTGGAAACCCTGGGAAACGGTAAGACGTTTTTCTACACGCTTACTGTCTTTACGAAAATGTGCAGACTTTCGCGCAATCAACCTGTATGACATCATGCTGCCTTAACATAAACTATATGATACTTCCGATCGCGTGCGTTCAACTCTCGTCAGTAGTAGAAAAATGAAGGCTGAACGACTTTTGTAGAGATGGGAATAGCATGTCAAACTAAAATTAGAGGCAAAAAATTGCTGAACAGCAGATCGCCAGATACGAAAAATTAATTTTTTTTGTGTTGGATGCATGAGAGTTTGGAAAACGGAGAATTCGGTTGGAAAAAAGTTCCGATTTTTTCTCAAATTGCCGAACCAAGAAATGACAACTTCAACATTTTTTGTGATTTTAATTTTAAAAAAATCGGGCGCAATTTCTAAATTGTAGCGCATATTTTTCCAAACCATCAAAATTTCTTGTGCAAGGCGGAAAAATAATTGGCAAAAGCGATTTTTCGTCGGATCGGTTGCACACTTTTTGCCTGATACCTTTCAAGGAAGACAGTTTATAATTTGGAAGAACTTTGGGAGAATGATTTTTGGCTACTTCAAATCCCAAAGTTTTAGTAAACCATTCAAAATTATGCATCAAAAAGCGGCTTATGTCAAACGATTATTTAAATATAAAATTCGGAGTTTTCTAATTCCCTTAATTTATTTTAGAGACCCTGTATCTGTTCGGAGATATTGATCCAGAGCTCTGGAAGCCGCTACTTTCGGCTTACAAACAGCCCAAGTGGACGGTGCCCGATATGGAGCCGGCTTTGAGTTTCGGGATCGCAGCTGTGGGGACCGGGGTTCCATTTCATTTTCATGGGCCCGGATTTGCCGAGGTCGTTCATGGAAGCAAAGTGAGTTTAATACTTGATGGGCTATCAAAATAAAAATTTTTACAAAAACAAGAGGTAAAAAATCTTGAGCAATTTTTATTACGAGGGCTCTTCGAAGTGACACTACAAGATTAAGATGATAAAACAGGCACATAATATTGTTGATAGATAAAATCCCGTATTTTGGAACGTGGAAGAAAAGTGATATCATAAGAAAAAATGAATGGAATCTCGCCAAAATCAGCCAGATTAAATCCATTTCCCCTGTTCAAATGATCGTTTTAAACTGAGATCGGCCAGGAATTCCTGGGCCAAGAAGCCTTCTCCAAACTCTTCCATGAGCTAGCTCCTCCTTTTCTTTTGGAAATTTACGACTGATTCATGTGAAAGCCGGGAGGTTCCGGCCGAGCCCTCACGTGATTTTCAAGCCGCGAAAACTTTGAAACATTTGACCGAATTAAACCCCATTGTCCGAGAGAAACGCGGCCGAGGTCAAACTCTAAAAATAAGAAAACAAAGTTTCGGATTTGAATAAAACATGACATTTGATTATTATGTCATGTTTTGAGTGCCGAAAGTGATTAAATTTTGATGAAAATGCGCAAGTAGTGGGTTCGATTCGATATTCGAAAGGCTGGAAATAAAAAAATCTGATGTGAAAGTGCAACGAAAGATTCGGACCTTTTTTTCAGCACTGGTTCCTCACCGAACCCGACCGTAAGCCCGCTTTTGATCCGGACCGTTCCACCTTGGACTGGTATTTGAACGATTACCCAAAGCTTGAGGAATCCGAGCGTCCGCTGGAGTGTCTAATGAAGCCCGGCGAGCTCATTTACTTCCCGGACAAATGGTATCACGCAACCTTGAACATGGAAACCTCCGTGTTCATCTCCACGTTTCTCTCGCCCGGAGCCAAAACTCGGCCAAAAACCGAGTTCTAAAGGCGTCAAAATCCAGAAAAAATCATCTTCGTGCCTTTAAGAATGGGTTGCAAGACGTGTAATCAGCTGTGATGTTCTCTTACTTTCGATAATTTATTGCTACAAGGCCTTGTCGAGGTGTTTTCAATAAACTATTTATTATTATAGATCATTTTCCAAAACAACATATGGTCAATAATAAGCAACCGGGATCATTCTGAATCACTTTGGAAACGCCAAAGATTTTATACATTGAGATAGAAGCGGAAAAAATGAGATAAAAGTTTGATGAAATGCGAAAACACTTATTATGACAAATTGTAAGGCAGTAGATTCATGATAATGTATCTGATGTTCTTCATCCGGCAGTGGGATCGTTTCGGAATCTCGCCGGTTAAAAGGGATGTAAATTGAGAAATTCGAGGGTAAATCACTTGTTTCTACAGACTAGATACAACATAAAACATATGTGAAAGGCGAATACACCCGGCTCATTTTCGTGAAACAGTGCATTTTGGAGCAGAACATGACAATTGAATTTTTGCCCACATCGCGGGAAATTTAGAAGAAAATCATGTTTTTTGCGCTGTTTTTGCTAAATTAGGTCTATTCGTAGGGAAAAATCGAACATTCTAAGACATGATCAATCAATTTCATTTCCAAAATTTGCTGCTGACGCGCTCTAGTGGGCAAAAAAAAACTAATTTTTACTTCCCCTTCCACATATTGTAAACGGACCGTTGGAAATCACCTACGGTGAGGACCTGATCCAGTGGCAAAAATCGTTTCATTTTGCATCCGGGAAGTATCAAAAATGTAGCAAAATGCCTCCCTCAGAAAATACTTCGTTTTGAAGGGCACGCTTTTGAAATCGGAGTTTTTTCACTTGGAGAGGGAGGTATTTTGCCGCATTTTTGATGCTTCCCGGATGTAAACTGATACGTTTTTGGCCAGTGGATCAGGTCCGCAACTGAAAGCGATGTGAAAACACAGTCGTCTTAATTCACTAATCAGCCGGCAATTTGCATGAATTCGAGACCGGTGAGCAGTTCTCATATTCCTTTAGGTTGGGATTATCCAAATCTCCCCGATTTCCCTTTTCATTGGGCGTTGCCAAAGGCGGCCCAAAATTCTTGACACAAGCACATCGGTGGGATTTCGAACCGGCCGCAAACAATTTCCTTGGGACTCCAACCCACTCGCGTTTCACGCCGCCGCTGAAAGTAACGGTAAAAATCCTTCGATCGAAATTAGACCACTTCAGGCACTAAACCGGGAAAAATTTTGGGAAAATCTCACCTCTTATTTGTGCACCATACTCTTCCGCCCGTATCCTTATGCCACTCCGAATTGCATGGAGGGAATACTTCGCTCTCTTTGACCTGCTTTTTTTTGTATTCCAAGGCGTTCTCCAACCGTTCGTTCACCTAAAATAATATACAAAACCACCAAAATCAACTGCGAAACAGTAAGTAACAACGTCAAATGCGGCTCACTTCTTTCCCATATGGAGTGATCTTTCCATTCGCATCGTAGAATAGACCTTGAACAAATCCGACCAACTTGTATTCCTTGTTGTAAAAGTTGACCCAATCCAGTAAACTCAACAATTCTTGGTCCGACAGGCCTGTCACGTCGTCAATGAGGCCTTTGGGAGTGAAATCTCCAGTGATAAAAGCTCTTGTTGCATCCTTTCCGGCAAAAAAGTGATATCCACCACCTGCAGAATAGTGTTTTCTGCCCTTCTCAACGTCATAAACTCGTCCCAAGATGGCCAGATAAACAGGCTGGGACTCCCGACTGCCGTCAAACAACGCCAGTTGATCTGGAGTGTAAACCTTCTTGCCTAAATAGATTAATTAAATCTAGGTGATTTCTCACCTTTCGTATTTAGTTTCGTCCCCAGTTTAAGCGGTTTATCGGGCTTTTGCTCTCCGCGGATCTCTTGACGGGGAATGTACTTGGAAAGTCCAATCAAAGAACGGAATGTGTCCACAATGCGCCTCACATAGCTGATCTGAAAAGTGTAAATATACGAAAGCATTTAAAATATACCCATTTCAATTTTAAAACACACTGAACATCAGCTAAAGCTCATGGATATGATTGAGCATTGAAGATGACAAAATTAGGGGTTAATTTTGACTAAAGTAAGGTATACAACTATAAAATAAATTAAAAACACTTGGTTCAGCAAGGAAAACCTTCCAGCCGTTCTACAATCATCCTCATTCTCTACGACATATTCGTACCTAAAAACAAAAAACACAACTAAAGAACTCACTTTGTATAACCTGTAAATTGCCCATTCGATGGTGTCGTTCACGGGTAATTGCACATCATACGCGGAGAAAAGGAATGATATCACAATCACATTCAACGACACCAACACCAAGCCCTTCGTGTACAGGTTTGGTGGGGGATAGGGCAAGCTGCGCGGCATTTGGCCAGCAGAGATTCGAGTAGATTGAAATTCTCCCGTCGAAATGGCAGTTTCTGTGAGATTCAAAATGTGTTAACCCTAAAAATCAATGTAAAGGGCTGTAAAAAAGAGGTAATTGAAAAGAAGCGCACAAAAAACGTATTTTCCGTACGATAAATCCAAGAAAAACTTCTTCCGACAAAAAGATTTCCATCTTTTATTTATGGGGAACACTTGGCCCACAGGTAAGGGTGTGGGTCAAGTGTTCTGCTAACGGTATGCTTCGCCGGAATTGGTCGAAAATAAGGGAATTGATAAGACTGGAATACGATCAAGTCAATATTGGATATTTTCTGGTTTTATTTAAAAATTCTCTGGTTTAGATACTGTGTTCGGTCCACCTACTATAATATGATTTTTTACGGGCGTAACTACGGTATCTCATCAGAAAAAATAGCCACTGTCCAATCTCCAAGTACTGTTCAAAACCTTTCTTTTATATCTTGTTCTTGTTTCGAATAAATAAAAATAAAACGGGCGATAAAAAACTTAAAACAAGGCTCGAAAATTCCATAACACAAAGCCGCCAAGAGGCACAACTGACCTGTTTGAAAGAATTTCTCCGCCCGAAGAGAACCGAGAAGTCTCTCTCGAGACGGGACCGGAAAAAAGCATAATTTTTGCAATTTTTGACGGGATTTTGAAGATGCGTGAGAACAAAGAGTTTCGGGTCATTCGTGGATGATAAATAAGTAGGTCAAAAACTGGCTGAAACTTTCTGTTTATTCGGGTTAACTCATCTCCAAAAATTTTTAATAAAGATGTATTTTGACAGAGCGAGAATTGTCATTTTAGCGTTTTGACGTGACTGTCACAGACGCTACAGTAGTCGGTGACAGATCGGGTTTTCCGAGAGCGCGGAAGATCGCTCTTCGGTAAGGTTTGATGACCACGATGCTGAGGGCGGGATTGCAGACCGGCATTAATCCCATTAGATCGACAATAATTGTGGTCAATATCCCAGGGTCGACGCGAAAGAAGGAGACCGTGATCAAGAAGATATTCGGCCCGGACGACACAAACAACGGGATTATGCTCTAAAGTGATAAGTATTGTACATATATAGTGGGGGACCTGATCCAGCGGCAAAAAACGTACTATTTTGTATCCGGGAAGAATCAAAAATGTCCCAAAATGCTTCCCCCTCCAAGTGAAAAGCTTTATTTTGAATGGCGCGCCCTTTTCCTCACAAAAAGAGCGGGCGCGTTTTTTAAATCTGAGTTTTTTCACATGGAGAAGGAGGTATTTTGCCACATTTTTTGATGCTTCCCGGATGCCAAATGGAACGTTTTTTGCCACTGGATCAGGCCCTCCACTGTAATAAAAGGGCGGTTTTTGTGCATGCGGTACTTCAAGAGGTAATTTAATACTGTCTTGAAAGCTCGTAGTGAGAGGAAAATGTATTAGCATATCTTCACAGACTACAGTGGCGTACCTGATCCATTGGCAAAAAACGCCATTTCGGATCCGGGAAGTATCAAAGATGCAGCAAAATGCCTCTTTCACCTCTCCAAGTGCACGCCACGAAAAAAGTGGAAATAGAGAAATTCGCGGAAAAATGTTTTGCGACATTTCATACGCTGAAACCTTTACAAATAAATAACGAAAATGATTCCAAAATTCTAATAAACAACAATTTACGTGTGAAACCGGCGAGAAAGCATCGAAAGGCATCTAGGAGGTGCACCCCGAACTTCTTAGATTGATCGAAGAAGAGAAAAGAAATTATATTGTACTAGGCAAAATTGGATCAAACTCGATGAATCTGACCGAATTCGAGCTCTTCCTGGGTTTGCAGGGCTTTGATCCTGCTACAACAGACCACTATTAAATTGAAATTCATCAAATCTTCTTTATGTCCACCTAAACATCAAACCAATAAGAATAATTAAAACTACATAAATTTTCGACAATCCATCGAATTTGTCGGATGCAATCTGAACTCGGAATTCAATCTCCACACCCATGGGTACATTATGTTGGCTTTCACATTCTACTTCAACATGGACCGGCTGAAATATCAATTATATTATTTTAGGTATAACCAGAGAAAATTATTAGCTCAATGGCCTAGAAAAACAAAAAATCAAAAAGGCAACGTCAGAAACTTACCTTGAAATGTTCTAAACGTCGTCTGCTTCCTCTGATCCAGCTTTGCTCACGCCTTCTCCAGTCCTTTCTTGCGTTTCTCCGTCAGTTCCTGCAAAATGGTACAATAATGAACTGACAAGTGCCCTTTTTCGATAGTAAAATTTCCAGATTTCTTCTTTACAACGTCCGCTAGGATGTCTCACAAAAAACAGATCAGCTCCTTTGTACCTAAACCGGATGAGTAAAGAGAAACCTTACCTTTTGTGGAGACACCATCAGCTCCTTGCAAAATGATGCAATAATGAACTGACAAGTGCCCTTTTTCTATAGTAAAATTTCCCGATTTCTTCTTTATAACGTCCGCTAAGATGTCTCACATAACACCACATGGCGATTAATCAAAAATCCGGATGCAAAAAGAGAAATGTTATCTTTTCTGAAGACACGTCCATAGCTGCAGAATCAATGTTTAGGTCACAGCGCGGTGGGCCGGGCTCCATGGACTCATCCGTTACATTCAACACTTGAAACTCAAAGCAACGTAATTTTAAAGATAATATACTTCCCGAAATTGTTCCAAATCTCAGAGTTACAATACTATCTTACACAATATTCATTCCATCAAAAAAATCAAAAATATTGGGCGCAGCTCGAAATCTCTATTTCCAATTTTGCCTTACGTTTTTCGTGGCGTGCAAGTGAAAATGCTTTGATTCCAAAAGCGCGCCCGCTCTTTCTGTGAGGGAAAGGGCACGCATTTCAAAACGCAGTTTTTTATTGTAGTGGGAGGTATTTTGCCACTCTTTTAATGCTTCCCGGATGCAAAATTATATGTTTTTTGTCAATGTATTAGGTCCACCACTGTAGTCTGAGAAGACATGCTAATACATTTTCCTCTCACTACAAGCTTCACAAAGTGCATGGACATTTCTTCGCCGTGCACAAAAACCCCATCTTGCACTATTTTTTTTAGTTTTTGTAATAAGTTTTTCTCGCACTGAATTCAAAAACTTATCGGCCAAATTACTCGAAATTTACCTGGATTATCAAGAAATAGGTCAACTGGTTTTGCGTGCTCTGTGCCCTCGTCGTGAATTTGCGAGTTTGCTCGTTAAAGGCGACTACAGTCTTGTATCCAATAAGAACCACCAGTTGATAACAAACAGTAACTACGACACCACCAATGCCGAAATACAAAATTAAATATTGATGTCGCTGAAAATATCATTGTTTGGTTGTAATCCCATAAAGTTACAGTATCAGCATAAATGACGGTAGGGAGTGGGACTTCAGGATACCATAATGTCCCGTAATTGAAGCCAGGCCGCACGGTGGCTGAATAGCCGTAGGCAAAATACGCCATGATTCCCAACGGTATGCTGATACAGTACGAGGTGGAGAAGAGTAAAAAACTGTTCAATTTTGACATCCCTCCACCTGTTGTCATTGTGTAATAGCGGTAGAAGAATTGCGCTGGCAATATTGTAATTGCCAACGCCAATACAGTACAAAACACGAACATTCCGAGGATTTGATAATGCCACGGAGCGAAGCGCAGAGGGCCTTCCATTTTGATCATAAAGACTCCATCGGCGGCTCGGCATATCTAGGGAATGTTCCAACAGTAAACGTTTCGACTCCACTACGGTATTTCACTTATATACATCTTTAGATTAGTCTGTCGGGAAAATAATGAGGTGAATCTTGCGTCATCGATAGTGTTGCCGAAGTGAAAAGCAATTTGATTCTGCAATCGATACAATTAGGTTGCTCGGCGACGATTCAAATTTTTGATGCGACAGAGCTCATTATTTTCCCGACAGGCTGATAGTATATAAAAAATTACCATCTCGGTCATTGAGCTGACAATATAAAAGGCCACATCAATTATAGAACAAAGCAGAAATATCAGACGGTACTGCTTTAAAGGACCAGAAAAGGTATTTTTTGAACCGATTTTTTTATCGGCGTAATCAGGCAATTTCGTGGCGGGACCATCAAGGTATGCATGTGTTCTCGATTTTTAGAATGGAGAATAAACTTCTCCTGTGAATTTTAATTGGCCGGTTGGCCCAGAAAGATTGATATTCGTGCTGAATAAGATGTGCAATTTCAGGAATTCCATCGAAAATCGTCATATAAGTTCAAAAATTATGTTGTACTTCATGAAAAATTGGAAAATTACTGATATTGTTCGTCTTTCAGGTTCTATTTGATCTTCTAGGCTCAGAAAGATGGCAAAACTTTAGCATTTAATATTCATGTTCCGTTTTTAGTTCAATTATTTCCGTTTTATCCAGTTTTTTTTGAATTTTAGGTATCTCTTTCCATGGATGCTACTCTGAACATGGCGTCAAGTTCCTTGACGAATTCAAAAACAACTCACAGTTCTTAAGAAAAGGTTTATTGCTAACATTAGATTAAAATAGAGAAAATATATTTAGATTGAAATAGAGAAAAAGGGTGAAATACTATTCAACGTTCATGAAGCGATAATTTCCCATGTTGATGGCATTGTTGTAGTCTCCAAGGCCTGCAAAACGTAGTCTTTTCCCGACGTAACAGGAATCTGAAACAAAATGAACATTTACAAACAAATTATTGCCCAAAAGTTCAAGCTTATTACCCAAAAATCAAGTTTTAGCCCAAATTTTGATATTTTCCATGGCAAAAGTGCATAGTTCTGATAAAAACGGAGTATTAATAACATGCTTTGTTCTGTAAAACGTATATCAACTCCTGGACTACTTCATGCAGTGATTAACTAAAGCTAGAGCACTAATTTCACTGATAAAAATATATTATTCATGATACCGGTCTGTCTAAAAAATAAACACAAAAAAAAGTAAAATTCTCACCCGTCCACATGTGTCCCTCGACCATACCCATCCACGACTCCGGATTCTAACCGCTTCTAATCGTCCAATCCTTCTTGTTCGGAGAGATATCTAAAAAAGTAACTGAAGGACAAAAAAACAACTTACACGAACGGTTTTGATGTTTTTCATCGAGTTCCTGGAATAACCCAGCTCATTCAACATGTGAAGCAATGGTTTTGGGCCAATCGGCCATTTAGAATTCACAGGAGAAGTTTATTCTCCATTCTAAAAATCGAGAACACATGCATACCTTGATGGTCCCGCCACGAAATTGCCTGATTACGCCGATAAAAAATCGGTTCAAAAAATACCTTTTCTGGTCCTTTAATTCTCCTTTGGTCTTGTACAGCACCAGGGAAAAGAAAGGAAATCATATCACTCATCCTTAGAACCACCATTATTACTCTTCGAACATAATTCAGATAGATTTCCTCGTACGGAAGAAGTCTGCGCAGCTCTGAAGGCGTCAAGTCCCAGGCATACGGGTTGTTTGGGGAGGAACCGTAAGAATAAGTGTTGTTAAGGAAACTATCTACCATGATGCGCTTTTCCGGCTATCAGAGCTATGAGGAATATAACTAAGCGTTTATATATATCGTGTTACATAGTTTTGACTTAATTTCCGATAGTTATTTTGTAATTTGTTCTTGGTCTGGGCTTTGTATGATATTTTCAGTTAATATCCGTTCTTCATTATCGCACACCACGCAATGTGAATTTTTTCATAAATTGATGCGTGTGTGTTCCGTTTATTTTTTTCTGCATTGCTTAATGCATTAATTTGGATTGTAAAGTCTAAGATTTTCTATGCATTATCATGCAAAGTACATAAAAATTAACATTTTGAAAAAGCATGGGATAATGTTCTATAACGCTTGTATGTTAACAGCTTTCAATTTTCTGTGGTTGCCATCCTCTAAATCACATTTCCAAGTCTTCAACAACAGCCATGAAGAGCGCGTCCCGAGTTTTCGTGCCAATGACAGTTGAAAGGCAAAAAAGGAAAGGTTGGCCTGTGCAACATATCCCACAAGTTTAGCATAAATTCTTATTTGAAAAATAGTTCAATCCGGTTATTAAATCTTTTATATATCCTTATTCACTTGCAGGACGTTTATCATTTTTTTTATTAGACTAAACGCAGTTTTTCCATCAAACATCCGACGATCCCGGTGAAGTGTTGCTTGCATGAACACTCTGGTTTCGCGCTTTAAAGGCGCTGACAATCGCATGCCGATATGGTTTTATCACAATGATGCTGAGAATGGCGTTGCATATCGGCAGCAGCATCATTAGATCAAAAACAAGCGTGAGCAGAATTCCTCCGTCGAGATGGAACATTGAGATGAGGATGAGGAAAGTGTTCGGACCTGAGGACACAAACAACGGGATGACGCTCTGAAACCCTTGATTATTGCGTTTTGTTTCGAGTATAACTTACTTGGATGAGCAAGAAATATGTAACCTGCCTTTGCGTATTTCTGGCTTTCTTGTCTGTTGTCATTGTTTTAGCCTTAAACGCCTTTACAGTTATCAATCCAATGTATAAGACCATCACGTAGAACATTGTAATCAGAGAACTGGCTATTCCATAATAAAGTTTTAGGAAAGTGTGTCTCTAAAATTCGAAACGGTTTGAAACTTGACGGAACGCGAAACGACTTACAATGTCGCCGTAAAACACGGTAGGCAACGGTGTTTCGGGAAACCACAATACTCCGTAATTGAAACCCGGCCGCGCTTCTGCCGAGTAGCCATAGGCTACGTAGGCCATCGCTGCGATCGCAATTGCCAAGAGATACGATGAGGAGAAGAGCACCGCTAGCCGTAACTGTGACATCGGGCGGGTCGATGTTAGGGCATGATAACGGAAGTAAAACAATGATGGAAGAGTGGAAATTGCAAGGGAGAGAAGCATACAAAAACATGCAATGCCGATTAATTGCCACTCCCAATCAAACCTTGACAAAAGACCTTCAAGCTTCATCATGAAGACTCCATCTGTTGCTTTGCTCTTCTGTAATAGATTGCAAAAACGGGCCAGGCTTCGGAGATTTGAAAATGGCCGGCCCTACTCTTTACCAGGCCGGAGTTCTTTAAAAAATGACGTCAGACAACCGGACCAGAATTTGGAAATTTTGGGTTTTGCAGAGCCGGTTTTCAAACATTTTGAAAACGGGCCCTGCTCCTCGGGCCCTGAGGAACAACGAATCCTGTCCGGTTGCCATGATTACCAAAAACAATGCAGTGATCTCAAATTCGCTGTCAAGCCAACTTACGATTTGAGTGATTAAACTCAATGTGTAGAAACAAACATCAGTAACAGCACTGAGAAGAAAAATAGGTTGATAACGGGTCACACCTCCTTTGGTTTGGAATAAAACGAGGAAAAGGAAAAGGAACGAGGTCAAGCCAAATACATGTAAAATACACGAGATCACAGGGCGTACGCTGTCCAGGTAAAGTCTCTCATAATATTCAAGCGATTCAGGGTTGGTGCGATTAACCTCCCAAGCATAAGGATTATTGGCGGAAGGAGAGCATTGAGGCTCTTTGTTCATCTGGGGCTTTGATAATTTAGAAATCTGGTAGCTAGATTAATATATCATGTCGTTAGAATTCAGCGACCAAAAAATGAGTGTAAAACCCTGTTCTGGGATTTCAATGTTGTCAGCATTACGCAATAATTGTGGGGCAGTAGAATACTCGATTTCAGAGAGACTTGCAAGTCAATAACAAGGCCTGCGGTTTCGAAAACTTTCCATGTTAATTTAATTTTTATGGAATGTGTAATTAAATTACCAAAAAAATTTGCTTCCTTCTCAGTTTGTGCTACATTTTGCCGATCAACCTGAATTGTCTACGAGCCAAAAATTCAGACGTATAATAATTAATTTTGTTGCTTTATGAACTGCAGATGCAGCTTCGAATTGTGGAATTTTTCGAATGCGGAGTTGATCGAATAAACTGTTGTTTTCCGGCCGAGTAGTCTCAATACAGCCTCCCGATACGGCTTGATCACAAGGATGCTAAGCAGCGGATTACATACAGGTATCAGTCCAAGGAAGTCCATTATAATTGTCAAGAATATCCCTGGATCAAGGCGCATAAAACATATTACGAATAACAATGCATTCGGGCCTGATGATATGAACAGCGGAATTATTCCCTGGAATCGAAAAAGAATTGTCTGTGCATAGATACGCACATATCTTGCAGATACGACATCAAAACGACACTTCCAGGTGATGCTGCGCACAAACTTCGTAGCGTGCGGCAATCATAAAATTAAGATTACCTGGACCACCAAAAAGTAAGTCACTTGGTTTTGTGTGTTCTTCGACTTTTTGCAGATGCCGTATGTCTTGGAATTAAAAACTTTCACAGTCCGATGTCCAATCACAAGCACAACACAATAGAATATCGAGATCAGCGCGATAGCAGCGCCGAAGTACAGTTTGACGACCGGATGCCTCTGCAAACAAAATTTCCCTTCATGAACCACGACCCAGAATCACTTACAATATCAGCGTATATAACGGTAGGCAATGGTCTCTCCGGAAACCACAGTCTTCCATAGTTGAAAGTCGGGCGTATCGTGGCGGAATAGCCGTACGCAAAATATGCTAATATCCCAATGGGAATGCCGACCGAATACGAAATCGAAAAGAGGAACGTAATCCTAGTTTTGGACATGGCTTTGTCGGATGTTAGAATACAGTACCGGTAGTAGAATTGAGCGGGCAAAATGGAAATTGCCAAGGAAAGGAGAAAAATATATAAACCCATCGAAACAATCTGAGTGTGCCAGCTGGTCAGGCCCATCATACCTTCAAACTTCAGCATAAACACACCATCAACAGCTTTGGCTTTCTAAAACGAGACTTTTTTGGCAAAATTGATAAGCCACATTTTCAACAGCCGAGTACAGCCCCACTTACATACTCAACCATTGTGTTACCAATGTAAAACATGGCGTCGGTTACCGCGCAAAGCATAAACATTGGCTTGTACTGCATCATCTCCCCCTTTGTCTTGGCGATTACCAGGTATAGGAAGACAAATGACAACGCTCCACTGAGCCGAAGGAATAGAACAATAATCCTTCGAACATGATCTAGGTAGATTATTTCGTAAGGTCGGAGCTGGTGTAGTTCCGACGGCTTCAAATCCCAAGAGTAAGGATTGTCGGGATTTTTTGCATAATGAAGCGAAAGCATTACATCTACATGCAGCAATTAGACAGTGTTAGATGCATATAAGTCGTACTAATGCCGGTGCTACCGCATTTTTGCTTCGGAAATTAATGTGAAAAAATATTTACATAATTCTGAATTTGGTCTTTTTCGAGTGAAACAGTAGATTGCTGCCGTTTTATAGATGCGTTAGTATTGCTTTGTAATTTTCAATTGCCACGGAATGCACTATTGAATTAGCTGTCTGGATTTTATGTCTAAATGGTGTGTAATGACCGTATGAATTCCAATGGTCAATAGTCTTTCAATTTCTGATTTTTTCAGCTTTTGAATCCTTCGAATGCAAAAAGCAAAAATATTGTAAAAAACGCAAAATTTGTATTGTGAGCAGTAAGCCTTGTGGATACAATGTTTGTGCGTAATTATGTACATGTTATTACCGCCGAATTCCCGTCTATAATTATAATTCATCACTTGAGCCAAACGAGTTTCAAGTCTTCAAAACATTTTTTATGCGTAGGCTCAGAAATATTATTTCGAAACAGAAGTAACGGCGTAGGACACCTTGGGCTCAACAAACACCCCTTGAATTGTGCGACGATATGGTTTTATGACGAATATACTCAGCACTGGATTGCAGATTGGCAAGAGTCCCATTAGGTCCACAACAAACGTCGTCAAGATGCCCGGATCCAAACGCAGGAAACAACAGACGACCAGGAACACGTTGGGGCCGCTCGACACAAAGATTGGAATCACACTCTGAAATTGACGGCTAAACTTGATCGCTCCGCTCCGTGTGCAAGAAAAGCGCACAAATTTTTTTGAAAGTTTGGGTCTATCTTATTTATAAAAAAGGATTGCATTGTGTGAAAAAGTCAAGTCCAAAATACTGTCAGTGAATGTGTTTTAGGAAGTTTTGGATGCAATTTCCTCCAATTAAATTTCTCAAACTTTGTACTCGCACTACATTATCGAAAGAGCAACCTATTCATAGCCCACCTGCGTAATTAGGAACATGGTAAGTTGTTTTTGCATAGACTTTGCACGATTTGAATACACGCCGCTTTTGAAATGTATGAGAGTCTTGTATCCAATGTAAAGTAGCACCAAGTACGCGGCAGTGATTATCGAGCCGCCAACGCCGAAATACATCATCATAATAGGGCTTCTCTGAAAAAGTCGGAAGTTTTTTTTGGGTTTTCATCGGCGTTCTGCAAGGCCAAAAAAGTATTTTTCGAAAAGCTTCTCTATTCTTCATGCTTCCTGCTTTGTAGACTTACTGTATCAGCATAGAAAACCACAGGCAAAGGGACTTCAGGGAACCAAAGCTGTCCGTAATTAAACCCTGCTCTGCATGCACTGTAACCATAGGCAAAGAAAGCCAAGACACCGAATGGGATGGCTACCATATACGAAATCGAGAATAAAGCGACCGTTTTAACTTTTGGCAGAGCCTGCCCGCTGAAATTAAAAGGTTTCAGATCCAAGCGCGACCCTGTTTAAGGTCAGGAAAAGGTATGAAATTTGAGATAGCAAACTTACTACTTCAGGATATAATAGCGATAATAGTACTGTGACGGAAGCACAGTGATCGCCAAAAACAACGCGAATACGAAGCCGGCAACCGAAAACAACTGGACATTGCGGCTGTAATCCTGTGCGATCCCCTCAAGACGCACCATAAACACCCCATCTTTCAGTTTGGCCTTCTGAAAATTTGAGTGCATCCGAAACCTCGCCTTACAATTTGAACAAACGTGTTAACCATATAAAACGTAATGTCAGTGATTGAGCATATCAAGAAGATGGGCTTGTATCTGCGTAGATCTCCGGTAGTGCGGAAAATGACAAGGTAGAAGAACAGGAAAGATACCATTCCACTGAACACTGTGGCTTGAGAAGTAACTCTGCGGATTGTTTGAAGGTAGAATTCTTCGTATGGTTTGAGTTCATGACGTTCGTGCGGCCTTAAATCCCATGCATTCGGATTTTCTTCGGTGGGTTCGAAGGATAGCGGCATGACCGCCTAAAAATTGCATTAGACCACGGCGGGGACTTGAGAATTTTCGTGTAGCATTTATTAAAATTAATATCTGCTCTGTCAAAAATGAAGCTTCCGATTGCGTTCTGCAAACGGATTTACCGCACAGAAAGAATTAGGCGCCATGCAAGGCCATAAAGCTGTTTTATTTGAAGTAATTCTTATAGCCAACCTCCTCCAAAATTTCCCCCAAAAATAAGCATGCAAAACACAATACAAAAAGGCAAATAGATCTTACCGGAAAAGCCGTTGTGGTGCCTTGCAACATACTGTCCGTCATTACGGATGCGCTCCGTTGTTATATAGATAAAAGTGCGCGGTGAAAACGCTGAAATAGTACACTGTTTGACGTCGCTTTGTTTTTGGCCATCCTTTGAAAGCCCCTCCCTAACCAGCTAAACACTCGCTTAGGCTATAACTATCATTTTGAATTGAATGCCAAATAGTACTATGTACACTATGTACAGTAGAAGATGGAATTTCAGTGTGAGTGATAAAAGGGTAGTCTTATCGATGTGATTTTTATGAATTAATGCCAACGGGCGTTGACGTGCGCTGAAATAAATCTCAGAAGCGGAATGCTTTGATTTTCTCTAAATTATGCTACAAAACGATCATTAAACTGTAAGATCTCGCTCGAAACAGTTTATGATGAGAGAATATCTGAGAAAGGAAGAGTTGGCCAGTCAAAAAACGTTTTTGCGTTAAAGCTAGCGGAAAGCCCTTCACAGGAAGCATTTTTTATACATCTTTGCGTGCAAAATTTCATTTATTGAAGAACCGCGTGACTTCTCGGTAACAGTCTTCTCAGTTTGCCAAATCTACTAAAAATTTTTCAGCACGACTATGAACTGACGACTGATCCGGCCCGGCCCAGTCACCGGGCTGGCCCAGCCCGATTGCCATCGCTACTCTAGATCTCACCACATATTAGAGCTTTGCTTACGGCCGTTGATGATCAACTGATTTTAATTAGCCCCAAGGACGTTACCTAATATGTTGTTTTGATTTTTTCACTTCAGCAAAAAGTACAGTACAAGTTTATTTCAAAATGCATATAATGATGTGTTCCGTTTAATATAAAATTGACTTCACGAAACGTCTTGCCAAAATAAACACGAGGATCGCCGGATGTCACCGCGAAACTGATGTGACAGAAAACGCCGGGACTTTTTGTTTCTTAAACACTCCTCCGACAATCCGACGGTATGGCTTGATGACCAGAATGCTAAGGAACGGGTTGCAGACCGGCAGAAGCCCCATGAAATCGACAACGATCGTGGTGAGGATTCCAGCGTCAATGCGAAGAAAGGCCGTGATGACGAGGAAAACATTAGGTCCAGATGAAACAAATATGGGAATCACACTCTGGAATACATATACGTTATGCATACTCGTAAGGTCAAAGGTTTATTTACAATGCTATGATATTATTGGTTCGTCTGCAAAATAGCTGGAGTGATTTTGCGGTGATAATTATTTCGCGAAAAAAGACAGCGAAATAATTATTGACAACAAATGCATAGCCTACCTGTATGATCAAAAACCAGGTGAGCTGCTTTTGCATTGATTTGGCTTTGCGCGAATAAGCCTGCGCTTGCATGTTAAAGTGCTTCAACGTCCTGTACGCGATGTATAATAACACCATGTATGCAACAGTAATTACCGTGCCACCCCACCCAAAATATAGCATCATTACTGGATCACGCTAAAGCAATAAAATTAACAGTAAAAGAGCGCAAGCCGGAATGTCAAGTTATTGGGAAAAACGAGTAAAAACAGAATACCTACAAATTATCCGAAAGCCAAAGCACCTACTGTGTCGGCGTAGAATACCAAAGGTAACGGAGTGTCTGGATACCACAGTTGGCCATAGTTGAGTCCTTTTCGAGGGGCACCAAATCCGTAACTGTAATATGCTAAGATTGCCATTGGAACACCGACCATATAAGAAATGGAGAAGATAAACATAGTCTTCCATATCGGCAAGGGTTTACCGCTAAAAGCTATTTAGTTATTATAGATTGTTGTTTTTTAAATATATTATATTATATATACAATATCACGCCAATAAATACATAAAAAATTTGAGTTATTTGTCCTTCTACTCTACATGAGCAATGCTTTTGCTTTACTAAAAAACACAGAGTTTCCTAAGCCCCTAAACAAGTTCTGCCTACCGTGTTAACGTATAATAACGATAGTAGAATTGCGCCGGAAGAACAGTAATGGCCATTCCGAGCGTGGCCACAAAAACGCTCACTGCATAAAGTTGCACTTCACGGCTGTATCTTTGAGCGGGCCCTTCCAAACGAAGCATGAACACACCATCTTTCATTTTAGACTTCTGAAAGTAAATTTGAATGAAAAGAGATGACTAAGATTACTTTAGGTTATCAAAACGGTTTCTGCGTGTAATTTGAAAACTTACAATTTCAACGAACGTGTTAATGCCGTAGAAAAACAGGTCAGTCAACGAGCAGATCAAGAAGATTGGGCGATACTTTCGAAGTTCCCCTGCGGTTCTGAAGACGATCAGATAAAAGAAGAGGAACGAAATCAACCCGCCAAAGATTGTAAGCTGTTGTGTTAGTTTTCGCACGTACTCCATGTAAAATCTTTCGTAGGGCTTGAGCTCGGTCCTCTCCCAGGGCTGAAGGTCCCATGCATAGGGATTCTCGCCGGTTGGGGAGTAGTGGTTCGCCATAAGACGATGCCGACAATGAACGGGAGATGATAAAACGGAAGCAAAAAGGTGGACAGCGAAATTCACAGTCAAGATGGGTATCTTAAATAACAAGTCTTATTGAGCTATTTTAATGCCAGTGAAAAGCCTGTAGCACCGCAAAAAATCGACGAATTTTGAGTACTATTTTTAAGCGATAATGGTGGAGTAAAAAAAACATTTTTCTGGCATTTATGCTGTTCTAAGCACCAGAATCCTTTTACACATTATGTTTTTTGACGATATGCGAAGTTTAATTTAGCATTTTCAACTAAATCTTAAGCCGTTGTACTCCTTGAATGCATGTGTAAATATTCGATTTTTTAGAAGATAGACACAAAAGAGACCGCAATAATTATGCTTGTTTTTTTGAAACCCAAACAAAGTTTAGGACAATGTAAAGAACATTGGGCCGTAATGAGCACCTCTTGCAGATTTGTTCGTTTAAAAATTGAATTCCTGAATGTTTTGATGTTACAAAGAGATGAGAAGGGTAAAATAAGTTCAACAGATAACTACAAATCCCGGAAGAAGAGAAAATTGTAGTGGAGGTTATCCAGTACAATGCCGAGTACAAAAGCCAAGAAACTTTGCAAAAGCGTGACAGTCGTGCAAAGTTTTCTGAGACGTAACAAAGGGAATATTACTGTCTTTCTGCAGATTGTGTCACGCTAGCTCTATAAAGAAAAATTTTGCAGAAACACTGAAAAAAAAACTTTCTGCCGCTCTCCTAATTCTTCGTAATCTGTAGGCCAAAAAGATCGTAGAATATCTCTACAAAGCGAGGTTGCGATATTCAAGTATTAATAATATGTGATGTAGGCGCTGTAGTGTGCCATTATCATTTATTGCCAACAATTTACTATAGTCCTTATTGATCTATTTGTCTTTTCATTAACTACGTTGCGAAACCAAAAGGCTTTTTTCGCAACAGACCCCACACAAAGTCAGTATAAATACATATTACGATCTCCCTCGCATTACATTTTAAAACCCACCCCTCTTTTCAAGTTCCGAATTTGGCAAGCTATCGCCACTTGACTAACTACTGTAATCCCATACATCAGTGCTCCCTTGAACCTGCGTTCTCGTCAAAGGTTTGGATGTTAATTTATATAACGGCAGAAGTAGGGTGTTAAGCCCATCCCTGGAACGCAATTAATGCCGATTCCCCCACGTTTCTGAAAGATTATAATTGGTGGGTACAGGCCCAAAGCTTTTTTGAGTGTCATGTCGACGCTCCATAACCTGTTGTTGTCCTCGTAGTAACGGGAAAACACTTCATACCGAGGGTTTCGTGGACATGGTTTATTAACGGAAATATAAATTAGAATGTTGTTTTACAGCAAAGTGGATCTCTGGGCAAACTGCTAACCAAGTAATCTTCATTTCGTAAAGAACAATTGTACATACATATAAGGGTTTTTGATATAAATTATTTTGCAAATAGCAATTACCTGGAGCAGGAAGTCTGAGGCCGTTGAGTAACACCTCACATATAATATTACATTATGAGACAATGTATACACGGAAGCTTCAGAAAGATCATTTTGGAATTTCGACATTCTTAATATGCAGTGTCTAATATGGTACGCATGTAAGCCATGTGTAAATTAATAGTGTACTTCTCAATCGAGTAACTAGCCACGCCGAACAACATGTGTATGGTCTAGCTACCCGTTAATCATTGCAGAGCAATTAGAAGTCTGCAGAAGGCATTGACGCACTGTTTGCAGGATGATTTGGAATTCAACGTGTTCAACTGTCTTTTGGGAACGTCATTTTAGTGAAACATAGGGGTATTAGTATTTTCATAAAGTGCATGGACATTTTTGCTTTCGCACAGTGCATTTTCAGCTTTCTCACACGCTTCTCGCCAACGTACACTGGATTTCTTCCTTTTGCACAGTGCAAACCACAAAAAACAGCTGTTTGCACTGTGCAAATGTTTGAGCCGTTGGAAAAACGAGGGCCCGGACACAAAAATTGCTTTACTCCTTACAGTTTTCGAATACGGAGATCCAGAAATATACAGGTGTGAAGCTCAGGTCCCCGGAAAACAAATATCAAAAAACATTCTTAAAAAAAAGACTCAAAGCTTCGAAACAGCCTTGTGAAGGGTACTTTCTATTACAATCTTGGGGTACGAACCATAAAACCGCAAAATTATTTTCTATATAAGTGTTTTTGTAAACGCTAACTAACTCCACAAAAACATAGGCATAGAAATTGGTATTTCGAAGTCGGAAATGGCAAACGTGATGAATAACTTCGACCACCCCAAAGCTTCAATAAACTTGCATTGGAATTGACTGTAAGATTTGTAATTAGAGTCTTAAAACTTTAAAAAGCATTTTTTGTCTCCGTTAAAATTATTATCCAAAAAAAGGATTATGCATCACACAATTCGAAAATAAAAATTTTTATTCTAAGTTTCCGGCCGCATCCCAAAAGGTTTGAGGATTTCTGCCGTCGCTCGTAACAGTACAATTCCAAAACGACTAAATCTCGAGTCGGACGTTAAGCTTGACTGCCGGCCCACAGTAATATTGTTGATGCGAAATACAGGACGAATGGCGGTGTCTTCCTTCTCAAAAAGCTTTCGAATTGCTCTCCGGTACGGCTTGATCGCCCAAATACTAAGAATCGGATTGGCTATTGGCAACAGGGTTATCAAGTCAATAATGATTGCGCAGAGAATGCCAGGATCAATGCGCAGGGCCGACGTGATGAAGAGAAAAATGTTGGGCCCAGTGGAGACAAATAGTGGCATGATTGTCTGAAAAGGTTGGCATTACTACATGAAAAGCTACCAATTACAAAGATTGCTCAATGTTTTTTGACTACTGTAATTGTTGTTTTCAAACCCAGTGCGTATATGCATATAATAGAAAAAAATATATTACTGTATTTTGCGCATTTGTTAGACAAGTACACTATTAGTTGCGTAATATACTGTATTGACATATATACGAGAACATGATATTAAAATTCAAAGAATATTTGGAAACTTCCGTGTGTAATTTTTTGCGATGTTTGAACGATTATGGCTAGGATTTACGACTTACTACAGTTATAAAAAGGCAGTTCCAAAAGTTTTCAGTTTGGAAACATGCATCTCAGTAATAATTATTATTCCGCGAGCAGTGATCACGGGTGCAAGACGATGATAATAAATGATAAAAATTCTTATCAGTCTGTCGGAAAAATAATGAGTTCAATAGCAAGGACCTGGTTTGGCAAGCCGTTTTGTCATTAACTTTCCGCGGAATTTTGGATTTTGGAACGGATTTTTTCGAGTTTTGTTCGCTGAAGATCCGGCAATAGCGTGATCCATGCTTGACCCAAGAATGAAAACCCACTTGAATTTTGAGGAATCGCGTCAGCTGTCGTTGCATATTCTCTGATCTCCGAGAGACGGTGGCTCCCTTTTTGTGAAAATGCCGAACCGTTCTATAGCAAATGTAGGGTAGAAGAAGATACGAAGTTGTTGCAACCAAGCTACTCCACACAAAATAGAGAGACATTGTTGAAGAGCGCTGGAAAAAATACGTATATAGATTGCATAATTTTTTGTGCTTTAATTCTTCAAACGTACCGTGTCAGCATAAAAGACATCCTCGCCGTCCTCATCCGGATACCATAGTTCATTGTAATTGAAGCCGGGCCGAACTGCATTGCTCATGCCGTATGCCGGATGGGAGAGGATTCCAGTCAGCAAGGCTACTAGGAATCCAAATGCCGCCAGTAACAAGATTCGATGCGTGGGCAAGCGATACCCGCTGAAAATTTATTTTGTTCGAGATGTTTAAAAATTGCCATTCTCTAATGTGGAAAACGCTAACTACCGTGTAAGAGTGAAATGTCGAAAGTAGTATTGCACTGGGAGGGCTGTCATATGCCAAGTGAGGGCGACTACATACACCGAAAGCCAAATAAGTTGATCAGGTTTTGAGAAACTTCGCAGAGGGCCTTCCATTTGCAGCATAAACACTCCATCGGTTAGCTTTGCTCGCTGAATTTATATATTTTACTTTTTCAGTAAATTTTAGTAAATTACAAGCAATCTTTGATTGTTAAAAGCTGTATTTTGCTTACTTACCAGTTGTGTTCCAAGGCATAAAAGCCAGAATACAATATCCGTAACCGCGCTTATCAAGAACATCAATTTATACGTTTGTAAGGAATTGCTCGTCCGGAAAACTACCAGGTAGAGAAAAAGGCACGATACGCAGCCACTGTGCAAGGCAACAGACTTGAAGACTGTATACATCAACATGACAAAAGTCATTCTTCTATCTGTGCAGCAAGAGTCGTCGTATTCGGCTCTGAGCTCTAAATATACATTTCAGACATTTGCTAGTTTTATATGTTGAATATAGTGGGATAGTTAACGGTAATGGGACCTAGTAATGGCTCATTTACACTGTTAGGAAGTCTGGGTTTTATTCGCTGAACTTTTAGCCTTTTTAGGTGCTACCGGTTGGGACTATAAAGGGTTTTTATACGCTGGTTTAAAAGACGATTTCTGAGTCAGCGCATCAGCCGTCCGTTAGGCGTGGACATAGGAAAAAATCGAATTTGAGTTTTTTGCATCAAAATGACTGTTGGTAGGTGCTAAACAAAAGCGAACAATATTTTTTCCTAAAACTTTCAACAAGGTACCATTTTTTACTATTTACTGTTTTTGAAGTGATTGGCTACAACTGTCGTATCTTGCCTTGAAATGCAATAATTTTGCGGCCTACAACGTTTTCGACCCTTGCGAAGACGCTGGAAGAATTATTTTTGATCTCTTCCTACTGTAACATACCGTAATACCGTATCGGCCGCTAAAAAACGGCCGTAAAATCTTTGTTTCTGAAAACCCACAGCTGATTTTTTGATATGTTAATCAGCGTAAAATTCTGCTCTAGACGCAATCAAAAAAAGTTCAAAAAAGTGAATGACAAATTTCGTGGTATAGTGGTTAGTGGTCGGGACTACCAATCCAGCCTCCCAGGTTCGATTCCGGGTGGGTTCAAATCTCGAAAAAATACTGGAAATCGACTTTAATGGAACATTCAAAGCTATTTGATTGATACTAAGTGATTTTGGACAATAACGGCAGCTGTATGGGAGCCTAAAATGAATTTTTTAAAATTTTTGAGCCTTAATACGTGAAAAATAAAACGGCTTCAAACCGGTTGAAATTGATAGCACTTACTCTAGGGCTAATTATAAGACACTTTCCCGTTAACTTTTTTTGCTAGATTACTGTATCATGGATTACTGTAACGTGAAACATGATTCCGTTTTTTGTATACCACATAGCGGAGAGAGCTCGTACCCCCACCATTACGCTCAAAATGATTAAGAAAAGCTAGGCTTGCGTAGAAATACTTTTTATATGGCGGTACGACTTGAAACACCCGAGTAATCTCACGCAGTTTCACCAGTTGTTGATAACGTCAAAACACATTGTAGACGGGGGTAAATTTTAATTTGTACATCAAGAGCGGATCTTTGTTTTCTTACTAAAATATCTGACTAAAAAAATAAAAAAATTTGTGCGAGAATTCTGAAGTAAACCGTGGTTTAGGAGAGTAAGTTTTATGTTACAGTAATCCACCATACAGTAAGATCCGAAAAAAAGTTAACGGGAAAGTGTCTTCTAATTAACCCTAGAGTAAGTGCTATTAATTTCAACCGGTTTGAAGCCGTTTTATTTTTCACGTATTAAGCCTAAAAAATTTTAAAAAATCCGTTTTAGGCTCCCATACAGGTGCCGTTATTGTCCAAAATCACTTAGTATCAAGCAAATAGCTTTGAATGTTCCATTAAAGTCGATTTCCAGTATTTTTTCGAGATTTGCACCCACCCGGAATCGAACCTGGGAGGCTGGATTGGTAGTCCCGACCACTAACCACTATACCACGAAATTTGTCATTCACTTTTTTGAACTTTTTTTGATTGCGTCTAGAGCAGAATTTTACGCTGATTAACATATCAAAAAATCAGCTGTGGGTTTTCAGAAACAAAGATTTTACGGCCGTTTTTTAGCGGCCGATACGGTATTACGGTACGTTACAGTAGGAAAATCGGAAAAAATAATGATTCCATCGTCTTCGCAAGGGTAAAAAACTTGAGTAACCATCAAATTATCGCACAGTAAGGTAAGATACGACAGCTGGAGGCGATTACTTCTAAAGCAGTAAATTGTAAAAAAATATACCTTGATGAAGGTTTTGGGAAAAAATATTGTTCGCTTTTGCTTAACACCTTCTAACTGTCATTTTAATGCAAAAAAACTCAAAATCGATTTTTTCCTATGTCCACGGCTGACGCACTGACTCAGAAATCGTCTTTTAAAAAAGAGTAGTAAAATCGGATTACACAGATGCTCTCAATCTGTCGGAAAAATAATGAGCACAACGTTGCTGCACCGATCCAGTCGCTGAAGTAAAGCAGAGTAACCAGATCCACAATGGTAATTGCGCTTAAGAGCACTCCAAAAACGGCAAACCAAAACGCGGAAATTAGAAAATTAGCGTGCATACCTAAGACCACACAATAGGACGGTGCTTTTTAAGAATTTTAATTTTAAAAATTAAAATTTTTTAAAAATACCTAGAGTGCTGCAAGCACATCACTTATTGTCGCGTTTCTTTATATTCAACACAAAAAATGGTTTATAAATTAAAATAAGGCAAAAATTAATTCCAATTTGATATGATAAACACAATGGCAGGATTCTTAAATCTTTTGGTTATGATATCATTCAGTTGCCATTAGCATTGTAGATCGTTGACGTTATCCGGGCAAGCGCACGCGGCACCGCGTTGAGTTGGCAGACAGATGTGACAATTCTCTTTATTCTGCTGGTTCGTACATTCGTTGGCTTCTGAAATATCACGTAATTCAAGGAACACAATGTTTTATGACATTTAAGAGGATACATTATCAGTCTGTCGGGAAAATAACGGCGGATCGTCGCAGCAAAATGTCTCGCCTCGCCGCTATCGCGCACCAAATCCCAAGTCGCTGCTTGCAGTCGCAAAGCGATAATGGGCGATTCCGAGGCGCGACGATCCGCCGTTATTTTCCCGACAGACTGATATAAAAATGTCACTTACTGCCTTGGCAATGCTGATCCAAGCTATGAATGCCATACAGTTTCCCTTTTCCTGCTGCACTTGGGACAAAGCTCTTGTGGTTTGTTCCATAGACACTTACAGAGTGGATTTGATGACTAAAATTTTAGCGAATTTTAAATTGTTAAGAAGTCTAAATAAAAGTTTGTGGAAATAAAATTGAGAAAAAGTCTCAGCAGTTCTCCGAAATGGCCTAACTCACTCTTTCCAATCCGTCCAATAGAAAGTCTCTTCGTTATCATGAGTCAGGCCGAACGGATATTCCAACGGCGCGAATACAACTCTTCTTTGCTGGCCCTCAAGGTTTGTGCAGGCCAAGACTTGTTTCCCAGCATCAACCCAACACAGCTCCCGTCTTCTCTGCAAGACAACCAATCCGTTGGGGAGTCCGATGTCGTCGCGGATGAAGTCCGCTTTATGCCCAGTTCCATCCAAATTTAGACGTCCGATGTGAGGTCGCTGACGATACCAATCGGAATAAAACAGATGCCGCCTTTCCAGGTCGATGGCTAAGGCTCTGGGATTGACTAGACCCTCCGTTAACAAGGTCTTTCGATATTTCCCATCGATTGTAATCACTCCAATCTCATCCTTCATCGAGTCAGCGTAATAAATATTGCGAGCCGTCCAATCAATGGCAATGCCCTCGGGGGATTTTAGATCTGACTGAAACAGAATTGATGTCAATTCGTGTCAAGGAACAAAAATCAATTAAAAATTTTGACATTTTGCTCCTTCTAAAACTTCACGTTTGACTATATCTCACCTTAAACACAGTCTGAATATCCGTTCCATTGACCCACGCCGACTTGATGGTCGCTCCGCCAATGTCGGACCAATAAATTCGTTGGGAAACACAGTCATATCCGATATCAACAACAACTTGATGCGGTACCACAACCAGTTGTCGGCCCACAACATCCTCCCTCGTCGGCCGCTGAATAATCGACATGCCTCGGGCAATGAGGAGAGAGCCTGGTTGGTCCTCGGGAGTGGCTAAAAGTAAGTATATCTTATATTTTTATCTGTTTGAGAAGAGAAGATTGATCAAGTAGCAATAAGAAATTTGTTTAAAATGGCGCTATTAGATACGAAAATTTTCCACAACAAGCGCATTGAAAATCCGTTGAATTTAAATTTATTGGCGAGCCATTATAAAGAAAGTTCAAAGGTCCACTTACGATTGCAAACATATCCATTGCCATGGAACCCGTAGTTGCAACTGCAAACGTACTGATTCCTTGAATCCGGGAGGCATTGTGCATTCGCATTACAAAGTCCTCTGTCTTCAACACAAGATCTCGCCTTGCTACAGCGTTTCCCATCACCAACATAGCCGGCGTGACATACACAGTTGTAATTGACGCCGTCTGGATGTCTGTGACAGTACGCTTGCGGACTGCAAGCCTCGCATTGTCCAGGCGATGGGGCAGCTGGAACCGGCTCCACATCCACTGGAGTGTCGATGATTGGTGTGTGTTCCGGCACACAATGTTCACCATGCTTTACATAGCCTGAAAATCAAAACAAAAACATCTTGTGCTGGATGTAAGAGTCAATTTTTAGAATTTATGTAGATTTCCCATACCCGCTGCACTTCATAAAAACCAATTTCAGTTCCCAAATTCCATACCTTTATTACATTCGCATAAATAAGCATGCGCTTCATTGTTATGGACCAATCTGCACTGAGCATTGCTATTACAGGCGAATGCATTCGTCGGATCACATTCGTTGTCCACCTGAACACACGACTGAAAGCCGTCTCCTCTGTAACCATCAGCGCAAGCGCAATAGAATATGGGGTCGTCGTCACTGGTCAGCATACATCGGCCAAAACGATGACACTCAGACTGGTCTTTGCATGCGTGTTTCGGGACCACCTGTGGCTCGTGAGGCTGCTGAGGGCCGCCATAATGAACCGCTTCTCCTGAAATTGAATTTTCAGCCATTTCAGATTGTACGCTGCTTATCAAAATTTGGCCATACAGGCACGTTTTTTAGGCTGATTACATAGAAGAACTGCTACCTTCGCCATGAAGCCTTTTGTATTCCTTTTCCTCTACGCAATCAAACCCATTCCCCTCGTATCCCTGAAGACATTGACATCTAGCCGCTGGCTCTCTTTGCCCGGTAGCCACGCACAGTGCATGTCGATGACAGCCCAGTCGTGTCTCACAAGTCTCTGGAGCTGGCCGGCTTTCGTCCAAGATACAATCAGTGCCATCGCCGTAATACGGAGGTTTGCATTCGCACCGATAGTACCCGAGATGAGCGCTGTACGCGCATTGGGCGTTCTCGGAGCATTCCTGATCGGTTCGACATACCGTACCCGCGGTGGCAGAGCCTCGGGGATCCGGAACTCTGACCGGTTGATGCGGAAGGGGAACGCAGCTGACCCCGTTGCCGTGATATCCCGATTTGCAGACACAAAGATCCTGAAATTTGACAGTAAAATATATGCAGATATTATAATAGTTATGTACTATTTTACAGTAGTTAAAACCCTCACCTGTCCACCTTCATTCTGGCGGCATTCCGCGTGCTCATGACAAACATGTACGCCGCAACGCCCTTCTTGATGTGCATTCGGGTCGGGAGGGCCGCAATGACTGACTCCGTCGCCAACATACCATCCCCGACATTTGCAGTAACCCGGCTCGCCACTTTGCGAGAACACACATTCGCCCCATTGATGGCATTGCTTATGATCCGTACAGGCGGTGCTGCCCGCTGGAGCTGCTGGTCCGGGATCCCCTTCAGCTAAGACGGCGTTAAATATAATGAAAAGTGAGTCGCTTACGTCGGCAAGAACGGCCATCTCCAACGAATCCCTCTCGGCAAGTGCAAGTGTAGGATCCAACCGAGTTCTCGCAGACGGCATTTCGATCACAGATCCCTGGCTGCGCACATTCATTGCGATCAATGCATCGGAACTGGGCTTGCACTGTGCTGTCTCGTTCGATTTGATAGCCATCTTCACAAACACAACGGTAGGTGGATTCTTCTGGAACGCATTTCATATTCTGCTCCGTACAGACGTGAGTTCCAGAGCAGGGATTCTACAAAAGTGAGTGAAGGTCAAAGCTAATCAAATCATAGTACAAGTGCAGGTCATTACACCCATATATGTCTCAAAAACATTTAGGAAGATCCATGTTCATTTTGGTTAATGCATAAGTACCATGCTCCACAGTAAAATAAATTTTTACTCACCCTTCTTCGACTATTCGCATTTGCCGAGTCTTCCTCATTATACACCACACTTTGTGACCCAAATCTCAACGTCTCGTCCTTCGGCTCATAAACTCCACTAATCCGATCCGTATGCACCATGTAGACAGCCTCTCCACTTTGTGCATACGGGCAATCATCGTACCGGATTTGCTGGTCAACAGTAATCCTGTATTGACTTTCCACTCCGTCCGAGGTGACGGCAACATGTCTGTCGGCGTACGATCGCAGTCGGCCCGGCTCGGACTTGGTGAATTTGGCGTCAAACTCGCTGAACTCGATGGTGGAGCCATATGGAAGGTCGGGGATTGTGCCACTGATCGAGACCTCCACTTCAAGGTCATCGCTGTTGGGTTTTGGGCGGAATTGTTGGCGGATCACCAAATGGCTCTTGTCGCCAATTGAAATTGTGCTGCTTTGATTGAAGCGACCTCCTAAAAGTTGAAGATGAAAAGGCAGTATGAGTTGAAGATGAAAGGCCGATCTTTTGTCCGGCTTTTGTACATACAACCCATTTCCAGTTAGCTATTAAAAACGGCTAAAACTTGCCAGTTAGTTGAATCCCATTTTTGGCGTTATGGCTTTCGACCTTGGCGAACAGCCAATCGTTCACATTAGCGATTTCATCCAAAAATTGCAGACTGACACCAACAGTCGACGAAATCTTTGGAATAGTGGTATGTTGTTGACCGGCTTCTGGCGTAATATACACATAGAATTCAGTGCGTTCAACGGGAATCCCATTGACAGCGCCTTCCAAGAAACCGTTCACTCGGACCGCGGTTGCTGCAAAAATTTATTCAATCGTTTGACCATTGACATATTTGTGTGAGATAAATACTTTAGCTTAGTAATCTTACATTTTGCGTAGCACTTCTTTCCATTGCCCAGATATCCATCAGCACATTGGCAACAAAATCCAGGACCATTTGCTTCGCATCGAGCGCTGGGATGGCATTTTTCGTCCTCGGATGATGGCGTCTGAGAGCAGGTAAGACCGGCCGATCCCCCAACATTTGCTGGGGCTGGATTCGGATTTCCTGGCTGATATCCTGCAAAATATTGCGCATAACGCCGAATTTTGCTGATATTTTCACAATGTGAAAGATCATGGGAGATACGGAACACAAAATTTACCATTTGGAGAATAACGAGGACCGGATGGATCAGCACAAACACACAAACGACAGCCACGACTATCAACGGGACGCGAACAATGGTCGGGACAATTTTCTCCATACGGATCGGGAGGACAGTCTAAAATACGGTCAAAAATGGGCAAAGGCAGTGAAAGAAAATATTATACATTTAGAAATTCTTTATGGGTGTAAGGAGCCCGCAAAAGCTGCAGGCGCTTTCCGCTTTCAGCGTATGCAATACAAAACGCTACCTTTTGGCTGTTCAACCTCCTCGTCCTCATCGCTCAGCTCGTCGTACTCTTTCTCCATCTCTTTGTAATCGTATTCGTCTTCCATTGGCTTTTGCCCCAATTCTGGCCTTCCCACGGTGTAGTAGACATACAGTCCTTTCTCTCCCGCATAAGCCATCCTAAATCATGCCAAAGAGTAAAGTCAAAAAACATGATGACTTTAAACATGAAGAATTTTGGTAATACGCGTTAATAACTCACTTATCCAAGTCTCGAGCGGACTCACTTCCCGAGTTGAATCCAAATACCGGGTCCTCTCCACGACCCCAGAACCCAATCTGGACGAATTTGGTTCCGGAAAAGGCGTAGTCCAACTTTGAATAAGTGAAAATGGCATAAGATGTAACTCCATCGGTCGCTAAGCCAAGCTGAAAAAAAATTCAAAATAAGATTTTTTTTTGTTTTTTTAACAAATACAGAAATATCATAGACAGTAAACAAACCTGGAAAGTGTTCATCCCTTTGACTCCGACTCCTTCCACGTCCTCCCACGTAACAAGAACAAGTTCCGTGGCGTGAAAATCTTTGATGTCAAAGGCCATCTTCAATTTTCGGGTTATATTCCGATCCAATGCCGAGTTTGCGTAGTCAATTCGGAAGTATATGTGGCCTGACTTGGCTTCCGCGTAGAACGGAGCAATCACATTTTTATTGTCGAGTTCCTCCAAGCCTGAAATTGAGAATTACTTTACAATCCGAGTCGGTTCCTATTCCCATCAAAACTCTAATATTACTGTACCGGGAATCTTCACAAATATCCAAACCTAAGCCTAAACAACAGGACTTACCGCTCAACGGTGTTTCAAAGCTGACCGCGCCATGCGGAGAAATGTAGAATTCTTGGTATCGCTCGCGAAACAAAACAAATGGATATCTGAGGACGGTGGCAACGGGTTCGTCCGAAAACGGGATAAATTGATCCCCATAGCCCTCGCCGTACGGGATGAGATCAGCATTTACGGCGATCAGCGCTGTTAGGAAGATCCATATAATTTTTGTTACCATGACGTCATTTGCGGGGGTCGGCTGAAGTTAGCGGATATGTCTAGTAGAGATGATATTAGTCGTCTTTCCTGATCTCGCTATCGGATTCAGAACTCAACAGACCCTGAAAATGTCAGGTGTTTCAATTGGAAATTAAAATGAAAATTCCAGAATCCCGGTTTCTTGCCGCCACATCAAAACAAACTTTACAACGGTCAGATAAGAATAACACCTCTAAAAACCCCTGCTAGCCCAAAAAAGGGTGAATAATACACGGCTAGACTTGATAAAAGATAAAAAAGATACCAACAACGTTGTGTAATAAAAGGCCAGACTAAAACGATCAAATCTCCGAAAAAATTTAGGAAATGGTTGCCAGATGTTGCGTTACGGAACTCGTTCTCATTCAAAACGCAAATTTTCAACGGTGAATTTTTACGGAACTACGACTTTCAACATCTGGCCAAATTTTGGAAGTCCAAGTTTAGGAAATTATAAGATTCAAAAAAATTCTGGATCCGTGAAAAGAGGAAGCAGTGGAGTTACCCCGAAATTTCTCAAATCTTGCAGTAGCGGAATTTTCGTAAATATCTAATAAGTAAATTTCAGCTTTTTTGCAGGGGAGTCTAAATAGATCGAGAGAGTGCGCAAAACGCAGAGATTGTGTAGAGAAAAACAACTCGGCCCAAACTGTACCAATTCCGACCAAATTTAGTATGTAATCTACTCACAGGCTAGTAACAAAAAATAACATAGCAGGACATACCCTTGACTAAATTTTGTTTGGTCGTAACAACGTTTTTTTTTAGAAAACGCAAAAGCTGCGAACAAAATAAAATATAAAAGCTTAGCCAAATTTCGACCAAAACATCTTGGTTTTTTTCTGCAAAGTATAGCAATCTCGGATAAATCTGTAAAAAAAATCTAAACGTCAAGCTTTATTATGATCTGCGCAAAAAAACTCTTGGCGCTTTTCCTACAATTTAAGCACGCCTATAACGAACATTATCCATTTTCTAAACGTTTTGCATTAGTCTATACATCCAATTTCTCTAATTATCGTAGCAGCCTCCTGCTCTAATGACCTGACTAATTTATTCCAATTGTTCCCCAAGCTTTTTTTGTTCAAGTTGTACGAAAAAGGCATCAAAAAAATCCCCCGAAAATGACCGTCTTGAAGAATGCCCCCTTCGAAAGACAATCCGAAGGCGATTTTTCCCACCTTTCCGAGAAGACATTTACGTGGATCCGGCTTCTAACGGTTTTATGGGGACAAACAAAAAAGCGAAAAGACTTGAGATCCTTGACGCAAAAGGTTACCGGAGACGGATCGGAGGTCGAATATTTGAATTTCGAATACTATCAGCATGTCGGAAAAATATCGTGAGCGCTCTGTCGCATCGCAAATCGCAACGTCGCCGCCAAAATGAATCGTGTTGCAACAAAATCAAATTGCTTTTTCATTCCAGCGACGCGATTCCCGCGGTGACATTGTGTTCATTATTTTCCCGACAGACTGATAATTTTCACGGAAAATTTGCTAAAATCCCACACAATTTAAACCAGTAAATTAAACCAAATCTACTCGCTGTTCAAAAGAACTTCCGTGGAATCGGGCGTCTAGCCCATCTTCTTTCTGATCAGTGGTCACCATCTTACTAAATGCAAGGGTTAATTTGCATACCGCTGAGTCAGCGGACCATGAAGGCCTGGGTTAATTGTTTGCTTACAAAAGATTTTTTTGGCATTTTTCAAAACAAATGGAGTTAAAAAAGCAACAAAAAAATAAAAAAGAACAAAATACGCATATAAATATGTCAGAATATATATAATTTTGCCTTTAAATACTTGGATATATACAGAGTTTTCAGCCTCTTTGTCAACCCCATATCTCGCCCAATAAAGCATGCCGCGGTCGAATAGGAATGAAACCTGGCTAGCACCTAATTCCCTTTGCCATCCCTCCAAAAACAATGGGATTGTGCGGGCTTTATTGGCGCTATAAATCATTAAGAGTGGGCGTCGGTTTTTGTGCGGCGCAAAAATATGCTAATTCCATGGAAAACGGCGATCGCATTCGATTTCAAAACACATGGAGAGTTTTAGGGTTGCAGCCCGATAAGGAGGGAGGGAAGAAAATGAATCGCGGGTTGAATCTTTTGGCACGGCTTTATGAAGTTGAAAATTGGCATTTGAAACTGTAATTTTAGGGCCATATATATGTGGGCCAACTTACAGGGGAAGTACTCAAAGTGGGACGCTCAAATTTTGATGAAGCTTGGCTCAAATTTAACTTAATTTTTTCTGACGATAAGAAATATACAGAAACGATAGTGATTTTTTAATCGAAAGTTGGTAAAAATCTTGACATCTTTTTGCAGATTTTTTGCAATAATAGTTTCATGTCTACTTCTACCGTAGCGAGTAATCTTCCCACAAAAAAAAACAATTTTTTTTCGTAAATGCCAAAAATATGGCATAAAAGCCGATTTTTCTCTGACTGATCTCTTCGATTCGCCTGCTCTCTCGGCGGAAAGATCATAGAATATCCCGGCTTCGCCTGCAAAGCGCGGGCTAAAACTTGAAGGAATTAATATATGGCCTATGCCTGACGTGCGAAACTTAAATAAAGTTTTAGCACCTCATTGGAAGCCTTTCCTTGTTAATCGAACCACCAAACTTTACTCATCCCGAAAAAGATCTCGGAAATTCCCGATTCTAACACAATTGCCAGTCTGGGTTTTCGCTTTTCAATCCCGGTCTAATTTCCCTTCCAAAACAGGCGGAAGTATTTGAATATTGTCGCGCGAACCGGCTCTAATTCGCCGTACAAAAGCGCGCCAATCAAATCGATTTGTCGGGATTAAAACGGAAATCTTTTGCGGGGAAAATTAGCAACTCCAACCGGTGATTCAAACACAGAAATGAAGATGAATCAAGTGGACATACACCAACACAGCAAGACCCCTAAAACATGTTGATAAGACGGGGGTTTGGCAAGCAAAATAAGCCTTGTTCTGGCGCTTCGTTGACCCTCTGATAAGAGGACTGTTGGACGTTCGCAGAAGAGCGGAGATTGTTTTGGTACGGAGAAGGTAAACAAGGTTGTTTTCAGTTTTACAAGACAAGAATTTTGGCAACACATTTAAGGGGAAAATCTTGAGATGTGATAAGGAAAACTTGATGCGAATCTAGAGTGCAATTGGTTAAGACATGTGCGAGATATTCAGCTAGAAATATCTACATACAGTGAGGGACCTGATCCAATGGCAAAAAACGGCTAATTTTGGATCCCGGAAGGGACCAAAATGACTCCAAACCCTTCCCTTCTCTAAGCTAAAAAACTCCGCTTTGAAAAGCGCGCCCTTTCCTTCAAGGCGGGCTCTTCAAAGTGGGGTTTTTTAACTTAGAGAAGGGAAGGGTTTGGAGACATTTTGATCCCTTCCGGGATGCAAAATGAGACGTTTTTTGCCATTGGATCCGGTCCCTCACTGTAGAAGCAGTGAGATAGTAACAGGTGTTCAGCTTAATTTTCTTGGCAGAAGTTTCTTGAACCGAATTTTTCTGATCCTTAACGGTAAGGTAGTCCAATTGCGACACTCAGATTCCGATGAAATTTGGTCTAAATTTAGCAGAATTTTTTCTAAGACATGTGCGAGAATGACCGAGATTTTGATGAAATAAAAACGATAATAATTAACTTGTTTATTACGGATACATCAAACAAAATTTAAGCTCTTCGCAGTGGTCTACAAGCAGATTACAATGTACATTACCTATAATTATTGCGTTCGGAGTAGGGGTTGGAATAGAATTCTTGAAATTCGAGGGTAAGAGAAGAGAAAATGGCACTCGGGTTTGTCGTTGCATAGAAGTTTGTTTTGGTCTGTTATACGAAAATTTTAGGCTTAAGTAGTTTGAATATACAATAGTGAAGGTTCTGTTTTTAATTTCAATTGTTGTTTGCAGCGTCCTCTTTGGCACGGAAAACGCCGAGGCTTTTGGCGGTCTCGATTACCTGAAAAACATTAATAAATAGTTTTCATTACACTTAATTTTGACGGTTAAATCGAAACACAACTCAGCATACCTGTTGAATCATACTTTCCGTCTCGGTTTGCATCTTGACAGCCAGCGTGTACTGCGCTTTCAGCAGTCTCACATTCCAGGCGAAATTTTCGCTGGCCCGTTGAGCTTTCTGCCCGCGAAGGCCCGCTTCTTCACACAGCTGACTCAGCTCCATGTAGCAATCCGAAATTTTGAGGGTAACCTCGCTGAGTTTGCGGACCTTTTCGCCCATCTCCATTTGAACTCTTTCGCAGCGTTCGAGAAGAGTTTCCAACGAATTGAAGGTGCGCTGCATTGCCTCCGGGATCTCAACGTCCACTTTGACAACCGGGTTGCCGTTTGAGTTGAGCGTGACGTAGAGGATGCTGCTTTCGGACGACTTTAGCGGGTTTGTTGGGGCTGAAATGGAATTATTAGGTCGTCCAAAAAGTTCGCTCGTTTTTTTATTGCTTTGTTTTAGAAAGATTGTTTGTTCTTTGGTAAAGGGGATGTATTATATTAATAAATATTTAAATATTATTAATGTTTTCATAAAGTTCATGGATATCTGTCGCGGCATCGTGCACAAGAAGCCCTCATTTTATAAGAACTTACAATCCGACGCAGCCCCCACAATTCTCGCATGTAGCAGCCTCAATCCTTGTCGCATGGATCCAGTTGGTCCAATTCCGCATTGCTCTTGGAACTCGGTGAGTGCGGACTCCAATTTGTTCCTCATCTCGATGGATTCGATCAGCGGATCCGACACCGACTTGAAGAGATCGTCAGCCGTCTTAATGCCAACCAATTTCATGCCAGTCTGAACTCGCTGGGTCTTCCGTTTCACGGACATTCCGCGTTTCTTCGGCTTTCCGCCGCCTCTGCGATTTGTAATCGCTATGTGGACAAATAAAGTGCTATTCTCCAAGGGCTCGCCTTCATTGTTCAGAAGGGGAATGTGCCGGTAACCTGCAAAGCGATCAGTGAGTTGTAAACTCAAACCCGTCAACATGGACTACCGCAAATTTCCGAAGCCAATTACTCTTACCGCTTTGCAGACACTCAAATGGAATTGTATACTGCCCAATGAAGTCATCTCCAATGTAATCATCATCAAGGACCAAGAATCGGACCAGTGCAATCTCCGGAATGCACACTTCAAATTGGAAGCTCTCATCGAAATTGGGGTTGAAACTGTCGTTGCGAATCGTCTTTGTGCGTTCTTCAGCACAGTCCGCCGGGATTCCAAATATCTCCACGACCACAAAGGCATCCGTTGAGTCGCCTTTGGCTGTGGAGCCCCGAGGCCGGGGGAGTTGCTGACCCGAGATGATTCGAAGATGTAGCACCTAGAATATGATTACAGACTTAAATAAAAACAACGGAAATAGATAAAGAGTTCAGACGGCAAAAGCCCCTGTAAGAAGGACACCTATATACCTGCGGAGCAAATGGCATTTTATCGACAGGCGAGAAGACTTCATCCTGCATTATTGGAGGCTTCAACACATATCCGCACCCTCCATTTGCCGCAAACTTCCCTTCTTGTAAATCCATCATCAATCCAGGCGTCTGATAGTTCAATGCGCACAAATTTACACCGAAATTCCAAAACTCTTGAGGATTCATGTTGGACGAATCGAGTCGTGTGATATTGGGGGTTATCCGAAGTAAAAAGTTTCGAGTAATCTGCCCAAACATTGAGGCGTTATTCTGGATCAGTCGCAGGCATGAGCTCTCGCAAATTGATAGTAAATCTTTATGACTCGTCACTGAAATTATTATAGTAGCTTTAGTCATCCAATTCTATCAAAATGTAGCTTTTGTACTGACTCAAAACTTACAATTTCCGAGATCGGAGAAAGTCACCGTATCTTGAATGTATTTCAGCTGGCCAAAAGGAGGTATCAGTTCGAGAAGTTTAATTGCAAGCCGTTGTCTTGTTGTGTTGCTGCTGACTTCAACAAAATGGTCTTCTTCGTCTTCGTTGGGGATCTCAGCGGGCGGAAGTGGACCGGACTTGCTTTTGTAGCCGTTGGAGATCAGAATTATCTGAAGCGAAAGGTGTATTGATATATCTTTATATCTGACTACCGTACTCTAACCTCTTACCTTGTTCAAGAAGTGAGCCGGAGTTGGCACATTGGTCGGGTCCGTCCAATCGGTCTTGTCATATTTCGGCTGATATAAAACATCTTCCAAGATGTTCTTCAGCATCTCAGCGAACACGATTTGCCATTCGTTGCTCAAGTGGACATCTAGGCGGATAAATAGGGGGTATTTCGTCTTTTCAAACGCTAGCTTTCGAATCGTCTCCAAGGCTGCGGAAGCTCTTATATGCGTTGGGGTGGTCGAAGTTCGACAAATCAAAGGCTCCGGATTCTCTTGATCCAACGGGTCCCAGAGATTCACTGAAGGGAAAAAACAGGATTATAGGATCGATCACAGGCCTCTCACATCTCAAGCCTGGTTTGAAACTTTTAACTCACTCTCAATAAATCGGCAATTCCTCTTCAACGCCGTTATATAGCCATCAATAGAGCAAGGGCCTTGGGTTTGATCCTCAACCAAGTATGTGTTATAAGAAGCCGCGATAAAGTACTCATTCAACGGTCGAGACATGTCATGGCACACTTGGAAGTGTTGCGGATCAAAAACCAGACCGGCACGAGACAATAGGTAGTTGGTGAAACCATCAACTGTCATGCAGTTGTTCTCGCGGGCTTCGGGAGAGGGTTCGTGCTGTTGGATGAGATTCTCGCAGAACTTACGGTCGATAAATATCATCTAAAAAAAATTTTATTTCCCCAAAAGCGTGGTAAAATGATGCCAAAAGATTCAACTTTAAAAAAATCGCAACTTACTCCTTGCTCTGTTTCCAAAAACACTTGAAGATCGTCGCAACTGAGGTAGTCTTTGTTCGCATACCGGACCATTAGGAAATAGATCTCGGGCCGAGTGCTAATGTCCTTGTAGATTTCGATAAACTGCTCTTTCTCAATATGCCCTCGAGCAGCGGTGTCGTTTTCGGCCGAAGCAATCGCAGAAGATTCCTAAATTATGTGAGTTGAAAATTGTTCAGGACATTTCAGTCTTAAAAACTGTTGAAATGTAGAATTCTTTTCCTAATGAGTAACTCACTTTCACTTTCTGCTTGACTCTGCTTAAAGATAGGCGTGAATTGATCTCACATATTAGGCGAACTGTTGATTTCTCGCTAATGTAGCCTCGTCCATCCTTATCCGCCTGGTCAAAGACAGTGCCTAGCCATCTGAAAGTAATCGAAACGAACATTAAATTTATTCTTGGTGGATAATATTACCTTTCTCTTACTGTCGACATGCTGTTGCTTGCGTGAGGCTGATTGTCTTCTAAATAAGAGTAAGATTAGTTGATATTACATATATATACATATTACATTGCATATAAATCATATACAGGCCAGATACGCATAGTGAATCTTGTACCGCAGAGATATGTTTAAAAGCAAGCAGTCTTATTTCCGCGAGAGAAAAAATGCTTTAGGGCACATGATTGCCAAAAAAAATTGTTTTCATAAAGGAGCTAGGTATACTGCCGGACATAACTTTCTGACCACCCATATCTCGGGTGAAAATAACCCAATCACTTTGAAACTTGGCATGTATACAAGCTATGTCAGACAGAGTCTGTCACAAAAAATTTTTTTTTATTATCTTGATCTTGCCACGAGTTATGGCAAATTTTCGAAAAATCAGGGTGATCAGATCATTATGTCCGGGAGTATAGTTAGGTACCTCCTTTCCAGATTTGTTTTGGTAGACCTACGTTTCTGAGCAGTTGTCAAAGCCATGAGGCCAGTTACCCATATGTTTGCATCGTCAGCGCTGAGTGCAATCAGATCCAAACATTCGTACTGCGCGCCGTAGATGATCGAGAACGCGCATTCATCCTAAATTTAAAATATTTTTTTAAAAATTTTTTATAAATTAAATTATTTATAAATTTTTATGAATTTAAAAATTATTATTTTAAAAAATATTTTAATATTCATTTGCCACCAATCAATCAACCCACTTGTAAGTCCGTATTGCTATTCTCGGTGGCTCTGAGAAGCTCCGTATTTCGTCCAGTTCGAACTTCCTTTATCGAGTCCACCGGTATCCGGGCCTTATGCGGTTTTTTGTTGGTTGGGGTCCATCTTATATGCGAGACGTCCGCATCCAAAGTGAATATCCGGCAGAATTGGCGCACATTTGTTCTTAACTTCACCATCTCCGTTCCCTGCTGCATGATTTGCAAGCAATCCGCAACTAGAATAAAATGTGCTACATCTTCAATACATGCTCTACGAATTTGCATATTTAAATTTCTGTTTTAAGATTTTTTTGTTTTTTTATGCAGTGCGGTTCTCCAGTCACATTCCTCGCTTTTTTCATTACTCTTGCGCCATTTCCGGCACCACTAATCCCATTAACGTAGTTCTTGTCGAACAAAGTGCATTAGTCTTATGCCCTTTACAGTAATAACAAGTGCGCAGTGGGAAAACATGTTTATCAGGGGGTAAATTAAAAGAAATTCGCTTTATTATATTTGACGCTCATCTTGTCACACGTACACCTTCAGCTAATAATAGGGCTTTCCGCGCATCTAATTTGTCATCAAACTGCGTTCAAAATTCATAGGTACAGCCAAACCCGAGGTTCCTTGATGCCATTTATGACCATTAAAAGAGCTCATTACTTTTTACGTGCCTAATAGTATATTCTTTCGTCCGTTCCTCGCATGACCTCGCTGTTATGACATTATGACCTTTTCAAGTTTTTTCGGATTTCTCTCCCCTAATGCATTGCCCGAAGTCTTAATGCATAACAGAATGGGAGAGGATATTCATAGAACCGGCAGAGGTATGAATATCTTAGAGACCGTCCGTCAACAAGCTTTTTTTTTGATGCTCTAATCGCAAAGCTTTAGAGGTTTGAGGTGGTCAGAGTTTCAATTTTTCGTTGTGTAAATGCGTGTGCAGTGTTCATCGGTAGAGGTTAGGTCAACACTATAAGCTGTAGACACAAAATTCCACGCGGTAGTTTGGGAATAAAAAGCAAGGTGCCGAAAAAAGAATTCTTGGGGACAACAGCTTACAGTGAGGGACCTAATCCATTGGCAAAAAAACGTACAGGGTGGGGCATCTTTGTGGCCCGATTTGAATTGGCTATAACTTCTTTAGTTTTTGGCCAAATCTTAAAATTCTTTTTTCCCCTGAATCCTCTGACAACCCCATTTTGTTTGATACCAAATATGTTATACATAGTAAGTGTATATCTACAGTTATTGGATTTATTCTTGGAGTTCATTTTTTCGGTCGTTTTTCGGTTGTTTTTTCGGTCTTTCCCGGTGTGTCCGGAAATGGAGTACGGTGCGGAAGAAAAATACGGTGGAATTTCCCCTCCCGAAAATCGACGATGAGAATAAGAACAAAAAGTGAAGATCAACCTCCAGAGTTCGTCGAATGGTCCTTGCTGAAGGCATTCCCTCGGTTCTGGCCAAGCTTCGTGTACTGATATGCGGGTTTTTTCGGAATTTTGACAAAACTTCTTTAATTTTCGGCTCCGTTCGAACTCATGTTTCCGGCTTTTTTTGTTTCCTGTTAACGCTGCCAGTCTCAAGGAACTTATACCACGAACGTCGAATTGTCTTGCGATCTGGAGGTTAGGCATTACGTCCGTATTTCATGCGGTATCCCCGTTTGAAAATTTATTGCCGAACCGTACTTGCTATACCAAACCACAGACCAAGCTTTTTCTTCCGCACCGGACTCCATTTTCGGACACACCGGGAAAGACCGAAAAAACAACCGAAAAACGACCAAAAAAAATTAACTCCAAAAATAAATCCAATAACTGTAGATGACACTTACCTATGTATAACGTATTTGGTATCAAACAAAATGGGGTTGGCTGACGATTCAGGGAAAAAAAGAATTTTAAAATTTGGCCAAAAACTAAAGAAGTTATAGCCAATTCAAATCGGGCCACAAAGATGCCCCACCCTGTATAATTTTGCATCCGGGAAGTTTCACAAATGTGGCAAAATACCTCCCACTACAATAAAAAAAAACTCCGTTTTGAAATGTGCGCCCTTTCCCTCACAAAAGGAACGGGCGTGATTTTGAAATGTGAGTTTTTTCACTTGGAGAGGGAGGTATTTTGCTACATTTTTTGAGACTTCCTGGATGCATAATTTTACGTTTTTTGCCACTGGATTAGATCCGCCACTGTAATCGTTATTAATCATGGTTGATCATGTCCTACTGACAAGAAAAAACTTGGTGTTCGTATTATATTTAGATTATCTTATCAGTCTGTTGGGAAAATAATGAGCATACTGTCGCCAGGCTAATGGCATCGATGAAGTGAAAAAAATTTGGCTTTATCGCGAAACAATTCATTTTCTGGGCGGCGATGCGATTTTCGATGCGATAGAATGCTCATTATTTTCCCGACTGCCCATAAACTTTGTGTCGCGCGAATGAAACGGCAATTTCTTTACCTACCGTCAATTTCCATTAGTCTTATCGCAAAATTTCTCGTCTGGTATAACTAAATTAAATTCGAATTCTCCTAATTACAATCGATCCCTTCTTTTAGGTCAATTGGTTTCTAAATATAACGCAATCTCCGCGAAATAAATGCTTGTCGACCACAAGACAACATTTCGGTTTTTAACCTAAATGTTGTCACGACATTAACAGTAAGAGCTTCTCACGTTCTCGGGTCAAAAATTAATTTCTCACCGGTTCCTTATAGGGTCTTACCATTCGAAACTTTTTTGTCCTGGTTTTGAGAGCAAAAACTGACGGTTTTCCGGCCCGGCGATCGTTGGCGCCCATCGCGTCTTCGGAGCGATGAGCGAAGTGTGTGATTTCTGAGGCTGAAATTTCAAGAATATTACTGTAAAAACGACCAAATCAAAAATGCAACTGAAATTCTTTTGGAGCAATTGAAAGGAAATGGGCATTAAGACCTTAAAAAAACAGCACATTATTCCTCACTTTAGCGGATGATTGGCAGGCATGTTGGGTCGCGTCGGCGACGAACTGGCGGAATGCGACTGGCCGATTGGATTGGGGACGGGTGGAAGGGCTGTGTCGGTCCCATTCGTACCATTCATCCCTTTTCGGCTCGAGCGCAGCTCCAAGCCGCGAACTTTGGCGGCCACAATCCTGGCAATGGCGGAGGATGGATTAGCACCGAATTTAGAGGCTTTGTACTAAAAACAAACGTCATAAAAGGTTGTGAAACATTGTCAGGGAAGCTCGAAGTTCACGCTGCAGCTAGGTCGAAATATAACACGTAGTAGCAAAAAGTGCCACGGTTATCAGATGGGACAAATGTTTGACCAATACGGAAAAAACTGGGAATATAAAAAATTTCGTCTGTCCAGAAGTTACTGCCCATTTTGCAAGTGCGCGCTTGCCAAAAATGCAGTACTGAGTAAACATATATCTGAACTCCGTTATTTACGCGGCAAACCCTCAGTTCCCAATCTGCGCTTTGCTAAAAACAATCAAAAATTTTTTTAAATTATGTTGTTGGCCTGAATGTATAAAAAAAAGGATTTGCAATTTTTGTCCTGAACAAATCATAACCTCTTAGGAGATTACACAAGTGTACAATTTTTTGACCAAAAAAAGTCAATTTTTCCGCGGACCCCCAATAGCGTTCTGGGCGAGCTTCGTGACTGCGCCAAGAGCTGAGCAAAAAATACCCAGACACGGCCCAGAACTTCCTCAAACGAATTTCCGGTTCAGTGCGCGTTTTGAAAGCGAAAATCCCGGCCATCCGTCCGCACCCTCGTCTCAACGACGCTTCAACGAAAAGTCGTCTTCAACGAACAAGATGTCATTTCCAGCCGGCGAAAAATGAAGCCCGAACGTCGTTATGGCCACTTTATGCCCTCAGGGCATGGGAGAACACAAAACGATGGAAAGAATAAAAACGGGCGGAGCCTGTGGGGTTATAGAAGGTCATATAGTCAAAATTATGCAGAGTTTAAGAGGTCAAAGGTCAAGGAGAAATTTGGAGGATTTCAAGGGAAATTTGAGTAGGAAGGGGGATAATTAAACAGTAAATAGACGTAATAGTAGCACCAAATGCACACTCGCTAAAGGGCTTTGGGGGAAAAAGAAAATTTTGGTTAAATTTGCAAAAGAAGGGGACTGTGACGAAATCTTGTTATAGTGAGACATTTATGATCAAAAATCTTCCAGATTCTCTGTAATTCGATGTAAATTTTTTAAAAAAATTTAATGTTAAAAAATCAGTTTTGAAAAATAGCGTGGAAAACAAGAAGAGAGCCGGATAAGGAAAAATAGGAAAATTCGATTTTTCAGAGCAGCGGGAAGGTTATTAAACGATGATGGCGTTTTGTCTGGGCGACATTCTACGTGCTCCCGCTAGATATTCCACAGAGAGAAAAGTTCTGGCCAAGGCTCTCTGAGAACGGTGGCTATTTCGGAAGCCGTATGCAAAACATAGGGCAGATTAGCGGTTCCCACCTAAAAGACTTCGCTCGTGAGAAAAAACGAGCCAAAAAAGTCCAGCGTGTGCATCAGCATTTAGGGAAAATAATTCAAAAAAATCAAAATTTCGAAAAGAATAAGAGCAGACTCATCCTTCCTCCCCCTTCTTTCCCAGCGTTTCGGACAAGGCTCGTCTCGCAAAAATAGTCTAATTCATGATAGTCCCGAATAATTGGCTGTGGGTATCAGGTTGATTGGACCAATTCCACCCTCTCTTCTTGCGCCGAAAACGTTTCAAACAACAAGTGTTGTTGATTTTTGAATAATAAACTTGATGGGAAAACAAAATGGGCGAACAAAAACGAAGCCATATGAGAAGGCATTATCACAATTAGCATAAAAATTCGGGACACAGCGAATAAAGAAGATCCAGACAAAACAAAAAAAGTTGGCAGAATTTTAAAACATGTGGAATTTTGAACGCAAACACATTGCAAAAGAATACATAATCAAAAAGTTTTAATCGGCAACACAAGCGAAATTTGTTTAAAAATGCGACTAATAATCCCGCCGGACCTAAAATTCTAGCCGGCTTGGGACCACAAATCCACAAAATTCACTGTACTACACGCCCATGCAAAGGCCCGGAAAATGTCAACATGACGCAGGCTAGAATTTGAGAACTGTAGTTCGTCTCGTTCTGGCAGGAAATCTGAATTTCCTCTCCCAAGTCTCGTTAATTCTTTGAAAAAAGGAACATCAGTGCCAAAAAGAGGTTTTTCTTTTGATGCTCATAATTCGGGTTTTCGTGAGCAAATTTGTCGAAAATTTTACCCTATGCACTATTGTTCAGATCCCAACAAAGGCCGTTCTTCGGCATAGTCTCTCATCCAGGGAGGTCGTTGAAAATGTTTTGTCCCGGAAGTTCCCCTAAAAATCCTGCTATGCGTGTTTGTCCAGATATAGACTGCTCCCAAAAAACCCCCAGTCTAATATATCACTCCGCCCGTCCGGAGTAATAATCCGTACGAACAGCGGCTGAGCATACATGAGATGCCATCGGGATGCAGGGAAACGTTCATTCCCGACCCACCACCTTGGCGCCAGACGAGCAACAACCGGAAAACAACTGGAAAAAAGGACGTCCTCCTCCAGCCCTCCAACACTACTCTTCCGCTCATTTAGCGTCCTTTGGCTTCGTATATCAAAGTCCTATCAACGACGCAAACAAAGTCATAATCCATTCGGCCCTTCGCTTCGCGGCGAGTCCTAATTCCAGTCATCCAGTTGCGGCGGGTGCCAAGTGCAATATCATAATGAGTTAAAACGAGTGGAACCCCGGCGCCGCACAACGTCATCGACGGCCGAATGAGGGACCAACTCGGAATTTATTAAAGGGATCTTTAAAATAAGCAAGATCCCCAAAAAGTGGAAGAATTCGAGATTAATACACAAAATGCGAGGCATTTTTTTCTTGATTAAAGTTTGTTTTCTGGTCCCCTAAAGCGGCTTATGATATATTATAGATACGAGGGTAATCGTTCACATCATCCGAAAAACATATGAGGAAGCTTTGAAGAAATAAAAAACAAATCTTTTGGAGATGAAAACGCTATTATTATAATATTCTAAAAAGCAGAGTAATTTTTTCAATAGTTTGAATTTAAGGATAAAGAATTTTATCAAGAAATCATTTAGAGTAAGCCAAAAAAACCTTCGTATTTTACCCCCAATCCACTTGAAACGGGCCTAAAAAAGCGACTGGAGAATTCCCCTCAAACGCCATAATCCATCTCATCAAGAAAGAAACAGGATTAGGGACAGAATTTCGCTTTAATCGGTTATTAGAACCGGACTTTTCCTTTTTCCGTATTATTACAGCCTAGAATTACATGAAAGTTCGGGTTTAATTATTCACGAGCTTCCATAAATTATTTAGCCAGCCGTGGCGTTTAGGGTCAAATTAGGGCTAATTTTGTCAAACAGTCAAGTGTAAAAAGTACGACGTTAACGTGTCAGATAACCTCCTAAAATAGTCGTGATAGGTGGAGCTGGCTTCAAAAAGATCAGTTCTAGCATCTTTCCAAGTCTCAGCTCTTTGAGGCCAATTCTTTAGTTCCCCATAAATCCTGGAAATTAAACCCGCCGAAACGTTTTTTTATAAATAAAAACAAATCTTTTGAGGTTTTATTGATGTCGAAGCGAGAGCGGAAAGGCTTTATGGTCACTATGAAGTTCTCAAAAAATGGGGAAAAAGTCTAGAGTTTGGGAATTACAAAAACATCGTATAATTAAATTTATGTAATTTGCTTAGAAATGTGTAAATAATAGGACAATGTAAGCGAAAGGATTTAGTTTTTTTTATATTATATAAGTAAAAGGTCAAAATAATAAATACGATCATATTTCTGGACAAAAAACCCCTCGAGGCCAAGCTGACTCACTTTCATCGAAATAAAATCTAGATTTGTAACGGATTCGCCTCCGGCAACATCACTCAATCCGAAAAGTCAAATTACCACCCACATCCCACGCAAAATGAGCACGTTTTCCGGCCCCACACAACAAACGGCTCAATTTTCATCAACGCGATACATCAAACTTGAGTCATGTCTACATGGTCAACTAAAATTAAATGTGCATCTTCGGAAATGCACACACTCATAGACAGGAAGTGTTAGTAATTATGTTTGCGCACGTTTGGTTATTTGTTTTATTTGTGAGAGATTCGAAACGTTCCAACTGCCGGGGTATACGTGCAGGTTTGGTCACACGAAAATTATAAATATTCCTAGCGTGTTTGAAGGGTTGAAGTAGCACAGATATATGCACGATCAACTGGAAAGAATGTAATGAGAGTCCATTGCGGCATTAACGTTTTAACGGTCGCAAACTTTTTTAATAAAGATTGCGTGTTTAAAAGGCCTGAAAATAGACTTCAGATTACTGTAACAGCTCGCAGTCGTATATGACGTTACCAAACTCATATTTTCATAAAACCTTCAAAATTCTGAAATATCAAATTCTACAATAGTCGAATTTGCCTTATATGTAAAACCCCTCTTAAACCGGCAAAAAAACATAAACGCTCTGCGACTAGACGCTCCCGATATCCAATTCCCGAGGTCGTCCGAAAAGCCGGGACGTGAATCCAATCTACATGAAACCCACGTAAAGTCCTCGGGCAAAAAACAAGGGCCAGCTTTGATTTTATTACATAAAAAGCCACAAGTCCGAACGAAGGTCTTGAAGACGAGACACACGAAAAACCACATGTATATAAAGAGCACCCGCAGCAAAAACCCAAAACGGACAAACATTTCCTCTCCCTACTTTCTTGGCCTCCCCTTAAACAACTTTTTTGGGGCCGGATTTTCTCGGATTTTGATTCAATTTTCGGCCTTTTCGACAGAAGAGCCGCCTTTACAGCGTCGTCCACGCTAACTGACAGGCGGAAGGAAAAGTGTGAAAGATATGGTCCGAAAAAACTTTGACTTGGAACACGCCAGGACGGTAATTGCCGAAACCAAGAGAGAATTTGAAAAACGGGATTTCAGAGAGCTCTATGCGGCAAATTGGGAAAGGTCGAGGGCTCAGGAAGGCTGAGAGAACATGATTCTATTTTAAGTGGGTTCAAATATTTAAAAATGAAGCCGGGCTCACAACCAAACAGTCCTCAGGAATGAATTAATATTTGTAGTTTCGTAACGTGCGTGGACAATTGTTGTCGTTCGTAAAGTGCATGTTGAACCTTTTCCCACGCTTGTCGCCAACGCACAGTGCATTTTTCAGTTTTTGCACAGTGCAAATTATGAAAAAGCCGTTTGCACTGTGCAAGTTCTTCAGCAAAATCGCGGCGACGCTGAAAAGGCTGGCGTCGCGGCGACATGTCGCGGCGATATTTCGCGGCGACACTTTCGCTGTACAGTTTCGAAACGCAAAACAGCTGAATGCACCGTGCAAAATGGGCTTATTTTGTGCACGGTGCGCGCTGCGACAAATGTCCACGCACTTTCTGAAAATAATAATATACAACTGATTCTTTGTACTTCCCCGTCTAGCGTGTTTATTTATATACAACTTTCGCACTTCCCAAAGAAAAGTCCAGTCTGGCAATTTTTTGTTTAACTTCCCGAACCCAATCCAAGCAAATTCCGCTCAAAATGTAACCGCAGAGCTCATCCACAAACTTGGGTTGAAACATAAACCCCCAAGGGGTTGGGAAACTGAACGGATTCCCGAATCTTCACTGTATGATATATGAGTTTGGGAAGAGGCGTTAAAAACACACTCCAAAATGTAACTGAGCCAGCAGGCCCTAAATTAATTTCAACGCATGCCACTCATCAAAAGCTCTCAAGTAATCAGACTTCCGCGCGCATCTCCCTCCACTCCTGACGCCGCCGTGGACACGTGGAACACCAAGAGGAACTTGAGTACCGTGAGGGAGTTGTAGGAAAATGCTGAGGAAGACTTATCGTAAATTATCTTTGAACGACTTTTTTCGCAGAGCAACGTAAATCATGGCTACAAGATCGGTATTGACAGCAAAAGAAAGATGAGAAATAAGTAACAACTCCATACATAAAAATTCTTAATAACAAACCAATTGATTTTCAAATGAATACAGGACGACAGTACTGCAAATTTGTCTTTATTTTGTCGTTACGTAAAATGACCAATCACCGTTAATCTAGTCTTTTGTTGGCCGACAGAGAAGTGTTTCCTGGCTTCCTTACATATTTGATTTTAATCGACTTTTTACAGTGGATGGCCTGATCCAGTGGCAAAAAACATACCATTTTGAAGGGGAAAAGGCACCCTGCAAAACGAAGCTTTTTCACTTTTAGAAGGAAGCATTTTACCACATTTTTGATCCTTCCCGAATGCAAATTGGTACGTTTTTTGAAACTGGATCAGTTCCCCACTATGAATGAACATCAAACCAAATGTAAGTAACAAAATGTTCCTAGGGTTTTTCGATGGGAATTCTCGGAGTTATCTGTCTGTGGGAAATTTTGTTGATAAGCGTAATGTCGACAAGCCAATCGCGTCGCTGAAGTAAAAAGCAATTTATTTTGCCGCGACACCCATTTCTCGGCGGGTTTTCGAAGCGACAGAGCGCTCATTAACTTTGCGACAGACTGATATCTCATTTCTTTTGTCAATTATGTCATTTGGTTTAGACAAAATTCAAAAGTGGGCGGAAACATTTTCTTCTAGTATATCGGCAAGGCAAAGAAAGAAAAAACCACAATTATCCACTTTTCAACCCTGACTACCAAACAAAACGGCATCGTCCTTCGCATGGTCATCCCTTGAAACACCAGAGATTTCATCATGACGTTATCTACCCTCTTCAGATGGAGAAAAAATTTTTGCTGATTAAATTTACATAACTGGATATTCCGAGAATCACCCACAGGAAAGTTAAATCCCACGTCTTGACAAATCGAATAACCCCTCTTGAGAAGGGAAGTAACAGCGGTAGGAAATAGTATAACCGTATGTAAATTGTAATTATGGGAAATGAAAAAAAAAGACGGAGACATCCTACCGTACGCTAAGCAGCCGATGAATGGAATACTAATAGACCGGCGTGATTGTAAACAAAAACTTGTCTGCAGAATTTGTGGCGGTCAGCTGAAGAGCATCTAAAATTCCCCAAGATATTTCCAGTCATCGATTTTTCGCCATAATCCCAGTCGGAGTTCACGGACGCTCAACAATTCCGAGACATGCTAGTTTGGACCTAGCACGTACACATCCACCAACAAAGATTTTATTTTTACTTCAATACCTCCTGGCCCTTGATCCCCCGCAGACTTTTCCACTGTTCTAACAACACGTCAAAGTGGGTTCGCGCCACCACGACGCTTTCGAAACGAACCGCCAAAAACCACGGCTTGAATGGCCTCGAATATGGCCTCAGGCCATTGTCAAAATATGAGAAAACTGCCAGAAGCAAGTGCGATTCGGAAGGGAAGTCAGTTCTTCCTTATTTTCAGGGATTCGAATACTCAAATCCACTCTTCTTTTCGCCGTGTCCCTGGGACATGTGGACGAGAGAGAATAAGACATTTGGCATCAAAAAACAGCACAATTAGCACTCTGGCAGTCGCTATTACGGTTGTCCTGCTGCGTATCAGGAGGGTGAGGTGATTGTTTCTATTAAGAAGCGGTTGAAGAACAATCTAAATACTTTATTCTGCAAATACAATCTTCGAGAAAATCGTCGAGACAACATGGCGTTTTGACGTTGATTTCTCTGAGAGCTCAGGACAATACGGCATTCGTTGGTAGAATGAAGAGGAAATTTTCTGCCTATTAACGACATTATACTCGTTTCAATGTGTGCTTACCTAATACCTGCAGTGTTGTTCGAGCAGGCAAAGACCGCTTTTAATTTTCTTGCAAAGAGTCTACATGTTGTATTGTGTGATTTTGCAGCCTCGTCCTAATCGCACAAATTTTGGCTTGGTGCCACAACATCTTTCGACGACCAGAAAGAGGACGTGTGGGGGTGGTGCACGTTCGTATCATTTCACCATTTTTACGACATTGATTTAACCGCTCGACAAACAAACAAAGAATGCTGAGAAAAAGGCCATCTTAAACGTCAAAATCCAGCTCTTTTCTACATACCGAACAAGCAGTAGAACTTGTTATTTTGCCGCTATTAAACCATTAATTTATTAGATTTTCGTTCCAAGATTTTTTTCCAACACAATTACCGTTTCCATGATGTCTTGTTAAAGTGTTGTTTTGCAAACAAAAACGTTCGGGATATTCGGTTTTCTTCCACAGACAATCTTATTACGGCTAGGCTCATTTGTACCGAAACGTAAGCCTTGTTGGGCGGCTGACGTGCGTGGATTATGCTGATGAACTAATGCTCAACGTGCAAAGTTCAGAAAAGTGAAGGCGAGTGGGGTGTTTGGACGGATGCTTCATTCAATTATCGCAATTGACCTCAACCTCAAAAAGGAAACTGTTTGCGTCTACCGCATTCAGGTCACATTGAAATTGATGACGAATTACCGTGTTAAACATTCATTACCTTCCTCTCCAGTTCCCCTATTTTGCCCAAGAATTTATTGTTTCTCGGGCGCATTTTGTTTCGCAAAGATATCATCATTCGGCAGAGATTTGAAGTCATTATTTCAATTAATTGGCTCTGCAAATGAATGTCCAGTCTGTGCCGTTCTAAGTCAACCGTTCGGCGGAAGGAAATGCTTCTTATCTTTGTTTGGATCATGGGTTAGGTTCGTGCTGTTTTAAAAGCGTGCAGATGGATTGTGAGGTCCGAAGAACAATTTTCTACCCCATTCTTTTAGGGTAGATCGAAGCAACCAGGTGTTCTTAAGAGGTTGGTGAAAGGCGGATATACAATTGCGGGCGGCCAGTTTTCGGGGTGACGGTATTTTCTGGTTGTCCCGACTTTTGCGGACAGCCTGCGACATTTGCGGGCATATTATAACGCGAGAAACGTTTAAACTAAAGAGCATGTAGCGCTAATCTTAGCAAGCCTAATTAGCTTAAAACTAAGTGTTCATCTCAAATATGGATCGCGGTACAAGTTCAAGCTATGATCTTGGGGAAAAAGCAAGATCCATAAACTCCGTACCGGAAAATTTCGATTGCAAACGTCACCGCGGCCCGCGGAGTTGTAGCAAAGTCCGGTTATCATCAAAACTCCTGCCTAAAAATGGCTGCTCGCAAGTGGCGCTACGCCCTGTTTATTAAGTACAGGGTGGTTCAGCCGGAGTCAATCAACCCTTATTTGGGAACCCAGCGGTTCCCGAGATACGAGGTGGAAAGAAAATTTTGTCAACCAGCATAGGTCAAAAATGCACCAATTTCTATAAAATTTGTATCAAATGGAAGCTGAGATGGCCCATTTTTGTCCACCAGACATGACGGGTCTACGTTTACGGAGACCTTTGACATCTTCATTCCAAACCGTTGGGACCCAAACCGGTGAAACTTTTTTGGAATTTTTTTTGTAATGATTTTCGATTGTGCTTCTCGGAATTGAAACTTTTAGTTTCGGTCAAAAAAAAGTCGACAAATTTGCAGAAGAAACTTGAAAAAATAAGTACTCACGTGTGTACCAAGTGCGTCTAAAGCATATTTCAGTCTAAACGAAGGACCAGGTCGGACGAATGAGAACGAAAGCTGTTTTCTCGGACAATCTAGGCCTGGAAACTTGTTGTGCTTCTTCGGGGTGGATGTGCAACAAGTGCATGGTAACAGTCCCCCATTTTTGCATTTTTAAAAACTTCGATTAATTAAGTCTGCTACCCCAGAAAAAAGAGTAATATAAATGAAAATGTCAAAGGTCAATACGGCCGCCTTCATGAAAGTATACCCGTCCTACCGGATGGACAAAAAATGGTGTGTCTCAGCTTTAATTTGCTAAAAATTTTATAGAATTGATGATTTATTGGCGGAGAAATACATGGAATAATGTTGGAAACTCCGGTTGAACCGCTTTGTAAACTATTACTAATATGCAAAGAAAATATTGCAAAAAGTAGGAAATTGCGCGCTGCAAACTGAGCTTTTGTTTTCTTGCAGTGCATGTGTCCTAAATCACCCCTGCGACTTTGCAAACGGACCAGTGCACGACGCAAATCAGGCTTTAGTTAACCATTCTTTTTGTATGTACTATCCGTCAACGGTTGACGTATTTCGCTAAGGTTCAATAACTTTTACGAAAATTGGTTTACCGATGGGTCTGGAAAACAATACTGGGATTTTGTTTATCGTTCAGCGCGACCAGCCCACTGCTATATATGAGCGCTTCTCCTTCAAAACCAACGTTGTTTCCTTTTCTTGAGACCCACCATTCAGCAAGTCGACTATTCTGCACTTCTTGCAAGTCAAGTCGTTCTGTATGTCCTAATTTGCATCGTTTTGATAAGGAAGACTTTAAATGCCGTTGCCATTTGCAGCCTCCCTTCGACTTTGTTGCCTCTTTACCCAAATTTTCTCATCGCACGCAATCGTCCAGAGATTCGCAGGGATGGATTCATTTGAATAAATAAATCAGTGGGAAGGAATTAGTGGGCTTTTCTGTTAATCGTAGCCTCAGGGTATAAATGTTTTGCGTTGGGAAAGTTGGGTTGTAGTACGTAAACTATGCTTTTAGTGCGAACAACATCAACCACGACCTTTAGTTTTCAAGTCCCACCAATTTCGGCTGATTAAAGGATTTGATTTCATTTACAGCCTATGTTTCAAAAATTTACATGTTGTTTGCTCGGGCCATGAAATAAGTTCATTATGTTGGCGTTAATTCCGCCATGGTGAAATTGTAGGCTGTGCTAAATTAAATTTGCTTTAATGCCGAGTTTTAAACATGACCCCGGCAGTTCCTTATACTCCGCTTTCAAAAGTGCGTAGACCTTTTGTCATGGCGCACAATGCGTTTTGTAGTTGTTTTCGCGGGTTGCACGTACCATTTTGAAGCATTTTGCATTGTCTTCGGCAATGTTTCGAGTGCACAATGCAAAACACGGAATTCACGGTGCAGAAACACCTCACGACAAAAAGTCTGCGCACTTTCGAAACGGCGTGATAATGCTGTATTCTCCTGGATGGGAATGGCAAATTTTTTGCTGATTAAAACGGGGTTAATATGTCGCCAGAGCTAGTAGCATGTATGACTCTGCTGGAAAAATAGTGAGCAATCGCTTCGCTAAATTGAAAAGCAATTCGATTTTTTCCCCAAAAAAATTCATTTACTCAGCGATGATGCGATTTCTGACAGGGTAGTCATTATTTTCGCAACTGATAATTCAAGGTAAAACGGTCTAAAAAATTACAAGATAAATCTCACGTTTTTCGTAAATTTTTGTATGCTTGCCGTATGTTTATGGCGTGATATAAAAAGTATAAGCGTTAGTCTCAAAAATGTTGTCTACGGTTCTTCCAAGTTTCGTCAAAGGGGCGTCACACTTCGAGAACATCCCCTGTGAGTTCGCCTACAGTAAATCCTGCTTTCCCAAACAATTCCTTTTTAAGAAGTTTTACTCAGCGCGCCACAAAGTCTCTGCACTATGCGTGCACCGTGAATTTTACTCGCCGCCGTGCCAAAAGTTTTTTCACGGGACGGCGTACAGTGAAAACATGCCACGACTTTTTCACCCACCTTGTATTTTTGAGGATCCCACAGAATTTTCCGCAGCCTTTTTTCTCAGCACGCTATCTCTTGTTTAAAAATTCAAAACCGCATTTTACTATCTATCCCTGTTCATCCTTGTTTTCCTCAAATTTTGCCGCCCCGGTATTTCAAATGGAGCCAAATTGAAAGCAAAAAGTCTTTTTTCTGACACTACTGTTCACTGACATTATTTCGCTCTTCGTTTTATACGTTGAAACTTTTTAATAGTATTTCCGATTTATTTTCAAAATTTTTGCAACATTTTAATTTTTTCGGTTTACGTGGGATGACGACGCAACGCCCTCTTTCTCCAGACGCTGTGAGTCGTCAGCCGCGGTAAATTTGCATAATCTTGCGATGTCGTAGGAAATCGCTTGCGTTTCCCGGATTTTGCAAGTTTTGGGGAGGAGCCAGCGTTTGTAATAGTTAAAGAGCATAAAGTTTGACGTAAAAACGCGGAATTTTCATTTGGGATTTGGCTAATTCGGCCGAGGGCTTTGTCCCGGCTCCTTCCAGAACTCGGAAATTGGCTGCGTCAGAGGGGAGGGGTCAGGTTATTAACAATTTAACCCGTTTTCGTTGTTTTTCGTATTGATCATCGCTGAAGAGTTCGTGGGCTGAGATTTTTAATTGGAAGGCGGTCTTAAACTATTTTTTATATTAGGATTACCGTTTCAAAAGACAGCAGCTTCCGTTGAAACACTGCCTTGCATCAATAATCGGCCTTTGGATGCTCGTGTTTATGTTTGTAATTAACGAACGGCTCAGTACAGTAAAAACAACATGAGCCGTGTTGGAATAAATCGCATTGTCGTAGGAGAAAATTGGATATAACCCATTGCTTAAAAGCCCCGAGAAGCCCTCATTAAAGGGTTGACATGGTGATGTCTTCTTCATTCGAAATGATTTACATATATGAAATTGACCGTCCGCAGATGTGGGCAAATTTGTCAGATTTGTTATGTTTAAGCCTTTCACTATTGATTAAGATTGTTCGCGTATGATTTGCAGGAGAGCGGTGTATTTTCTACAGTCAAGATTTTTTTTAACACACACGGGCCGCATATCAAACCCTGAAAGCTTTACCTCGCGCTTTGTAGGAGCAGCAGAAATATTCAACGATCTTGTCGGTCGAGGGGGTACGCGAAACACGGGGTGTAAAGATAATAAAATCACCTTTAGACTGTAACTTTCGATCCAAATATCTCGATCATTTCTGCAAAGCACAAACTAGAATTCTCGCATATGCTTTGGAAAAACTTACTCTAAGTTCATAATTGAAATATGTCGCACTGGTACCTCCCCTGTCAGTCAATGTTGGCTTTCCCTACAGTACTTTAACGTTTTCCTCAACTGCCGACTATTTCCGAGCTACCGAGAAAAGCCAAAAAGTACACACCATCAGACGCATATATATAACAACGTGACATGCATCTTGCGTGTAGCATAAAGGCACCGATTTTTATGGCCTTCGGGATTTATGAATGCCCCAATAAAACATCCCCCGCCATTTCAATTTATAAATCTATTCCATCGAATTTGCGAGTTAATTTCGTTTTTGAATATCAAATATTCATACCTTTTGCAAACTTTTTTCAGGTGTTCACACTTGGTAAATTTCACCGCAAGAGATCTCTAACAGTAAAATGAAAGTGAGTGGCCTGGTCCAAGCTCTGTTCGTTCTTCTGGTTATCGCCTTGGCACAAGCTCAACCCTTGGTCTACAGGCCCTACGGACTGCACAATGTGAGTTACTCAGACTTCAGTGAGACTTGGCGAAATTTGGACTGAATTGTTTTATCAGTTTGCCGGAAAAGTAATGTGGATTCGTTGAGTTTCGAATTGGGTCGCGGCGGCTAGCCGCGACTAAAGATATGGAGCGCGGCTGCGACGAGACATCTTGTAGCGACAAATCCACATTATTTTTTCGACAGGCTGACAAGAAAAATTCCCAGATCATGCTTTAAATAAACCACCGAAATTTGGTCAATTAAAATTAATTGACTTTCCTGGCGAAATTGACAAAAAAAAGTACCGAAAAAAACGTATTTCTCCGACCATCCCTTCTCATTCTCAATAGTCCCTTGACTAGAAAGAAACGTTAAATATTCTGATTACAACGACCCCAACTCTCTTTCCAGGTCGGAATCCCCGTCTCGACGTATCGGCACGCCAAACGCTCGAATGCCGAACTCATCAACGGCCTCATCGGCATGGACCTGAACACGCTGCAGGCGGTAGGCAAACGCTCCAACGCCGAGCTCATCAACGGCTTGATCGGCATGGACTTGAACCGACTTTCGTCCATCGGCCGAAGAAGATGAGAGAAAACAAACACCGCGGTTGGACTAATACTGGAGAGATTTTCGTTTCGAGACCAAGAGAAAAAAACTATTGTTTTCAACTTCAACTGCATAAATGTTTCCTAATGTACCGCTTGTTATGCCAATATCTGAATATATTGATACCTTTTAGCCAGTAAATTGTGATTTTCGTGTAAGGAAAGTTGGAATTAAACCGATAGGGACAGACCTGACCAAAGTACCCGTAGACAAACATAAATTCTACAGCATTGAATATAGCCATCAAAATTTATTTTATCCTGGATGAAAATGCCTTTCAGCGATCTCCGTAGCATTAACAAATTTGACGGCCCGATTCCTATAATTCTCCAATAATATCGCTTGATCTTCACTGAAGATTTTGCGAAAGAAAACCCTGTTAGTCCGCCAAATTGTTTCGTTGTAAATCGCCGGTGAAATATGAGCGTCGTCGTATTCCCTGATATCAATTTTTGAGATCTCTTCCGGCGTCAACCCTCGACCAATTCTTTTCTTCAGCGAATGGCCAGAAATTAATTTTTCATATTCGGGATGTTTCTGCATCAATCGATAGAATTGCAGTCCAAATAGTCGTTGATCAAGATACCAAAGCCAGTTAATTTTGTGCAAATATTGGTCTAGTTGGCCGTCGAACATTTGGTTTGTTTTGGCTTCCATATATTCGCCAGTGGCGATATCATTGGGCAGGATCCCTGAAGATCAAACTTTAGAGGTGCTGACAGGTTACTATGTAGAATATATATCAGTCTGTCGAGGAAATAATGCCAAGAAGATGAATTGTGTCGCGAAAAAATGAAATTGCCTCGCTTTACCGACGCAATCGGCGCAGCGACATTGTGCCCATTATTTTCCCGACAGACTGATAGTTTGTTGTCGTTGGAGCAAATTCGGCACTATGTAAAAACTAAAGTTCCCTCTGCACTGTGCAATTTCTTGCTTTTTTCACACTGCAGAAGGTTTTTTGGGCAGTCGAAAAGGGCGAGAAGGGACAAAGGGAGATTTTAAACATTGTTTCACGGGTACGGTGACGGAGCATCAAAAATGTGGCAAAATGTTTCCCTTTAAAAGTGAAAGCCCTTTCCCTCATAAAAAGAGCGAGCGCGCTTTTGAAATCAGAGTTTTTTTCACTTCGCTTGGAGAGGGAAGCATTTTGCCACATTTTTGATACTTCCCGGATGCAAAATGGTACGTTTTTTGCCACTGAGTCATGCCCCCCACTGTAGTTAATTGTGGTAAGAATTCGACAATTAACTAGCGTATCCAAAATTAACCAAAATGCCATACACATAACCTCCTTCCACAGCTGAGCCGGCATCGCAATTGTAGACATTGGATATTGGTGAAAACTTAATTTTTTCCATCTCTGCGGCTTACAACAGTCCGGATTGAAGACGACGATCCTCATTCCATGCCTGACATCCGGAAAATGATCCTCTTTGCGGAATGGGAAATAATCAACATCCGATGTTATCAAAATTGTTGAGTTTGACGGATGCCGTTGAACGAATGAAGTGGCAGCGGCAAAATTGCGCATGTTTTGGGCGAAATTGTTCGACTTCAGCGTGTTGTTCTTAAAGTACAATACGACTGCCTGAAATTGTTTGAATTTTGAGGTTCATGCGGTATCTGAAAAGACTAAATTTCATGAGCTTTGAAGTGCTTTTTGCCGCGGATTTAACGACGGATTTAAAATTTTGCGTTATGGGGGTTTCTGCGAAAAGGGGTTTTTTAATTGATCCCTTTAGATAAGCGAGCATACGTAGAAAGAATCTAGCTTAAAGATTTATCTTAAAATTCAAGTAGCTCCAGTTTTCCAGCCCGATGAAAGGTCTGAGGTTCGGGGGACATGCACTGTGCAAAAAACGTCAGGCGAGCGACAGCCCAAAAAAGCTCTTCCCACTGTGCAAAAAGCGAGAAACTGCACAGTGCAAAGTGAACTTTGTTTTCGCTCACAAGGGAAGTACCTCAGATTTTCTTTAAATGCTGCACACACAACGGGAATTTACTTGATATCAATTTATGAAAATTTTAGCTCGCGCCTTGCAGGCGCTGCCGAGATATTCAACGATCTCCCTGAGAGAGAGCGATCAGAGAGAAGAACACTTTTTGGCCATAACGGGGCGAAAATTTCTTATTTTTTCTGGAAACATTACTCTCAGCAGCAGAATTAGGTATGAAACTTCTCGTGTCAAAATTTGGTAAAAAGTGTCAATTTTTTGCCGACTTTCGATCTAAAAATCTCGATTGTTTCTGCAAAGCGCGAGCTAGGATTCTCGCATATATCCTAGAAGAAATTATTCTAAATTTGTGCCGAGTTTCATCAAAAGCTGTGCGTCACATTTGGGGTACTTCCTCTGTCAGTGAAAGCGCCAAAAATCAGTCGACCGACTGACTTCATGGACTGACTGAAATTGAACTTACACCCAACCGCTGAAGTTCTGCGACAACTTCTCTTGTCGCACGATTATTCGCATATTCCGCTTCGGTTCCACAAAGCATTACAATCGAAGAGACGTTTAAATTTCGCCAATGCTGAACAGCAAACGGAATAGTCAGCACATAATGTAGATTCGAGTCGGATGCGAGAATCACATATTCTTGAGAGGTGTTATACGCTGCATTAAGTGTAGATTCATTAGATTCATTCGGCGTGTGGGGATATAGATAATGGAAGGTGGTTAACACAATAATCAAGGGGCATACCGACGTCAACAATATAGCAATAGCTAATTTAGAAGTGGCACAGCTTTGAGTGTCTCTAAAATTTGGAAGATGATAAGAGAAAGATATTACACTTTTACGGTAGCTAATGTAATATCAAGAAAGACATGGAGCAAGGGATATACTATTTACAAAGAAGGTACCCCAACATATCAATCTCTGAAAATTTAACTAGCGCTTTGAAGCCACTGCCGAGATATTGAACGATCTTTGTCGCCGAGAGAACATGTGAAGCGCGGAGAGTGGCCAGACGGAAAAACAAGCAAAAATTTTTCAACCGTCAGACTTTGAAAAAAGATGGGAAGAAATATGTTTTTCAAACTTAAAAAAATTACCTAACATCCTCATTGTCTTCAAATTCAGGCTTCAGTTCTTCACTAGTAGAGGAAAGCAGCGGTTCATGGTCATCCCGGGAGAAAACGTTTGTTCTTGTCATTAAACGAAACTCGAACAAGATTGATTAAAATGTGGGTTCGTTTCGTGGTATGGTAGCCTGAAATATCGCCCATGATCTTCTTATCTTCAAGCCTTTTATTATGAATAAAACCAGAAAAGTCTTTGATTTTATCGGACGGAAGACTCTTTAATCGGAAATCTTTTCTTGGATGGTGGATAAGATGGGATATTTTTTGAATTGAGAGTCTGGTCTAGCTAAATATAAAATTTCTACAGTGTCCCGTAGAAACCATCGCTGGATCAATGTAAAGGAATAAAAAAATGGCAATTCACTTGAAGCGACAAGACAAACAAGAACACCCAGACTAAACATCCTCTCCGGCTAAGGCTCCTTGAATGCCGCCAGGTATATACAGTGAAGGATCCAGTGGCAAAAAACGTACCATTTTGCATCCGGCAAGTTCAAAAAATGCAGCAAAATGCCTCCCAAGTGAAAGAACTTCGTTTTGAAGGGCCCGCACAAAAAGAGCGGGCTTTTGAAATCGGAGTTTTTGCACTTGGAGGGGGAGGTATTTTGCCACATTTTTTGATACTTCCTGGATGTAAACTGGTACGTTTTTCGCCACTAGATCAGGCCCCCACTGTACAGTACAGATGTATGCATAGTATGGATAAGATATTCAAAAATCGTATTCGTTTTTCCCCTTGAAAAAACTATCATTTTCACAGAACTTTCTCCCCAATTTTCTCCCAGCCGGTCGGTTTTCCAATGTTCGATCTCCATACTCTCTTCTTCGACAACAAATTTTGGCTACTTTTTGCTGCTGTTTGCGTCGCCGCCGTATTTATTTTAATCGGGACATGCGGATTGTGCTTCGTTCGATGGGTACGTCATACCATTTACTTTGTTTTTTGATGTTGCCAAAAAATCGTAAAAGTTAAAATTTTGAGATTTTTTGAAATTTTTCAAACAAAAAATCTCAATCATTCGATTCTGAAACCTCTACTTATCCTCTAATTTCAGCTCTACCTCAGCTCCGGCGAGCGCAAAAAGCATGCCGCGCAGTGCGTCGTCAACCAAGAGACGGTCCTCAGATCCCACCAATACGCGCTTCAAGTGGCCCGGGAATCGTTGACCAAGTTTGGGGTTCGAAATGAGGCCGAAATCAGAGACTTGGCCAAGAGTCTTGGATTCGTTCCTGCTCAGCGTAATAAAGTTTACAACTTGTACTGGCCTTTTGATCAACTTTTTTAACAAAACACGGGCTTTTCCGGGGGAAAACTCTTTAAAAAAATGGAAAAAATCTGTAATCTTTGCAATTTTTGGTTTCCACATTCAATACATTTATCTTTACAACCTCGTATGCTTATATACAATACACATCACATAAATTTCTGTTCTATTTTTGCCTAAAATCGTCTTCATCTCCGTTGAGGACATCGAAAAAGTCGGCCATGTTGGCTTCGTCGACCTTGGCGTTGGTGAAAATGCTGCCGATATAATGCTGGCTATCAAACGACACATTGCTGATTCGGATGCACTTTTTGAGGTCCTCCAGATTGAAGCCGACCTTCTGATGTTCGGGGTTTGGCTTCAGCATTCTTTCGGCCGCGCCCGCGGGGTCTCGGCGGGCTTGGCCAGAGTGGGGGTCCAGGTAATCGGCCCAATATCCCATTCTATTCAAAGAGTCGCAAATCGAGTCCGCCGTTTCCACGAAATAGACCAGTTTGGCATCGAGCTTCTCCTCCGATGTCACCTCCTCAAAGGTCTGCGCTTCCTGTTGGAAGATGTTGATCACAGTGATTGGGTGGGAGAAGAGGTGCGGGGAGCGGGGTTCGAAGACTTTTCGAAGCTCTGAAATCGCATAAATTAACAAAAAAAAATAATCCACTCACCATCTTTCAGCAGTCTCGGGCATTCCACTGATTCTATCGTTAAAACTTCATCATCAAAGCAAAAAGTGAAATCCTTTACAGATTCCGCCGGTGAGTAGCCGGGGCTTCTCTCCGTCGGCGCAGTAAATTTCTTGACCAGATCAACTATCGTTGTCCGCTTCATATCGCCCGAGGTTGATGGGTTTGTGGTCTTCACCTCTTTCTTCGGCTCCTGCAAACATTATTTTAGATATCAACAGATGGAATCTTAACGAAAATTATCAATTTATCCAATATGTTTGGTTCTCTCCAGCATTAGACCTAAAAACAGAAGAAAAATAAACAAAAGGTATTACCTCCTTCTTCAATTTTCCCAGATAAACATCGGCCGCCGCTACATTTCCATTAAATGGGAAGTCCTTCAACGGTGCAAAGAGTGTGTTCTGACCTGAAAATCAAACATCTATTACACCGAGCTGAGATCTAAATCTACAGGTAACTTTCTACTTCCCTCCTCTTTAGATAAGATCTACATTGCACTCGAAATTATGATGGATTTTTATCTGCTAATTCGAGGTCATTTCCGTGTTAGAAGGAAGAAGGCGTCAAAATTTTTACAGCATACAGTCTGGTCCCATAAATCAGCGACCAGACAGTTACAACTGGGTGGTTCGCATAAAAAATATATAATACTTGGTAAAAATCTAATTTAAATCGTTACAAAGAACACTAGTTCTTTATTAACCACATCAATCAATCCGCTCTTTCGCATTTTTGGGCAGCTCAAAAGAACGTCGATTCCAATTTGGAACGGTTGACTGCAAATTACACATTGACCTCACATGTTCAGAGAGAAAATTAATCTAGAAACATGAGTGGGAAATGGGTATTTTTTATTGCCGAAACATAAATTCAGAGCAAGATTACACTCCAGGCAACCTAATGCCACTAAAACAGCACCATCACAGGGCCTATATCTTCCGTGACAATCAATTTTTCGACCTCGATCAACAATATCTAAAACGAAAAAAGAAACTTCAAAAAACTCACGTTTATCGTCTCGTTTCTCCACATAGACGGTCATGTTTGGATGCTGCCGCTGCTGTGTTGAGTACGCCGCAGTGGATGGAACAACTCTGAAGGTGACCAATAAACGTTGAGAGCGTGGACATCCCAACCGATACATGTCGAATAAACGCTGTGCAAGACTGACTTTCAGAAAGCCGTCTGGACCCGCAAACTCCTACAAGAATGAGAATAAAAATCGTGAGAAAACTTCGGGAAACCGGACGTTTTTTTGGATACGAACGCACGAGATAAAATCGGATCTACTAAACTTCCAAATAGTAAAAAACAAAGTGGTGTTAGAGCAAAAGAACCGTGAAAATTGTTGAAATGAGCCGCTCCGACTCTACCTTGATTTCTTTGACGAAAAGTATGACTAACCTTTAATTTCCGAACGTTTTAGACCTCTTCAACCTAGTGCAATATAATGAAGATAATATAGCCCGCTGAAACAAGCAAAAGACAATTGAATTCCACACAAAAAGCAACAGCAATGTCTACAGAGTATTAGCTCTTTTCTCCTCCGTCAAAACCTCTCCAAACATAATAATTTGACCGAAAATCAGGTAAAGATGATAAAATCACGCGCCTTTTTATAACCCGAGGGTTTTCCCAGTCAAAACACCCACCAACTGGTGTCGGCTTCGAAGATTTTTGTTGTTTGAGAGTTCCTTTTCTCGAGAGCAAAAAAAGTCCAAAAAAATGATGAAATGTTGGGCGCAGCGAAGCGAGACGACGTCCGCAGGCTGCAGGGGACATTTTATACGATGATCTTTGGGATAATATCAAATGGTTTTTTTGTAAGGAAAAGACGAAACTATCGACAAGGTTGTTTAGAAATTTTTCTGAACAGATTTGGCTTGAAAATTGAAAAAAATTAAGTACATGATATTACCCTTGGTCAAAAAATTTCAAAATATAATAATTTCAACATAGCAAAATAGCAAAGCTAGAAAGTCTTTTGTTTGTTCATCTTTTGCTCTATTAAAGTATTTTAAGCCTTAAGTAACTTCATCGGAAAAAAATCTTTCTTGCCAGATTGTTTTAATTCTTCTCAAATCCATTAAAAAAATACAAAAAAATTACAGTATCTATCCTACAATAATCGCACATAAAACCGCAGGCGATTTACTACCGCTTTGAGGATTCGATTTTCGTCCGTTACGGATGACAAACGGACGATGAATTGGCCTCGGAGGGGTTGTAAATTCGGGTCCGCCAGGCTTGTTGCTTTTCTGGATTTTAATTGAATAAAAGTTTACGGATTGGCTGTTTTCTATACTTTTCTTTGAAGAATCACGTATATGCGAATTTATGCTGCAATATGCAGTCCATTCGCGAGTATTTCACTTGAGAATGTAACACGGAAATTTCCGGTTATTTGGACGATAAGAATAGGAATGGCCTCGGGTGTGTATGTGGGTGTAAACCACGGTTTGTAAAGGGCAATCCAGTAGAAAATTGGGGGTATTGTTTGCTTCCACGGGCAGATTCTCATCTGTCGATAATTTGTCGGAAATTTTTAGCTGTCAACTGTTGCATACTATGCGACCATAGAATGTAATAGAATTTATATTTTTTGATTTTTCTCTTAAAAATCGCACCTTTAAGGTCTCTGCAAACTACGAGCCTACGAACTAAAATTTTCAGTAATCAATTAATGTCGTATGCAAGGTAAGTCTGCAAAATTTGATGAGAATTGAAACGTCACTCTCTGCGGTACCTTTGTTTTCATCATGTCAATATATACACATTGGACCTGATCCAGTGGCAAAAAACGTGCCATTTTGCATCCAGGAAGTATCAAAAATGTGGCAAAATGCTTCCTTCTCCAAGTGAAAACACTTCGTTTTGAAGGGCCCTCACAAAAAAGAGCAGGCGCGCTTTTGAAATCTGAGTTTTTTCACTTGGAGATGGAGGTATTTTGCCACATTTTTGATACTTCCTGGATGCAAAATGGTACGTTTTTGCCACTGGATCAGGTCACCCATTGTACATATAACAGTTGCAAATCCTGTATGATTCCATACATTCTCTCACCTTTGTCTAAATGTTTACCCATTCATTCATCTTCTGCATGGTTGAATAGGTGTTTTGTCGTCCGAAACGGCGAATCCCTCTCTTCACTTACAACTCTGACTCTTGAAAACATTTTTTTTCAACCGACTAAAATTCTTCCCGAAATTGGGTCAAAAGTGGAATTTCGAAGGGGAAATGGAAAGTTTTTTTCGAGGGGGAAATTCGAATTAAACGAGGAGGAGGATTGTTCTTATGGTATACATGTAATTGGAACTGCTTGTAATAGTAAATTTTACCTGGATCTTTGCAAAAATTAACGCTATTTTGAAGCCGTCATCAAAAATTTTGCGATTATCAATTTTTGCGATTTTCTATCAAAAAAGAATAAGTTTCCACGGAGTCTGGAGCTAATAAAAGCCTTTTTTTCAAAATCCATGACTCAAGTTTTATTTTTGCTCTGGGGAAAATGGCACATCCCATACATTTTCTTTTCAAGTGTCCCATATGCGGCGTTCAGATCTTCTTTAAATTTTGCCCTTGTATAGTGCAGACTCCGCACATCAGTCCGTCGGGAGAATAATGGGCACTCTGTCGCATCCAAAATCGCATTGCACCGGAGAAGATAAATTGTATCGCGGCAAAATGTCCACCATTTTGTGAAAATGCTAATAGAGTTGCAGTCCTTGTGTGAACTTTTAAAATTTTTATGCTAACAAGGGAAGTACTCCAAGTGCGACACTCAGATCTTCTTTAAATTTTGCACACACGTCGGGCATGGACTAAGTGTCAATTCCTCAAAGTTTTAGCACGCGCTTTGAAGGCGAAGCCGAGATATTGAACGGTCTTTGCCGCGGAGAGAGTACGCTAAACGCGGAGAGCGGTCAGAAAGATTTTTAACCATAAATTTGCCAGTTTCGTGCGGAAAAATTTTATTTTTTTTGGAAACATTACCCTCTATGGTAAAAATAGGCATGAAACTTTTCGTGCTGAAATTCGACAAAAGGAGTCAAATTTTCGCCAACTTTCGAGCTAATAATCTCGATTGTTTCTGCAAAGCGCGAGCTAGGATTCTCGCATATATTTTTGAAAAAATTGTTCAAAATTTGCGCCATGCATCATTTCCAGCGGCGGGCCCACACTTGCGGGCAACCACTTTGCGGGCAGCTTGAAACACCACGCGACATCTTTTGAAATCTGCCAAAATTTGCTAACAACAGGAAATTCTAACGATGAATTTGGCATTAGATGGTGCGGATTAAGTTTCCAGGTGTATAAGTGGCTTGAATAGTTACCATAAGCTTATCCAGGCATTTTTTACCGTTTTTAAAAACAAACTCGTATAACTTTGAAAGCAGTGGATGAATTTAATAGATTTCTGGACTTATCAGTACCAGAGAGTTGTCAATGTAAAATTTATATCGTACTACGTATATAGATAACGGGAGGGAAATCGTAGCTCTAATCAAAAAATGTCGGCTGCCCGCAAAGGGGTTGCCCGCAAGTGTCGCGACGCCATTTCCAGCCAATAATTTTTATTTTATAATTTGTCCCAAATCATCTCCATTCCCTTCTCAGACCAAAAAAATATTTTCGAAATGCACTTTCCTGAACCATTCCACGCATTGACTGTGCTTTCACATGTTTTTTCTCCCCATTTCTCCCGATCGGGATTAACGGTCGGCCCCCGCTTTAAATTCAAAATAATATTTTTCTGATCTTTAAACGATCCCGAAAGTCATGTTGTTGTGTGGTTGCGTGGCAGTGCGAAAATTTCCGTCGAGTTTGGGGTTATGCATTTTTCGTCAATGTTTGTATAGCGGGCATGGTAATTCTTTTTTTGTTATGTTTGCACAAGTGAGCATCTTCATATTTCATAGTGAAAGGGGCGATAAAACCATTAGAAATCGGTGGAAACGGGATTTGCAAGCGCTCTTCAGCGTCTACTCTTGTCGTTTTATACAGTAGTTGTGCAATGGAAACTGGATTTTTTTGAATTTGTAAAAAATTTCGATTTTTTAAGACAATTCAACAAAAAAAACTATGTTTGGCTAGTTTATAACGCAATCAACCTTGAATTTTTCTGGAGCAATAAGGGGGTTGATCTACAAACCCTTTTCGAACATCAACCCCGTCTTATCTCACTTTAACGTTCGAAAAATCGCAAATATTCAGCATGGTCTACCCCGAGGCCTCGGTTTATTTGATTTTCTGATCATTCGGCATTTTTGCCGTTTTCTAAGCCTTTTCAGACTTTCTCACGACCGTATTGTCTTTCCACAGTAAGCTTTTAGCAGTTGGGTCAAGTGTTCCACTTTGTTTCAATTTTTGAGTCAACTCTCTCTCTTGCCAACAATACTTTTTTTTACTCCTCGGAGATCCTGTAAAGTACCAGTTTTAGATGATTTCCCGTTGTGTTACGAACTTAATGTTATTTTTAGACACTTTTTACTGCATCCTTCTCCAAGTTCCCATTTTTTCTCCGAGTTTTTGCGATTTTTCTTTTCTTTTCAAGTGTAATATACGTTTTTCTTGACAAAGCACGTCCGTGAACTTTACGATCAAGCTCGTTTGTGTTGTAAACTACTCTATTTTCACTAAAGTTCGTTTATTTCAGGCTTGGGCGCCTAAAATTTCACTTTCTTTCGCCGGAATCACTTAAAATTTGACGTTTTTCCACGAATTTGACCTCATTTTCGCCCAAATCCGGCTTGTATGCGTGTTCGGACGGACACCTGTCGAGCGGTCTTGCTCACATCGCTCATCTGGCTGGTGGTGGATGTTTTTGTGTTGTTTTACTATTTGGACAGCGGCTCATTGAGCTATGATCGGTAAGTCTTTTGTGTACTTTGGCATGTTCAATATTTAGATAATTTTGTATTTGAAATTCAACAATTTTTGGGAGCTTTGGGGGATATTGGAAGCTGAGATTGTTCTCTTGATTTGGATCTTTTCAGTTCGAGTCTAGCGTATAAGGCCAATCCAAAATTTGATGTTGTACAAAGGCCGCAGTTTGACGAAAATTCTACGGATGGAAAGCGATTAAAAGAGCTGCTGAGTCAGCTGAACTTTGAGGATCATGGAGTCGGAGATTTGGGTACTGGAGTGAATATTCCTGCTTCAAAACAAGAGGAAATGAAGGAGATGTTCAAACAAAATCAGTTCAATCTGATGGCATCCAACATGATATCGATAAAACGAGCTCTTCCTGATTATAGGAGTGACAAGTGAGTGTTTATTTCTGTTTTCTTGGTCTTTAGGCTTCACATACCACTGATTTCAAAAGAATTGAGACCGTTATGGAAATAAGGTACCTTATTTTAGGTGTCGAGTCCAAGCCGAGACCTACCGACAAACAATCCTGCCAAAGACTTCGATTATCATTGTATTCCATAATGAAGCGTTCAGCACTTTATTACGAACACTACACTCAGTGGTAAATCGATCACCTCACGATCTAATCGAAGAAATAATCCTTATTGATGATCTCTCCGAAAGAGACTACTTGAAAGGTCCATTATCCCTCTACATTAAGACACTACCGTTGCCGATTCATCTAGTCCATCTGCCAGAGAGAAGTGGGCTGATTCGTGCGAGATTGACCGGATCTGGAATGGCGAAGGGCAAGGTTTTGTTGTTCCTAGACGCCCATGTAGAAGTTACGGAGGGATGGTTGGAACCGCTGGTCCATCGCGTGGCAACAGACCGCAAAACTGTTGTGGCACCGATTATTGATGTCATTTCGGACGACAATTTTGAATACGTCACGGCTTCGGATACGACTTGGGGAGGATTCAATTGGCATCTCAATTTCAGATGGTATCAAGTGCCAGAGAGGGAGATGCAGCGGCGAAACAACGATCGGAGCACTCCGATTCAGTAAGCATTCGATTTATTAGTTCTTTGACTTTTTTAGAACCCCAACGATCGCCGGTGGACTTTTTGCCATTGAGAAAGATTTCTTCTATGAGATTGGCTCATATGACGAGGGAATGCAAGTATGGGGTGGAGAGAATCTGGAAATCTCATTTAGAGTAAGTTATAGGTTGATTTTTCATATACCTGTTTATACCTAAAATAATATAAATTTGGATTTTTTTGTTGCCTAAAATAATATTATTAGACCGACAGTTTGTATGAAATGTATTTTATGGCCATTTTATTTTTGAAACATGAAAATCGAACTTATATTATACAGAAATTGAATTTTTTCGTCACTTTTTACCTAAAACAATATAATTTTAGACGTGGATGTGCGGAGGTCGTCTTGAAATCCATCCGTGCTCCAGAGTGGGCCATGTTTTCCGAAAGCAAACCCCATACACCTTCCCCGGAGGTACTGCCAAGGTGATCTACCACAATGCGGCAAGAACGGCGCATGTTTGGATGGACGATTACAAGCGATTCTTCTTCGCCATGGTCCCAGGTGCCCGCAAGGTGGAAGCGGGCGACATGACAGCCCGTCACAAACTCCGTCAAGACCTACAATGCAAGAGTTTCAAGTGGTATCTGGAGAATGTTTACCCCGAATCACCGATCCCGGCCTCGTTTACCGAGTTGGGACAGCTGAAAAACCAACAAACCGGCACTTGTGTGGACACAATGGGCAGGAAAAGTGGCCAACAACCCGCACTGACCCATTGCCATGGGCTGGGCGGGAATCAGGTTTGGGTTCTGACGGAGTCGGGAGAGATTCGATCAGACGAACTGTGCTTATCAGTCAGAGGAATGAATCTGCCCATGAAATACGCCGTCAAGTTGGAGAAATGCTTGATGAGCAAGATCTCACAATGGCATAGGTTCGAATTTAACAAAGAGGTGAGGAGAGGTTTGAGGTTTAAAAAAATGCTTTTTTTCTCCGTCCCTCTTCATATGCATGCTGTGTCTAAAAATTTTGAATATTTTGGCCGGGTATGTAAAAAATATTAATTTTTTTTGTATTGGTATGAAGAATTTTCAAAGTATGTACCGAACATTTGAGGAATAGATACAGTGACGTACCCGATCTAGTGGCAAAAAACGTACCATTTTGCATCCGGGAAGCATCAAAAATGTGGCAAAACGCTTCCCTCTCCAAGTGAAAAAACTTCGTTTTTAAGGGCCCTCACAAAAAGAGCGGGCGGGCTTTTGAAATCGGAGTTTTTTCACTTGGAGAAGGAGGTATTTTGCCACATTTTTGATACTTCCCGGATGCAAAATAGTACGTTTTTTGCCACTGAAGCGGGTACGTCACTGCCTTTTCCTCAAATTTTCGGTACATTCTCTGAGTAGGCTTCATACCAATACAAAAAAAAATTTAATTTTTTTACAGACCCGGCCGAAATACTCAAAATTTTTAGAGAGAGCATTCATATGAGGAGGGACGGAGAGAGAGAAAAAAAATGGTACGTTTTTTGTCAATGGACCAGGTCCCCCACTGTAGCCCATCGTTTGGTGTATTTGCCAGTTTTAATTTTATGTTTTTTCTTTGCAGACGGGCTCCCTAAAACATATCAAGTTTGACAAGTGCGTGGAAGCGGACGCGGACGGCACCCTGATCGTCAACACCTGCTCCACAGACCCCAAACAAAAATGGACCTTCGAATCGAGCAATAAATATTGAAAGCTCAAGGACTACATACGGGGTCTAGTAATTTATTGTTGTTTGTTGTAAATTCGGGCACTTTCTTTTCCCTCCGCTATCACTTTAACCCGGCGTTTTTCACGACGCTCTCACACAATCCGTTGAAATTACAGGTAAAACGCTAATATGTGATTAATAAATTGTTTGAAACAATGTTGAAAGTGCAGAAACAAAAGTTAAAATTGTAATAAATTTACTAGGTGTAATATACAAGACACAATTGGGGGTGGATTACAAGCGTCGATTGGTGTTCGTGGCTCGGAAATGATAGAAATCCATGGCGGTTTGGCTGATGTTCCAGCCGGCGGCGACGGTGGCCACAAAGAAGATGAAGATAAAAGTCAGCGGATACAAGAACACATGGGTCTTTTTGAGGATAGGGAGGGCTGAAATTGAAAAATTTTATCAATAGTTCGTCCTAACTAACAACTTTTTATATTACACTAGGGATCAAACTGACAAATCTTCAAAAATCTTACCAGTATAGCCCAAGAATGTCAAATATACGTAATAAAACGTCGCCACACACCACATCGAGTTTCCTAAGAGCCTCGAGAAGAAGTTTGTGTAGTCGATTAGGCCTAAAAATCAAGTACACTATAAAAAAGTCAGCTTACCATAAAATAATAACGGCATTATCACATGGATGAAAACGAACATCGGGAAGAATGCGTTTAGATGCACATCCCAACAGTAGCCCCATTCCACGTCCTGATCCGGTACGCGTCGTAGGAATTTGTTTGTTACGAACCTAAAACAAGATAAAAATAAGTGGAAAATACTTACCAAGCAAATGTCGCGATGACCAGTCCAACTCCGATGCAATCCACGAATACAATCCACAGGAAGAACTTGAGGAACCCGGCAAAGCTGAGGTTCAAGACGAAGGCGAAGAGAATCGAGGTCAACGACAAGGAGAAGGCGAGGAGAACCAAGAAGGCGGGATCATCTCGGGCCCATTGGTCTTTTGTACCTGGAGAAACAGAACATATTATCCATGCTCCACCAGGAACTGGGACGATTGGGGAAAGGTACGATTGGGGACACCGAAAAGTATTATTTTTCTTCGGCGCAAGTGATCGAAACTAGGATAATCGAGAGTGCTGATTTCGAAAATAATCATTTTTTTTTGATTGTTACTTTTTTCCTCAAACAGTACTGTAAAGTAGTAACCTTTTGAATTTTTTTATGAATACTCCTTTTTGGGGGGTTTTCGGCGATGCTGCTTTCAAATCAGGAAAAATGAGTAAGATTTTCGAAATCAGCACCATCGAAAACCCCTAAATCGATTATGTATGAAAAAAATTTTAAAAAATTACTGCTTTACAGTACTACTTAAGAAAAAAAGTAACTATCACAAAAAATGAATGTCATTTTCGAAATCAGCGCCCTCGATTTTTCTAATTTCGATCACTTGCATCGAAGAAAAATAATACTTTTCGGTTTCCCCGATCATACTTTTTCCCCAATCGTCCAACCCCGGCGCCACCATAACAAATTGCGATTTAGACCACTAAAAGCAGAAAAAAAACAAAAAATTAAACTCACGTTTTCTGTGGATAAAATTTCGATAAACCTGCTGTGGATTGGTCAACAAATAGAGCATTTGCCATGCCGCGAATTCAAAGTCCATCTGTTTGATGTTGATCAGCCGACGAAAGAACCGGTTCAACTTGGCTGTGGCGGTCATTCTGACGCCCGCGAAACACCCCACGTTCTTGGGGATGGACAAGTTCGAGACTGTCGATTTGGCACCTGGAGTCGAATATCCGGACTGCGGCCGCGACGGGAAAAACTTTCGGCCGGCTGAGAACGATGTGGTGGGGCTTTGCGAATCTGAAAATAGAAAATTCTGTAGCCAAATTGCCAAATTAACAAAGAAATTTAATATTTTATGTTTTCAAGCTCCAAAAACAATATAAAATTGCCCGAAATTAAAAATAAAAAGGGGGCATCGCATTTGTCTTGGCAAAAATGACCTCTTGGGAACACAACGAGGCGTCCGGATTATAAAATTTCGGAAAAAGAAAAGCCCTTCGGCCAGTTTTTCGGCCGCTTTGTGTGGCGCATAATCAAATGTTCTAAGCAAATTTTCATAATACCCATAACATAAGCGTGTATTTTACAACAACTTTGCTTTAGAATATATAAGCCTAGATGCGGAATCAGCTGATATTATACATGGTATTTCAGGTAAAAAAACTAAGTGAAACACCTATCGTTATAATATCAAACCAGGCGCATTGCGTCAAAACCGACTTTCTAAAGACGAAAAAGGACTTAAAAAGTAATTACTTACGTCTGGGATCTCCTAATCTGGAGTAACTTGCATTGAAGGCCATTTACTTGGGAGATCTCCCTATTTTGACCTGTAATTATGCAAAACCTGGAGCAAAACCAACAATACACAATCAGAAGGAGACAATCAACGATATCACAGCGTTTTATCAACGCGTCTGCAAGTAAAACATCAAAAATCGGCTAAAAACTTTATTAGACTGATAAATAAACAAAGATAATTTAATATAACTTATTAAGGCCGTTGTAGAACGTTTCAACAAAGGGAATCCATGCGGCTATCCTAAAAACACTATACATTAGCATTTTAGACATCAGTTTAGCCATTAGCCTAAAAATCACAAAGAAAAATAAGAAATCTTACCATAGACTTAGACCAACGAGAAGGAATTTCAATCCCCTTAATTTTGATGGATTTTCCGTTGATTGGCAATAACGTAATGGTAGACAATCACCAACACGAAGATGGTTACTCCGAGAACATTGGCGATAATTCCGAGCTGAAGATCAGTGATCATATTGGACTAGATGAAGCTAAAAGAAAAAAATCAAGTCAAAAATAAGTCGGATATAAGATTACACGATAAAAGTCACAAATTCAGATGCGGATATGCAACTGAACACCCAAATTGAGACGCGTTTGACACGTCGAAAATATTTTTTCGTTGACCGTTGTTTTTTGGGAAACACTTGACATGGGAGAAACACTTGACACAAATACATTATTGATTCCGGAAAATAAAAGAAATTGTGATGGATGAAGAGATCCAGCTGACGGATTGCTATTGTTATCCTTTCATTGGCCATTTGACAACCGAAGAGTTGTCTTTTTATATGAAATGACCATCTGTTATGTTATAATTCATATTAGATTTGTTTTATTGGTTTCTCCTTACTTATTCTTTTATTTCAGGGTGAACCATGGATAATAAGATCGAGAAACCCACAGACTTGCAGTTGGACAATGATTTTCCTTTGGCCGATGATGGTAAGTGGCTTTGAATATTGTTTTATCTTTTGTTTAGATTCCGTCCCCAATGAAGTGGATAATGTCGCCAAAACTCCCAGGCAAGCTCAACCTTTGCCACGAGAAGAAGTAGAGGACACCGAGGAAAAGGCGAGATTAATTTCACAGATTTTGGAGCTACAAAACACATTGGAAGGTAGGCGTTTTTTACGTCTTCTTCTAGGTATTAGAGTTGTCCTGGAAATTTACGAAAATTTCGATTCTTTCAGATCTCAGCCGTCGAGTGGATTCGGTGAAAGATGAGAGCCTCAAGCTGGGAGCTGAGAATCAAGTGTTGGGCCAGTACATTCAAAATCTCATGTCCACAAGTCCAATTTTCCAGCCCGCCAACTCCAAAATGAGTACATCCATGACAAAGTAATGGTTATTTTACTTTGTCATAGTTTTCACTGCTAAACTTGTAATCCTATTGCTTTTTCACTTCCCAACTAATGTTTGTGTGAGATTACGAAGCCTTTGAAATACCTTTCACCGCCTTGACACCACTTTTTACCTAGCCTTTAACCGTGTGCTTTTCCCTATAATTGTTAATCGATCTCACACATCCGAAGTCACACTTCTGTCCTAGATTGCTGTTCTACAGTCTTTTGTACATGTTTTTGTTCATCCCTTTGCATAAATAATACGGTAATAACACATCGGTTATCTGCGATATTGTTTTAGTTGATTTGATGTAAAATTTGCCAAATTTTTGTTGATTTTATAATTCATACTAGTTTTTAGCGAGTGGAAAATACGATAAGGCTCTGTTGACATATTTTGAGAGCGTTTTGAAGCTTTCAAGATCCTTTTGGATACATGTTTCACCTTATTTTAGCCTAAAACAAGGTCAAATCTGAAAAAATGCACGATTTAATCTCAAAGCTCACAAATTTCTCAAAACTTGATGTTGTATCGTAATTGTGGTGTGTTTTTCAGCTCAGCACTTGAGGATTCGGATATTCATGATCAATTTTATTGGTGAATCATCAACTTTTTGCTCACTATCATCAAATGCCATAAGTCGGCGGGAGCTTCAGGGAAATGGTGCAATACTGCTTATCAACGTTGTACATAGTCTAAATAAAGAGTTTATGGGATTCTGAGGTGGTTGAAAGACAATGGGCGATGTTATAACGATAGAATTTGGAGAGTCATCGTTTTCGGAGGCCTAGAAAATTCGGATTTTATGAAGATTACCAGCTGAAAATTTGAGAAGCCATTCACAGCAATGTGCACAAAGAATGATTATTCAAAGAAAGCAATTTTTGCAAGTGAAGTTCGGAGAGTTATCGCTGAAAAATAATATTTTTTTCTGACCCCCTCTCCTCAGTTTACATGTTCTTTCGAAAAAAGACTTATACAGTGACGGGCCTGATCCATGGGCAAAAAACGTGTAATTTTGCATCCTGGAAGTATCAAAAATATGGCAAAACACCTCCCACTAAAAGTGAAAAAAACTTAGTTTTGAAGGGCGCGCCCTTTCCGTCACAAAAAGACCGGGCATTTTTCACTTGGAAAGGGAGGTGTTTTGCCACATTTTTGATACTTCCCGGATACAAAATGGTACGTTTTTTGTCAATGGATCAGGTCCGCCGCTGTATCTTGGCTGTTAGTGCAACCGCTGAAGTGAAATTTTTAGCGATTGGTACATGGAATAATTACAGTATCTACACAATCTTTGAAGAAATTTCAGGGATGTTCAACTTTTAAAAATTTTCAAAAAAAAATCAAAGTTACAAGTGCCGTAAGAAATATTAGGTTGGACGGAAAGTTCGTACGATTTGCTACCCAACTTTGAAATTAATTTTTTTTGCGCCACGACCGACTGTCCACCGTAGATGCCTAGTATATACAAGAGTACAGCGTGCAGATTTATGTGATATGTGCCAGTCGTTAGCTCGGCCAAAACGAACGTAATTATAAGAGGTTCTCCGCTTTGGGGTAGTTTCGGGTGGGGTGCGGAATGCAAGCTCTAGTTTCCAAACCGTTTTTGCTGAAGCTCTGAAACTTTTTAGGCCATTTCTAGTGGTCTATCCAACTACGTTAACCATGGTTAAAACTCTTAAAAAAGTCTGTGGGATAAAATAATAGCTATTGTTTCAACCAAATCTTCAGAAAACGCCCCGCTTGAAAAAGTTTTTTTATTACTCCACGCATTGCTGATGGTCTGTCCGTATAACAGGATTCAGTGAGGCACACGGGTAGCCCTTTACGCGCTACATAAGTAACCCGGATCATAGACGCTTCGGGTTAGGCGTAAAGAGGCAAAATTGCCAAAAATATATAGCTCTAGAGAAATGCGTGTGATTTGCTGACAATTAACAATGGTTACCCATTGCTTCATAAAGTAGTAAAACGATACAGAGGCCCCATTTTCCTCCCTAGAAAAGGAGGATTAGAAAACTGCTTTGAGCTGTTTTTTGAATTTTACGAATTGCTCCGATAGTTCACAAGCGAGTTTTTGAAAAATAAATCATTGAGTTCTGTCATGTTACGCAGTAAAACAATTGGCTAAGGACGGGTAGCTAAGTGTAAGGAAGTGTCTTTAGTTTTGGCATACCATAGTTAGGCCCATAAGAATACATCGGCAAGCGACTGTTGTAAATCATATTCAAACTTGGTGGGTCTTGCTAAAGTCAAGTTTTCTGGCTATGTTTTGATTTAATCCCCGACTACTTCACGCATATTAAGAGCATAAAAAGGAAGCTTTTTAGCAATGCTAAAACAGTTTCTTATTATGTCTTGTTAAACAAACCAGCCAAGGATCTCTACTTGTAGACCAAAGATGGGTAAATGTCTAAATTAAGTTCTCTCTTCGTACATGCTTAAGATGGCTGAGGGTTGTAGTACCAGATAGGGATCCCTGTCCCCTACCAATACCATATATTTGTGTTTGTCTTTTTCCATCAGCGCAAGAAAAAATAGCAGCAGTAAAAAATCGTACGAACTTTCCGTCCAACCTAATATTTATTGGACTATTCAATTTCCAACTCCTGGGCGTTTCTCCTTCTGACTGTCAAACCATTTGCGTTCGAAGCTTGGACTAACAGCATGGAACTCCGTTGCGGTCTTCACGTCTTCCTCTTTGAAATGGAAGTGTTTCTCGCCGAACCAGGATCTGTTGAAGTTCAACTTTTTGTCAACAAAGTCATCGGAATTTGGTTCACCCGGGGGGTCTTCTTCGAGTTTGCAACGTTCCGCAGATAAGAGAAGCAGAGCCTAAAATACGGACAATAATTTTGCATTTAATTTTTTTCGAGAGAGCACGTAAAGTGAGGAGAGTTGGGCAGAATAAAAAAGTTTTTCGCCAATAACTTTTCGAGTTATTCTTGGAAAAAATGACTTTTGTAGAAATAATCTACAGCCTAAAGCTATTAGAGCTCGAAACTTTAAAATCTAACAGGGGATGTACTCCAAGTGCGACACTCAGATTTTGATGAAACTTGGCCCAAATTTAGAAAAATTTTTTCTAAGATATATGCGAGAATCCTAGCTCGCGCTTAGCAGAAACAACCGAGATTTTTAGGTCGAAAGTCGGCGAAAATTTGCCAATTTTTGCTGAGTTTCGGCACCAAAAGTTTCATGCCTATTTCTACCGTAAAGGATAATGTTTCAACAAAAAATCAATTTGCATGAAACTGCCAAAGTTATGGCCAAAAACCGTTTTTCTCTCTGACCGTTCTCCACTTTAGCGTGCTCTCTCGGCGGCATAAATCGTCCGATATCTCGACGGCGCCTGCAAAGCGCCAGCTAAAACTTTCAGGAATTGATATTTAGTCCATACCCGACGTGTGTGCAAAATTTAAAGGAAATCTGAGCGTCGCAGTTGGAGTACTTCCCCTGTAAGATCAAAAAAAAACTTATTTTTCGATCTAAAAAAAAATTTGATGATTACTCAAAAAATTTACCCTAATTTTCTCTACTTCATAAACTTGATGATTAATTTTACCTGATCCGGATCCAAGTTTTGCAAATCCTTTCGAATTTGTTTCAGTGAAGGAGTAGTGCCGTCAACGCCAGTTCCAACGGTCGATGACGTAATTTTCAGACGATTTTGAGTGGAGACCGAGGAGGCAATAGAAGGATAGGCACCCATCTTCCAAGAGAACTCAAAATAAAATGATTTTTTGACCGATTTTTTGCATTTTTTTTGCAATTTCGGAAAGAAATTGTTTGAATTTTATAAAAAAAATAAAAATTTTTTTATTCTAAAATTTTATTAAATTTATTTAAAAAATTTTTTTTTATTTATTTACTTTCCCGACAAACTGATACTTGTGTTTTGATCCCGATGACATATCATGACCTTTATTATTACAATTCGTATTGCCAAACCCCCACCTCCAACTTTTACTTTTTTCACAATTCGATTTGGTTGAATTCACGTGCTGCGCAATATCCAATTTTCGCTTTGACGCCACCCTTCGAAAATTGTCTGGATTTACAGAAAAAAAAGATTGGTCCGGATCCGGGGTTGTAGACCCGGCGAGATTTGTCAGTGGAATCTGGTTGAGCGGAAGGAAATGTGCTGTGTTTTTGTTGCGTGAGCCCGAAAACCCTGAAAATAAGCGGAATTCGAGAGAAGTTCGTAATGTTCGCCGGAGGTGTTCTCGTATTATATTATAATCTGTATGCGTTTTTTTTTCGCGGATGTCTGGATCTGATAGAGTTTTTGATTTTTTTCAGCACGGTAACTAATGATATGAAAGACATTAGGAAAATAATCATAAATTAACGCCGTCAATTGAGGAAAAAGACGATTGGAGGAACTGAAAAGTATTATTTTTCTTCGATGTCAGTGTCGAAATTAGGATAATCGATGGCGCTGATTTTGAAAATGACATTCATTTTTTTGATCGTTACTATTTTGCTTAAAAGACGATTTCTGAGTCAGTGAATCAGCCGCCAGTTAGCCGTGGACATAGGAAAAAATCGATTTTGAGTTTTTTGCATTAAAATGACTGTTGGGAGGGGCTAAGAAAAAGCGAACAATATTTTTTCCCAAATCCTTCGTTAAGGTATATTTTTTTACTATTAACTGTTTTAGAAGTAATCGCCTCTAGCTGTGGTATCTTGTCTTACAGTGCAGTGATTTGACGGCTACTGTAGTTTTTGACCCTTGCGAACACGATGGAGTGATTATTTTTCCCGGTTTCCTACTGTAACATACCGTAATACCGTATCGACCGCTAAAAAATGGTCGTAAAATCTTTGTTTCTAAAAACCCCCAGCTGATTTTTTGATATGTTAATCAGCGTAAAATTCTGCTCTAGACCCAATCAAAAAAAGTGCAAAAAGTGGTGCGACAAATTTCGTGGTGTAGTGGTTAGTGGGCGGGACTACCATTCCAGCGTCCCGGGTTCGATCCCGGCTGGGTGCAAATGTCAAAAAAATGCCGCAAATCAATTTTAATGTAAAAATAAGGAATGTCCGAAGAACAAAAAGCAATTTTAAATGATTATGACACCTCTGTTTTCGAGTAAACCCGGTTTAATGTAATCTTAGCGGCTGAAAACGGAAAAAATAAAAGTGCTTCAAATGTGATAAAATTCATAGATATGGTTCTACAGGTTATTATAAGAAACTTTTCCGTTAGTCTTTTTTTGTAGCTTACAGTATAACGGATTACTGTAACATGAAACTATTTATAAAAAATCGATTTTTTCCTATGTCCACGGCTAACTGGCGGCTGATTCACTGACTCAGAAATCGTCTTTTAAGAATTGATCTATGGCAGGTTCAGAACGTGTATGCAAAATTTTGAGTGCACTGTGCTTTCGGTTGCCCTTTCCAAAACCACGTTTTTGCACTGTGCGGGGCCGCAATGAACCGTAAATCTTACTCATCGCCGCGCGACAAGATGTTCGCACGATGGCGCACAGTGCAGACATGTCAAGACTTTTTGGCCCGCCTAGTATGATAAAAGCAATCTTTTGACAAGCCGTGGCACTCCCAAATGTCATACAAACTCCGCACAAACTGTTTTCCGGTACCCTAGATCTTTGATCTTTTCATTTTGGCTTCTGTTTTCTAAAAACTGTATCGTCATCCTACATAATTTTTGTTTTCAAAAACAGTAGCCTACGGATTAGAGGCACTGAACTGTAAAAGCCAACAAACAATTAGTCATCGATCTAATCGTATTTACCCCAATTTTACGAAGTCTACGTGAGCATCTCGCTAAAAGTTTGCAACTTTTTTTAACTTTTAGTCATTTTTTTATCGTTTTGGAGTTCATTTTACTCTTTTTTTGCTTTTTAACATGGAAGTCGATTGAAATCGACCGTGAAAATCTCGACTTTATAAATTTTTGCACAGTTTCCGAACGGTTGGCTTGAGTTGGGACCGCATTTACACTTTGGGGATTCGTAGGGTTTCCATTCTTCGTCAAAAATTTTTGCAGGACGCAAAATAATAATCTGTAATACGTTTCTTTTAGTATCAAAATCTCCTTCAAAAACTGAATCAGGATTATGAATCGTTCTGCTTTCAGGAAATGAGACCTCGAGGCATTTTTGCAGCCATCTTGTGCTCTTCCATTATATTACTAGTGAATTGCGAAGGCCAATTGCCGCAGTTTGTTAATGCCGATGGCTCGTTATCATCTGGTGGTCAAAGCGCCGCTTCCAACGTTTTTAACGGCGCCACAAATGCCATTGAGAATGCGGGACAACAACTGGGCCAGCTCCCGCAAAGCGTCGCCAACGGGGCGGAAAATGCCTATCAACATGGGCAACAGTATCTTCAGCAAGGTAGAAAAAATGGATTTAGATGCTTATAAGTCTACTGACTTGGTTAAAAGTCATGACTTTTTCGGAAGAGCCATTTTATACGATGAATGGTGTCCGAAGATTCTTGGACATCTTTCGTCGTATAAAATGTGTATATCATTTGAATAGTCAGAAAATGGCTCCACCCGTCGTATTCTTTCTATTCTTCGACTTGGAAGGTCACAGTTTTAAAATCTCTTTTTTTACTCCGGTTAGACCATTTTATACGATGAAATATGTCCGAAGAAATCTTTTTACATCTTTCGTCGTATAAAATGTCTTCCTTTTAGAAAACTATAGACCAGAAAACTCAGTTGTTAGCCAAATTCAAAACCTCCGCTTTTTCCTTTACTATCTGTTTTATACGATGAAAGACGTCCAAAAAAACATCGGACATCTTTCATCGTATAAAATGTTTCCGAAGACTATATTTCCTGAAAAAACCCCTGATCATTTCAGGAGTCGATGGAATGAAAAACGCGGCGAATCAATTTGGCAATCGACTCGAACAGTTTGGCAATGAACTCGCCGAAGGCCCACGAAACTTCCTCAACAATGTTGGCCAAATGGGCACACAATTCCAGAACGGAATCGATCAGGCGTTGCGGAGTGGTGTTGACAAGTTGAAGGAGCTGCAGAATGCAATTGGGGAGAAGTTCCGTCCGCTGATGGATAAGGCCGTCGAGATTTTTGGGAAGCCCGGAACCGAAAAAGAACATTGGAATGAGGTGGGTGGCTTGTTAGCCCCTAAAGGATGAATTTTTTAATTTTTTTTTTAAATTTTGCATGCTTACTCTAAATAGGTCATTAATCAAATACTGAAAATCTTAGGAGCCAATTTTTACCAACAGCCGAGATATTTCAACGCAAAATGAGGAGAGTCGGCCAGACAAAAAAATGCTTTTTCGCTTATAGCTAACCAAATACCCTATGGAAAATCATGATTTTTTGAGAAGCATGTTAGGCCTCTCTCTCTCTCTGGAAATATAAATAATTCAAGTTTCTACATAAAAACTGACAAAAAATATTCATTTTAGCTGGTTAGCAACGTCGAATCCACCAACTTAAGCCAGCAGGAGAAGCAAGAGGTCTACCAGAAAATCGCCAACGCTACAGCCCCTCAGGTCAATTCCAACCAGATTCCGCAGCAGCTTCAGGGCCGACGGAAGCGAAGGATCTGAATTTTCCTCCGCAAATTTCCGTTGTATAGATCAGAATTTGCCGTTTTTCGACTTCATTCAACCTTTATCTCATTTTGTAAGCAATATTTGCAATTTTTAGTTAATAAATTTTTTGATTTTGTAAAGTTTGGGAACGCTTTTTTTCCAAAAAACATTAAAGTTTTACCTCGTATAAAATGTCCCATCGTCAAAAAAATCGAAGACCATTGCTAAAAACTGTAGTAAAATTTACCGTCATTAGAACTTGCAGTCTTTATTGATGTGTCAAAAAAATTTGGCAGAAGTAACAATCAAATATATACAATAACAATATGTAAACATAAGATGAAGATAAAAAAGATAAAAAAAATGTTACGGCAGATTTGAAACTAAATATAAATTTCGGAGTAATCTACATAAATACTTTCTATAGAGTTTCTCTCAGTGTGCTTGCCTTACGAAAAAGCATATTTAAAATTCCAAAATACCGGTAGTTTTTCAAATTTTTACCAAAATCTCCCATTCAGATTGTAGGAATTGTTGAGACAGTTGAGGTAATAGTAGAGCAACACGACTAGGACCACAAATGTCACCCAAACATTGGCAAAGAAGAGTATTGTGTAGAAAATGGTGACTCCAAGCAATAGCCAGTCAAAACATTTGTCGATTATCGACTTTGCTTTCGACGGACACTCCGAAGGCCGAGAGGTTGTTGGCGTGGGTTGTGGATACTGTAGCGACATTATCGGAAGGTTTCGTTATGAGAAATAAAAGAGAATTGTGTTCTGAAAAAAAGCAATTGATGATAATGATGCATATAAGTATCGAGCTTATATAACAACTCGATTTGCTGAGAACACGAAAGTAAAAGATGACTAAATTCCTTAAGGAATTGCTCGAGGCGCAACGCTTGGATCTCCCCCAAATTTTGAGCACGTTATCTGGCTTGGCCATATACCAATTGCTGAAAATTTTAGCTCACGGCCTGTGACCGCGAGCAAGATATTCAAGATAATTGCGGACTCCAGCAAATGAGATGAGAAAAGTTATTTTAACCAAAAATTGTGCTTTCCCCAAAAGTAATCCCGGACATTTTTTTGTTGGCTTGATTTGCATGGCATGGCCATAAATTGTCGGAAATTTCAGTTTGCACTTTCCTAACATAACCAAGATATCAACAAAAAGAGATCGTAGATTGCAGATAGGTCAGAGGGAAATGTTTTTGGCTATACCTTGGCCAATTCCAAAAGGAAAAAATTGATTTTTGGAAATTTTGAAACGTTAGAAATTGGACAACAATTTATTTGTGCCAAAACCTGCAAAAAATGTAGAGATTCCCCAATAAAACAGCGGCTTTACGCGCAAAAAGAAAGCCAAAAGTCTTGCAAATGTCTTCGGAAAAGTTATTCAAAACTTTCGTCTGGTTTCATCAAAATGTAAGCGTCGAAACATAGCGCGTTTTTCAGAAAAAAAAACTTTCAAAGAGCGGCGAAATAACAATTATATATAACCGTAATTGTTATTCCAGTAGCATTCGTAATAGCAGCACGTTTTTCACACCCTTCTTTCATGAAACTCGGCAAAATTCCCTTCGGAAAAACCATTTTCCACACGTATTTTGGGAGAAAAAGCCTCCCAAAACAACCCTTTATGACATTCCGCTTCTTTATTCCGTCTTATCCTTCGCCCTTTTCCCATCTCGACTGCTGCCTGCTTGTTTACGCAACAAAGAACACTTTTTCTAACGCGTTATTAGTATTCGAAATTTTAGCGCAGAATAAATCATGAGGGACTAGATTTAGTATAGTATTTCAAGGGGGTGGACGAAAATTTTGGGCCAAAAAAAGATTAAATTGTGGAAATTTACAATTACATAGAAGCTTAAAAATCCTGGCTGTGACATCTGCAAGATTTTTAGGCTATTATTTATAGAAGTATTCGAGATTTTTAGGTCTAAACTTGCTAAAATTAAATTAAGTTTTTGGGGGATTCAGGTTGTAGAATGGATCGTTGAATATCTCACATGCCCTTGTATACAGTGATCTAAAATTTTTCATATTTGATACATATGATGGACAGAAAATCCCTGCAAAATTTGAAGAGCACCGGAGCCTCTCATCTTCAGTATTTTCCTTAAGAAATCCCAAAAAATCCCCTAAATCTTGCAATTTCCGAACCAAACGGCCATTTGTCACAGAGAGAATAAAAAATGACTTTTAATTGTTCTAAGACCAAACGAATCTGGCTTGACCAAAACGGGTTGTCTTATCACGGAAAAACGTAGTTCGCTTGCAGAGAAAACTGTTTAAATTGACGAATTATCACTTGTTATTACAATGAAAGATGTGGAGAGTAAATGGGCTAGAATAGAGAGAAAATTGACCTTTTGGCAATGGAAGTATCGCAGAAGTATTCGCAAATAAATATTTAGTATATAACCAAGAAATTTTCGTATTTGGCTTATGGGAAAATTCGAGATTTTTTGACCGAAAAATATAAGCATTTTTTTTTGCAATTTTGACCTTGGAAACTTCAGGTTCTATTAGAAATGACGTGCACAATAGTCCTACAAAAAATCAATTTTTTCTCCGAACAACTCGGAAAATTATTGAAAAAAGACGTTTTTTTGTCTGGCCAACTCTCCTCATTTTGCATGCTCTCTCAAAAAAAGTCGAAACCCCCCATTTTTTGGGGGGGTTTCGATATGGATGATGTTGAAAAAGAGGAGGAAAGTGCCAACACTTGCAATTTTTTCGACGGTTTCTTAAAGACTATATCAAGAAACCCCCAAAAACCCCAACATTTCCTGGTGATTTTCAACCGAAAAAGTCCGAAATTTCCCGGTCATTTTCAACCGAAAAAACCTGGTTTTCGGGGTAGAGATGCCTCTACTTCAGAAGATCGTAGCGACCTCAGTTTGCATTTTAAAAGCTTGTTATTTCGTAGACAAAAATTAATGTCTTTTAAAAATACAAAATACGAAGTCTCTGCGCCGCCTCCGCCGGAAGTTATAGCCTTCCACTTTCCTTCACGTTTTTTATAAGACCCTGTGGATTTAAAAAATCAAGTTTCCCTACAAAAAAAATTTTATCTCCAAAGACTATAGGGGAAAGTAATAAAGTACTTCCTTGTTTTTTTCTCTCATTTGTCATTTACTTTATAAAAAATTCCTTTTCAGCTATGATATTTTCATTTTTCCCCCCGACTTCCCGGTTAGTCCGTTCGCAGAACGGAACGCCTGAAATCCGAGAATAATAAGCAAAACAACACTGCCTCATTAGTATTCCCCAAAACTTTGATCGAAATGGAAAGCGGAAAGCCCCGAGAATAAACCGTTTTTTTTGGAGAGAAATTTGACCTCTCCCATAATCTCCTTCCCATCCATCCCATGCCTGTGATAAAGCAAACAAAAAAATTATCATTCTTTGCAAACAAATGAGTGGCATTAAAATAGAAATTTGAGAGCTTAAAATTAGGAATTAGAGACAAACTTTTTTTTAGCAAAGACTGATTGATGTTGGCCAACCTGACCGGCCTGATTTGTCATACAAATCAGCTTGTAAATTCGCTAGAGTGATGATTTTTTGGCTTTTGCACATTGAATGTCGCCAAAAACACTCCAGTGACTTTGCGAACGGACCAGACCGCCTTGATCAATATTCCAACCTGCTAAAAATCTGATTGGAATATTTAAAAATAGAAGCGAGATTTTCGAGAAAACGGAGAATTAGAAAAAATCGTCTGAACGGCTTTGACGATTGATCAATTTCGAAGGATTTAAAAAAGGCAGAGATGAACGAAAAGGACGGAAGAAAGGTTGTAAACAAACGATTGGAATGGAGATTTCAGTGGTCTGACTGTCTGAAAAAAGTCTAAAATTTTGAGATTTTTCGGACAAAAAATTATTTGACCAGCCAGATGAAGTCGTAGTAAAAAATAGTCCAGAGATTTTAGTTTCTTGGCCACAAAATTGAGCAGTCATGACCGGTTAATATTCGTCTGAAAAAAATTAAGTTTTTGACTTGAATCAGGACCGGTTGGAACGTCGTTAATTGTGGAAAAAGACGACTGGGAAATGGACGATTGGGGAAACTGAAAAGTATTATTTTTCTTCGATGTAAATGTCGAAACTAGGATAATCGATGGCCCTGATTTTAAAAATGACATCCATTTTTTTAATGTTATTTTTTCCTTAAGCACAGTGAAAAAATAAATAAGATTTTCGGAATCAGCACTATCGAAAGCCCTTCATACTATGTAGTACGAAGTGAAAATTTGGCCTTTATGCGTTAGTGGTGTTGTTCTGGTGCCTAATACTGCTATTTTCACCTCGTACTAAATAACACCAAGTCTATAAAATGTGTTTTTGAAGAGTACTAACAACAAGCATCAAAACAACACCATTAACGTCAAAAGCAATATTTTCACCTCGTACTACATTGTATCAGATAGTACTATATATGGTACTACATGTATAGTGCTAGAGGAAAAGTTAACAAGATTTTCGGAATCAGCACCATCGAAAACCCCTAAATCGATTATTTATGAAAAAAGTTCAAAAAAAAATGCTATTTTACGGTACTGCTTAAGGAAAAAGTAATGGTCAAAAAAAAGAAAGATTTTTGATATGATTTTTGAAATCAGCATCATCGATTATCCTAATTTCGGCACTTACATCAAAGAAAATTACTTTTCAATTCCTCAATCGTCTTTTTTTCCTCAATCGTCACTCCCAGGACCATTCATTTTTACCCCTCAGGTTTGGCCAAGAAGCTTTTAGCTTGTCAACTTCCAATCAGCATTCAAAAATACACTTCTCATCAGCCCCTTTCAAAATCTATAAAAATATAATAATACCTCAAAGGTCATCCTTTTTCGCGTCGAAAACTTCCTCCTATTATATTTCCAAATATGTTTTGGATGCACGCCTTGTTTTCCAAAAAAACATTCTCTTCCCTTGACGGAACGAGGTGTTTTCTTCACAACAAATCCCTCTAAACGAAAGTACTAATCGTAAGCAAAACGCTCCCTTTTCGAAACTAATTTCGAAAATTCCTTCTGTTTGCGATAAAACTGCAAAAAAAAGGAGTTCCATTCAACGAAAGTAAAGCCAATTTCTGGTCGAGAAGGCATTTAGATTGCCCAAAATGACCTATAAAAAGCGTTGGAAATGCGCGGAATTCGAAGAGAAGAAAAAAAAAAAATAATTTGAAAATTTTCGCTTTTACGAGAAATTTTCGTTTTTCCGAGTGAAAAATAAGAGCTGGAAGTGGCCAACAGATTTATTTGTTTTTTCGGGGCTTTGGCTGAAGCACGTGGGAGTCAAAAAAGAGGAATTTAGAATTCGAAAGTGGTCAAGTTTTGGTCACTATTGGTGACAAAGTTATCGTTAAAAAATTTAACAACTTTTTTATAAAAATTTGACAAGGAAAGTACTTCTATGGGGTGTGGAATTACCGGTCGAGATATATATCAAAAAATTCGCAAAAATTTTCTGATTCAGAATATATATAAATTAGCTGCCTAATTTTGGTCTAATGACATGTTTTTGTCCTCAGAAGTTTTCTCGCGACACCATGCAAGTGTCTTTTTGACCGTGTTTTTACCAATAAAAAAATTTTGTTTTGTGCTAAACTAAATTCTGAGGCCTTGAAAAGCCTTAAAATATCAAATTGGATTACAATTACACCCTAAAAGTAGCTCCAATGTAAAAAATGGGTTCTAGTGTGGCAAAAGGAATCGAACCCGTTCCCCTCGGATTCCCAATCTAGCACTCTAACCACTCGGCCACACCGCTCTCTTCCGAAGGAAGAGACCGAGCGCGCTTTTGTTGCCGCAGATTTTTTTCCTCGAGAAAAAAATTTATTAAAAAAACTCGCTGATAGACCAAAATTAGGCAGCTAATTTATATATTCTGAATCAGAAAATTTTTGCGATTTTTTTGATATATATCAGTCTGTCGGGAAAATAACGGCGGATCGTCGCGCCTCGGAATCGCCCTTTATCGCTTTGCGACTTCAAGCCGCGGCGGGGGATTTGGTGCGCGATAGCGGCGAGGCGAGACATTTTGATGCGACGATCCGCCGTTATTTTTCCGACAGACTGATATGTCGCGACTAGTACTATCAGTCTGTCGGAAAAATAACGGCGGATCGCCGCAGCAAAATGTCTCGCCTCGCCGCTATCGCGCACCAAATCCCAAGTCGCGGCCTGCAGTCGCAAAGCGATGATGGGCGATTCGGAGGCGCGACGATCCGCCGTTTTTTTCCCGACAGACCGATATCTCGACCGGTAATTCCACACCCCATAGAAGTACTTTCCTTGTGAGAAAAACACCAAAAATTGAGACTAGAAATTTTCAATACTAGGCGGGCCAAAAAGTCTTGACATTTTTGCACAGTGCGCCGTCGTGCATGAAATTTGTCGCGCTGCGATAAGAAAAATTCACGGTGCGCTGCGACCCCGCACAGTGCAAAAAGATTGTTTTGAAAAGGGTAAACAACGCACAGTGCGTTCTTCATTCGCACCCCGCCAAAGGTTTTATCGCGCGACACCTCGTCGCGACACCGAATTCATGCTCCCGCACGGTGCGAAAACATGTCAAGACTTTTTGCCCCGCCTAGTACTTGATTTCAAGTTTGTTTTGAAGAAATATCCGGAATTTTTACGTTGAAACGGCTAAAAAAATTTCGGAGTTGGACGATTGGGGAAATTGAAAAGTATTATTTTTCTTCGATGAAAATGTCGAAATTAGGAAAATCGATGGTGCTGACTTTGAAAATGACATTCATTTTTTTTGATTGTTACTTTTTCCCTTCAGTAGTAAAGTAGTACTTTTTAAATTTTTTTTGTATACACTCGATTTAGGGGTTTTCGATGATGCTGATTTTGAAAATCATGTTAACTTTTCCTCTAGTACTATATAGTACTATCTGATGTTATGTAGTACGAGGAGAAAATAGCTGTACTAGGCACCAGAACAACACCACCAACGCACGCATAAAGACCAAATTTCAGCAACATCGAAAACCCCTAAATCGAGTATTTATGAAAAAAAATCTTAAAAAAATACTACTTTACTGCTTAAGGAAAAAGCAACAATCAAAAAAAATGAATGTCATTTTCGAAATCAGCACCCTCGATTATCCTAACTTCGACATTTGCATCGAACAAAAATAATACTTTTCGTTTTCCCCAATCGTCCCAGTCCCAAAAATTTTTTCTCTAACCCGCTCCACATTTTTCCATTGTCTCTCGTCTCTCGCGCAATTTTTTTAATATCTCAGCTGTCTTAGAATATCAAAAGCTGAATTTTTCAGCGATTAAAAACTAGCCTATTCAAAGAATTCAAGCAAAATTTCAAGACAACCAACGCCTTACAGCTCGAGAAATTCGGCTGTCAAATGAACCTTCCTTCAGTAACTGATGCTCAAAAACAAGTCGAATCAACTTATATCGGAAGTCAAATGCATGACAAAATGTTTTCATCAGACTTCGCAAAGCGTGACTTCCAGTCGCCACGTGGTTTTAAGGGGGTTCTTCCCATAAAAAAACAAAAAAAATCTTTTTTAATCATTTATGTGATGAAACAAACAAATAAAACTCGTAAAAAAAGATCTTCAGAATATTTTCAAATGCACGCTATTCAAAAAAAAAACAGACCTAAAACAACAATTTCCGCTACAAATAAATTACTTTTTAGGCAGTTTCGTGCGAAAATTTTATGGGGAATTTAAAACTGCGGGCAGGAAAAGACGAAACATCGAAAAAAAACAAAATAATTTACCGATTTACATCGAAAAAAGTGAGATTAGCTAAACAAAACTAACAAAAAAAATTGAAAACAAAGGGGGTATTAACAGATTATAAATTATTTTAGGGCTGCTGTGGGCGCCCGTGCACGCGGAAACGATAGAGGCAAGTGACGTGGGCGCCGTAATTGGATTCCGTTTCCAGTTCGATCACTTGGGTTAGGTACTCCTCGACCGGGAACTGAAAAAAAAGAATCAGAAAATTTTTAAAATTAAAAAAAAAATCCAGTTTTCGAAAAAATTTTTTTACAAAAAATTCGATAAATCATACTTGTGTTTGGAACATTTGAAGGGCTTCTCCATGTTCGTCGTAGACGTATGCTCCAAGAAGATGCTTTTCTTTGCTGTCTTCGTCCTTGTAGACCTAAAACAACATAAAATAAATCGTTGCAAAAAACTTTGTGGGTTATTTTTTGGAATCAGCACAAAATTTGGTCGATTTTTTGGAGGGAAAAAATTGGTCGATTATTTCATGAAAAAATTTTTTTTTTTAATTTTTTACAATTTTTTTTCGACCCGAACCGATCGATTTTCCTGCTAATCAAAAAAATTTGGTCGATTTTCTTGGAAAACCGAAAAAACGGTCGATAATTTTTTGTTAATTTTTGAAACCAAAAAAAATCTTTTCAGACCCCCATAAACCCACAAAATAAATTGCAATTTCCCACTCCACCCACCCAGACATTGAATTCCTTCGGCGCAGTTTTGATTTGTCCATCCGGGGCCAACGTAATCGGCAAATGTTCGTACGAAACCGAGGTGACATTGATTGGTTGTGACAGTTTAATCTTCAGCTGTCCCTTCCCTCCCACATAGGCCCAGCAAACGCCGGCTGTGGCGCCGTTGCCTTTGCGTTGGATCACCGTCCGGGGGCCGTAATTGCTGTAGAATAGGGGGTAGCCGAAGATGGATTGGAGGCGGGATTTCTCTTGGTACTGTTGGGTGCATCCGATGCCGATGATCGAGCCGCCCGACGACTCCAGCGCATAGTCGGGGATTCCGGTCTTGTCGGCGTCGTATCGCTCGATGTATTCCTTGATGAGGGCCTTCACTCGGGACATGTACAGGTCTTCGGAGTGCTGGTGTTCGCGGCGGAGCTCGTCGGCCTGGAAAGTTTTATTTTTCAAAAAAGAAAAAACAAAGAATTTTGTGATTTTTACTTGAAAAACTTTACTTTTTAAACAGAAATTGTATTCCCACCTTAAAAACAGTGTCAAAATTTTGAATGTAAAAATCTCAAGTGGCAAAAAACGTACCATTTTGCATCCAGGAAGTATTAAAAATGTGGCAAAATGGTTCCCTCTCCAAGTGAAAAATCCGATTTCAAAAGCGCGCCCGCTCTTTTTGCGAGGGAAAGGGCGCGCCCTTCAAAACGAAGTTTTTTCAGTTGGATAGGGAAGCGTTTTGCCACATTTTTTGATCCTTCCCGGATGCAAAATGGTACGTTTTTTGCAACTGGATCAGTCCCCGTTGTATGACTGTATCTTACAACAATCTTTCGGAAATTTATACTCCATCCCCTCAGGCAAAATTTTCCCACCCTCCCCAACTTACCGCCAAAACATTCTTTTTGGTGCTCAAATTCTCCACCACATTCAGATGTTCCCTTCTTAATCGATTCAATTCATCGACAATTTGGGCGCTCTGTTCGTTGACCCTTCCCAAGATCGAGTGCATGAACTGTTCGAACTTTTGGTCGAGCTGTTTCTCAACGGTCGCCGATTGCGTGGACTTCTTTTCCAGGCGATTTTCGATCTCAGTGAGCTCCGCTTGGATGGCTTTTCTTTCATTTTTCATCAACTCGTCGAGAATTTTGGCGATTTGGGACTCATCCACATTCTTGTTGACCTGAAATTGAAAAAGTGAGAATTTCAAATGCAAACTATTTTTTGCAAAAAATGGCGTTAAAAGTCAGGAGATGGCCAAAGAATTTTTTTGGGAAAAAATTTTAAAAAAGGTGTAAGAAATATAAAAAAATCGTAAAATTCATGAAATTTCATGATGAAAAAACTTTTTTTTTGCCAAAAAATCTCAATTTCCTGCCAAATTCACCTTGTTTTTTTCGTAGTCAATCAAAACTCCCACCTTAATTTCCTTTTTGAACTTCTCCACCTGTTCATGAAGGGCAGCGAGAGCTTCATTGGGGTCTGCTTGCGCGTTCTTCAACTTCTTCTCCAATCTCTCAGCGTACTCATCCAGTCTCTTGTTCTGGTTTTCGTCCAGCTGGAGCAAGATTTTTGAAATCTTTGAATAAATATCTTCTTCCAGGCCTTCTGAGCGTTTGGACAGATCGTTCTTCAATTTCTCAATTTCCGAGTGCAAGGCCTGAACTTCCAGCGACTTTTCGGTTCGTTCTGTGGACTTTAGCTGAATTGCGAGTTCTTGTCGGATACTTCTGGCGAAATTTTCAATTTCCGCACGGAGTTCGGACTGATGTTTGGGGAGTAATTCGGCCAGACGCACTTCGTAGTCGGATCGGAGACTATCGGTGCGTTGATCAACCTGAAAAAAATTTTTCGTAACTCTTTGGCACATACATCAGTCTGTCGGAAAAATAACGGCGGATCGCCGCAGCAAAATGTCTCGCCTCGCCGCTATCGCGCACCAAATCCCAAGTCGCGGCCTGCAGTCGCAAAGCGATGATGGGCGATTCGGAGGCGCGACGATCCGCCGTTTTTTTCCCGACAGACCGATATCTCGACCGGTAATTCCACACCCCATAGAAGTACTTTCCTTGTGAGAAAAACACCAAAAATTGAGACTAGAAATTTTCAATACTAGGCGGGCCAAAAAGTCTTGACATTTTTGCACAGTGCGCCGTCGTGCATGAAATTTGTCGCGCTGCGATAAGAAAAATTCACGGTGCGCTGCGACCCCGCACAGTGCAAAAAGATTGTTTTGAAAAGGGTAAACAACGCACAGTGCGTTCTTCATTCGCACCCCGCCAAAGGTTTTATCGCGCGACACCTCGTCGCGACACCGAATTCATGCTCCCGCACGGTGCGAAAACATGTCAAGACTTTTTGCCCCGCCTAGTACTTGATTTCAAGTTTGTTTTGAAGAAATATCCGGAATTTTTACGTTGAAACGGCTAAAAAAATTTCGGAGTTGGACGATTGGGGAAATTGAAAAGTATTATTTTTCTTCGATGAAAATGTCGAAATTAGGAAAATCGATGGTGCTGACTTTGAAAATGACATTCATTTTTTTTGATTGTTACTTTTTCCCTTCAGTAGTAAAGTAGTACTTTTTAAATTTTTTTTGTATACACTCGATTTAGGGGTTTTCGATGATGCTGATTTTGAAAATCATGTTAACTTTTCCTCTAGTACTATATAGTACTATCTGATGTTATGTAGTACGAGGAGAAAATAGCTGTACTAGGCACCAGAACAACACCACCAACGCACGCATAAAGACCAAATTTCAGCAACATCGAAAACCCCTAAATCGAGTATTTATGAAAAAAAATCTTAAAAAATACTACTTTACTGCTTAAGGAAAAAGCAACAATCAAAAAAAATGAATGTCATTTTCGAAATCAGCACCCTCGATTATCCTAACTTCGACATTTGCATCGAACAAAAATAATACTTTTCGTTTTCCCCAATCGTCCCAGTCCCAAAAATTTTTTCTCTAACCCGCTCCACATTTTTCCATTGTCTCTCGTCTCTCGCGCAATTTTTTTAATATCTCAGCTGTCTTAGAATATCAAAAGCTGAATTTTTCAGCGATTAAAAACTAGCCTATTCAAAGAATTCAAGCAAAATTTCAAGACAACCAACGCCTTACAGCTCGAGAAATTCGGCTGTCAAATGAACCTTCCTTCAGTAACTGATGCTCAAAAACAAGTCGAATCAACTTATATCGGAAGTCAAATGCATGACAAAATGTTTTCATCAGACTTCGCAAAGCGTGACTTCCAGTCGCCACGTGGTTTTAAGGGGGTTCTTCCCATAAAAAAACAAAAAAAATCTTTTTTAATCATTTATGTGATGAAACAAACAAATAAAACTCGTAAAAAAAAGATCTTCAGAATATTTTCAAATGCACGCTATTCAAAAAAAAAACAGACCTAAAACAACAATTTCCGCTACAAATAAATTACTTTTTAGGCAGTTTCGTGCGAAAATTTTATGGGGAATTTAAAACTGCGGGCAGGAAAAGACGAAACATCGAAAAAAAACAAAATAATTTACCGATTTACATCGAAAAAAGTGAGATTAGCTAAACAAAACTAACAAAAAAAATTGAAAACAAAGGGGGTATTAACAGATTATAAATTATTTTAGGGCTGCTGTGGGCGCCCGTGCACGCGGAAACGATAGAGGCAAGTGACGTGGGCGCCGTAATTGGATTCCGTTTCCAGTTCGATCACTTGGGTTAGGTACTCCTCGACCGGGAACTGAAAAAAAAGAATCAGAAAATTTTTAAAATTAAAAAAAAATCCAGTTTTCGAAAAAATTTTTTTACAAAAAATTCGATAAATCATACTTGTGTTTGGAACATTTGAAGGGCTTCTCCATGTTCGTCGTAGACGTATGCTCCAAGAAGATGCTTTTCTTTGCTGTCTTCGTCCTTGTAGACCTAAAACAACATAAAATAAATCGTTGCAAAAAACTTTGTGGGTTATTTTTTGGAATCAGCACAAAATTTGGTCGATTTTTTGGAGGGAAAAAATTGGTCGATTATTTCATGAAAAAATTTTTTTTTTTAATTTTTTACAATTTTTTTTCGACCCGAACCGATCGATTTTCCTGCTAATCAAAAAAATTTGGTCGATTTTCTTGGAAAACCGAAAAAACGGTCGATAATTTTTTGTTAATTTTTGAAACCAAAAAAATCTTTTCAGACCCCCATAAACCCACAAAATAAATTGCAATTTCCCACTCCACCCACCCAGACATTGAATTCCTTCGGCGCAGTTTTGATTTGTCCATCCGGGGCCAACGTAATCGGCAAATGTTCGTACGAAACCGAGGTGACATTGATTGGTTGTGACAGTTTAATCTTCAGCTGTCCCTTCCCTCCCACATAGGCCCAGCAAACGCCGGCTGTGGCGCCGTTGCCTTTGCGTTGGATCACCGTCCGGGGGCCGTAATTGCTGTAGAATAGGGGGTAGCCGAAGATGGATTGGAGGCGGGATTTCTCTTGGTACTGTTGGGTGCATCCGATGCCGATGATCGAGCCGCCCGACGACTCCAGCGCATAGTCGGGGATTCCGGTCTTGTCGGCGTCGTATCGCTCGATGTATTCCTTGATGAGGGCCTTCACTCGGGACATGTACAGGTCTTCGGAGTGCTGGTGTTCGCGGCGGAGCTCGTCGGCCTGGAAAGTTTTATTTTTCAAAAAAGAAAAAACAAAGAATTTTGTGATTTTTACTTGAAAAACTTTACTTTTTAAACAGAAATTGTATTCCCACCTTAAAAACAGTGTCAAAATTTTGAATGTAAAAATCTCAAGTGGCAAAAAACGTACCATTTTGCATCCAGGAAGTATTAAAAATGTGGCAAAATGGTTCCCTCTCCAAGTGAAAAAATCCGATTTCAAAAGCGCGCCCGCTCTTTTTGCGAGGGAAAGGGCGCGCCCTTCAAAACGAAGTTTTTTCAGTTGGATAGGGAAGCGTTTTGCCACATTTTTTGATCCTTCCCGGATGCAAAATGGTACGTTTTTTGCAACTGGATCAGTCCCCGTTGTATGACTGTATCTTACAACAATCTTTCGGAAATTTATACTCCATCCCCTCAGGCAAAATTTTCCCACCCTCCCCAACTTACCGCCAAAACATTCTTTTTGGTGCTCAAATTCTCCACCACATTCAGATGTTCCCTTCTTAATCGATTCAATTCATCGACAATTTGGGCGCTCTGTTCGTTGACCCTTCCCAAGATCGAGTGCATGAACTGTTCGAACTTTTGGTCGAGCTGTTTCTCAACGGTCGCCGATTGCGTGGACTTCTTTTCCAGGCGATTTTCGATCTCAGTGAGCTCCGCTTGGATGGCTTTTCTTTCATTTTTCATCAACTCGTCGAGAATTTTGGCGATTTGGGACTCATCCACATTCTTGTTGACCTGAAATTGAAAAAGTGAGAATTTCAAATGCAAACTATTTTTTGCAAAAAATGGCGTTAAAAGTCAGGAGATGGCCAAAGAATTTTTTTGGGAAAAAATTTTAAAAAAGGTGTAAGAAATATAAAAAAATCGTAAAATTCATGAAATTTCATGATGAAAAAACTTTTTTTTTGCCAAAAAATCTCAATTTCCTGCCAAATTCACCTTGTTTTTTTTCGTAGTCAATCAAAACTCCCACCTTAATTTCCTTTTTGAACTTCTCCACCTGTTCATGAAGGGCAGCGAGAGCTTCATTGGGGTCTGCTTGCGCGTTCTTCAACTTCTTCTCCAATCTCTCAGCGTACTCATCCAGTCTCTTGTTCTGGTTTTCGTCCAGCTGGAGCAAGATTTTTGAAATCTTTGAATAAATATCTTCTTCCAGGCCTTCTGAGCGTTTGGACAGATCGTTCTTCAATTTCTCAATTTCCGAGTGCAAGGCCTGAACTTCCAGCGACTTTTCGGTTCGTTCTGTGGACTTTAGCTGAATTGCGAGTTCTTGTCGGATACTTCTGGCGAAATTTTCAATTTCCGCACGGAGTTCGGACTGATGTTTGGGGAGTAATTCGGCCAGACGCACTTCGTAGTCGGATCGGAGACTATCGGTGCGTTGATCAACCTGAAAAAAATTTTTCGTAACTCTTTGGCACATACATCAGTCTGTCGGAAAAATAACGGCGGATCGCCGCAGCAAAATGTCTCGCCTCGCCGCTATCGCGCACCAAATCCCAAGTCGCGGCCTGCAGTCGCAAAGCGATGATGGGCGATTCGGAGGCGCGACGATCCGCCGTTTTTTTCCCGACAGACCGATATCTCGACCGGTAATTCCACACCCCATAGAAGTACTTTCCTTGTGAGAAAAACACCAAAAATTGAGACTAGAAATTTTCAATACTAGGCGGGCCAAAAAGTCTTGACATTTTTGCACAGTGCGCCGTCGTGCATGAAATTTGTCGCGCTGCGATAAGAAAAATTCACGGTGCGCTGCGACCCCGCACAGTGCAAAAAGATTGTTTTGAAAAGGGTAAACAACGCACAGTGCGTTCTTCATTCGCACCCCGCCAAAGGTTTTATCGCGCGACACCTCGTCGCGACACCGAATTCATGCTCCCGCACGGTGCGAAAACATGTCAAGACTTTTTGCCCCGCCTAGTACTTGATTTCAAGTTTGTTTTGAAGAAATATCCGGAATTTTTACGTTGAAACGGCTAAAAAAATTTCGGAGTTGGACGATTGGGGAAATTGAAAAGTATTATTTTTCTTCGATGAAAATGTCGAAATTAGGAAAATCGATGGTGCTGACTTTGAAAATGACATTCATTTTTTTTGATTGTTACTTTTTCCCTTCAGTAGTAAAGTAGTACTTTTTAAATTTTTTTTGTATACACTCGATTTAGGGGTTTTCGATGATGCTGATTTTGAAAATCATGTTAACTTTTCCTCTAGTACTATATAGTACTATCTGATGTTATGTAGTACGAGGAGAAAATAGCTGTACTAGGCACCAGAACAACACCACCAACGCACGCATAAAGACCAAATTTCAGCAACATCGAAAACCCCTAAATCGAGTATTTATGAAAAAAAATCTTAAAAAATACTACTTTACTGCTTAAGGAAAAAGCAACAATCAAAAAAAATGAATGTCATTTTCGAAATCAGCACCCTCGATTATCCTAACTTCGACATTTGCATCGAACAAAAATAATACTTTTCGTTTTCCCCAATCGTCCCAGTCCCAAAAATTTTTTCTCTAACCCGCTCCACATTTTTCCATTGTCTCTCGTCTCTCGCGCAATTTTTTTAATATCTCAGCTGTCTTAGAATATCAAAAGCTGAATTTTTCAGCGATTAAAAACTAGCCTATTCAAAGAATTCAAGCAAAATTTCAAGACAACCAACGCCTTACAGCTCGAGAAATTCGGCTGTCAAATGAACCTTCCTTCAGTAACTGATGCTCAAAAACAAGTCGAATCAACTTATATCGGAAGTCAAATGCATGACAAAATGTTTTCATCAGACTTCGCAAAGCGTGACTTCCAGTCGCCACGTGGTTTTAAGGGGGTTCTTCCCATAAAAAAACAAAAAAAATCTTTTTTAATCATTTATGTGATGAAACAAACAAATAAAACTCGTAAAAAAAAGATCTTCAGAATATTTTCAAATGCACGCTATTCAAAAAAAAAACAGACCTAAAACAACAATTTCCGCTACAAATAAATTACTTTTTAGGCAGTTTCGTGCGAAAATTTTATGGGGAATTTAAAACTGCGGGCAGGAAAAGACGAAACATCGAAAAAAAACAAAATAATTTACCGATTTACATCGAAAAAAGTGAGATTAGCTAAACAAAACTAACAAAAAAAATTGAAAACAAAGGGGGTATTAACAGATTATAAATTATTTTAGGGCTGCTGTGGGCGCCCGTGCACGCGGAAACGATAGAGGCAAGTGACGTGGGCGCCGTAATTGGATTCCGTTTCCAGTTCGATCACTTGGGTTAGGTACTCCTCGACCGGGAACTGAAAAAAAAGAATCAGAAAATTTTTAAAATTAAAAAAAAAATCCAGTTTTCGAAAAAATTTTTTTACAAAAAATTCGATAAATCATACTTGTGTTTGGAACATTTGAAGGGCTTCTCCATGTTCGTCGTAGACGTATGCTCCAAGAAGATGCTTTTCTTTGCTGTCTTCGTCCTTGTAGACCTAAAACAACATAAAATAAATCGTTGCAAAAAACTTTGTGGGTTATTTTTTGGAATCAGCACAAAATTTGGTCGATTTTTTGGAGGGAAAAAATTGGTCGATTATTTCATGAAAAAATTTTTTTTTTTAATTTTTTACAATTTTTTTCGACCCGAACCGATCGATTTTCCTGCTAATCAAAAAAATTTGGTCGATTTTCTTGGAAAACCGAAAAAACGGTCGATAATTTTTTGTTAATTTTTGAAACCAAAAAAAATCTTTTCAGACCCCCATAAACCCACAAAATAAATTGCAATTTCCCACTCCACCCACCCAGACATTGAATTCCTTCGGCGCAGTTTTGATTTGTCCATCCGGGGCCAACGTAATCGGCAAATGTTCGTACGAAACCGAGGTGACATTGATTGGTTGTGACAGTTTAATCTTCAGCTGTCCCTTCCCTCCCACATAGGCCCAGCAAACGCCGGCTGTGGCGCCGTTGCCTTTGCGTTGGATCACCGTCCGGGGGCCGTAATTGCTGTAGAATAGGGGGTAGCCGAAGATGGATTGGAGGCGGGATTTCTCTTGGTACTGTTGGGTGCATCCGATGCCGATGATCGAGCCGCCCGACGACTCCAGCGCATAGTCGGGGATTCCGGTCTTGTCGGCGTCGTATCGCTCGATGTATTCCTTGATGAGGGCCTTCACTCGGGACATGTACAGGTCTTCGGAGTGCTGGTGTTCGCGGCGGAGCTCGTCGGCCTGGAAAGTTTTATTTTTCAAAAAAGAAAAAACAAAGAATTTTGTGATTTTTACTTGAAAAACTTTACTTTTTAAACAGAAATTGTATTCCCACCTTAAAAACAGTGTCAAAATTTTGAATGTAAAAATCTCAAGTGGCAAAAAACGTACCATTTTGCATCCAGGAAGTATTAAAAATGTGGCAAAATGGTTCCCTCTCCAAGTGAAAAAATCCGATTTCAAAAGCGCGCCCGCTCTTTTTGCGAGGGAAAGGGCGCGCCCTTCAAAACGAAGTTTTTTCAGTTGGATAGGGAAGCGTTTTGCCACATTTTTTGATCCTTCCCGGATGCAAAATGGTACGTTTTTTGCAACTGGATCAGTCCCCGTTGTATGACTGTATCTTACAACAATCTTTCGGAAATTTATACTCCATCCCCTCAGGCAAAATTTTCCCACCCTCCCCAACTTACCGCCAAAACATTCTTTTTGGTGCTCAAATTCTCCACCACATTCAGATGTTCCCTTCTTAATCGATTCAATTCATCGACAATTTGGGCGCTCTGTTCGTTGACCCTTCCCAAGATCGAGTGCATGAACTGTTCGAACTTTTGGTCGAGCTGTTTCTCAACGGTCGCCGATTGCGTGGACTTCTTTTCCAGGCGATTTTCGATCTCAGTGAGCTCCGCTTGGATGGCTTTTCTTTCATTTTTCATCAACTCGTCGAGAATTTTGGCGATTTGGGACTCATCCACATTCTTGTTGACCTGAAATTGAAAAAGTGAGAATTTCAAATGCAAACTATTTTTTGCAAAAAATGGCGTTAAAAGTCAGGAGATGGCCAAAGAATTTTTTTGGGAAAAAATTTTAAAAAAGGTGTAAGAAATATAAAAAAATCGTAAAATTCATGAAATTTCATGATGAAAAAACTTTTTTTTTGCCAAAAAATCTCAATTTCCTGCCAAATTCACCTTGTTTTTTTTCGTAGTCAATCAAAACTCCCACCTTAATTTCCTTTTTGAACTTCTCCACCTGTTCATGAAGGGCAGCGAGAGCTTCATTGGGGTCTGCTTGCGCGTTCTTCAACTTCTTCTCCAATCTCTCAGCGTACTCATCCAGTCTCTTGTTCTGGTTTTCGTCCAGCTGGAGCAAGATTTTTGAAATCTTTGAATAAATATCTTCTTCCAGGCCTTCTGAGCGTTTGGACAGATCGTTCTTCAATTTCTCAATTTCCGAGTGCAAGGCCTGAACTTCCAGCGACTTTTCGGTTCGTTCTGTGGACTTTAGCTGAATTGCGAGTTCTTGTCGGATACTTCTGGCGAAATTTTCAATTTCCGCACGGAGTTCGGACTGATGTTTGGGGAGTAATTCGGCCAGACGCACTTCGTAGTCGGATCGGAGACTATCGGTGCGTTGATCAACCTGAAAAAAATTTTTCGTAACTCTTTGGCACATACAGAGCGTAAAGGTAGCATGGAAGATGCCCAGTTTCTTCTTCGAAAGAGTTAGGTGCCCTTTTTCGGCGCTACGACTTTTCGGGTCAACGGACTTTCGCGTCAACGATACAGTGGGGACCTGATCCAGTGGCAAAAAAAGTACCATTTTGCATCCAGGAAGTATTAAAAATGTGACAAAATGCTTCCCTCTCCAAGTGAAAAACTCCGATTTCAAAAGCGCGACCCTCTTTTTGTGAGGGCCCTTCAAAACGAAGTTTTTTTTTTCACTTGGAGAGGGAGGTATTTTGCCACATTTTTGATGCCTCCCGGATGCAAAACGGTACGTTTTTTGCCACTGATTCGAGTCCGTCACTGTAGATTCTCGCCAAAAAATATTTTTGACCAACAATTCATCAATTTCCTTCGTAAAAATCCAATTTCTTACCTGATTTTCCACCTTCGCCACCTCGGACGCCAAGAGAGCGTTGAATTTCTTTTCCAGATTCTCTTGTTCGGCCTTTAGCAGACTTTCCATCATAACTCTAAGCTTCAAAACCAGGGGATGATTGTCGCCGAACTGACCGTCCGTCACTTCTTGATAGACTTGCGGTTTTTTCGTCGGTATGAGATCGTAGACGTACCAGACAAGATCGACGGGGAGGTGGAAGATGTACAAAATCCAATGCCACAGAGCAATGATTGAATTTGCGGCCAGATTTAGGAGGGATTTGAATGAGTCGAGGACTAAAACGGACAAAACATTTATTGCGACATCAAAAAATACGAAAAAAAATTTGAAAAAACAAAAAAATTCGAAAGAAAAAATTTAAACGTAAAACTTCAAAAACATAAATTTCAAGCATGAACTAAAGTGAGAAAGGTTATTATAGCAATTTTGAGATTATTAAAAAGCTGAAGCAAGCGCAAAAAGCTCAAAAAACGGGCTTCGATTCACCTTTGTTGGCAGCGTTGGAGAAAAAGTTGGTAATATTGGAGACCACGTTGCGGACGGCGTCGAAGGATTGGTAAACCTTGTCTTCAGTGGCTGAAAAAGTCACGTTATTCTCAAATCCCACAAAAAGAAAGGAAAATTTGAAAAAAATTAAAAAAACAAAAAAATTTTTGACCCTACTACAACATCAAAAACCCCTTACCTTGATAAATCCTAGAAGTATCGACCTTTGGGAGCTGTGGCATCTTTGGAAGACTGACTTGCGGTACACTAATTTTGGGTAGATGAACTTCTGGGAAGCTTATTTCAGGCAGGGAGAACTTCGGAAAGGTTGGTCTTCTAATCTCCGGGAAGGAGAAGGTCAAAGCTGCCGGCCATGAAAACTCTGGCTTCTTTGGGTAAATCCAGCTTGGCAAGGATGGTCTACTCTCTGCGAGGTATCTATAAACTCTCCATTCCGTTGGCTGAGGCCATCCAATCCACTCCAATTTGGACCATTTCCATTCTCCAATCGTGGGGTGAGGCCATTCCAGTTCTCCAAATTTATTCTGTATCTTGGCTCCGATTTCGCGAAGTCTGATCGGTGACTCGGGAAGTGAAAATGTGATGTTTGGGGTGGCATCAACGACGGATCTGTAGACTCTCGAAGGCTGGGCGAGCAAGAACAGGACAAATTCCAGGATGCGAATCAGGATTTGTTTGACGATTTGGAAGGCTTGTCGGAGGATCTGCCCGCATTTCTCAAAGTACCAAGTCAGCACATCCAAAAAGCCGTTATATGCATAGCTTGTAGCATTCTTCACAGCTCCGTATGTATATCCAAATCCATTTCCAATTCCTTCATAGCCTTTTCCAAGTCCATTCTTCAGTCCATTGTATCCTCCATAGACAATATTCGCAGCTCCGTCGTAGACAAAAATTCCTCCATTTTTAGTGGCATCATAGACATGGTAGATTCCGTTCGAAACTCCGTTATATCCGTGGATAACAGCCGACTTGCCATTGTCATAGATGTAGTAAACGCCATTCGCTCCTGTATGCTTCACATTTTTTGCCAAATCCAGAGATTTTGCGGCGATAGACTTGCTAGAATCGGTGAGAAAGCCGGAGGATTTGCTGACAGATCGAGGGATCCAGGCAAACACAGAGTACACTGGAAGAGAAATGAACATAACTATAGGAAATTAGAGGGAAAGCCTGTTACTTTATCGTCATACAAGGCGAAAATAAAAGTACATATGAGGGCACAAAGACCTGGAAGGTCTCCTCTGCCAATTATACGACAAATTCCATCACCAAAAATGCCAAAACCCACCTTTATTCGCCGTCCAATGCACTCCATCGACGATGCCTTTCTGTGAGTACCAGGCCAAATCTTTCAGCGCGCCATACGCGTACAAATGGGCGTTGTAGATCGATGACGCAATAAAAGCTCCACCATTATATGCAGAGCCAAAAACATAAGCGCCAGCTCCATGGATGCCATTATACAGCGAATGGAAGGCATTTTCTCCCGATCCTTGGACAAACTTCCCCGCATTCAACGTGGAATCCTTTGCTTTTTTGGCCGTCTCCGATGCATAACCTGCCGCTGAGCTCCATCCATTTTTAAGGTATGCTCCAGTGGCCGAAACCGAGTCAACAGAACGTTTTTTGAGGTCTTGGATGGACGGGAATGTTGGCAGAGGAGGCAAATAATATTCGAAAGCCTCGGCAAAATCGGCGGTGTCTTGACGGAGGGCGGTGATCACATCTGAAAATCGAATATTAACACCTAGTTAACCAATTTTTATCAATTCTACATTCACAAAATCAAAATCTCACCTCTATTTTTATTCTTGACATTATCGTAGGTGTAAAATCCGATGGGAATTAGTAGAAGGAGCAGGAACAGCACTGGGAGCCAGTTCTTTCTGTCTTCAACGTTCTCCACAACGCCGTTGAATCCTTTTCGAACCAAGGATGGTTCAGTTTCATTTCCCCAGAACAATTTTTTGAGCAGATCCAAGGCCAGCCCTCCATAATACAGCCAGAAGTAGGTCGAGAGGACCTGTTTGAGTTTGCTGGGTTGTTCCACTGGTTCTTCATCGGCTTCCTGGAGTCCGGCAAGGGTTTGACGGCGAGTTTTGGCGGGGGATCGGGATCTATTTGGGGAGTAGATACTCTTTCTAAAATAGGATAAGAATTATATTTTTCGAACATCAAAGACAACCAAATTTCTACAAAAATCGCTAATCTCAAATCTCTAACCTTTTCAATTTATCTTCTCCGGGGATATGTTCCTTTTCTCCAGTCACCAATCTCACAACAACAGCTCCAATGAAAGCCAAAATCTCCAAAATTTTTGCCCAAGCGCTTCTGGCCAAGTCCTTAGCTTTCTGCCAAATTCCAACCTTCTTCGGGGGACGTCCTCGTCTCTTCAACTGGCCTTGATCCTCATGGAAACGACCCAAAGTCCATCCGGAGACAACATACGCAGCAAGTGCAATGTAATCAAAGACCAATTTGGCGAAATTCTTGATCGACTCGAAGATGCCAACAGGCTGTTTCTCATACACATAGGAAACATCGCCGTATCCGCGGGGAGTGGAGATGTTGACAGGGGGCGTGGCTTGGGAATGGATGGTTCGGCGGCTGAGACGGGGAGAATAAAGCGATTGGATTGGAGATACTGGAGGCGGACTGAAAGAAAAATAAATCCTACTTGGCCAAAAACCTCGGAAAAGCATATCAAATCAAAAAAAAGCTACCTGTAACCGACTGGGTCTTTCTTTTTCAAGAATTTTGCGGCCGCAGAGACCACTGAGAAAACGAGACCTTTGAGGAAATCCCAAGTTCGCTTCAATAATCCATCCTGATGAGCGAATCTCACAGCCCGATAGGTCTGAAAATAATTATTAAACCAATGAAATACTATAAAAAAAGATTTTCTGAAAGAAATTACATGAATAACTCATGAATAACATACCCGTTTTCCGGTGTGGAAACTTGCCACAAGCGCGTAGAATGGCGCAAAAATTGTTGGAAACAGCACTGTCGACACATACTTGAACGCTTTCTTGATGCAGAACCATACAACTCCAGCTGCATACATAAATAACTTCAACAGGGCCAAGAACAAGTTGTAGATCCATTTGAAAGCCTTCGACGCGGTCGATGGCCTCTCTCCCCATATGTAAACCGGCTTGGTCGACTGTAATCGGAATCTGGAGTTGTTGAAGTTGTCTCCGTTGTAGGCACCAAAGCGCATTCGAGGTCGATGCATTCGCGGGTGGATGTAGTCGACCGTCCCATCTTTTCTGTACGAAATACTGTCCGCGTAGGTGTAGTCGGTCTGAAAATCACTGTTGATGATGTCGTCGATCTCTTCGCGGGTCAAGGAACGACTTCTGGACCGACTTCGCGGCAGATTCCACTTTTTTCGGAGCTCATCCGTGTCCACGTCTGATCTGAAGGAGCATGAAGAAGAAGCTCGAGAAGAGTCCGGCGACTCCGAATCTCGAGACCGTAATGATGGCATGACGAGCTGAGAAGCCTGGGGCTCAAATTTACCGCTCGACCTTGTCGACTCTTGTTCTTTTCACTTCACTCTGAAAGAAAGAAAAAAATTACATCAAAATTTTGTGTAAAACGAAAAAGACATGTCAATTCGCAAAGTTCACGGCAAAACAACTTTAAAACAACGTCCAGCGCACCTCAAACAAAATGAGTAAACAAACAAAAACAGCAAACAAGTGGAATATCAAAAGAAAATCCACAAAACAAAACCCCCCATCCAATCTAGAACAATGTTACGAAAAGAAACAAATTTCATAACGAAAACAAGCTCCTCGCCTTCGCCACATTTCTTCACCCCCAACAAAATAAAGGCCACTGCAACACTGGGAAGCACAGTCATCCTGGCAAGCCCACGAAAATCGCCAGAAACACGCCAAAAGCAATATTGTTTATACCCAAATGTTTCAAATGTGAGCTAGGATTGGAAAAACGGTTTTAAAGCAAGGTATTAAATTGCACTGGTACATCTCAACAACGCCTTTCGTTGGCTTTCCCTCCAAAAAAAATTCGCGTTCCTTTTTCCCGTTCGTGACGAAACGCCACAACGGAATGTCACTATTGATTTTCGCTAGTCCTTTTCTTTTTGCGAGAAAGTTGGAAGTTTGCTCTTGAATGGGGCGAGATTGGTGTTTCATGGAGGTTTGAGTAAGTTAATTTTTGAGATTGAATTCGTTTTATGTAGTTGTGTGGCATGTTTGGATATTTTTTGAGATTTTTTTTATCGTTTTAGATGGCGGGATCTACAGCGAATGAAGAAGTTCTCCGGAAAAGGAATCGAAAACCAGTACCATGGGAACCGTACAAGGGCGCTACTAAAAATTCAGAAAAGCTACTGGCAAACGAAGTTCCTATCGAGCCGGTGAAATTAGTGAAGTATCCAATCAGTACTGATTTACCAGAGAGCTGTCGAATAGGCACTAATATCGAAGTGGAAAACGAATTCGATTTGAATATTGGAAAAAAGAAGCAAGTTCCATCAGCGAGAGTGGTAAAGGTAAGATATTTTCTCCCATTTTTCTGTATTTAGGTTATTCATCATTGATAATACCAACTCTTTATTCAAAATTTATTTTATATCCAAACAAGGGCATTATTGTGCAGAATTGATAGCTTCTGGGCCAAATCCGGCTTCGCGTTTGCCGTAGTAACCGTACCCATACCCGTAGTAGGGGTAGCCATATCCGTAGTATCCTCCATAGTAATATTGAGCCGAGCCTTGTTCAACAACAAATGCAACCAAGAACAAGACCAAAAGGCAGATAGCGAAGGTGGATCGGGAAAGAGCCATTTTGAGTTGATTTGGGAAATAACCTGCGTCGATTTATATATCAAGTCAAAGTTTACTCGGTAACCTGTAATTTGTTTGTTCAGTGGTTGATTTGTGTGTATTTTTTGGGTTATCCTGACGGAACGTTTGCGTTGCTGCATACCGGGGCGTTTACAAACAAATTTCGGTTTGATTCGGTTATGTTTAAAATAATTTTTTTTTATTATTTTACAGTCCAACTTTATTATTTTTAGCCGGAGCCGCCAAAGCCCCCTCCAGACGACAAAGAAGTTGCATTATTGCGGAAAGAACTCCAGATCCAACGGGATATCAATAAAGAACTCAAAACATTATTAGTCCAAAGCCTCTCCGAAGATGTTCATTGTCAAATCACGTCATTGGCCGAGGATAAGGTCCGATTGGCCAAAAACATTGATTCCTATCACTTCCGTGCCAGCTCTGAGGCCGAGACGAGAGAGAATTTGGCGTTGGAAAACCAGTTATGGCGGAGTAAATTTCTGGCAATGGCGATTCGAGCGGATGATTTGACTTATAGTCTTCATCAATCGTTGAGAATGGTCAAAAATGGTGAGAATTTATGTAAAAACTTGTTAAAAATTTAGGATACGGTTTTTGGATCGAAAGTAGAGATTTTTTTAAAATTTTTTTTATCGTAAAGTATTTTATAATAAAATTTTTCCAGCTCAACACACAATCTCTGAGATCCTCCCTTCCGTCCCATCACTTACCGAGTCCCTAAAACGAACAATTTCCGAGCTCCTTTCCATCGATGTCGTCAATTTATACAACAAATCCCCTTGTGATGAAAGTCGAATGGCCGCGATTAAAAAATGCCCTACGAATTTGACCATCAGCTGTTGTAAACGGTGTCATGGGAAGGAGATTAAATTATTGTAGTCCTCAAAATTTTTTATTGCCTTTAATTGTGATAGAAGCTTTTCCTCGGTATTTATGTCATTTTCACTTTTGCATTTGTTGAATTTTACAGCTAATATATAGGGTTGTATATATTTTGTAAATAAATATTCGATATGAAAGACTTGGGAGCTTCGAAGGTGGTAAAAAATAAGGAAATTTTAATTTTTTCTATAGGTTTCCCGGATTACTTAATTCCTGACGTCTCCCACCACGAACACAACGAGTGCTATAAGGTGCTTGGCATTCCGTCTCAAGCAGATTTTTGGCGCTGCGAAAGTGGATGTGCGTTCTACTCCCACTTTTTTGTCCATAGACGGGCTTTTGCGGGTCGGAGTGATGGACGACACCTCGGTTGGCACCAGATCTCGTCGTCGAGTAGCTCCAAAGCAAAAATTCTCGCCAACCCATGAATCCACACCTCCAAGTAAGTCCTGAGCTCGTGACGGTTGTATTATTGAGCAATTTAGGTGCCCGGAAGTTGTCCAATGGCCGAATGAAGAATGGGCCGGCGAAAAAAGCCGCAACTTCGGGTTCTGCGACTAAAAGAAACGCGGGGAAGAATGGAAAAGGTAAGTAGAAGGAGAGTATAAATTTTTTATGTATGAAATAGCGTTGTAACGTTCGGATAAGACGTAGGCTTTCTCAGTCTGTCTTCTTCGTCTTGTATCTTCAATATTTAGGGTTATGTTTGCTATTTTTTTAATAAAATTACCTTACTTTAGTCTTCCCGGATGTTCAAATCAAAGAAGAGCAGAAAACGCCTTCTCCAGTTCCCCCAGAAGACGGCGATCCTCGAACTAGCGACACTATTTCACTATCAACATCTCAGTCTTCTTCTAATACTCTGCGTGAAATTAAACCAGAACTGGAGGAAGAAATAACCTTCAACAACTCTGGTCGAGTCAAGGAGATAAAGCCTGAGCCCATGGAAGACTACGAAGTCCCATCTCCACCATTGCCCGATTCAGAACAAGATAAGACTGTTGATGAGACTGCAGAAGACGAAGAGGAGGAAGACGGTGAGTCCTATGTTGTGTTTTCTACGATTTTAGGAGTTGGACCTTATGCTCAAGATTTTATCGGAAATGAAAGCCGAAAACTTGTTGTTACACTCTTTCTTAGACAGTTTAGGTGTTTAGCGTTCTACGTATCCTTTCACAGTTTTAAATTTTATATATAGGCTATTTTCGCTAGAGAAATTCGAAATTGTTTTTGAGGTTGCAAGGATAATATAAAATAATATTTTTAGAGGAACCGACTTGTTCCACATCACAAGAGCCTGTATGCGAAGAATGTTCAGGGCCTCTAGATGCCAAACCAACGGTTCTTACAGATTCGAATGTAACCATTGAGGACGAATGTATCAACCTTTCTGCGATTTTGGTTGGAAAACTGTTACCGTCAGAAGTCAAATGGATGAAAGATGTAAGTCGGATAAGAATTGATGATTCTTTTGGTCTTTAGAGAGTGTAACAACAAGTTTGAGGCTGATTAATTTTTCCGACTTTTTCTGTGAGGTGAAAAAAACAAGATTTTTTTGGCCGGAAGGAAGTCTTTTTCGGTTTATTTTTGCTGAAATTATTTTCTCTTGAGATTTTTTTTGAGATTCCACGGAACAAAGGGTGCCATCATGCCTTACTTTTACGGAAATTTTAAACTTTTTGTTTTTTTGTTGCAATTTTTATATTATACTAGACGATTTCAGGACAAATGCTTAGAGCAGAACGCCGTAATCTCAATATTAACCCAAAAGCTGGACGAACACGAAGATCAGAATGTAATTCTAACATCACTTACCCTACCTGTGCTCGAGGCGCGCACATTAACCTTGACAGCGCCGGATTTCGAAAAGGAATTCAAATTCGCAGTGGATAATAGGAAAGATACCTTGATTTGGATCGAGAAACCAAGTATCGACATATCGGATAATAATGAACTAATCCTCAGAGGTGTTGTTCAAGCCTCGAAGACCCCGAAGATTGTGTGGACAAAGGATGGACGGCCCATAAAACCCGGAAGAATTGTCGAAACCAATCGAAAAATGAAGGATGGACAATATAAATGCGAAATAAAGTTGATCAAAGTCAAGAGAGACAAAGATGAAGGCTCATATCAAGTGGAAGTCAGAGCCGACGACAAGGTTTTGACCGGAAAAATTAACCTAGCATTCCGTAAGTTGGGCTTTGAGATTTTTTTCTTTGATTTTTAGGTGATTATTGGATCATTTATCGGCGATTTTTTTAGAAAAAGACGAGAAACCCTGGCTCGTCCGTAAACCTCGAATCGACGAAGCCACCAATAAAGCCGGAGTAGACTTTATTGTTTTCACCGTTGTGTTTGGCTCGATCGTAGAGCCGACTGTTAAATGGTTCCGAGAACGGAAGAATAAAGAGTCGAAACAATTGAGCGGAAAAGGACGAAAGAAGTTCAATGTAAAGCCAACTGACCGCCCAAATGTTTACGAAGCCACGCTGAGAATTAGAGTGAGTCCTGGGACAATTTTCTGACAAAAATGCAACATGTTTGGTGGTTAAAGTCCTAGTACAATGTAAAAATGATTTTTTTTTTCAGCAATATCGCCCAATCGACTCCGGCTCGTATTGTTGTCAGATCACCACCTCGGGAGGGCAATGTGAAGCCAGAGTGCTGGCCAAGATAATACCCAAAAAGAAGAAGGTGGACTTGGCGAAGAGAGCATTGAAAGAGAAAAAAATGAAGAAAAAAGCTCTTGAGGCACAAAGAAATGGAAAAATTGGTAAGGAACTTGAATTTAGGCGTTGGTATTTGAGTTCGAATGTATATTATGAATTTTTTGCTTTGCAATTGATCACCACCAAATTTTCAGAGCCCGAAAAGAACGCGAAGAAACGCAAACACCAAGACGCTGTTATAAAGGAAGCCAAAAAGAAAAAGATCTCCTGAAACAAATGCCCGATTCTTATCGCAACGAAAAGATCTTCGCCATGATGTACATAAGACTCCTGAATTTTGATAATCTATCGTCCACATGGTACCACAACTAGTAGTTTAAATAGTCTATTCTTTACTTTTTATTGTTTATTTATGGGATAGCTAGATTTGGAAGATTTGTTTTGCTAAAATCTTGAGAAAAAATGGATCAGAATTGACAACAATTGTATTTTTGAAATTTATGAGACCTCCATAGCAGATTTTGTGAGCTTTATGCCTTCAGGGTTGCGTTGAAAGGACAATTTTATCCGCAAAAAAATTCTTTTTGTTATAAAAAAAAGTTACACAATTCTGGAGGTTGATGTAAGACTGAATATCGCTTTTATAGATTTCATTAACTTCAAACAAGGATAAGTCATTTTTAAAACGAAAAGAAATTTTCTGCGAATCTATCAATAAAATTGTGCTTTCAACTCAACCCTGAAGGTACAGTGAGGGACCTGATCCAGTGGCAAAAAAGGTACCATTTTGCATCCGTGAAGTATCAAAAATGTGGCAAAATACTTCCCTCTCCAAGTGCAAAAAAACTGATTTCAAAAACGCGCTCTTCAAAAGGGAGTTTTTCACTCGGAGAGGGAAGCATTTTGCCACATTTTTGATGCTTTCCTGATGCAAAATGATAAGTTTTTTTTGCCACTGGATCAGGTCTCTCACTGTATACAGCTCACAAAATCTGCTAACCAAAAAAAATGGAGGCCTTATAAATTTCAAAACTATAATTTTTGTCAATTCCGACCCATTTTTTCACAAGTTGTTCGCAAAACAAATCTTCCGCACCTCGGCTGATTTCCCACGCCTTTCCAACTCGTATTTTACAGCATTCGGCTGTAATTTTGTTGAGATATTTCTAATGTTTTTTCTTCTGCCAAAACCTTGATCTGATTCCACAATTTTCCTTGTTGCCGTCATACGGCCGCGCTCGTTGTTATAACACATTTGAAACTAACTTATCCTGTTATAAACACTTTCTTACCGCAAAACAGACGCTTTATTTGGGTTTACGACACCCTAAAGTTACTTCTGCGCTTGGATTTTTGTAGATTTTGGGACACAGTTGGACGCCTCAGATAAGGATTGGGATCAGGCGCCCTAGATTGTGTGATTTGATGAGTTTACGACATCCGGGTAAAAGGAAAGATGAAACGATATCAGTCTGTCGGAAAAATAACGGCGGATCGTCGCATCAAAATGTCTCGCCTCGCCGCTATCGCGCACCAAATCCCAAGCCGCGGCTTGCAGTCGCAAAGCGATGATGGGCGATTCCGAGGCGCGATGATCCGCCGTTATTTTCCCGACAGACTGATAGTTTTTTTTCGGAAATTATATCGCCAAGCCCAGCCCGGGCTTGGAAAATTTGGAAAGCCCGGCCCGGAAAATGTTTACACTAGGTTGGAAAGAAAGAAAGCGGGAAATGAAAGGAAAATTATGGCAAATTTTCGCAAAATGTAAAGAAAAATTTACCAAAACCTAGGTACATAAGGTCACTTTACGTTCGCTATCAGCATTGTGTTCGAAAAAATGAAAAATTCTATCGAAAAAGCATATTTTTTCCTTTTTTCCGGGCAAAACATAGGTTTCAAAAAAACCGGGCCGGCCCGGGCCGGGCCTAAAAATCGAAGCCCGGAGTCGGGCCGAGAAATTAGTCGGCCCGGCCCGGGCCGGAAAATTTTACAAAGCCCGGCCCGGAGCCATGTCTAATTTGGACTGTAAAATTTGTTTTCTTTCCACCTCATAATCCCCTGTGTGATCGTATAAGACAAGTGATCGCTGATTCTACAGCTGTTTATAAGTGCGCCTTTATTTTGCCGACCGCATTAAAACGCCGATAGCGCCCAATGTAAACGATCCATTGTCCTCTCAAAGCATATTGCGCTAGCAGGCGTTTACGCCGGCCAAATACAAGGACACTTTCGCACCAATTTGGTGTGTTTTTTGGGAAAAGAACTTGCCCCACGATCACTCCGAGTCTTTTTTTCCCGTTATTTTGGGCCCTGAATTAATCAGAAGGTCCTGGCCGAACAACTGAAATGCGCAATTTCTGGCCCGAAGATTTTATTGTTCGATGGAAGAACAAAAGTATCAGTCTTTCGGGAAATATCTGATCGCTGCGCCGATAAAGTCGAGTTTGCCGCGACACAATTCTTTTCCGGAGTTGGAAGATTTGGGAAAAAGACGATTGGGGAAACCGAAAAGTATTATTTTTGTTCCATGCAAATGGAGAAATCAGGAAAATCGAGGGTGCTGATTTCGAAAATGACATTCATTTTTTGATTGATACTTTTTTCCTTAAGTAGTACTGTAAAGTAGTCATTTTTTGAATTTTTTTTCATAAATACTCGATTTAGGGGTTTTCGAAGGTGCTGGTTTCGAAAATCATGTTAACTTTTCCTCTAGCACTAAATAGTACTATCTGATACTATGTAGTATGATGTATAAATTTGGTCTTTAGGTGTTAGGGGTGTTGTTCTGGTCCTTAGTACTCCTATTTCGCCTCATACTATTTAGTACTAGAGGAAAAGTTAACATGATTTTCGAAACCATCACCTTCGAAAACCCCTAAACCCAGCATTTTTCGAAAATTTTCAAAAAATTACTATTAACAGTACTGCTTAAGGAAAAAAGTAACAATCAAAAAAATGAAAGTATTTTCGGAATCAGCACCCTCGATTTTCCTAATTTCGACATTTGCATCGAAGAAAAATAATACTTTTCGTTTTCCCCAATCGTCTTTTTTCCCAATCGTCCCAGTTCTCTTGACGGCGATGCGATAGAGTGCAAATTATTTTCTCGGCAACATGATCGTAATCTTGGGCTTTCACGATTCTGTGCGAACGTTTCGACGAGAAAACGCTTACTAAAAATTGAAGCGAAGCGAAATCGTTTGGCTCCGCCCCCTCTCCGGTTCGCTGTTCCCGCGGCAATCAGCCTCTCTTTTTGGCGGGAAGACCCGATCGGAAACAGTGTTTTTGGCCGTGAGCTGTCTTGGCCGTTGAAGCCGACAGTCTCTCTTTCTTTGCAGCGAGAGGAGGCAGCTCTTGCAGCTCATTTCGACTTCTTCTGTGCAGATTTGTTTCAGTTTTAGCTAATTCGAGCGATAATTTAATTTTATTATTTTTAGGTCCATTTGACGGAATTCCGCCGGTTTACTATGATTTTTTTGGGTATTTGAAGCTGAATTGGGTTGTGGAAGGTGTTTGTTGGCCTATGAGTGTGTTTTTGGTCTGATTCGTCTTTTTTTTCGCCTGTTTTAGGTGCTTGTTTTTTGACGTTATTTTAGGTGCGGGTCATCAAGGTCATTTGCATTCTTGGAGGTATTTTTACTGCAGAAGCTGTGTAAGAACATTATAATCCTATCAGTTGCATTTCACACTGATTTAGGGAATTTTGAATTATTTTTGGATGCTTTTCGGCATTGCTTTAGGTAATACCTAAACATCTTTTTTTACGTGAGAAAAGATGGGATTTACTGCTTAGCCGTTTCTACATGAGTTGTATGAGTTACCTAATTGGCTATCATACCGAGTTTTGCCACAATTTCCGTTGTTTTCACCAGTTTTCTTGTTGATTTTGATTTGTCGACGAAGCTTGTCAAATCTTAATTCTCGTGAAGTTGCATTTGGACGACCTCTCTAAACTACCTTTATGACCACTGCAGTGCACTGTGGACTGATTTTTTATTGATTTCACTTTTGTTGCGGTCGATTTCGGATACTTTCACCTGATTTTACGGACAAAAACAAGGTCGACGAGTTGATTTTTTCGCATTGTCGTTAATTTTCTTTACTGGGTTTGGCAAGCGATTTAGGAATAAAATTAATGAATGCATACCAGTTTGAATAGGCATATTTTAAAATTAGATGTCTACTACAATATAAAGTTTTGAATCTCTTGTTGATTTGATGCTTTTAAAGGTTTTTTGTGGTCCTAACCGATGCTCTTGAGCTTTTTTGTGGTTAGTCTTTTCGTTACAACGTCCATTTTTCAGTATTTATTTTTTTTATTATCCGTGCCTTTTTTGTAAAATTTTCCCTTTTGTTGATTTTTTAGCCGAACATTGAGTTCTTTTTTGACCCATGAAGCTCGAGGCAGTGTTTTCATCCATTCTCAGCATTTTTTTGCACTTTTATGAATTTCGTCGCAACTTTTTTCCTATTTATCAATAACTACTATCTTTTTGTCTCATTAATCTTTCCCGAAAGTTGACGAGATTGACGCTTTGTGTTCCTTCTTTGATGCCAAGTGGCTGTAAAAACATCAAATTGATTTTAAAGAAATTTTTATATTTTTTTCACCCGTTCGTCATTTTTTAAAATTTTTTTTGCAAGATTATAGCTATTTTTTTAGCCCAGCTCGAAGAGCATCGTACAATGGCTCAAGCCAAACCGGATCGTTTCCCATTTGAGAGTGATTTTGGCAGTATTCCGAGTAAGTTTTTTTTTTGGTTTTTGATTCATTTAGATATCAAAGTTTTTATGTAGCCCGGATGTTTTACAGATAAAGTAGCACCATGCGACGTTGGCATGCAAACCTTTCCGATTCGAACAAACACAATTCGATTCAGTTTCATCGACAAACCCGAGTTCCCAAGGAAGGTGATCAAGTATCACATCGAACTGAACGCCATCAAGCTCATACGACGTCGAGATGAAAATCAACAACTCCAAGAAGATCAAGTGGAAAAAACGATCTCCATGCACAGAGGAATGAAGGGAGAGTAAGGAGTTTGAAGATTATTGTTTTTGAAATGATGTCCAATAAGTTCGGCTTGCGATTTGACGAAAGTTATAAGGTTTTTGGGGAACTTGGACGATTAGGGAAACCAAAAAGTGTTATTTTTCTTCGATGCAAATGTCGAAATTATGATAATCGATGGGGCTGATTTCGAAAATCATGTTAACTTTTCTCTCTAGTACTATATAGTACTATCTGATACTATGTAGTACGAAGTGAAAATATGGCTTGTGACGTTAATGGTGTTGTTTTGACGCTTAGTACTCTGCAAAAACACGTTTTAAAGGCTTGGTGCTATTTAGTACTACCTGATACTATGTAGTACGAGGTGAAAATTTGGCCTTTATGCGTTAGTGGTGTTGTTCTGGTGCCTAATACTGCTATTTTCACCTCGTACTATATAGTATCAGGTAGTACTAAATAGCACCAAGTCTTGAAAACATGTTTTTGAAAGTACTAAGCATCAAAACAACACCATTAACGTCAAAAGCCATATTTTCACCTCGTTCTACATGGTATCAGATAGTACTATATAGTACTAGAGAAAAAGTCAACATGATTTTCGAGCTCAGAACCATCGATTAACCTAATTTCGACAATTGCATCGAAGAAAAATAGCTCTTTTCGGTTTTCCCAATCGTTTTTTCCCCAATCGTCCAACTCCGGTTTTTTTTTGGTCGGAAGTTTGCTAAATTTTAATTTTCTTTAGATTTAATCATAGTTTAAAAAAAGTTCCATATTTGTTCAGATACCCATAAATTTGTATAAGTCGATTTTTTTCCAGAATTCCGGCCCAACAACGAAAGTTTATCTCATACGCGGTGATTGATCGAATGATTGCCGACAACAAGATGGCTCCAGTCACACAGAAGGATATCTGTTACGATTCGGGTCACATCTTGTATAGTCCAGTTGAGTTTGTTCCCAGAGGGCAGAAGAAAACGTTCCGAATCGAAGTCGCCGATTCACAGGAGCTTCAGAGGCTGGACACGAGTTTCATGGCCACGCCGAGCGCTTACGAAGTGAGTTGGAGAAGTTTTTGGAGGTGGGAGATTGTGTGTAAGAATCCGGAGACAATTTCGGAAATTTTTTCCCATTTTCGATCGGTTTTTTATAAATTTTTAGAGGTACCCTAAATTTGAGCCTTTGTTTTTTGCCAAGTATTTTCAGAAATTTAGATCTTGGATTTTTGAGGGCAATGAAGTAAAATTTTTTGCTTGGAGTGAGGACGTGATCCAGTGGCAAAACATGTACCATTTTGCATCCAGGAAGCATCAAAAAATGTGGCAAAATACCTCCCTTTCCATAAAGTATAATAAAAAAGTCGGATTTCCCCGCTCTTTTGTGAGGAAAAAGGGCGCGCCCTTCAAAACCAAGTTTTTTCACTTGGAGGGGGAAGCATTTTGCCACATTTTTGATACTTCCCGGATGCAAAATGGTACGTTTTTTGCCACTGGATCAGGTCTCCCACTGTAGAGCGTGGATTTTTGAGGGCACTGAAACAAATTTTTTTGCTTATTTAGCGGAAGAAAGTGCCCAGATTTTTAGGTCAAAAGCTGAAAGTTATGGAAATTTTAAATTTTTTTTCGAATTACGATCGGAAATTGATAGAAAATGTCTTCCAGGCCGAAGTGGAATATGTGGAGGAAGTGATAATCTCCAAGACGATCAACCCCCAAGCCACCCTCCAATTCCTCGATGTGCTGACGTCAATGTTTATTTGCCGAAAAATGCTGAAACAGCAGAACATAAAAAATCTGGAGAACACGTTCTATTTCATGGATAAAGCGACCCCATTCTCACAAGATCCTCGAATCCTGGTGCGCGGCATCAGCAAAGCCGTGAAATTGGTGAACAGCGAGAAGGAAAAGGACAGAATTGGATTTGCCATACAGCTTCAAGGTGAGCTTGAATGAATGGAGGGGAGACGCTCAGATTTTCTTCAAATTTTGCACACATGTCGGTCATGAAATATCTATCGATTTCTGAAAGTTTTAGCTCGCGCTTTGCAAGCGCCGCTGAGATATTGAACGATCTTTGCCGCCGAGAGAGTACGCTAAACGCGGAGAGCGGTCAGAGAGAAAAAACACTTTTTGGCCGTAACTTTGCTAGTTTCGTGCGGAACAGACATGGCAGGGGGGCCGGGCCGGGCTTTGGAAATTTTGAAAAGGGCCGGGCCGGGCCCAACGTTTCGGGGGCCGGGCCGTGGGGCCTGGGGTTGGTTTTTCGGGCCGGGCCGTGGGGCCTGAAAAAATTTGGGCCCGGCCCCTTCAAAAAAAATTTTTTTAATTTTTTGTCTTGAAACGAAAAATTGGGGTGCCAATTTTTTTGGCATTCTGTTTTGAGCAAAAAATTTTTTATTTTTGGCAGTAAAAGCGGTTTGTAAGACAGGAAAACCTCATTTACTATTTAGAACCTTACTGGCAATGACAAAATACATCGAAAAAGTTTTTAAAAGTTAACTTTTAGTCAAGTTTGAATAGTGTTTCACTATTTTTCGACTAATTTTGCCTAAAATATTTTTTTCATTACAAATCCCCGACCTTCCATTATCTTAAACCTGTATGTTCATAAGGATATTGGTATGTTCTTTGTTATAAATGGGCAACCGGCTCAATTTATGACCAATAATGATGAATAATTCGAGAATTTTTATCCAGATGCCATGAATAATATAATTTACCTTCTCAAATGCTATACATTGGTTTTTCCTGGAGTCTGGCGATGGATTTGACAATCAAATGGCCTGTCTGATGTTTTCAATTTACTTTCACGACCTTCTTACCTGTGATTCAATTTTCCATCTTCCAAAAAATCATCAAAAATCTCAAAAACGTGTAAAAAACATGAATATTATTCTTAAATCGTCAATCTTCTTGTGTTTCTCAAATTCTTATTACATTTCCAACATGTCAACACTTTTTACGCCGCTCAATTCGTCCTAGCTCGGACGAAATCATCATGGATAATATCGGGGAAAACTCAGAAAATCGTCAAAAAATCAATATCAAGCTTCAGAAATAGTTCTAAGTCGCACATATTCTCATTCCCCAAGGACTGCTGGACATTTCCCACTAAAAATTAAAATTTTGATTTTTCTACAGTAATCCATCTACTACGGTAACTCATGGTATGATGGACGGAAATTTTTAAAAATTTGCACAGAGAATTTCCATGCCGTGAATTATAATTTCGCCAAGTTTCATCCAAATCCATCGACCGCTACCAGAGTTACTGAAGATTATATTTTCCAAAACCTCCTTTTTTGAACCTTCAAAATCGGGTTTTTAACCCTATAGTAACTACTGGGCACATTTTGGAAACCATATCTCAGGCATAAGATGACCGATTTTTGATTTTTAAAAAGTATTTGGACTAATTCGAGTACTGCGAGCCAAGATATGACGTTAGTTTTTTCCCTAAGGGGTCAAATATGGCCGAAAACACTATGCCAAAATATTGCCAAAATGGCGGGAAAGTTTTTCTTTGAACGGATCTTGGCGGTTCCATGATTAGAATAGTTGAAGAAGTGTCTGAGCAGCACATTCGCGTTATTTTTTTATTTTTCACGTTCCAACGTGGTGAGATATTCCACTTTCTGCTTAAAAATCTGAGATTAGAACTTTCAGGATGAAACACCCTCAACCTGCCGTGAAAAATACACCATTTAAAGCATAACATCTTGAGTATATACAAAAGCCATAACACACAAAAATCCGCTCAAATTCGATCAAAACCACCGTTTCCCGCCATTTTGGCAATATTTTGGCATTGTGTTTTCGGCCATATTTGACCCCTTAGGGCAAAAACTAACGTCATAACTTGGCTCGCAGTACTCGAATTAGTCCAAATACTTTTTAAAAATCAAAAATCGGGTAACTTATGCCTGAGATATGGTTTCCAAAATGTGCCCAGTAGTTACTATAGGGTTAAAAACCCGATTTTGAAGGTTCAAAAAAGGAGGTTTTGGAAAATATAATCTTCAGTAACTCTGGTAGCGGCCGATGGATTTGGATGAAACTTGGCGAAATTATAATTCACGGCATGGAAATTCTCTGTGCAAATTTTTAAAAATTTCCGTCCATCATACCATGAGTTACCGTAGTAGATGGATTACTGTAGAAAAATCAAAATTTTAATTTTTAGTGGGAAATGTCCAGCAGTCCTTGGGGAATGAGAATATGTGCGACTTAGAACTATTTCTGAAGCTTGATATTGATTTTTTGACGATTTTCTGAGTTTTCCCCGATATTATCCATGATGATTTCGTCCGAGCTAGGACGAATTGAGCGGCGTAAAAAGTGTTGACATGTTGGAAAAGTAATAAGAATTTGAGAAACACAAGAAGATTGACGATTTAAGAATAATATTCATGTTTTTTACACGTTTTTGAGATTTTTGATGATTTTTTGATTTTTTGGAAGATGGAAAATTGAATCACAGGTAAGAAGGTCGTGAAAGTAAATTGAAAACATCAGACAGGCCATTTGATTGTCAAATCCATCGCCAGACTCCAGGAAAAACCAATGTATAGCATTTGAGAAGGTAAATTATATTATTCATGGCATCTGGATAAAAATTCTCGAATTATTCATCATTATTGGTCCTATATCGAAACCGCTGGCCGTTTGTATCAAGTAAGACACCGAAAACTTCGTGGTAACATCTTAAAACAAAAAAATAGCAATTAAAATGCAAAATTTAGAGTAATGAAAAAAGGGCCGGGCCGGGCTTTAGGACCTTTCAGGGCCGGGCCGGGCCGTAAGACCCCTCAGGGCCGGGCCGGGCCGAAGGTGCCCCGGGGCCGGGCCGGGCCGGGCTTTGAAAATTTTGAAAAGGGACGGGCCGGGCCCCCCGGGCCCCAGGCCCGGCCCCTTTTGCCATGTCTGGTGCGGAAAAAATTGATTTTTTGTGGAAACATTATCCTCTATGATAGAAATAGGCATGAAACTTTTCGTGCCGAAATTCGGAAAAAAGTGTCAAATTTGCGCCAAATTTCGATTTTGAAATCTCGGTTGTTTCTGCAACGCGCGAGCTAGGATTCTCGCATATATCTTAGAAAAAATTATTCGAAATTTGTGCCAAGTTTCATCAAAATCTGAGCGTCGCACTTGGGGTACTTCCCCTGTGAGTTGAAATCTGAAATATTTTGAATTTTTTTTGTATTTGATGGTCCAGTTGCAATTTTTTCAGTCCGGACCTCACCTTTCCTCCCAAAGACTTCCGTGGTTGAATTCCTCGCGAAACTTTTGGAACGAGCGGCCGGCGGAGGCCGCGGATTCAACGGCGGCGGCGGCCGTTACAACGACAACCGAGGAGGCCGAGACGGCGGAAGGAATGGCGGCTACGACAGAAACAGAGGAAGAGATGGTGGATACGACCGAAACAGAGGAAGGGATGGTGGATACGATCGAGGAAGAAACGACAGGTACGGAGATCAGAGGAACGACAGAGACCGATCGGAAACGAGGGCTTCGAACTCCGGTGGAAATGAGTTCTCTCGAAAACTGGCCGATTTGATCCGTGGAAAAGTGGATTTGGCCAAGAAACACATGAAAAGTGGGTTGTTTTTTTGCGCGACAATTTTTGTTCATCATTGCAGATGTGGTTGTTCGAACCACCCATCAAAACAAGAACCGTTTCTTCCCCATCCACACGCTCACCGATCGGCCCTTCGGAGAGCTGAGCTTCGAGAAGAACGGCCAAAAAGTCCGATGTTTCGACCACTTCCAAAGCCAGAGGTACGCTGTAACCGTTAATCCCGACTTGCCATGTGCCGTTCAACTTGATTCAAGGAACAAAAGAGAGATTTATTATCCGTTGGAGGTGCTGGAAATTGTGGAAGGCCAGAAAGTCAGCATTCAAAAGACCCAGGAGGAACCAAATTTGGTGGGTTTTTAGAGTCTACGAGATTTTTTTGAGAAGTATTATAAAAAATTTTCAATTTTTGGGACGGGTTAAAAAATTTTTTTTAGTTGGTCAAGTACAATATAATTTTTTCATTCAATTTCAGACTGAAATGATGACTCGCGAGTGCCAGCTTCCCCCCTCGTCGTTTGTCGACATGATAACCACGATTAGCAAGGAAACCTTTGTCCTGAGAAACATGAATATCTACACGAAACTCTATGGAGTAAGTGAAAAATTTTTAAAATTTTTTATTTCGAATTTTAGATTGACTTCGAAACGGATCTCTCCACCACCCAAGCCTTCCAATTGAGACCGCCCGAGATTGTGTACAGCAATTCGACGGCCCAAGTGGACATGAACAACTTGAACTGGCGATTGGAAAGAATGACGTTTGCCGAAACTCCGAAGGGAAAAATGCGATGGGGAATTGTTGCCGTAAATGGAGCGGCGCATGAAAGTGAAATGCAGTCAGTTTACTTTGAAATTTATATTGAAATTGTAAAATTTTTATTATAAGTTTTATTTATTAAATTTTTTCAGAGATTTTGCCCGTGACTATCTGCAACGAGGCGGCGATCTCTCCCTCCGTCTCGATCCCCAGCCCGTCTGCCTTCAGTTCCGTGGCCGACAAGGGATCGCGGACGCATTTGTGGAGCTGAGGAATAGAGATTGCGGCTTTGCAATCTTCGTTTCCCAAAATAAAACCGACGAAGTCCACACTCAAATCAAGGTCCATGAAATCCAAAGCGGAGTCATCAGTCAGCATGTGGTCAAAAGAACGATCAGTCCCATGAAAGCAGATACTTTTAAGAATTTTATAATGAAAAGTAATCTCAAGCTGGGCGGCTTGAACCATTACCCAAGACTGGATCAACAGACTGCAAGAACTGTGGAGTAAGTGGCGTTAATGGACAAATTGATTTTTTTTGCACTTCTATAATTTCTTCAATTTTTTCAACAAATTGATTTTGAAATAAGTCTTGAACGAAAAAAATTTGTTCGGCCAAAAAATTGCTTTGCGGATCTACAGTGGACCTGATCTAGTGGCAAAAAACGTACCATTTTTACTATTTTGCGTCCAGGAAGCATCAAAAATGAGGCAAAATACTTCCCTCTCTAAGTGAAAAAACTTCGTTTTGAAGGGTCCGCACAAAAGCAGCGGGCGCGCTTTTGAAATCCGAGTTTTTTTTTTGACGTGGAGAGGGAAGCGTTTTGCCACATTTTTGATGCTTCCCGGATGCAAAATGGTACGTTTTTTGCCACTGGATCAGATCCCCCACTGTAAGCAATTTTCAGCATGCGTTTTGCAGAATGAACCGAGATTTTTATACCCCAAGTTGATTTTTTTTTTTTTGATTTTTGCTTTAATTTTTTCAATTTTTTCAACGAATCAATTTTGAAAAATGCAAAAAGTTTTTAGCCAAAAAATTTTTTCGGCAAAAAAATTTTTTTTGTAGATCCCAATTCGTTGTTTCAGAAGGTACCTCCCACTCAAAGCCACCATGTTTATGGGTCTCGGGTTCTCCGGAGCCGGCCCCCTCAGTCTCTACGAGCGTCAACTTGGCAAGGTCAACGAAGTCCCGAACGCAGCGGCCTTGGTTTACTCCTTGAATGACAAGTTGAAAATGCGAGGAAGTTATTGGTACACTCGAAAGGAATCGGCGAACGAAGTGAAGCCGGAGGGAGAAGAAGACGCCAGCAGAGACGAGGAGCGCCTGAGAAGACGCTACATCGAAGCGTTGAGCCATTACAAAGAAGCCAATGGGCGATTCCCGGACCATATTATTGTCTACAGGACGGGAAGTGTAAGCATTTTTTTGGTGAATTTTTTACATTTTTTTTGTTGAATTTTTTACATGAAAATTCTTTCAGTCCGTCGGAGACTACGTCAAAATTGTGGACCATGAAATTGAACAACTCAAGACCGCACTGAGAGCCGTAGACGCCCAGCGAACCACGTTTACATTCATTGTCGCGGCGGATAAGAGTGGATTCAAATACTTCAAAACTGCGGATCAATTGAGACCAACGGACAAACCGGCCCAGCAGAACGTCAGAGGAGGAACGATGCTCTGCAGAGAGTTCACAAGCCCCCGGTTCACGGAATTCATTCTGCAGTCGCATCGACCAATTCAGGTAAAAAATGGCAGATTTTTTTTTTGATTTTTAAAACATATAGGTCACGTACAGTGGGGAACCTGATCCAGTGGCAAAAAACGTATCATTTTGCATCCAGGAGGTATCAAAAATGTGGCAAAATGCTTCCCTCTCCAAGTGAAAAAACTCCGTTTTGAAGGGCGCGCTTTTGAAATCGGAGTTTTTTCACTTGGAGAGGGAAGCATTTTGCCACATTTTCGATGCTTCCCGGATGCAAAATGACACGTTTTTTGCCACTGGATCAGGTTCCCCACTGTATTTTTTGAAAATCGCTGTAATTTAATTGCAACTTTTTCCAGGGCACCGGCCGCACTGTTCGCTACACCGTCCTGGCCGACACCCGCCAACCCCATCGACTCCCGGCTGAAGTTTTGGCCTCCATCACCAACATGGTGGCTTACGCACATGCGATTGTCACTTCGCCCGTCAGCACCCCCGCAATCCTGTATTCTGCCTGTTCGTTGGCCGAAAGAGCGCAGAAACTTCTGAAGTACGCCGACGATACGAGGGATTTGGATGCGCTGGCTGAACGAATGAACCCTGGTTTCGAGACAAGGTATTGGGCTTAGGGCCTATAATAAGGGATTTTTTTTGATTTTTGTTGTAGATGTTTCGGTTATCTCATTGTACGATGTTCTCACTATTTGCTTCTACAAATTTATTTTATTAACATCACTTTAATTACCAAGAATACCTGATCTTTTTAAGTATACTTACATTAACGTTTTCTGAATTTTACAGTTTGTCAAATGTTTAATATTAACCTGCTCGATTGTTATTAACCTCGATTATTTGAAATTTGTTTGAAAAATTTTGTTTCATTTCATAATTTTCATAACCACCGTGCTATAAAGATGTTACGCAAAAAATATCGTGATGATTCTATTTTATTTTCAACGTTTTATTCAAACAGTTGATTCATCGGAGAGTTCGTTGAAATCGAAGACAATCAAGTCGTCAGTCGGCTCCAATTTTGGCGTCGTCTCGCTCGATGGGGCCTCTTTGTTTTTCACAGACCGCGAATCCTTCGGAAAGAGACAAAACTTTCCATCAAACAGATCCCTAAAAATACAAACAATAATAACAAAGGCAACTTACTCATAACAAAATTTCTTCTGTTTCCTCTGTTCCTCGGCCTCTTTTTCTTCATTTTCGGCCACTTTGTTGGTCAATTCACTCAGCAACTCCTCAATTTCATCGAATTTTTCTATTTTCTTGTGGTTCTGACCATTTTCTTTGTCTTTTTCTTCAATTCTCTCAGCAGATAATATCAGACCAACTTCGGAAGGCTGGTCCTTTTTTCTCTTGACCAGTTGATTCAGCCACTCTTCTAATTCATCAACCTCTTCCATTTGCTTCTGGTTCTGGCCATTTTCTTTATATTCTTCTTCAAATTTCTCAGCAGATGATATCAGGCCGGCTTCTGAAGGCTGATCCCTGGCGCTTTTGAACTCATCCTCCTCCAATTTATTCCACGTCGAATCAGTTCCACTTTGTTTTCTCTTCGCCGATTCATTCGACGAATTCGGATTGGAAGTGCACGAAGCGAAAATTTTCGGGCTATTCGAGTCAAAATGCAACGATCTCTTTTCAACATGGTCCCATCCTGGCAAATCGGTCCACGGCTCGTTGAACTTGGCGCGTTCGGCGTTTGGAATGTACTAAAAAACGGCCGGAAACATCAACAACTTATGACTTGGCAAGGATAATATCAAAGCACCTTCAAAAAGCTCGATAATGGGTCAAATTTTTCAATTTTTTTACCGATTATTTCCAAAAATCTACTTATCTCATTAAAAAATCGCTTTTTTACAATTGCCATCCATCAACTTACATGAACATAACAGTCCCACATGATCGGATAATCATCAATATTTTCCAAGACATCCGGCGATCCGAATCCTTGCCTCCCGAGGATCAGCAAAGTCGCGGCTTTCCTCACTCCAGCATCTGGATCGGCGGTGCTCAACCGATGCAAAGTCAAGATCATATTATAAGAGCGTTCGGCTTCCAGATGGGCCAAATAATCCAAGCCAATGGCGTCAAGCAGTTGCGGATAGTACAGTCGGATCAACGGGATAGCTAGAACCAATTATTAGACCACTTTTTGGAAATAGAATTTTTTTTGTCTACTACAACATAATCGCTTACAATCCTTTGCAATTGCCTCCATATCATCGCCAAATATTTCCGCAATGATTGCGCATGGTGCTTTCTCTCCAATCAGCCTAAAGACTTCAACGACAAAGCGATAATAGCTGAAAAATCGCAAAACTTCAAGCTTATGTCAAGTACAATATAAAAAATTGGTAGAATGTAGATTAAATGCCTCACCGTTGTCTTTGCCGATAAGCCTGTTGATTATCGACCAATTTTGTCAACACCAAAAGTTTCAAAAAGCAGAGATCACGAAAATCTCGAGTCTCTGTCATTCGATCAATGTTGGCGTCAAAGACAACTTCAAAAATCCTGGCCAGGCCTTTCAAAGCGAGTGTTCTGGTGTCAGCGCGACTCTCTAAAAAGGGAACATGATAAGCAGAAAAACAACCTACTAATTGCGGCCTGTTGAAACACCTGCAAAATCGGATGGTTCTCGAGGAAGCTGTTCGGCGGATACAGATCGATGCATTTCGTCAAGAAGCTGAAAGAAAACATTCACAAAGCTTCAGAACACTCCATTGCATCTACAATAACGCACTCAAAGATGTCGTCCCTCAGTTTCCAAGTGCACTTGTCCAAAACATCCAGGAAATTCAAAAAAGTTGAAGCCACCTTTTCCCGCTCCTCCTGCGTAACATTCTCCGCACTGATCACCTCGTACGCAACGTCCATGACCTGACCAATTGTCGGTCTGCACACCTCAGTTCGATGCCGGATCGGCAGATACAAAATTGCGTTGGTTTGGAAGGAATTCGAAAGTTCCAACGAGTCCTAAAAAAAAAAAATAAAAAAATAAAAAATCTGACTTGAAGCATTTTATACCACCTTGGTCGTCCACTTACCCATAAAGCAATTTCGTTTTTATCAATCTCGGGCTCATTTCCACCGTCGAACCTTCGGATCCCACTGATATGGGCGCAGAGCAAGTCCAACAAGTGATTCGGTTGTTTTCGATCGCGCAAGAGTTCAATAAATTGAGGTAACGCCTTCAACGAGCTCCATCTGACGTCCGGCTGCAAACAAATTGGCTTATTTCGTGCTCTCGGAGGATCTTCGGAGGTTTTTCCTTCTCCTTTTTGGCGAAAAATCAAATTTGTCCTCTCGCGAGCTGCGCCCATACTTGGCGCAAACTTGCGCAAATTTCGGCGGAACAGCATGACCAAAACACAATTCGCCTGGTAAATTAGATAACCAAACACTTTTTTCCAAAAAAAACATCCGAAATCACAAAAAATTTACATTTTCTGAATTGCACAGTGCCCTGTAGATGATCTCCAAAATAAGCATGTTTTCCAGCGGAAAAATGTTGGCCAAGATTATGAAATGGTCGGCCAGATGCTCTTCGGTCTCCTCCTTCTCCAATAGCGCGATAAAAGTGTTCAGCGACTCCTCATCAATGACTTCATCGGGCAGCAAAAAATGGTCCAGATATTCGGCGGATACTGGAACAAAAATTATTACAACTTCTGTGTACGAACTTTCTGATCAAACGAATTTTACACAACAAATCTTAAGGTCAGTAGTGGGATTTTACACCCAAATAAGTATAGATACAACAAACATTTTAAATCGAATATAAAAATTTTTAAAAAATTCGGCCGTTTTCACTTTTTTTGATAAATCTACTGTAATTACTGCTTACAAATATGTTTCAATTTTGGTCGCTCCTCCTGCAGACGTCCGTTCAACGCATTATCAATCCAATCATCAAAAATATCGGTCGAAATTTCTTGCGATCGATTGATGAGTTTCGGAACCCTCTGAATCGTATCCAAAGTGTTTCTCATAAACCGCTTGACCGGATCCAATTGCCGTTGCCAAAACGGAATATTGGCAGAGAGCAGAGGGTCCGTTCCGTCTGGTTTGGCTTCCTCTCCGTACTCGAGATCGCCGATATCTGAAAAAATCGATAATTTTAGCCAAACTTAGACATAAATAACATCATAAATATAAAATTTTAAAAATACCCGGAATTTCATCCATATCAAAGAAATCGGCAGCGTCATCAAACTCATCGACGTTTGTCTCATCCATCAACGATTTCATATCCAAATCGCAGTCGATTTCATTGATGGACTTCAATCTTGGCGCTGGTTGAAGTTCTAGAGTTACAAAAAACAAAATTACAAAAAAATCATCACAACTTACTCTCCTCACTGCTGCTGACGGTACTCAAATCGGGGAGGCTTTGACTCATACTGTGTCGATTATTCCAGGTAAATTTTCCATGTGGATCAGGGATTTCACTGGCATTTTTTACCATGGGAATTGTCATAAATGGCAGATTTGGATGTGGAGGTTTGGGCGACTGGAAAATAATGCTGACATTTTGAAACTTGTAATAATTTTTTTTTAATTTTTGACCGAAAATTTTTAAAAAAATCCAATTTTTCAAAAAAAAGTCTCGATTCTAGGGTTAAAAATTTCAGGCTATGTTAGCAGTGAGGTGTCTAATATTGCTCTAAAAAATCATTTTTTTCCAAATAGAATTCAGAAAGTTATCGACAAAAAGGTTTTTTTTCTCTGGCCGACTACTCATTTTACGTGCTCTCTCAAAAGAAATCGTTTGAAAATCTCAAAATTCCCTAAAAAATCATGAGAAAAATTTTCCGAGATTGATTAATAATGCCTATTTAGCGTGTCTCTGCCAAATTTCAGCCCTAACTTACCACTTCTCTAACTCCTTGAGCGTCCAACAAGTCGTTTCCGGCCGAATTTTGCGAGCTTGCGCCGGGCTGAGAGGTCGGAAATTTGCCTTTTTGCTGACCCAATTGTCTAATTCCATTCGATTTAGGGCTTTTCGTAATTGACGGAGTCAGCAATGATGCCTTTTGTGCGCTCAGCACTGACTCGGATCGACTTCTTGACAAGAATTTGGCCGGCGGATTCAACAAGGAGGCTCTTTGAGGGGGTCTGGGGTTTACTGCCGGAAATTTTGAGGTCGAGGGGCCTTTAGAATTGGCAGCCGAACTCTTCGACGAGCTTGGTTGAGCGTTCGATGCAGCCGCACATGGTCTTGTGAATCGTTTCGGTGAATCTAAAAAAATCGGGGGTTTCAAAAAAAAAAAAAAAAAAAAAAAAAAAAAATGAAAAAATTTATTCGTTTTTTGGTATACAATTACCTTTATCTGCACCCTCCTCCTGGTCGTCACCTTCCAGTGGTCGGGATTTTCGTCGAAACATTTTTCGCGAAAATTCGACCGCACCGTGTAATGATTCAAATTTAAACTGACTTGGATTTTCATGATGCAGTTTTCTCGGTTGTTTATGCAAATTTCGGAATAAAATTTGACCTTGGGACGTTAAAATACGGATTGGGCATCTTGGCTAAATTGATCGGGCAAATTGGTCAAGTTGACCGATACCTGAAAATCGATTTTTTTGTGAACTTTATTGACCAATTTACCATGACGGTGCGAAAAATTTTTTTTTGGTCAGATTGGTAAATTGACCGGGCAAATTGGTCAAGTTGACCGATGCTTGAAAATAGATTTTTTTATGAGTTTTTCTCACCGTTCCCTTCTTTATTTCTCCAACGAACCCTTCATTTTTTCGAACCATTGTACAATCCGCTTCAAAATCACTGTTGTTTTTTTTGCAAAAAACCAAAAATCTGACCAACACGCGCGGCTGGCCGAGTCGCCCCCTTCTCCGACATGCCTGCGTCCCCGAAACTTAAAGTCGCTGAACACGCGTTTTGCTGTTAAAAAAAGTGTGGTCTCCGGCTCGTGCGCGAGGTCATGAGCAGCCCGCCTGAACAGAGAAATTACCAGTTTAGCTGAAATTGGAGAGCCCAAAATGCTCGCGTTTATTGGACTTGCGCTATTTTTGGGCTTAGCTTCGGCCAACCAAGGGCATCCGAATGGATGCCCGAATAGGGCGTTTTTGGGATGTATATTGGCGTTGAAGGAGGATCACATCCAGTTCGACCGGAATATTGTAAGATTTTTGGGATTTTGTTGCAGTACTGCTCCTTGGACTTGAATTTTCTCCAATTTTGATTACAATTCTCTGCAGGCTATCCTAAATTCTTAGCCCTGGATTACCTTACAATTTTTAGGTTTGAAATTACAAAATTTTGCTTTTTTTAATGATTAAAAATTCCCGGTTTTATCATAATAGGGTAAAATTATTCTAGAGAGTGTTTCAAGAAATTCCGCCGAAATTTTTTTATCGATTTTTTTGGCGCTCAGTGAGGATATCCAAAAAATTTTTTTTGCATAATAAAGAAGATAGGCGGTTTTTTGCCTATAAAAATCGGTTTCTCCGCCAACGCGGAAACCATTTTATTCGGCGGACACTTATGGGCACTTTCTTGGTCATCACACCAATTTTTAACGCTTTATTGTGGCACTGAAGCATCCGGGAAGTCTTCAAATTTTTTGCACAATGATTCAGGCCGGCTAGAGGAATATCTTTTCTATAAAAACTTTCCAGATAATGAAAAACTATTCGAAAACCAACTTCTTTTTCCACAATTAAAAAAATTTTCTTTTTGCAGGTCAGAACCATCCTCAGTATTGACTCTGAAGCAAAATTGATTCACACATGTAAGGCCTATACTAAAGTTTTGCCTTGTTTCCGCGACAAGGTGCTCGAATGCGGCAATCAACATCAACGCGAGCTTTTTGGAGAAGTTGGCCGCGCTCTGATGTTCCTGTGTTCTCCATTCAGCCTGCAACGACAGAGGGTTTTGGTGGAAAAACAAAATTGTATTTCGAAAGTTCTGTCGTTGCCCATTTCGGTTGGATGCAAATTACCGCAAAAGCCGTATGGAAAGCAGTTGATGGAGTGCAAGTGAGTTGACAAAAATTGTGGAAAAAGGTACGGTAGAGAACCTGATACAGTCGCAAAAAACGTACCATTTTGCATCCGGGAAGCATCAAAAATGTAGCATAATGCTTCCCTCTTCAAGTGAAAAAAAACTCTGACTTCAAAAGCGCCCGGGCGCGCCCTTCAAAACGAAGTATTTTCACTTGGAAAGGGAAGCATTTTGCCACATTTTTGATCCTTCCCGGATGCAAAATGGTACGTTTTTGGCCACTGTATCAGGTTCTCTACCGTACCTGTACAGGGTCTTTCAAGAAACGCGAAGGAAAGTCGGAGGCTATAACTTTCGGCGGAGGCGGCGCAGAGACTTCGTTTTTGAAATAATAGGTATTTTTAAGCGACATTCATTTTTATCTATGAAATAGCGACATTTTAAAATGCAGACTGAGATCGCTACGACCTTTTTAAATAGGGCCCTTTTACCCTGAAAACCAGTGTTTTTCGGTTGAACATGATCGAAGAAATTTCAGTTTTTTTCGGTTGAAACACGTCGGAAATTTTGGTAGCGGAACTTTAGAATAATTTGCAACGTGTTGGAAATTAAATTTCTCTCCCTTTTTTCAACATCAACTCGATTAAAAACCCCAAAAAATCCGACTTTTTTCGATCATTTTCAACCGAGAAACGCTGGTTTTTGGAGTAAAAGTGGCCTACTTCAAAAGTTCGTAGCGACCTCAGTTTGCACTTTAAAATGTTGCTATTTCATAGACAAAAATTAATGTCGCTTAAAAATACATACTTCAAAAACGAAGTCTCTGCGCCGCCTCCGCCGAAAGTTATAGCCTCCGACTTTCCTTCGCGTTTCTTGAAAGACCCTGTACAAAACTTGTAGGAAATTAAAGCCCTATGTTTGGGGTACCTCTGACCATTTCTCAGCGTAATCCACGTGTATTTTAGGAAAGAATGCGCTGCAACACAGAACAACTTTAGTTGCTCGTTGAAGACCTGGATGAGCGAGCAAAATGCCTGCACTTTGAATGACATCTCCGAAAATTGTGGCCAAGAAGCCGCTGATTTCTACGCCGACTTCCAAGCCAGTGTTTTTGAGCCCAATTACCCATTTTTATGTCATCCGAATGGTAAGAAACCCAGGCATATATATTTTGAGAGCTGCCGGGACTACTCTGCAAAAGTTGTGGTATATTGAAAAAATATAATCGCCTAAGTTTTCAGACAAGATGATTCTCCCATTTACCACCGAAAACCCTCCAAAAAAGCATAACATCACCGTGGTTACGATAAAGAACAGGCCTGGAAACCGAAATTTTACTGTAAGTAATCACGATTCACCCCCATTACGAATGTTTTTCAAAATTCAGCGTCCTCAACTATCCGTGCGGAAGACGACAAAACCCCCTAAATTTGAGGTGTTTTATGTCAGTCCCAGAACCGAGCAACGTAATTCTAGTCACATAAAATCCAAGGAAATCTTCAATCGAGTGTATAAATTGTCGACTAAAGCTCCGGAAATTCCACCAACAACACTACCACCACAAACAGCGTCAACCACGGAAGAGCCGGCAAGATATGACAGGTGGGACTATTAGTTTTTTCATAAAGTGCGTAGATATTTTTCGCCCGGATAAAAAAAGTAAAATGCACTGTGCAACACGGGGTTTTCGTAAAACGGAAAAAAAGTCTACGAACTTTATGAAAATGCTAGTATCTGGCCATCCCAACGCTAGATCTTCAAATAAACCCGATTTTGAGTCATTGTAAAACTTCCAGGCCAGAGGCCCATTCCCAGCCGCAGATCCCCCAGGTCCAACAGACGTTCATGGCGCTGGTCGAGAAGCTTCTTCCCATCGCTCTACAACACAACATGAGCACCCTGCTTCAACATCAAAACAAGCTCCTTGAGTTGAGCCGGAAAATCGACCTCAAAGACATGCTATCGCAAGGGAAGCCAAACACAACCACCGTAATCCCAAGTTCAGAAACGCCAAGTACCGTCAACACCCCGCATTACAGTTTGGCGAGCATGGTGACAAACCGCCCATGGAGGCCGTGGTATTTCGTATCCACCGACGAGGGAGGGCAGTGAATCCTGTTCGAAATAAAAATATGATCCGATCTCTGTTGTAAGGTAAAGTCATAAGTTGTGCAACAAAGCGAAAAAGTGAACCTTCTTTTTAAGTAAATTTTATCAAAAATTTTTTAATTTTAACAATTTATTGACGTCTTTATAAAAGATACGAAGTACATACATATATAAATTCAATCTTTATCATCAAAGTCAGCTGAATACAAATAACAATACATCTTTTTGAACCAATAATTTTCCAAATCAACACCACAAGACTCTAAAATTTAATGAGCGTCCCGTTGACGGTGAACAACTCATGGCAGAAGCAGTACTCTTTCAGAGGCCCTGGCGGAATGCATTTGGCTTGTTTGTCGTAGCTGTCCATACGGGGGAAGAAGTTGTTGTACAACTTGATTTTGTTGTTTTCAATCTGAAAAAGCGGCTATACAGTGGAAATCTGAGTTTTTTCACTTGGAGACGGAAGCATTTTGCCACATTTTTGATACTTCCCGGATGCAAAATGGCACGTTTTTGGCCAATGGATCAGGTCCGCCACTGTATTTATTAGGTCTAGAAGTATGACTCTGCCGTTTTTCTGTTTTGCATTTTTTGCAGGTTGCAGTAAGGTTTTAAAATTTCTGTTGAGATCCGCTGAAAGAACTTTGAAAACGCTATCTATTGATATACGTTTCGTGTGTTGAGGCTAGACGCAGCGGTTTTATGAAGCTTCAAAGATGACCAACTTGGTCCCTGGAAAATCGTTATTTGCGGGAAATTTTACTCTGCACGTGTAATGCGTCATACTTTTGAAACGGCAGTTTTTTATTATCTTGTGGGACCGAGATAATAAAAAGTTACTGGCAGCTAGGTATCTATGGCCCAAAAAATAGACACCCTGCCTTACTTACCCCAAAGTAAGCCTGATACTTTCCTCCACTCGGAACAACTGCAAATTTGATCAAGTAAACTTTTTCTCCCTCTTCATCCGGATCAAATTCACTCAGTTCCAACAACAACTCCTTGCCCAACGTCAGCACGGAGCAATTGCTCGAGTAATTTGAGTTTGTAATATTGTTATTCATAATCTCCACCACTTTTTGGCCGGCCTCTATGGCCAATGATTGATTTTGGACCGCGACTTCTTTATGCTGACATATACAGTGATTGAACGGAATGTAAAGGGTGCTACAGTCTCTGGGAGTGGGCAGTGGATGTAATATTGAAGATCCTTTCAGTTCGCGGTCGGTGGGTTCGAATTTAGTCGTTGAAAATGGCGTTGAAGCCGTCCATTTGTGATTATTCTGGAGTTGACTCATCATGGATCTCCCAACCCTTAGAAACGGACAAAGAAACGCTCAACATACCTGCGCAATTTCCGCAAGAGTTGCGTAAACATCATGCTGAGAGAGCAGATGCTTTGTATTTTGTTTGAGCTGATTTACCAAGTCTTCGTTCTTCCTCATATCTTGAGGCAGTGAGATCATAAAAGTCGGATTACTTGAGTCGATTTTTCCCGTATTTGTCCCCAAAATCCCGCCAAATCGCAGGCCATGATCGCCCATTACAATTACGTATGAGTCGTTGAACTGAAAATTGAATTTGCGCTGATGAGAACGTAATGTCAAGTGTTTCATGGTTTCCCAACAAAGAAGGCTGCAGGAAGTGCCTTCGAGGCCTGGTAAAGCCGTTGGATGGTCGGCGGACGCTCGGCGAAGGCTCGGCGGAAATTTGGCGAAGATTTTTAGCATATATGTGCATTTTTTCTAATTTTAGCTATTACTAACGTTAGTTTTCTTTAACCTGAGTTAATGTAACATGTAAAAGATTAAAATTTGCGGCAAAAAACAAAGATCCGTAACTTTAATCCAGAATTATACATGTAAAATACGTCAGAATAGATTTCAAGTTATCCTAGGACTCGTTCAATCTTATTATTTTTACTAACTAAATCGCTAACCCGAAAATTCGTGGCGCCGGCAAGGCCGGTCAAGTTTCAATCATCATTTTTAGACCTACCTTTTCTCGCATGCTCATAAAGAACAGCTTGAAGTGTTTGTCGGCATGAAACACGCCGTTGAGCGAGTCATGAGCCAGGCTGACAAACCAGGTGATTGAAAACTTGGGTTGGCCTTTGTAAGCGTCCGAAAATTGCCGCATATTCTCGAACAGATAGTGATGCGGCTCTTTGCAGACTTTCTCATACACATTTGCAAACAAATCTTCCCATGGGTAATGGTAAAAGAGGTTGTAAAAACCGCTGAAATAAAGAGAATCCTTACGAAGTGAAATTTCTAAATACTGCAAAAAATTGCATTTTGTTTGCCTACAGCGACTCTGCTTCCTGCATAACGCTTACCCATAACGCTTACTTCATATAATGGTCAGCTGGCATGTGATCGAATCCATAGCAACTCCCGTAATCAAACAAGCCATATCGTGAGTCCAGATCAATCATCGTCCTGTATCCTCTATCCTCAAAGTCCCAGCCCACATAGCTGAAGTTGTCCCGTGTGATGCGCAGATTGCAAAGCTCCGCGTCTCTTCCGCCGCCTTTGAATGGGCTCCACGGAGTTTCCGGCATGTCCAAGGGTCGCTGGTCCAACAGGAATGCGTAAGCATTTTGTTTCGAGCCTTCGGCGACTCGGTTCAAGTATGGGAAGTGGATTGATCCAAACTCTTCTTCAAGGTACTTCTTGCTCCCTGACAATGTTCGCATAAATTGGTTTGAGCTGATGGAATCGAGGACAAGTACGTAGACGTCTCTTGATTTTGCATCGAATTTTATTCCCTTGGAAGGTCTGAAATTTACGATGGGCTGAATAATAGAAGCGTAAAATTTTCCTAATTTTAGCTATTACTAACGTACGTTTTCTTGACGATGAGTTACTTTAACATATAAATAAAAGACCAAAATTTGCGGCAAAAAATGAAGATCGTAGATATTAATGATGTGAGTATGTAAAATAACTCAAAATACATCTATTTTGAGTGTATTTTACATAGACGTACGCGTTCGTAGGACCCGATCGGTGTTATTATTTCTACTAACTCTGCCTTAACCCAGCTTCCCCCATGCATACAATGACGAAGGCATCGTTAACCCGAATTGTCACTAAACCAAAAAGTCGTAGCCCCAATATCTTTAGGGACGTCTAAAATAGTTTTTTATAAGTGTCGGGCTAGCTGTGCACATGAAACATGATGTTGCAGCAGAGCCGTGAAACAGTAACCATAGGTGTCCCTTATCGCGTGTATTGACAATGTGAATGACTAATTTTTTTTGATTATTGCCCTACTGAACCCGTTTACAGTAAGCATCCAAAATTTGAAAAAAAATTGAAGCGTCGAGCCTCAAGTACTAGATGTATAATATTGTCTGTCAAAAACTTGCTTTTCAACAATTTGCGTGTGTGAAAAGTGATAACTAATATTCCCAGCAATTTCGCATTTGACTTCAGCGACCTCACAGTCCGTGTGATCCTCGCCAATCCCACTGATCTTCGTCCATTCAGTAAAATTGACCTTTCGGTCTGAAACTGGAATGGAACATCTAAAACAGCAATATAATCATTAGTTTGGAGTCACCTGTATTTACATTCCTCTCCGTCCTGACTAAGCATCACCAAAGTTCCATTGATCAATTTACTTCTTTCGTCGTATTTCACCTTACAGCTTTCCGAAGCGGAGATATCCGATTTGGGGTCGAAGAACTGAAGGACTTCCGCGTTCCAGGGATCCACTTTTGGCAGACGACAACCCTTGTTTAGGCCTGAAATTGATAAATATGGAAATTAAGAACAAAATTGATTGATCTGACAAGGAAAATGCTCGAAGAGCGAGAAATAAATTCAAGTTTCGAATACATGCTTGCGTTCGATTTCTTGAAAATTATGACTCGGCGAACAAATTTTTTTGGCGGCATCCCTGCGCGGAGATTGCCATCTCTGCGCAGGAGCCGGCTCTTGAGCCGGCTCTTGGCTCCGGCTCTGAGCGGCTCCGGCTCCCGAGCCCAAAGTCGCAGCCAGGCTTCTCAACGTTCAGAAAAGAAAAAATTTTGTGATCTTGTTAAACCAAATTGCTTGAAAAATACTGTGAAGGATGTGTTGCGTACGACTTGGCTTCAAAAACGTTGGGTGTATGATCTCGGGAACTAATATACAGTAATAGCTTTTATTTTTGGAGAAATATTTTTTTTTTAAATTTTTGTATGGGAGCCGGGAGCCGGAGCTGCAAATTTGGCCTCGGCTCTAGCTCTGGGAGCAAAGAGCCGGAGCCGGAGCCAAAATTTTGACCGTGGCAATCTCTGAACGCAAGTTAGAAAATTCCTGATATGACTTGCAAAAAATGGCTAAATTTCATCCTTAGTTTCATTAAAATATCAGGGTCAACGTCCGAGCACCTCCGCGGTAAATTACTCCTCCAACTTTTTTCCTTACCTTTACTGCTTTTTTCATTTCCATTTCCCGTCAAAAACTTTTTGATCCCAACAAAATTCGTCTCATTCAGCGTCAAACAATCGTATTTCACATAGTAAAACAGGAGAATAAGTAGACAGAGGAACAAAATGATATTGAAAATCGAAATCTTTCGCAGACCCATCCTCGTTTGGTGCGCAATTGGAGAATAAATATGGTTGGAGGCGTGTTTGCGCATCAGTTCAATAAAATCTGCAATCAACACACGATTAGGATTACATTCTTGAAAGTTCAGATTTTGACGAAACTTGGCACAGATTTAGAATAATTTTTTCGAAAATGTATGCGAGAATCCCAGCTCGCGCTTTGCAGAAACAACCGAGATTTTTAGATCGAAAGTTAGCGAAAATATGAGACTTTTTGCCGAATTTTGGCACGAAAAGTTTCATACCTATTTCTACCGTAAAGGGTAATGTTTCTACAAAAAATCAATTTTTTCCGCACGAAACTGCCAAAGTTATAGCCAAAAAGCGTTTTTCTCTCTGCCCACTCTCCGCGTTTAACGTACTCTCTCAGCAGCAAAGATCGTTCAATATTTCGGCTGCGCCTGCAAAGCGCGAGCTAAAACTTTCAGGAATTGGTATCTAGTCTATGCCCGGCGTGTATGTAAAAATTTTAAAAAATCTGAGCGTCGCACTTGATGTACCTCCCCTGTGAGAATACAACTGCTCAATGGCAAAAAAATTGCAAATTTTAGAGCTTTGGCTAATATAGAAAGCTGCTATATTTGTCCAGCCTGCCACGCTCTTGTTGTTGTAGTCTAGGATCTAAAATCAGCTCACGGTCTAACAAGGGAAGTCACTTAAGTCACGGATCGATTTTTAAAAACGACTGTTACAGCGATGGGGAGGGTAGGACGGAGATATTAAATCTGAAAACCGCTACCTCCACCGGCCTCTGGGAGCCGAGATAATCGACCAAAAAGGTTTGACCTAAAAAAGTTGCTCCGAATAGTCCTCTCTTCCGAAAGAAGTAGGGGAGAGAACCGAATAGTCCGGTGGTCTGGAAGCGCGCTTCCGGGCCTTGACCTTTTCAGGTTCGAATCCGCATGGGTCAAATAATTTATTAAACTTTTCATGTAATCCAGTAAATTTACCGGTAAGGTAAAATTTTTGATTTTTTGCGTATTTTACGGTTAAATTCAGGGTAATAATGTGAATGCGAGTTCCAAACGATTTGGATTTTCAAGGTTGAAAATTTACCGTAAAATAAGCATAAAATATAAAATAAATTGCTAGTAAATTTACTGGATCACAGCAACATAAATTTTTCGCAAGTTCGAGACCCGTGCGGATTCGAACCTGAAAAGGTGAAGGCCCGGAAGCGCGCTTCCAGACCACCGGACCATTCGGTTCGCTGCCTTTTCTTCTTTCGGAAGGAATAAATGTTCGGAGGAATTTGGGCAAACTTTTTGGTCGATTATCTCGGCTCCCAGAGGCCGGTGGAGGTAGCGGTTTTCAGATTTGATATCTCCTTCCTACCCTCCCTATCGCTGTAACAGTCGTTTTACAAAATCGATCCGTGATTTAAGTGACTTCCCTTGTAAGGTCTTCTACGTGCTTTGTGCGGAAATGTCGGAAAATTTGAAATCAAGAAACTGTATGATGACTCACAAGGAAATAAAATTTTTGCTGGTCAAAGTTTTTGTTGACGTTTGATAAAAGGTGTAGCGTAACGTTTCAGAAGATAGTTTCATAGAAATGTGTTGATATTAAAACGCACTTCGCGAGCTGTGGAAGGGGGGTCTGCCCTAGAAATTGACCCCCACTTTTTTTTGTCTTAACTGATGACATGTAGGATGCTAAAGAACTTGGTGAATTTTTTTCGAAAAATTCGTCATCATGACCGAGATATGACGTATTTATTGAATTTCGCATAATGTGATATATTGTACTGATTTATTGCCGAAATATCTCAGAACTGAGTATATACTAGTCGCGACATAAAGTCCGTAGAATTTTCTGCACTGTGCATAAACCCGAAAAAGCATTTTGCACTGTGCATTCACCCGAAAACACATTTTGCACTGTGCAATTTTGTTGATTTTGCCTTCTTGTCGCGCGCGATTCCCGTTTTTCGCAGCGACAAATCAACATTTCGGAGCGCGACGGAATTTGGGGGCCGCGAAAAATTCTACGGACTTTATGTCGCGACTAGTATACGTTATTGGCCATGCTGAACAACTTTGTAATTGACCCGAAGTTTGTCAGGTTACTGTAACATACCGTAACGCCAATGCTCAATCAAAAAATCTCGATTTTCTCGATTTTTTTCAATAATTTTCTCGGAATTTTTTTTCATTTTTGGAATCAGCATCAAATTCTGCATCGGATAGGCTATATGCGCATCTCCAGATAGGTGTACAAAAATGTCGTGGCGCAACCGGTAGTGGGTCGGACTACCATTCAAAAGGTCCCGGGTTCGAGTCCGGGTGGAAGAAAAAATGCTCAAACGCGCTGGAAATTGTCCCAAAACAGTTGTAATGTATTGGAACTGTGTTAAAAATAAATAATAATTAACATTTTCCCCTAAAAAGGCTAAGTTTTGGATTTTACGAAATTTTTGAAAATCATGATTTTTGTGGGCCCAAATCTGCCGAAGAAATGAAAATTTTTTGTTAGCGATTTTTTTGTTTAGAAACAACGCAGGGCACACAGAAAGACTATTCCTCAGAGGATTTCGCTCTATTTTGCCCAAAACACCAAAAAGTTTTCGCATTTTGCCATTTGACAAAAAATTGAGATAATGATTTTCAGGTGTTCTTACGCGAAAACGTTTCCAGTTTTTCTAGAGCAGTTTTTTGCGCTGCCTTCAAATAGCTTTCTAACAGCCGCGAAAATCTTCCACAAAAAAGTTTTACATTCAAAAATTTGTAGATATTCACATATTTCATGATGTTACAGTATTTAATCTTGTAAAATTTGCTAAAATTTCGACTCCTCATAGTACAAAACATTTGTATCCACGTTTGAATGACGTTACTTCGGTTTACTGGGTTCTGGCGGGGCTCTCCGATTAAAACAAAAAAGTGCAACTTTTTGGTGTTTTGGGCAAAATTGAGCGAAATCTTCTGAGGAATAGTCTTTCTATATGGCCTGTGTTGTTTCTAAACAAAAAAATCGCTAACAAAAAATTTTCATTTCTTCGGCAGATTTGGGCCCACAAAAATCATGATTTTCAAAAATTTCGTAAAATCCAAAATTTAGCCTTTTTAGGGGAAAATGTTAATTATTATTTATTTTTAACACAGTTCCAATACATTACAACTGTTTTGGGACAATTTCCAGCGCGTTTGAGCATTTTTGCTTCCACCCGGACTCGAACCCGGGACCTTTTGAATGGTAGTCCGACCCACTACCGGTTGCGCCACGACATTTTTGTACACCTATCTGGAGATGCGCATATAGCCTATCCGATGCAGAATTTGATGCTGATTCCAAAAATGAAAAAAAATTCCGAGAAAATTATTGAAAAAAATCGAGAAAATCGAGATTTTTTGATTGAGCATTGGCGTTACGGTATGTTACAGTGACCTGACAAACTTCGGGTCAATTACAAAGTTGTTCAGCATGGCCAATAACGTATATATACTCAGTTCTGAGATATTTTGGCAATAAATCAGTACAATATATCACATTATGCGAAATTCAATAAATACGTCATATCTCGGTCATTTGAGCCTGCTTCAGCAACTCGCGAAGTGCGTTTTAATATTAAAAATTTCTTTCCCAAATCGCGATTTTCGGTGCACAAAAAAAGTCGACGCCCAAATCGAAAAATTAGCGTCGAATTGATTTTTTCAGCACCGAATTCCGAAATGCGGCGCTGACTTAAGCACTCAGGCCTAGGCATGGCTCCGGGCCGGGCTTTGCAAAAATTTCCGGCCCGGGCCGGGCCGACTAATTTCTCGGCCCGACCCCGGGCTTCGATTTTTAGGCCCGGCCCGGCCCGGGCCGGCCCGGTTTTTTTGAAATCTAAGTTTTGCCCGGAAAAAAGGAAAAAATATGCTTTTTCGATAGAATTTTTCATTTTTTCGAACACACTGTTGATAGCGAGCGTAAAGTGACTTTATGTACCTAGGTTTTGGTAAATTTTTCTTTACATTTCGCGAAAATTTGCCATAATTTTCCTTTCATTTCCCGCTATCTTTCTTTCCAACCTAGTGTAAAAATTTTCCGGGCCGAACCGGGCCGGGCTTTCCAAATTTTCCAAGCCCGGGCCCGGGTCGGGCTGGCCCGGTTTGCAGCCATGCCTACTCAGGCCTTCGGCGCTGACTTAAGACTTTGTGCACTGATTTCGAAAAACAGAAAAATGCACCGGAATTCAGAATTCGGGGCCGAAAAAAATAAAGTCGACGCCAATTTTTCGATTCACTCTTTTTTTGTGCAATGATAATCGCGATTCGAGAAAAAGCTTTTTTAATGCTTATATGACCACCTTGATACCCGCCTGTTGGTAAAATAGTGTGGAGAATGTCTCTCATCGCGCACTAAATCCCCAGCCTGGCCGTCGCAAAGCGATGATGGGCCAGACAAAATCGCATTATTTTCCAGACAGACCGATATTTATGCGAAAAATTATGATGGCTTTTGCAAAGCATACGCCAAAATTTGAATTTTACAAAACGCGTTCCAGCTGTATGAAAAAAGATTTCGCCGAAATTTTTGCGTCACACCTTGCGATTTTTTCGTGTAAATCGCCCAGTCGCTCTTTCAAACAGCACCTCCGGATAGGGCCTTTGGAATTATCACATTTTGTAGGCCAATCTCTGTGTTTGTCCATGCTCCAGATAACCGCTTTGTGTACTCATATGGACACGGAGTAGTGAGAATTTTTTGCACCCCAAATTGTTGGCCTACGATTTGTTATGACGCAAAAAAGCGGTATTTTTGACTCAATTGAAGGGAACATTGATCAGAACATCAGACATGTTCTGGTAGATGTTTTGTCAAAAACAAACACGATTTGAAGGGCTATGGTTTTATTGGTGGAGTCAAATTGGGACAAGTTTATGGCTTGAGAGTCGCAAGAACAGGGGAGGGAAAGGCACCGAAAAATCCATAAAAATTTTTTTTTCAAAACTCACCCATGGCAGATCAACTCATGGAAGGTATCTAAAACAGACGCAGCATACTTGATTGCTTCCGGGCCACATATTTATTTCCAACAGGAAACTACAAAGCCCCTTCCAACGTTGTAAATTCGACTTCTGTATGCTAATAAGGTCATTATTGTCTTCTTAATGACGAGACAGATTTCGGACCTCGGGTTACGTTTAAGTTGCGTTGGTCTTTGTTCCCCCGTCATATCACAGAAATGAAAGAGCTGTTGGTCGCTGTGATTTTGACTGTTTCTGCTCTTCTACTGGACGCACTGATCCCAGAATGCTTGAACGACTGGAACTGCCATGGACACTGCAAACCTGAATGCAGATACTGCTCTTGCAATTTCTGGAACTGCATTTGTTTGGTTTGGGGTTAACGTCGGCTTGATAATAAATTTTAAACACTGATGCTTTAATTTCGAAAGGCAAGCTCACTCTATGAGGAATTTTTGTCATTGCCTTTGCTTGAAATACAGGGTGGGCAACTCGAAACGGGTAAGTTTCTTCTTTAGATTTCTCCGCGGAGACTCCGCCGATTTTTCTAAAATTTTGATTTTTCTGGAGCTGAGACCTGCCATTTTCAACAGATTAAATTTCAAAAAATTATATTTTGAATTGACCTTTCTACGCCTTCCCAAAGTTTCGAAGAATTACTAAATATTATAAATTCCCCGGAAAGCTTTGGTCCATTCGTTTGCAGTACTCCAAACGCGACGCTCAGATTATGATACAGTGACGGACCTTATCCAGTGGCAAAAAACGTACAATTTGGCATCCGGGAAGTATCAAAAATGTGGCTAAATGCTTCTCTCTCCAAGTGAAAAAACGCAGATTTCAAAAGCGTCCTTTTTGTGGGGGAAAGGACCCTTCAAAAAAGTGTCTTTTTTCACTTGGAGAGGGAAGCATTTTGCTTCATTTTTGATGCTTCCCGGATGCAAAATGGTACGTTTTTTGCCTTCATGTACCTCACTAATAAACATGTTTCCCACGCGAAACGATCAGCCTTGAATACAAATTTCCTTTCAGAATGTGGCTTCTTCATGTTAATAAGCTCCTTTTTTGGGGGATCATACAGATTGCAGACCTTGAGGTGCATTTAAGATGCGTTGGTTTTTATTTCCACATCATATCGCCCTAATGAAGGCCCTGCTGATTGCTGTGCTGTTGATTATTTGTGCTGTTTTATTGGAAGCACTGTCGGGAGGAGAATGCGACAAGAAATGCCACTATTGCCAGTGCACTCTGTGGCATCACTGCATGTGTTTGATTTGAAGTTGATTTAGAGCTTGAAAATAAATTGGCTTAAGGCCAGATTCTCTATGGTTGTTTTGTCCTTGCTTTTGATTGATAATGAGTTGTTACACAGGAAATTTTTTCGGATATAAAAAATTTTTTCGAACTAAAAATATCGATTGACATGCAAAGTTCTCGGAATGCGACGATTCTAGCGAAACTTACAGCGGAAGGACCCGAAGTGTGACGTCAATTACGATCAATCTTTGAGCAAATTTAGATTAATTAATATTTGTGGCAAGACATTAGCTCTGGGACCAGGCCGGGCCCATCGACTTTGAAAGGACCCCGGTCCAACCGAGGTCCCCGGCCAAGCCCGAAATTGATTCGTGGGCTCTACTTGAGCCCTTCTCCTATGAAGTTTCAGAATTTTTTGCCCGCACTCATTGAAAGACTTGAAAATTCATTAAAAGTTCACAGTACTAAATTATGGTCTTGTGATCTCGCGAAACATTTCAAAGTCCTTCTTCTCTTTGTACATTAAAATCTGCAACCTTTTGAAACTGTTCAATACGAAAGTTCACCATTGCCTGACATCTTGAATACTATCTCCAATGACCAGCACAATTTTTATTGTTCGTGTAAAAAACAAAAAGTCCATTGTGAACTGATGGGTGAGGTGAAATGAATCCAAGAGTCGCATGATTTTTCTATATATATCCATTATATTTAGTTGGTTTCTATTTAATTCTGCAACGTATCACATAAATGAAGACCCTGTTGATTGCTGTGATTTTAATTGTTTCTGCTCTTCTACTGGAAGCGTGGCCAGATTGCGCATGGGACGCGCATTGCGAAGGACAGTGCGGACGGGAATGCCACTACTGTCATTGCACTTACTGGCTCACCTGCGTTTGTTTGTATTGAAGATGACGTACTGCTGATTGTAATCACTTTGGCTTTAATTGAAAGGGCACATTGACTGAAATGCGTTTGTTTGTATTGGAGATGACCTGCTGCTTGGAAATAAATTTTAAACCTTTGGCTTTAATTGTAAGCAAGGGCGTATCTTGCGAGCTTTTCTAGGACGGAAATATAGTACTTTGGTATTGTGTTTTTTGGCTCTATGTGGGCTGTCAAATTAAAAATTAACAACGTTACGGAGTCTCAAAGACAATCTCTACAAATTCGTCTTGTTGCATAGTGCCAAAAACCCGAAATTGGCGTCCCAGATTCCCCGGCCCGGTCCTTCTCGAAATTTTCGAAACCCGTGCCAGCCCGGCCTTGTCACGTCTGCTTTTTTGAACATAAAACAAACTTTTGAAGCAAAAGCATTGGTGTATTGAAGTGTTCAGCATCTGAACACAAATAAGACTCGGCACAAATTCAGATTGGCTTTTTCTACGACATGTTCTCTGGACTCCATGCTCGTGATTTTTGTTCTGGGATTGTGTGGCCGCACTCTCAGAGCCCCGAAAATGCGAAATTCCCATGATTCCAAATTTCGATTATGCAAATTTCCGAAAAAGTTTTGAGAAATTGGGAATGAAAATGCCGCCAAATGAGCAAAAACTATGAAGATTGGGATGTGAAATTGGTCATTCCTCTTCGAGAAAATTTCGCCTCAGTCGGTTCCTGTCGTTCACCTCGCGGAAGTACTTGACTTCTGAACGGTAAGCGACACTGTGTTGAAATTTATTTGTTAGGTAATATTGTACCTCATGGACGGCATGCAATTTTGACTGGTAAATTTCTCGGCAACTAGGAGCCCCCATAAAAGAACTACTTTTCTTGTGAAATTGGAGTCTTTTCACTTGGAGAGAGAGGTATTTTGCCGCGTTTTTGGTACTTCCCGGATGCAAAATGGTCTAATCTTAATTTTTTACGCGGTTTGAGGTCTAAAATTTCCAATTTCTTGTCTAATGTAAGATAATACTTTCGTTGTATTCCCCGATATTTTTCCTATTTTCAGCCTGAATCAAGTTGAACATCACGGAAATGAAGGCTCTGTTGGTAGTTGTGTTTTTGATGGTCTGCACTCTTCTGCTGGAAGCGTGGCCAGACTGCGCCTTTTCTTCGGGTTGCATTGATCAGTGCGAACATCAATGCTTCGAATGCAAGTGCAGTTCGTTTCTGACTTGCGTTTGTTTGTATTAAATTTGATGTCTCGAAAAATAAATTGTAATCACTTTGGCTTTGTGTGGAAGGACAATTTTCTCTGTGAATGTTTTGTCTTTGCTTTTGTTACAGTTTGAAGGGCTATGGTGTGGTCAAATTTAAACAAGTTAATGGCTTAAAAGTCGCAACAACAAGGGAGAGAACGGCACCAAAATATCCAAAAAAAAATTTTTTTTGGCGAAATTCCTTTCCAATGTTGAAAATTCGACTTCTGTGTGCTAATAAGGTGTTTTATTGTCTTTTTGGGAACAAATCGATTTCGGACCTCGGAGGTGCATTTATGATATGTCGGTTTGTCTGTCTCCATCACATCACATACACAAATGAAACGACTTACAGACCCTGAAACGCATTTAAGGCGCGTTGGTTTTCATTTATACATCATATCACATAAATGAAGGCCCTGTTGATTGCTGTGATTTTGATCGTTTGTGCTCTTCTATTGGAAGCATGGCCAGATTGTATGTTGGACGTGGATTGCATAGGAAAGTGCGAACCTGAATGCCACTACTGTCATTGCACTCTCTTTCTTACATGCACTTGTTTCTATTGAAGATGAACCACTGCTGAAAAATAAATTGTACTGACATGCTGTAGTGAGACTTTCTGCGCCCCAAAATTGTTGGCCTACGATTTGTTACGACGCATAAAAGAAGTATTTTTGACTCAAGTGAAGGGAGTTAAACATTGATCAGAACACTAGACATGTTCTGGTATATGTTTTCTCGCAAACAAATACAGTTTGAAGGGCTATGGTTTTACTGGTGTAGTCAAATTGGAACAAGTTATTGGCTTAAGGGTCACAAGAACAAGAAAGAGAAGAGCAACGCACGTCAATCCAAAATAGAAGAAAAAATTTCCCGGCCCTTTTTGGTGATTCGTTCAAAACGAAATGTCACTATCCGATAAAACGCATTTTCTTGTCTTTTTTCCAGGAAGCCCCAAACTTCCTTCCAATATTGGAAATTCGGCTTCTGTATGCTAATAAGGTGTTTTTATTGTCTTTTTGGGGACGAAGCAGATCTCGGACCTCGGAGGTGCGTTTATGATGTTGGTTTGGGTTTCTCCAACACATCACATACACAAATGAAACGACTTACAGAGCCTGGGGCGCATTTAAGGCGCGTTGGTTTTCATTTATACATCATATCACATAAATGAAGGCCCTGTTGATCGTCGTGATTTTGATTGTTTGTGCTCTTCTACTGGAAGCATGGCCAGATTGCGCATGGGACTCGCATTGCCGCGGACAGTGCGGACGTGAATGCCACTTCTGTCATTGCACTTACTGGCTCACCTGCGTTTGTTTGTATTGAAGATGACCCACTGCTGAAAAATAAATTGTAATCATTTTGGCTTTAATTGTGAGAGCAAATTCTCTTCGTGAATGCTTTGTTCTTGCCCTTGCTAGAGTTCTACAGGTTGTGCAGAGAACTTCGTCGGAGAGTTTTGATCAATTCCTTCACGCTATTGATTTCTTGACAGGGATGTGCTCGGTGCGACTTTTTGGGGTCGGCAACGGTTCGGGTCAACACAAAATGGATCGATATGGGGCGTTGGATACCAAAAACAGGTTTTAGGAAGTGCCTGAGGCCTGACAAATCCGTTGGATGGTAGTCGAACACCCGGCGAAGGCTCAGCGGGAGCTTGCAGTATCTCCAATTTTCTAATTTTAGCAATTACTACATTAGTTTTCTTCACCCTGAATTATAGTAGCGGATAAAACAAACCAAATTTGGTTTATGGAAACGCGATTACGAAGAAGTAAATAGTGACACTTCGTTTTGAACGAATCACCAAAAAGGGGCGGGAAATCTTTTCTTCTTTAACGAAATGTCAACAATCGATATTGAGACGAAATATCAAACCCGAACTTGGCTGTTGTTCCAGATTTGCCACGTTTGCATGTGCGTTGCGGATGCCGACGAAGAGTTTGTGGAAAAATGTGAAAATTTACATTTATTTTTTATTTGAGTTTCAAAAATTCCTTTTGCATTTGCGTCTCATTTCTCTTCCATAAGATTTCAATGTTCGGTCGGTTATTTTCTTTCTCCTTGTGGAAGTATTTGAAGCCTGAACGGTAAAGTTGACCGTGTTATAATTTTTGTTAGTTAGCTAATCTTGAACATCATGGACAACATGTGGTTTTGTCGTCAGATCAGACTTTTTCCTTGTGACGTAATTTTACATTGTTCCTTACACCTGAATTCATTTTTTTTCTGGTTTTATGCGCAGTATCCGTATTTCTATTCTGTTGATTATGTGTAATGTGTTGATCTATGTCTGATTTAATTGATTCTAAATTTTATAATTTATTACCTAAAGTAATATTCTCCTTGTATTCGTCGATGTTTTCAGTCTGAACCCCACAAATCTTTGAACGCTTACCATCATGATGATGTTCGAGCCAGAGGAAATTTCTTACGCCGATCGCGTCAACATTATTTTCCATCGAATCAAAATGGAGCCATTAGGACCGAAACGATTTGATCTGGCCAAAAATTTGATTCAAATTGGCTATTCGTACAACTTGTCCGACGATATTGTGGTCAAATGTATGAACTTGTGCTTGATTGTGCAGAGCAATGAGGAGCGATTGGAGGCTGAATCTACGCTCTTTTCGATGATCGAGATGATTTCCAAGAGGAAGCCGAGGATCTTCGACGATTTGCCGAGATTTTTTGAAGCCTCCCTTGTGGATCCAAAGTTGGCCGTCGAGAAGGCGATTATTTGTCTGTGAGTTATTTTCGTTTTTTGTTTGGTATTTAGACGAAGAAAATAGCTTCAAATTGACATCAACAAGTGATGTTATTCATGTCTATTATTTTTTCAAATTTTACGTGATGGTCTGAGGAGATGACTGCATTTTGACAAAAAATTATTATTAGATCTCTCTTCTTCCAGCCGAGCCATTTCCATCGACGAAGCGGTCCTATATCCACTCCGCCTTCGGCTTGTACCATTCATGAAGAAAGCTTTGGACAAGATCTGCTCCAGTCTGCCAATTCAACGCCCATTTGTGGCCGTCAGTGTGATGAAGATCTTGGTTGGGTGGCAGAAGCGGAGAAATGCCATGGAGAAAGCAAAGAAAGGTGTAGATTGGGAGATAGCGTGTGTGGTGAAAGATCTAGTGGATAAAGTCGTGTCTAATGTGGATAGCACCGTAAAAGTAAAGAAGGAGGAGTTGGTGGAAGATGAGGATCTCAAAGACATACCAACAACATATTTTGAGCATATTGCTTGCATCTTGATCAGAATCGGGACCACTTTGCATTCAGTTCGAAGATTTGGAGAGGTATTGATCTTTTATTTCAAAAACTGTCTAGTTGTTTGTGTAATTCAGTGGAATTATTTTTAGCCATACAAAGATCAACGTGCCACGGTGTCGTCAGATCAGCCGGGACGGAGTTGGGTAAGTCTTTTTCAATTGTGTTTGTCGATTTTTAGGCACCTCAATTGAAATCGGACATTTTCCATCTACTCTCGACTGCATTGGCCAGAAATTTTTGTAGAACGGATGTGAGGGTCAAGTCTGATTGGTTTGAGTACCTCATCGATCAGTCCAAGTCGCTACCGGACACCGCGGAGAGATCCCATGCCGTCTCCGAGTTTTATTACACATTATACTTCTTTGTGGAGATGTTTAGTGAATGTCGTGATCAATATGTGCTGATGAAGATTGTCAGAGGAGTGGAGAGGATCCTAACAAATGTCTTTGAGCACAAAATTGTGACTGTGAGTTGGAGTTGGTTGAAGTTGTGAGCTCTTTTGTTGTTTTAGGTATATACAACAGCTTTCCTCCTGACGTCTCGGATTTTTGGATTGAGCAGATCCAGGTCGGGCTTAGATGCCGCTCCCCACCTTTTTCAGCACGTGATGAGTTTTTTCCGCCACTTCTTCACGAAGTTGGCGGACCCGCAGACCAATTTCGACTTGAGTTTCTTGAAACAAATCCGAATCTCCACCAATTTCTTGGCCACGATTTCCAAGTTCCAACCCAACTTCATCGAAGGAGTTTCGATCAACTTTTTTGTCAAAGCGGCTGAAAAGATTGTCCACATGTTTGTCCGCAACGTCGAGCTGAACGCGGAGAACCCCAGGATTTTCGAATCGCCCGAGTATCAGAATTTGTTGCGAAGTGTTACGTCAATTGTTCGTATCATTACGCCTTGTCTATATAAGGCTTCGCAGGTTGGTTGCTGCATTTTTTTTGATTGCTTTTTACCTTTAGGAGGTCTGTCGCAACGTTTCGCAAAGCATTTTGATGCCGGCGGTTCCGATTGTCCTGCCCTCGCATCTGGTCGACCGCGATCTTCTTCACCACCTCCTGGTCACGCTGATACCTCTGTTGAACGGCCCCGCGGCCCCATCCTATTGTGTCCCACTTCTTCACCGTCTCTCAACTTTTCGGCATTTGATTTTCCAGCAAAAGGAGAGTTTGCAACCGATTTTCAAACGCATCATCAGGCATATTAATGGGTCGCAAACCCTGCGAACTACGAGACTCATGGCGGAGGTGGAGCCGATTTTGGTGGTGGAACAGTTTAAAAGAGACCTGAAGAGGGCGTATGAGATTAAGAAGGAGATGTCGCAGATCCAGAAAACTTTCTCGTCGAAGGATGGCGATAGAGGTATAATGAAGAAAAAAATTTTCGATTTTTGGCAAATTTGATTTTGTTCATTGCTGGATAAAGTAATTTTTGTTTGATTCCAGCCCTGAGAGAAGAAATGGACGACATCCTGAAAAAACATTTTGCCTATACGGTCCCCGGATACATCCATCCGCAGAATTTGTATGAAATCCCAACCCTAATGGCACTCCGAGCCAAATTGTTGGAAATTGCGACAGATGCGACGTTTGAGTAAGTTGATTTGTTGTGGTTTTTTATTGTTTTAGTGAGGTGAATGAACTCTTCCTTTTGGCGATTCATATGGTCGAAGAGGCGAAGAAACAACCAAAGCCGGTTCATCAACGGATTCGAGAAGAAGAACGAAAGGTCTTCAAGTATTATTCGGAATACCTGGAGAAGAATTTGGCCCAAGCGGTGAGGAATGTTGAGGATGGATCTGCGGTGTAAGTTGGTTTTTTTATTTTGTGTCTTTCCGCTTTAGGTCGATGAATTCGGAGTTGGACGATTGGGGAAACCGAAAATTATTATTTTCCTTCGATGCAAAGGTCGAAATTAGGATAATCGAGGGTGCTGATTGCGAAAATGACATTCGTTTTTTGATTGTTACTTTTTTCTTAAGTAGTACTATTAGGTAGTAATTTTTTGAAAATTTTCCAAAAATACTGGATTTAGGGGTTTTCGAAGGTGCTGGTTTCGAAAATCATGTTAAATTTTCCTCTAGTACTCAATAGTACTATTTGATACTATGTAGTACGAGGTGTAAATTTGGCCTTTAGGTGTTAGTGGTCTTGTTCTGGTGCGTAGTTTTTTTCAGTACTCTTGAGAAAAAAAAACGTTTTAAAGAATTTTCAAAAAAATTGCATATTTTTTTACTGCTTAAGAAAAAAGTAACAATCAAAAAAATGAATGTCATTTTCGAAATCAGCACCTCGATTATCCTAATTTCGGCATTTACATTGAAGAAAAATAATACTTTTCGGTTTCCCCAATCGTCGCAGTTTCGATGAATTCTATCAATTTTCTTCAGTTGGAATGTGGATGATGTCCTAAACGCGGCCAATGTGACCTTAGTAACAGCCCGAGCTCTTCGCTACGCCAACGCTAAACAAGGCCAAGTGCTGATGCAACGCTTCCTCGGCTCGGTCCATGTCATGCTCACAGCACAAGCAGCCACAACTTGCGAGATTTCGAAGTGGTCCAACTACATCTCGATCGCCTTGGATGAGGTCCCCATCGAACACTGGGACCCGTACGTAACGCAGATCATCCTCGACTTGAAGCGAGGCACCGTCCCCGACTTTCTCCACCGCGTCGGCCATGCTGTTTCTTTTTTTCGAAACAAAGACCGAGGAAAATAAAAAGTGCCATCAATCGGAGGGTCACAAGATTAATCGATTTTATTTCTTTGCGGGTATTTTTTTTTGCCATTTACCTCAAGATCCGGCGTTCTGGCCAGTTGAATCGCAGGAAAACGGAGGTTTTGTCGGGTTGGGATATTATACAGTGGCGGACCTGATCCAGTGGCAAAAACCGTACCATTTTGCATTTGGGAAGCATTAAAAATGTGGCAAAATGCGTCCCTCTCCAAGTGAAAATACTTCGTTTTGAAGGGCGCTTTTGAAATCGGAGTTTTTTCACTTGGAGAGGGAAGCATTTTGCCACATTTTTGATACTTCCCGGATGCAAAATGGTTCGTTTTTTGATACTGGGTCCCCCAATGTAATTGGGAATTTTGAGATTTTTTTTGTTCTTCTAGGCTAATCAGATGGTATATTTTGTATTGTGATGTTGTATAGACATATATTTTTTTTTATCTTTTAACTTTTGTTATGTTGTAGGCTTATTTCTTGATTTTTGATTCTTTTTTTTTGTTGATGTGGCTATAAATTTGTTTCTTCCTAGACGAGTTTTTACTTTCTTACAACAATTAGTCATTCGAGACAGATTTTTTCAGCCTGCTTTATTTTTAGTCTGGTCTTCGAACCGCTCAACCTAATTTTAGAGCCACTAGTGTCATGTGATTGTTCCGTATGAACACTTTATGTTTTATCCCCATTCCCTCGGCTCGGAGGACGGCATGATCAGAACCTGTTCGGCTGCACTTTAGGTTGGCCTTGAGGTTAGGTTTCCGTTCAAAGACGACCACGTCACATTCGGCAGACACGTTTACGTGGGTGACGCTTTTTAGAGAGGGAAAATATGAGGTTTAAAAAGCTTTATAACACCTTAAGATATGTTATAAAAGCTGAGAGGGCCTTTGAACTGGGTGATGATGATTATTTTGGATATTCATTATTTGACTTAGGTTGGCAAAAAAATTTTGATCACCAATTCAGCCGTTGGTGATCAAATTTCATCTGAAATTGTTGTATCCTTTGTGGGTTTTCCGAAATTTTGGACCGAGCTGATATTTGATGATAAATTTTGGCATCTTTTTTGTCAAAAGCAGGCGCAAAATTGGACCAGAATTTTTGAAGTTGTCTGGATAATTACCCCGTCTACTTTGCAATACATATCGAGATTTTATGATCGAAAGTGGTCAGAATTTTGACGTCTTTTTTTGGATTTGACGGGCGGGCGCCCACTTGCGGGCAAATTTTTTGCGGGCAGCCACTTTGCGGGCAGCCGAAATTTGAGGCCAGCACCGGCATTTGCGGGCAGCCTGGGACATTTGCGGGCAGGGCCGACAGTTGCGGGCAGCCTGGAAGATTTGCGGGCAGCCGACATTTGCGGGCAGGCAATACTTGTGGGAAGCCGACATTTGCGGGCAACTGTTCCAAATACAATCTGTGTGATTGTTTTTTTCCCGTTGCCCGGAAATGTTTCAGCTGTCCGCAAATGTGACCTCCCAAATTTTGCCCTCAAAGTGGTTGCCCGCAAAAAATTTTCCCGCAAACTGGTTGCCCGCAAGTGTCGCGACGCCATTTGAGGTTATGTCTTTTACGTCCGCTCGCAGAGTCGCCACAGGGATCGACATGAACTTCTTTAGTATCTTCGTTCTTTAGTATCCAGCCTCCTAGAGCCGGATCTTTCTACAGTGGGGGACCTGATCCAGTGGCAAAAAACGTATCATTTTGCATCCGGGAAGTACCAAAAATGTGGCGAAATGCTTCCCTCGCCAAGTGAAAAAACTTTGTTTTGAAGGGCGCGCTTTTGAAATCGCAGTTTTTTCACTTGGAGAGGGAGGTATTTTGACACATTTTTTGATGCTTCCCGGACGTTTTCCTTCACAAAACGTCGGGCGCGCTTTTGAAGAGTTTTTTCATTTGGAAAGGGAAGCATTTTGCCACATTTTTTGATACTATCCAACCTCCTGGAGCCGGATCTTTTTATCAGCATTGTCAGTGGGCAGAATTTTATTTTTAAGAGGTGATGCCATTCCGGACCCACTTGACCAATTCCCGGTCCCATCTTATGACAAATCGCCGGCGGAAATGATTTATCGGCTGTTGTGACAGCCTGATCCGAATTACGTTTCCCCATCCAGTTTGTCATTATTACTATAACGTTTTTTTTGGCCCAAGACAGATGGCCCAGCGAGTTGTTTTGCACTTTGTTTTGTGTTCTTCTGGAACAAAACTTTTTTGTTTTATGATCCGAGATTAGTCAAAGGATAGCTTGGAGGAGAATGTTGGGAGGTTGAGCTCGGCTTTCGCTGACTTCGGCTTGAAGGAATTTTGGGAATTTTGGTTTTTGGTCTATGAGCCTTTCCATGGGCGAGTTGCTGGTCTTTGTGACAGGAAGGGCGCTCAAGACAAGACAGGTTGATGTTTTGCAAAGTTTTGGAACAATCGACGACGAAACTTGGCGTAAAGACGGATCAAAAGTCGAAAAAATGCTCTTTTTTTGCGATTTCGAACTTACAAACTTTGCTACGGCTCTGAAATATCAGTCTGTCGGGATAATAGTGAGCACAGTGCGCCGATCGGGTGACTGAAGTGAAAAGAAATTCGACTTTGTCGCGACAAAATTCGTTTTCTCGCCGATGCTCATTATTTTCCCGACAGACTGAGACGTATCAGTCTGTCGGGAAAATAAAGTGGATTTGTCGCAGGACAAATTCTCGCCTCGACACAGTCGTGCACCAAATCTCCAGCCGTTTGCTAGCTGCCACACGACGATGAGGGCTATTTCAAGACGCGATGAATCCACATTATTTTCCCGACAGGCTCATATCTCGACTCTCGAATGTAAATTCGACTTTTCCGTAACAAAATTAATTTTGTCGGCGGTGATGCGATTTTTCATGCGACAAAATTCTCATTATTTTCCCGACAGACTGATATAGCCGTAGCAAAGTTTGTAAATTCGAAATCGCAAAAAAAAAGAGCATTTTGGTGACTTTTGATCTGTCTTTATGCCAAGTTTCATCATCGATTTCGCCTACTTTTTCCGTTGGGTTTCTTCGAAAAAAATGAAAAAAAAAACTTTTTTCATTTTTTTTGCACTTTGCTATTCTTTGAAATTTGCACTTTCTGGACAAACTAGCGAATTTTCATATGATAGTAAGTCATCAGGAACCCTCTCTGACAACTAGTGAGTTTCCAAAGTACTACGAAAAAAACGTTTTTTTTCGCTGCCGATGAGCACAAACATTCCATTCTGAACAAAAGTTTTTTTCTCCACTGAAATCCATTTTCTATTGCTAAAGGGCGTTCGAGTTGGGGATGTCTGGGCATTTGTAATTTTTGACAAATCGGAGGCGGGAAACCCCGAATAAATGGCGAATCCCGAGAATTGCAAGGTCTTTCTTTTGTACTTTCGATGATGGACGTCTTGATGTTGGGCTTGTGGTGTGCACTTGTGATATTAGGTGATCGTTGGTCCGAAGACACGAGGCTTTTTTTACGAAATTTTCTTTCGTTTTTTTGAAATTTTGTTGGGAGGTGAAGTTTTTTGAAGGGTTTTTTACATTTTGATCAAAATCGGAAAGATTTTAGGTTGGGTTTTTAAACGGTTTTTGAGATTTTTTGCAGAAATATCAGTCTGTCGGGAAAATAATGACCATAACATTGCTACGCCGATCGCGTAACTGAAGCGAAAAGCAATTTAATTTTGCTACGACACATTTAATTTTTCGATTTTCGAGTGTTCATTATTTTCCCGACAAACTTATAACCGAGATTTTTATGTGGAAAAAATCGATTTTTTTTTGCAAATTAAAATTTTCGAAATGTCATTCTGTTCAACAATTTGCAAGTGGTAGCTTAAAAGCCCCTTTCTCTGACCATATCTCCTCATTTTGTATAGTATCTAGCCTGGAAATATTGTTGAATATCTCGGCTTTCATTGGAAAGCACGAGCTAAAATTTAAAAAAACTGATTTATGGACTGCATACAGTATGCAAGAAAATTTTAAAGAAAATCTGAGCGCCGAACCCTGAGCAGCCTCCAAGATGTTGTAAACGGTTTCTCCACCTTTTCTTGGCCTTTTTGCCTCTCTCTCTCTCCCCGATCGGAAGAAACAAAACCTTCTTTGCGAAAACAGAGAAAAAACCTTACAACTTCCGGTGGGCATTGGAGCTCTTTTTCTGATTAAAGGCCCCCGGCGAACAACTGTCGAATTTGTAGTAATATAACTCGGGATTATCCTGGAAAAAGTAGGCGGAAAAATTGGGGTGCTCTTGCTGAGAAATTTTCGAAAATTTTTTGTTTTTCTGCTGGGTAATTGTGATGTAACCGGAAGTCGGTGTTTTGGAGGGCCGGAGGCGGGTTTTGCAAAAGGGTAAATTTTGAGACGATGATTGAATTTGACCGTTGGATCGAGGGGGAAGATTTAGACAGCCAAAAGTAAATGATTTAAATTTTATTTTTGGCCTTATATGGTAGATAAAGAATATCTGAAATGACTCTGATTTTCTGAATACGTTGTTTAAAAATTCCTGAAAGTTTTAGCCTGTAATTTTTAGCATGAGGCGAGATATTCAACTATCATGCCTTGAGAGACTATGAAAAATGAGGAGAGACGGTTAGAGAAAAAATCAGCCGTATCTTTGTCGATTCCTCGAGGAAAAATTTGATTTTTTTGCAGAATAACGCAGAATGCCAAATTTCATTCTGAAAATCTTGAAAGAATTTTAAAATTTTTGGCGTGTTTCGAGCTAAAAATCGCGATATTTTTTGGAGAATGCAATTTCAAAATGTCACAAATATCTAACAAAATTTTATTCTAATTCTGTTTCATCAAAACCTATGAAAAAATTAATGTTAATTTTACGATCATCATTACAGTGGGGGGATCTGATTCAGGTAAAAAAACGAGGTAAAAAAACGTACCATTTTGCATCCGGGAAGCATCAAAAATGTGGCAAAATGTTTCCCAAGTGAAAAAGCTCCAATTTCAGAAGCCCTTCAAAGCGAAATTTTTTCACTTGGAGACGGAAGCATTTCGCCACATTTTTTTATGCTTCCCGGATGCAAAATGGTACATTTTTGCCACTGGATCAAGTCCCCCACTGTACCAACTATAGATATCTTTATTTTACTCCCTCTGCCAACCATCTTACAGTATTTCTGTTTTACACAGCTTTGAATCCACCGTACCCTTGATTTCAAACCCCTTTTTCAGCCGGAAGAGATTGAATAACGCGCGTTACCCGATCTGCATGCCCACTCGCTGTTCGTGGCCCCCGAGGGGATTACGAAAATTCGCCCGCCGCTTAAACCTCCTCACCTTTCCGCTCCAGAGTGATTAGGGGGGCCCGCTGCTTGTTGATTAAGACCCGTCAGGCCTTGAGTGCCGTCCGGTGCTTTTCCCCCCACAACCTTCTCTCAAATTTTCGCTTCTCTCCGGAGACATGGATCCAGGATATGGCGGGATTTATGGGGATTTTCATTTTTGGCATACGGGAGATATTGTGTTGGGGCCCCTCTGGGATCATTCGCTAAATACATGCTATATTTCGCCAATGACTTCAGCGAGTGTCGGGTAGCAGATACCCCAAAAAGTAGTATTAAATTTGCTGAAAGTTTGGAAATTATGGCTGCATGCGCCAAATATTAATTTATGAAAATTTTAGTCCTTGCTTTGCAGAGATAGCCCAGATATTTAATGATCTTCTTCTGACGGGATAGTATGTGAAATGAGGAGAGTTAACAAGCGAATTACCCAAAGTGCGACGCTCAAATTTTCTTTGAATTTTACATTCACTTTTGGCATAGGCCACACACAGCGGCGGACCTGATCCAGGGCAAAAAACGAACCATTATGCATCCAGGAAGCGTCAAAAAATGTGGCAAAATACCTCCCTCTCCGAGTGAAAAACCTCCGATTTCAAAAGACCGCCCGCTCTTTTTGTGAGGGGAATTCAAAACGGGAGTTTTTTTAGTTAAAGAGGGAGGCATTTTGCTACATTTTTGATACTTCCCGGATGTAAAATGGTACGTTTTTGCAACTCGATCAGGTCCGTCTCCGTATCAGGCCCTGAAAATGTTAGTCGGGCTTTTTTAGACCCAACCAAGATATTCAACGGTTTATACTGCCGATAGAAGAGCGGTCACAGAGAAAACACTTTTAGCCAGTTTCGAAAAGATAGATTTTTTTCGTGAAAACAGTGCTCTTTAGGATAGAAATAATCATCAAACTTTTTTATGCCAAAATTCGCAAAAAACCGTGATTTTTTTCCAACTTTTGACCTGAAAATCTCTGTTCGTTTCTTGTGATTACTGCCTTACTTTGTCCCGAATTTTATCTGACCACCGTCTTTTAAACAGTGCCTAAAGTTCAAGAGTACGAAGCTGCGTTCAGCACATAAAATTTACGCCCAATAAAATTGATATGAGGGTGTTGAATCAAAGCCGTTTTTGCCGCTCTTGTCTAATTGCCAGATGTTTTTTGTCGGTTCGAAAACATTGCTTCAGCGATCTGATCCGTTTTACGTGTTGATCTCAACTTTTTCTTCAGTCTCTTGCTCTTTCAACCTCTGGATTTTGAATTCGATTTTTGACCAACTCTATTCAATTTCAGACCCCATTTCGCGCGGTGCCTCCGACTCCGGTGCTTCCGGTTCTGGCACGTTCTTTGGCCAACGGTTTGGCGCTTCGGCGCACCCCACGCGATCTCCTCTCTCGGCGGCATGACAGCGATTTTGTCGTTTCTCTGCTCCGAGCCGTTGGTCTCGTCGTGCGCGGCGCGGCGGACCGCCGACTCCTCGGACGAAAACTATTTATTGGACTCGGATTCGTGGGACTTGTGCACCGAATCCACGAGTAAGGAGTACGAAAAAGTGCTGGCTCGATCGCCCACGGTCTGGTCGGAGGATTCGGGGAAGGGCGAGGGCCAGAAGCGGCGGCATCGTCTGAGACGAATCATGGTGAGTTTGGCGACAAGTTCGTCCGAAATTTTCGAAAAATCGCTTTAAAATTTTTGAAGATTTTTGTGTTAGTCTATCGGGAAAATAATGAGAACTCTCTCACATCGAAAATCGCAGTAAAAAATTATTTGTATCGTTGCAAAGTGATATTGCCTTTCAATTCAGCAACGCGAACGTCGCAACGAAATTGCACTCATTATTTTCCCGACAGACTGATGATGCTAATTCTAAGAGATTTTACGTAATCTCCCCTTCAAAATCCATTGAACTCCAATAAAATGTTGAGCCGTTAAATCAGTTTTATGAGTCATTTCGTAAGCTCAAAGAGCATTTAGGGATCAGATGACACTGAACAAAATGTGTCTGGAAAATATAGATTTCCCAGGCAAAAATCAAAGAAAATCATCCAGGATTGCGGATTCGGCTCGTATTTCAAAGCTGTCCTAGTTTTGGGCAAAAAAATCTTTGAACTCTGAAAGACTTGGGCTGAAAATTTTTAGACCGGCTAAAATTGTGTGTATTCTGTACAGTGGGAGAGCTGTTCCAGTGGCAAAAAACATACCATTTTGCATCCAAGAAGTATCAAAAAATGTGGCAAAATACCTCCTTCTCCGAGTGAAAAAACTCAGATTTCAAAAGCTCTTTTGTGAGGAAAAAGGGCGCGCCCTTCAAAACGAAGTTTTTTCACTTGGAGAGGGAAGCATTTTGCCACATTTTTGATACTTCCCGGAGGCAAAACGGTACGTTTTTCGCCACTGGATCAAGTCCCCCACTATACTAACTAATATTTACGAATCATATCAAAAAAGACGAAATCAGCCCCTTTTCTTCCAGAATATCTTCGGATCCGCGTTGAATCCGCTGAAATGGTCGCGAGAATGGAGCACGGACTCGGTGGACTCGGGCTATCACGGCGCCTACCATCCGCATCGGCCCGGCCAAGTGGGACCCTCTCGGACCGTGAGTTTCGCCGACCGACCCTCCGCACGATATCGGATATTGAGCGAGGTGAATTTACAATACCTTTGTTGGATAATTCCTCTAATTAAAACCCATATTTTATCCTGTTTTAGACCGAAAATTCGTCGGACGAGGACTCGGAAGTCCAACATTTCGCGATTGTGGACATTGTCCCGGGCAAGAAGCCGCGCTGGATTTCCGACGCCACTCGGCTTGAGGAGCGCTCTCGGTGGACGAATGACAAGAAACCGCACAGCTTCGACTCCACCCTCCAGCGTCGGAGGAGCCTGTCGGCGCAGCGAACTTGCCGGCTGAATCGTCGAGCCTACAGCTTGAACAGAGTCATGGAACTGGACGCTGCTGTCCGGAGAAATGAATACGCCGCGAAGATGGCAAAGCGTCCGGAAAGCTCTTATATCGGTGAGTAGTTTTAACCAAAAAAAAGTTCAGGAAGGGAGTATTTTCGAGAGAGCACGCGAAATGCGGAGAGTTGGTCAGACAAAAAAATATTTTTTGTCTAAAAAATTGTTTGTTTCCAGAAAACTCCACCCATCTTTATCGCGACTACAGTGACTACAAAGAGCCTATTTTCTACTCCAACGGAGACGATGAAACTTATGGAGAAGTCGAATTGCATGATCAAGATCCTCTCCCTTGGAATCAGTAAGATTTTTTTGGGTTTTTCGGCCTCTTACGAAAAAATTATGATGGCAAATTATCTAAATCAAAATTTTAAGTTCCGCCCATTCATTATAAAGGTCGCAAATATACTGTAGTTACATTTTTAGCCCTTCTCGACCCTTCAATCGCAGTGAAAACAACGCCCCGCCACGGCCTCCAAAGCCCTCGACCCTAAACCCCGAGACGGCCCATTATACCAACGAAATCATGGCCCCACCTCGACCACCGAAACGCATCTCCACCACTGTTGTCATGTCATCGCAATCCACGCAGCCTCGACTCCTGCGACGACAAAAACACACCGAAATTTTGTGAATATTGGCATGCCAACGGATGAGCCCTACAACATCAGAGATTCATTAAATTTTCCGTGATTACGTCGTGTGAATTAGCCCATGATCTAGAACACGACAGTCCATATCGCTGCCAATAAAATCCATCCCACTCTGCCCACGAATACAGAGGGTACAAGATTTTGAAGGCGATATTATACTTGCTCATCTACGATTGGCTAAGAAACCTGCTCGACATCGGAGTACAAACGACGCTCAGTACAAAACCTTGCTCATCGGGGCCGCTGGAGTGCCATTCGGCTGTCGGTGTAAATTATCCGCCACATTCCTTATGTTATTCACATTTATTTCGTCTAGTTGTATATTTGGGTTTGATTGTCTACTATAACATCGATATTGCCGCAATAAATTGATATTTGGAAAGAATGGGGGTTTTTCTCGAATCTTCAAGACTTACTTACGCATTGTAAATTGCAAAATCGTTTTATCAGCAGCTTCTTAAAAAGTTTGTGACATTTCGTCACATAAAAATCAATTTTGACATTTCGTCGATTTCACGAAATTTTTGCGCGCTAAAAATTTTTGTTTTTTCTCGTTCGACGTTCCAAAAGGAGTATTTTTTTATCTTTCGTAAGGGTTTCCGCCGTCGGAAGAGTTTTTTTTATCTTATACTAGCTGGTAGGCTTACGTCCACTTGAAAAATCAGCTTGTTACGGGTGATTTTACCCTTTAAAAGTGATATTTTGGGGTTTGAAACGTTTCTCCCTCCTGTTTGGTCGTTTTTTAGGGTCGAATTTAGGTTATGGGTGTTGGAAATTTGTTCAGAATCTAAATTCCCATCTTTTTGTCTCAAATTGTTATCAAGATTTGTTTTTCGGGCGAAAGATGAATGTCTTCTGGGAAAGGAAGAGCCATACGCTCGTTTTTTCAACGTTTTAGCTTTTTTCAAGACGAGAAATCCTAAAAAAATTTGATCGGGAAAAGATTAGGTCGATATTGTTTTAAACGGATCGAAAATTTTAATCGAAATTCGTTGGAAATCTTGGCCTTTCAGTCGAAATTGGCTGGATAATTTATTCAGTTTGTCGCGACGGTTGTTTGCTTTAGATACATCTTTTTTTCGCGCCGATAGAGGAATCTTTTTTTGAGGGGTTCTTTTTTCCTGATTAGAGCTCGAAAATTCGATTGCATCGCTTTTTTCGGCCACTCAAAACGCCGTAAATCCATTCTCAGTGCGTAATACAGCCAGATTTGTCGCAGGGAACAAACTTTTGAGAGTTTGACATTAAATCGCAATATTTTTGAGCAAAAAAATTATGTTGATTTAGATATTGGAACTTTTTTTTGATAAATTTTCCTGATTTTTGCTGGGAATTGTCTTCATTTTTGTTGATCTAGCCTTCTGAGCGACGAGATTTGGTAAAAGTTCCTTATTCTGGCCACAACTTATAACTTTGCGGAAACTGATCACAATTAGCCCAAATTTGGCGTGCCAGCTCGCTCAATTCATCGTTATTAATGCCCGAACAGAGGATTTAGTTTGTCAGGTACCTTCTTTTTTACGTACCACCTTACCCTTCAAAAACGGCTGCAGCCTGCGATTTTACACTTTATACGATGAAACATGTCCGGAACTAAACTTATTGCCTCCGCATAGAACTAAATGAGTCGTCATAGCCTTCATAGGTACCCTTAAAACTGTAGAGCTGTAATATTATAGAAATTCAGTGCCAGCTAGGTCGAAGCCAGTTCGCAGGGTACCTTTCTTGTGGCCAGGATGAAGAACTTTTTCGATTGTTGGGAATTGTCTTCATTTCTGTCTATTTAGCCTTCAGAGAGACGAGATTTTGCTATTTTGCAGAATTTTTTATTGAAATTGATGTTGATTTAGTCAGCTTGAGGCTTCTCGAAAATTCTAAATTGTTTGATTTCGTTGAAGTTTAATGTCCTTTTAATTTTTCCTTTCTTGTTTTTGATAAATTTCTATGCTTATGACTAAAATAACCCAACTTTTCGCAAAATTTTATATTACTTTATGTCATCTTAACATCTTCATTTTATTTTGTTTTTTTTTCAGGTATGTCCTAACTAACCAATGATGTCTGACATCTCTAGTTCTGAGTCAGTAGACGGAACCGAAGGTTCACAAGAGCTCTTCGAGGTGGAGAAGATTTGTGGCCATAGATGGGCGGATGATGGAAAGTCTTACGAATACCGGGTAAAATGGAAGAATTATCCGTGTTCGGACAACACTTGGGAGCCAATAGAGCATTTGTCGGTAAGCAAGCTGTTTCTTAAAGATTTTTATGGTTATTCTTTTTTTTTTTAATTTTCGCAAATTGATATTTTGGCCAATGGATTATGTGGAAAAAGTTTCTGAAAAGTCCCATGTTGGCCATTTTTACAGTAGTAGTAGATAGTACCGCCCATCTGGCTGGCTCTTGCTTATTTTTTGTTTTGAATTTTAGGAATTTCAGGGGTGCCGGCAAGTTCTAAAGACCTATCAGTTACGCGTCTTCGGACGCGTTTTGTTATCAGACTCGTCGTCGGATGAGGCCTCCTCCAGGAACCAAGAGTAAGGATCGTTTTTGGATTTGCAACAAAAAGTATGGTTTTGTTTTGATTTTTTTTGCTTCAGTGATCATGTCTTCCTCACTGACAGAGACGTCTTCACCACTGGCACTCAAGAATCTGGATCATCAAAAGTTGGGCCTATTCTCGCCAACCACTCACTGAAAAGTCAGCTGGAGACGTTCCAAAGTTCGAGTCAAGAGTCGGAAAAGTCCAAGAAGCGATCGAAACGGAGGTCCAAGAAGGCGTTCAAAGGGCCCCACAAGGGCAAGAAAAAGAAGGAAAGGAGCCCTGAAGAGTACAATGAATTGATGAGAAGTATTACGTCGGACACTGGAATGGAAACCGAATTGGAGGATGAAGTTGTTGGCATTAGAAAATCAAAGAAGAAGAAAAAAGGCGGGAGAGTTGTGGTAAGGGATTTTTAAAAAGCTGAGAAGGAGGCTGACGGCTTCTTTTTTCTTATAATTTGCGTTGTATGGGGTCGCTATTCCAGCGAGGCCCTCCCCCTTTCAATTTTCCGCCAGTTTAACTGCCAAAAATCAAATTTTTAGATCGGAAAATTACCAAAACAACAAGAAAAATCAACTCTACGCAAAATTTTCCGCAAAACCCCAAAAACTTTAAAATTTCAGAGGGGTCAGTTCACTCTCTTTGTTTATATTTTTTCTCCAAAACGCCGCGGCAGGGTGTGTCATTCGGATAGGAAATGGATTCTTTTTCTTATAACCTGCGAATTAAATGATCAAAATTTAATAGAACGACCGTGCTTTTGAGATCCCTAGGTGTCCTATTTTTCCGCATGTAACTCATTTTTTAAAAAGCCCTCCGGCAATCCGTAAGCACCACTTTTGGAGATTTTATTCACGCTTAACCGAGAATATCCAACATTTTTCGACGTGAAAAATAGTTCGAAAAACGACTTGATTTTCTCGGTTTGGCGTGAGTAAAATCTCCAAAAGTGGCGTCTGCATATTGGCTTATTTGAAAAAAAGAGTTACATGCGGAAAAATAGGACACCTAGGGATCTCAAATGCACGGTCGTTCTATTAAATTTTGATCATTTAATTCGCAAGTTACAAGAAAAAGAATCCATTTCCTATCCGAATGAGACAACCTGTCCGCGGCGTTTTGGAGAACAAATATAAACAGAGACAGTAAACTGACTTCATCTGAAATTTTAAGGTTTGGGGGTTTAACGGAAAATCTTGCGTGGAGTTGATTTTTATTGTTTTTTAGTAATTTTTCGATCTAAAAATTCGATTTTTGGCAGTCGAACTGTCGGAAAATTGAAAAGAGAGGGTCTCGCTGGGTGATAATGGTCTGCGAACCAAGAGAAACTTTGAGAAAAATTGGTTTAGCCCAAGATTTTACACTTTTAATTTCAGTTGGAAGAAGATCTCGAATCCGACTCCGTGGTTGAACTGCCAGCTGAACCGGATATCAAGAAGAACACTTGCGAACCTGTTAGAAGTCCCTCGGAAGTCCCACTTCGACCTTCAAATGCTGAAATCTCCCACTTAATTGAGCTGAACTCGGCCGACGAATCGGCCACGGAAGAAGTCAGCTGGGCCGACAGGCTAAGACTTGAAGCGAAAAAGAGTGTTCAGGCAGCAACTTCAAGCAAAGAAAATGAGCCGCGAAGTGTAAATGAGGCGGCAGAAGCTCCGGAAAGGCCACCAACGCCGAAAGTGACAAAGAAAAAGGCTGAAACGCCGGTGTGTCGAGCCTCAAAGACTTCCCGACCTCCGTCAAGGGAGCAAAATCAAGAAGAGGCTCCAAAAATGCCGAAGAAAAGAGGTCAATTACTTGGAGCGATGAATTGTGGAGTCGAGGCTAATAAAAACCCAGTGGTGGATGCCCCACGAGACACTACAGGTTCATCAGTTCAAGCATCGGGAAGTTTGCAACAAAATAGAGCCGCAAATCCTGTTCAAGCCCCGGTTCAAGCTCCGAGTCTCTATCAAGGAACGGACCAGCCGAGAATTGTGAATCAACCCGCGCCAGCTCCTCAAAATGCTGCCCCGGCTCCGAAGAGGCCTCCAAGTCTGTATCAAGGAGGAGCGGGCGTTCAGAATGCCCCGCCTCCACCGAATATTCCGCCACAAAGAGAGGAAAATATCGCCGCAGAAAGAAATGAAAATATCGCAGAAGTCCCTCAAATTGTTGATCCACAGAGACCTGACATTGTTCTCCAACGACCGATTGAAAATGCTGCCCACCGAGAAGACCCCTTACCCGCTCATGGACCAATTGATCCACCAATCTTTGGCGCACATCTCCCGGCCGATGAATTTATCCGACAGTTGGAACTGCAGCCGCTGCAACGACCACCAGCACAACGCCAACCAGCGGAACGCCGGATCTCCGACTCGATCCCGTCCGATCCCATTATGACCCCGAGATCGGAATCCTCCCAATTGGTGGTTAATCAGCCCCCGCCAACCGCTCCCTCAACTGCACCGGCTCCAAGACGCTCCAATCTTCCACCGCCTCCCAACGACTTCAGACCCATCCCCCAACCTGGACAAGAGCAGAATATGGACCAGGCGATGGAAGCCTTCCGCGCATTGGATCCCAGACTCCGAGACAGAGGATTTCATCCACAATTGCCGATGAATGTCAGCGCCGAAGAGTTCTTCGAAATCATAGATCCGCCGGATGAACCAGTCGATCGAAAGGCACCGGTCTACATACCAGAGTATATGGTGAGTATTTTTTTTTGCTTTGGAATTTTGTTTTTAGAAATTTGAAAAAGAGTAAATCAATTGGGACTAAGGAAATTGCTTTTGCCTTTTGCTAAATTTTGACTTATCATTTCCCAAGTTTTGAGGAAGAATGGATCCTCAGACTGATAAAAAAATATGTTAACGTCTACGCATGCTCATATCTTGGGTAAGAAACATGTATGTGATGTGAAAATTACATAATAAGTCAGGCTTTTATCCGGCCTTGTGGAGCAAAAAGGTACTTATATTGCTTGTCTTTCTCCCCAAAAAGAAATCGCTATTTGTTTTGTTACGAAATAATTGATTTTTTTGTCCAAGTCGGAAGAAGACCGCCAAAATCTGAGGGGTCTTTAGAGTTCCGTTTCGCAATAGTTAGGTAAGATATAAAAGTTAGGAATAAGGAAAGTTGGGCATCTGGCGCAGTTGTAAACATGTCAAATGTTAAGGTTGAGCTTGTAGATGGGTTTGGGAATATGAAAATTCACTTAGAAGATTATCAGGTAAATTATGGGGCGGTTCGTTTTTATGAACTCAGGATTTTGACAAAAAAATCTTTTTTTTTTCTTATTTTACAGTGGGGCAAAAAACGTACCGTTTTGCATCCAGGAAGTATCAAAAATTGTGGCAAAATACCTCCCTCTCCAAGTGAAAAAACTTCCTTTTCGAAAGCGCGCCCGCTAAAAGAAGTTTTGTTCACTTGGAGAGGGAAGCATTTTGCCACATTTTTGATGCTTCCCGGGTGCAAAATGGTACGTTTTTTGCCACTGGATCAGGTCCCCCATTATATGACTGCATCTTACAAAAAAATCTTTCGGTTTTAGCGGATCTCATCCCCTCATTTCGACCCAGAGCGAATGCGGAACGAAAACAGGGAGCGGGAGCTCCCGCCGGTCCCCAGAATCGACCGCCGCAATGTCAGAGAGATGTTTGACATTCTGGAACAGATGCGAAGACGCGCCGCCGAAGACGAGGAGGACCCAATGCTGAGATACGAAGGCCCCTCGGTGTCGGCCGATGAAGTCCGATCCGCCGTGAGTGGAGGCCAAGGAATCCGTCGTTTATTGCCGAATACTCGACCAACTGAGCGCGAGGTACGTTTGGTAGACATACTGGAAATTTGAATCGTCAGGGTGAAGTCTGGCCTTGTCTTTTGAATTGTTTTTACTCCTTTTTTTAGTAATTTTAGGTCGGGTTTTGTCTTTTTATTTTTGATGATTATGTAATGAAACGGTGAATTGAAATCCGGGTTTTGTCTGTTTGACGGGAAAATAATATAACCGCTTTAATAATTTTTTGTTTTCACTTGGTTTTAAGGCAATAATATTAACAAGGAAAGTACCCCAAGTGCGACGCTCAGATTTTGATGAAACTTGGCACAAATTTAGAATAATTTTTTCTAAAAAATATGCGAGAATCCTAGCTCGCGCTTTGCAGAAACAATCGAGATTTTTAGATCGAAAGTCGGCGAAAATTAAAGACTTTTTGCCGAATTTCGGCACAAAAAGTTTCATGCCTATTTCTACCATAGTGGGTAATGTTTCTACAAAAAATTATCTTTTTCCGCACGAAACTAGCAAAGCAATGGCCAAAAAGTGGTTTTCTCTCTGACCGCTCTCCCGCGTACTCTCTCGGCCGCAAAGATCGTTGGATATCTCGGCTTCAAAGCGCGAGCTAAAACTTTGAGGAATTGATATTTAGTCTATGCCCGAAGCGTGTGCAAAATTTTAAAAAAATCCGAGCGTCGCACTTGCGGTACTTCCCCTGTAAGTTTGACATCTAAATTAACGTATTTTTTGTCTGTTTCTGCTTTATTTGTCTGATTATTGTTAATAAAGTGTATTATTATGACTGAATTTGACCTCTTACTGTAGTTTACTGTAGATTTATTTTTGATTTCTGGATTTTCGAGGATGATTTTGATGTTGTAGTAGTGGCTGTAATGAATTTTTGAATTTTTTTTGGTAATATTTTTGTTGTAATTTCTTTTCATACCTAATTTCACTGTCTTCTAAGCATCTATCCCTGAATTTCGCCGCAAAATTTTTTTAATTCCCCCAAAATTTTCCACCAACGTTTATTTCGCTTTTCCATTATAGTTTCGCGATGTGCTGCGTCAGCGCGATGAGGAGTTGTTGGACGGACAGGAGATCCCACAAAGCCCCGAATCCCTTCCATCGACTCCACGCTCCTCGTTCGAAATTGAGCCGGTCCTTTTTCAGCAGGATGAAGAAGAAGGTCCAGCGCCAATTTTGGAACGGGAACATATTCGAATCGATCCTGTGGAATTTGGACCATCGCAAGACGGGAGAATTGAAGGATTGGACACACCGGGACCTTTGGAATTACCTGTTCAAGAAGCAAGATCGGAGGCAATTAATGGTCATGGAGAAGATAATTTGGATATTGACGTGGATCAAAGGAACGAAACTGGAGATAATGTGGCAGAAAACTCAACTCAAAGTGATGTAGATGAAGTTCAAGCCGATGATCAGAGAAACAAGCCCTTAGGCAATGAGGAAATTGATCATCAACAAAATGCCTCAGCTGAAATCTCGGCTTCAAATGAGGATAATCCCACTCGAAAGCCGTCGAATGCCACTGTTTTGGTTGTCGATACTGTCCCACTCCCCTTCCAAATGCAGGACGCTTCAGACCAACCATTTTGCCTAGTTCAATCGACGATGCAGCCGCTTAATATCAGCTTGGTCGACACTTTGAATCGACAACCTCCAACAACCAGCTCAGCTCAAATCCCCCCTCAGATCCTGGCCAGAACCACCGAATTGGATGAGAATATCACCCAACCGGCCGAGCAGCTCTCCCCAGACCAGCAAAAACGCCAAAACAAACGGAAGAAATCACATCCGACCAGATGTGTCCCCCTGACGGAGAATGAACTGGAGGCTATGAATAGTCAAGCGGTTGCCCTCGCAAGACCCACTGAGAATTTGGACGCCAGAAGTGCTCCGAATTTAGTTGCGGAATGTGATCAATGTCGAGAGAACGAAGGACAAATTCAAACCGAAAATCCGACGAATCCACTAGAAGAAATTGCTCGAATGGCTGAACAGTTCAACGCAGAAGCCCTCCAATTGCAAGCCCGGAAAAAGCACCCCGTTTCCAGACGATTATCGGACGGAAAACGGACTGATTCGAACAGTCGGAGAAGCAGCAATCAAGGCTCTCAGATCACGAATACTTTACCACCCCCTCAGTCGATCTTACCCTCCGGCAACGCTCAACAGAGCCCGAAAAGAAGGTCGAATCAAGCCTGTCAAATGACTCCACAAATGCTGGCACAATACCAACAAATGGCCCGACAAGGCAACCAGCCGAACATGGGAAATTTTATAAATGCAGGACAAATCCCAAACGGCCAGATCATTCAACCGGGCCCAAGCCTGGCCCAGCGAACCAGCTGGCCTCGACTGCCAAGCCTCGCCGGCCAAGTTGAATGTCAAATGGCCGGCCAAGTCTGCGATATCTCGAATCCAAGCCCACAAATGAACAGCCCGGCGCAGATGGTCAGCCCCGCTCAGAATATGACTGGCGTTGGAACTCCGAACTCGTCACTGCCGAGCCCCACCCAAAGAGGAAGTGGATTTGGAAATTCCGGCCCCGCGACCACTAGTCCAGCCCAGCAAGGACAAGTATTAAGCCTCCCGAACTCTCAACTCTCTAGCCCAGCCCAACAAATAGCTGTACTTGGAAGTGCAAGCCCTTCCATGGCCGGTACAGCTCGGAATCGAGCGAAGTCGGGTAATTCGGGCGGAATGGTTCATCAACAAGGATTTGGAATGCCAAGTTTGTCTTCGCAGGTGCCCCAGATCCCCATGAATCCACAAATGACCGTTCAAGCTCAACAAAGGTCAAATCGAACCCAGACGTTGACTCAAAGCATGATGAATCAAATTCATCAGCAAATCTTCACGCAGAAAGTAATGACCACCCAAACAAACCAGATGGTAGCCCAGCCACAGCTGGCAACTAATTCGGCGATCCAAATCCCCGGAACATCTGAATCGACCAGTCAGGACCCCAGCGCACAATCGGAAGTCCGAGATATTGTCCAAAGACTGAAGGATATGGATGAACAGCGCCGACAGGACAATCCGCAAGCCCATTCGTTGACTCCGAACATCCCTATGCGCCTCTTCCAACACCTAGCCAGAACAAATGGCCCGGAATTGGTTGCTCTTTCTCAGGCCCTCCAAAAAGGCCAAGCGAATCTCCAAGGACTTAACAGTGGAATCTCGAGGCCTCGAGGAGCTCAGCAAGGAGTGCCAAATGCTCAAGGCTTTCTACAGTCGACCCCCCAAGGAATACAACCGCAAATGTTGAGCCAATTTGAACAAGCTTTGCACCAACAAAAGCAGTTGGAATATGCCGAATATATGCGGAAGCTTCAGCAAGCTCAGCAAATGCAGGTTTTCGGACAAGCCCAACAAGGTCTAATGAACCCTCAGCAAGGCCAAATGCCGGCTCTTATGGGACAAGGCAACTTCCAGCAGACCCAACGTCAATTGCAATATAGCCAAGGGCACGTTACACAAAGTCTTGCGCAGTTTGCGCCAAATGTTGGACAGCTGAATGCTCAAGGGCAATTCCAACAGCAAGCCCAGCCTCCGAAACAACGTCGAACCAGCCGACAAGGACCAGCTGAATCCCAGTCACAGCTTTTCCCGGCTCCGTATCAAGAGAATATGAATGTTCAAGGCCTCCAAGCCCTCGGACAAATGGCGAACCCGCAGCAAATGCAACAAAGACCCCAAAATTTCGCTCAAAGTGGATTCCACAGCTCAACAGGATCGATGGGAAGCATGGCAGAATCGGTGGGGAGCATGATGAATAATTCGGCAGGCTTTGGTCAAGTCACTACACAATCTATGGTCCACATGCAGTTCCCACCACAACAGGCTTCAATGGGTGGGTTTTTGGGGGAAAATCAGGGGGCTGTTTCACAATGATAATGTTCAAGCGATATTGCTCGCATGTTTTTCAAATTTTGATTACATTTTATTTCTAAATTATGTAAAATCGGCAGTTTAGAGGACAAAATCTTATAAGGAAACCGGTCTACATCCAGCATTCAAGTTTAACTCAAATTTTGATTACATTTTCCATCTAGACCATACACCAATTATTGAAAATTTTAGCTTGCACTTTGCAGGCGAAGCCGAGAAATTCAACGATTTTTGAGGAAAAGAGATCGCGGGGAATTCGGAGAACCAGAGAAAAAACTTTTAAACGAGAGGATTTGTCAAAAAAGTTTTTCTCCGAATTCCCCGCGCGCGATCTCTTGGCCCCAAAAATCGTTGAATTTCTCGACTTCGCCTGCAAAGTGCAAGATAAAATTTTCGATAATTGATGTATGGTCTAGACAAAAAATGTGGTCAAAATTTGAGTTAAACTTGAAGGCTGAATGTAGACCACTTTCCTTGTAAGATTTTGCCGTCTGAATTGTCGATTTTGTGAAATTCATATCAATGGTTTCAGCTGCAACTCAGATGCAAATGCCCTTCCAACAACAGCAAATGATCCCTCCTCAAGGTTATGTTCAGGTGGTAGAACGAGAGCGACAAGTCTACGTGCAAAACTTTAACCCTCAGAGCAGTTTCAACAGCTCCAATTGCAGCAATCCGGAGCAAATGTTTGGCCAAAGCAACTTTTCCAACTCTTCCGGCTCAGCCTCAGCCCAAGTCACATATAATCCGGCTCTGTTGGGACCCACTGATGGAGCATTACCGCAATTTTTTGAAAGAAATTCGTAATTATTTTATAAGATTTAGGTGATTTACGGTATTGAGAATTGTTTGTAGATGAGTTTATTTTTATAGCGAGTTTTTAATTTTTTATTTTTTTTGCCCATTTTTGGATATCTCACCTTAAAATACGTGTATTTCTCAGGGAAATTGCCAAATTTGTATTTGATAACGAATTTTATACCAAGTTTTATGTTTATATACTTTTACATTGATTATTTTTTTTACCTCACTTATGAATCGGGAAGCGACGATTGGGGAAAAAGACGATTGTGAAACTGAAAAGTATTATTTTTCTTGGATGGAAGCGTTGAAAGTATGATAATTGAAGGCGCTGATTTTGAAAATGACTTTTCATTTTTTTTGATTGTTGCTGTTTTGATTAAGTAGTACTGTAAAGTAGCAGTTTTTTGAACTTTTTTTTACAATAATCGATTTAGGGGCTTTCGATAGTTCTGATTCCGAAAATCTTATTCATTTGGAAGAAGTTCCTTATTCTGGCCACAACAAAGTTACTCTGCGAACTGCCCCCAAACTTTGGAACTAAAGTTAGGAACCTACCTGGCACTGAATTACTATAAAAGTTCTATAGTTTTAAGGGTACCTACGAAGGCTATGACGACTCATTTAGTCCTATGCGGAGGCAATGAGTTTAGTTCCGGACATGTTTCATCGTATAAAGTGTAAAATCGCAGGCTGCAGCCGTTTTTGAAGGGTAAGTTGGTGCGTAAAAAAGAAGGTACCTCACTAACTAAGTCCACTGTTCGGGCATTGACAACGATGAATTGTGCCGGCACGCTAAATTTGGGCTGATTCTGACCAGTTTCCGCAAAGTTATAAGTTGTAGCCAGAATAAGGAACTTTTACCATTCATCTTTTTTTGTTTGGAATTAGCAGCCCGAAAACCCCTAAATCGAGTATTTGTGAAAAATTTTTAAAGATTACTGCTTTTTAGTTCTGCTAAAGTAAAGTAGTAGCGATCAAAAAAAATCAATGTCGTTTTCAAAATTAGCATCATCGATTGATTATCCTAATTTCGACACTTACATCGAAGAAAAATAATACTTTTCAGTTTCACAATCGTCTTTTTCCTCAATTGATGACGTTCCCTTATGATTATATTCCTAATGTCTTTCATATCATTAGTTACCGTGCTGAAAAAATCAAAAACTCTATCAGAGAAATAAAGAATTTATCGAGTTTATTGCACTATCAAAAATTTGGCATCAAAAATTGAAATAAATTATAAAAAAAAACAATAAAATCAGGGCTTTGGCCAATAAATAGTGGAGGATAAGGTGGATAAATGGGAAAAATTAGATCGGAGAAAGTGAAATTGAAGTTATTTTTGTAGCGAGAATGCGATGAAAAAGGTACAGTAAACAAAAAAGAGTTAAAAAATCTCGAAAATTAAAGATATTATTAAAAAAGTTGCCATATTGCACTAGAGGAGGGAGAAAAAATTTGATTGAACTGTACAAAAATTATAACGAAGCCTATGAATAACAAATAATCGAAAAAAAATCAGATTTTTTGAACCTAATGGCTTCGAAAACGAAGCCCAAAAAATAACTTTAGTTGACTTGTGGATGATTGTAGGGGGGCAAAAACTTGTAAACCAGTCGCTGTTTCTTCTCCGGCTTCTGGATTATCCCCTTCTTGTAGTACTGGCGGAGTGAGCGGCTCAATTTGTCGTAGTTCATTTGGCTTCGGTTCTTCCGAATTCCCCAATACCGCGCCAACTGAAGGGAGGATTCGATCTTGAAGGTGCCTGAAAAATTTTAGGTTAACTTTTTTTATGAAAAAATTGTTTTTTTTTTGAGTTTTTAAAAATTTGTAGGTGATAAAAAATTGGTGGTATTTTTTGAAATTTTAAATTTCTTATCTGTCTCATTGAAAGTTACAAAAAAAAATTGAAATAAACAAAAAAATTTTGAAAAAAAAATAAAAAAATTTCATATACAGTGACGGACCCGATCCAGTGGCAAAAAACGTACCATTTTGCATCCGGGAAGCATTAAAAATGTGGCAAAATGCTTCCCTCTTCAAGTGAAAAAACTTTGTTTTGAAGGGCGCGCCCTTTCCCCTTTTTGAAACCGGAGTATTTTCACTTGGAGAGGGAAGCATTTTGCCACATTTTTGATGCTTCCCGGATGCAAAATGGTACGTTTTTTGCCACTGGATCAGGTCCTCCACTGTATATTTTTCTTCTCAAAACGATTCTTACCATCCTCTCTGTCGACCCATCGCACACACCCGCTGTATTCCTTCGGATTCTCCAGCAATTCCTTGATGAAGTGCCACAAATGCACGGTGCGACCGCCATTGTTCATCTGGCTCATCCCGGGCCGACAGTGGAAGTCCGGCTGCACTGGGATGGGCATTTGCTGTTGGTGAACATAGTTGGGCTTCTGTTGCTGGAAATGCGAGCTCTGTTGATGGACGTATTGCGGGTAGAAGGGCTGGGAGCATTGCTGTTGGCAAACCATCTAAAATTGGTATTTTTTTTTTAAATTTTTAAGTTTTTTAAATTTTTTTTGAAAAAAATTATTTTTTTTATTTTTGAAGATGATGACAAAAATTGGACAGTAATTCGGTGAAGTATCTATCAAAAGATCAAAATAAATTTGGTTTTTGTCCTATCTTCAAAAATTTTCTATTTTTTCAAATCTTGAATTTTTTTAAATTCTCGAGGCAAAATGCTTAAAATTTCGTCGAACTTGGCCCATATATCCTTTGTAGGTCATAAAATTATTCATTAAAATCTTAGCTCTTGCTTCGCAATAACAGCTATTATAATCAAGAATTTTTGGAGCCGAGACATCATGGAAAATGATGAGAGACCGCGGAAAAAAATGTTTTTTTGAGAGCTCAAAATGTCAGATATGGCTTATTTTTTACCTTTGGCCAATTTTTTACAAAATCTGGCAACTTCAGAATTCAAAAAAAAATTTTTTTTGAATTTTAAATTTCCCGCCAAAAGACAAAAATTTTTCAGCCTTTACCATTTGTGGCGGAGGCATTTGCAGCTGTCCCTGCATGTCATGCTGATCAAATTGCTGCGGGTCCTGCATATTTTCGTCATCAGTTATACTGGACGAGGAGCTGACTGACTGACACGGCGAGAAGATCTCCTGCTCCCCATGCCCCGAGGGCATGGGATTGCTTTCGTAGTACTGCGACTTGACCATGCTGAACTCGCTGTATCGCTCGTTGTAGTAGGGGTGATTGGAGTCGGGATTGAAGCCGGTGAGGAAGTCCTGCGCTGTGGCGGGAGCGGAGGGCGACTCCGACGCCGAAGAGGAGTCCCAGCCAAGGACGGAGGCGGAGGAGGAAGAGGAAGAGGACATCAGATTTGAGCGGGGTTGGAGATGCTGCGAATTGACGGATGGAGGACAGGGAAGAGGCTGTGATTGGGATTGGTAGGAATCGAAGGCTGAAAAAATAACAAGATAATTAATTACAATTAGATTTCAAAAAGAAAAAATTTTTTTTTGTTAATTCAAAAATATCTGAAAGTAAAAAAAAAGTTGTAAAAAATATTGTGTAAAAAATTATTGTAATCAAATTTTAACCACTAAAAATAAATGCAGAGTGGCCAGAAAAAAACTTTTTGACATTTACTTTTTGAATTTCTCTCGGAAAAAGCAATTTTTTGAAAATTGAAACAGAATGCCAATTCAAAATTAAAAAAAATTTACCTCGATACATTTTGTCGACGATTTTTTTCGAGATCTCAAATTTTTCAAGTTTCAAGTTTCTCCCAAAATCAATTCGAATATTCAAATTTCGCACGCAAATCGACCAGAGAACCCGGTCAAGAGGCTACAATTCGCAGAAGTGCATAAAAAATCGGGCGGGAGCGACTTAAATAGTCGGCCGAATTTGTTTGTGTCCCGATTAAAAATTTTCATGAACACTGATAAGGCTACACTCTTATTAATTGGGGCCGAACATACGGTGCGTAAACATCTGTGCATCAGCGACCACGCCCATCCCCGCTGCAAAAAGCTCTCCTTTAACGGGCCTATTTTTAGTTGTCTGCGCTCTCTTTGTTGTTGTGGTCTTTTTTGGAGTGATAAGTTTTCTAGTTTGCTACACGATAATCGGATTTTTGAAATTTAGAAGCGCTCTGCGCCATTCAGTCCGGTTTACAGGGATAGCCGAGATATTCAACTAGCAAGGGAGTTGTACAGTGCGACGTGCAGATTGTGTGGCGGACCTGATCCATTGGCCAAAAATGTACCATTTTGCATCCGGGAAGTATCAAAAATGCATCAAAATACCTCCATCTCCAAGTGAAAAAATTCCGATTTCGAAAGCGCGACCACTCTTTTTGTGAGGGAAAATTTCAAAACGGAGTTTTTTAGTTGGAGAACGAGGCATTTTGCCACATTTTTGATACCTTTCGGATGCAAAATTTTACGTTTTTTGCCCCTGGATCAGGTCCCTTATTGTAAATTTCAATTACTGAATTTTTTAGCTTCCATTTTTCAGGCGCAGCGAAGATATTCAACAATCTTTGCCGCAGTGAGAGTACACGAAACGCGGTGAGCGGGTTACAAAGAAAACACCTTTCCGCTATATCCTTGCCGGTTTCGTGCGGAAAAAATTGATTTTTTGTGGAAATATTTCCGTCCACGGTAATAATGCAGTGAAGGACCTTATCCAATGGCAAAAAACGTATCATTTTGCATCCGGGAAGTATCAAAAATGTGGCAAAATGATTCCCTCTGCAAGCGAAAAAACTTCGTTTCGAAAGGCCCGCCCTTTTTCGAGTGGGCGCGCTTTTGAAATTAGAGTTTTTCACTTGGAGATGGAGGGATTTTGCTACCTTTTATGATACTCCTTGGATGCAAAATGGTACGTTTTTTGAAGCCTTGCTTGTCGGAAATTTTTTCAATTTTTGTATCTCGCTTTTTACGTTAAGCAATGTCGATTTATGGTTGAAAACTGATAAAAGGTCGAAAAAACTTTGGCATCTTTAAAGTGAAAGACTGATCTCCCAATGGACATGTTTGTAGCCAACAATTTGTTCGTTATAATCGCAATTCCAACTTCACAGCTCTCCAATACTTTTATTTCCTTGCACTACACCCATTACTCATTCCCATGCATCTTCAGGAACTTGTAATCCTATTTACAAGCGCGCTCATTACTCATCGAGTAACACATCGAACCCCACCGCTGATAACCCCGATTTAGCTTCTCTGTTGCTTAATTTAGCCGCTCCGTTACGAGTGAGTCATCGAGGAAAAGGGAACATGCCTGATAAGGGATGCCTTTACTCATCGTCCAGCTGATTGGCTGCAGCGGGGTGTTTGTTTTTGAGGCGCGGTGATTCAAGAGTTCAGTCGCGGTAAACGCCTTGAATTGTTTTGGGATTTTTTTTGTTTTGCTTACTTTTAACTTGGTAGAGCACTCGGGTCGGGTCAAGCTTTTTTCATGGGGTAGTCACGTCTTACCCCCTAATATTATATAATATTTTTTCCCCCGAAATTCTGACAGTAATATCGGGGGTTAATCAAGGAAAATCTGGTCAGTTTTTGTTGATTATTTCAAGAACAAGTCTTATTCCTTTCTTAGAAATCAAATTTGAGTGATTTACGTTGCGCTTTTTCCTCAATTTTTTAGCGTTCTTTGGGAGTAGGTATTTTATACCTGAGTGATCAATTTTTAGACAGTTTGTAGTCTGATTTTAGATATCGTTTTTTTTCTACATATTTTCTCAACAACAACTCCTACGTTACTGTTATCTCCCAGCTCTCCACTCCCTTTATTCGCCTATTCCACTAATTTGCGACACTAATTGCGATTGCACTACGGTTTCTAAGACGTCATGTTTTCGTATTAACATACTCTCCCACCCTATGATCACCCACGCCTCCAAAAAGCATATGACAATTGCTAAACAACAATAAGCAAGGATTGACGTCACGGATATAAAAAATGGCTGGCGTTGGTTGTCTTATCGCCCGCGGTGTGGCGTCTTAGCTAAATTTTTTTGATCCCAATGTGGTTATGACCCGAGACAAAACGTTCTGATAATTTATCACGCCCCCGAACCCTGGAAAAATGGTTTGTCGCGGCGCGCTGTTAAAAATGGACACCGTGCGCGGCGTACGGCAAAAGAAGAGCGATTTTCGGTACGACGCGTCAAAACACTGCAAATTTTAACAAAGAAATAGAAAAGATTTGCCCAGGAGTAGTTTGTGACCAAAAAAAGTAAAAAAAATCAAAAAAAAAATAAATTTTTGAATTTTAAATTAAAAAAAAAAAATTCTCGCAAAATTCGCGAAAGCATTGCCAAAATTTTTTCTCTAGCCGTCTCCTAATTTCACATACTCTTTCGCAAAAGATCGTGCAATATCTCGCCTCTCCCTGTAAAGCGTAAGCTAAAATTTTCAGAATATAACAACTAGCAGAGGCAAAGAATGTGTGCTAAATTATCAAAAAATTTGAGTGGATTTTTAGCACTTTTTACATAAAATTAAATTTTCCAAATTTGCTTACCGATTTTCCACACCTGAAATTGCGCATGAATTTGATCGCCGCCGTTGGGAATGAGCCGCACCAAGTGCTCCACATTCATTTCCATCAAGTTTTTCCCGGTCAAATTCAAACGACCTGGAGTGGGCAAGTGGAACTGTTGACACATTTCATTCAGCCAGCTGTTGCAATGGTCGATTGTCCATTGAGAGGGGTCTGGAAATGCGAAATTTGATAATGAAACTAGTCGATGAAAAGTCTAAGTCTGCTAGGTATCAGTCTCAAACGTGGCAAAAAAGTGTGAGTCAAGTCTTCCTCTCGAACATATTTTTATGTTATGACTTGACGAAAACTGCAAAAAAGTGAACAAATAATTTTTTACACTTGTTTGTGGGTTCTAAAACAGATTTCGAAAAAAATTATTGGCTTCAGGCAAGTGTTTTCTCAAGTGAAATTTTCAGAGAAACAGTTGACTCAAACTTTCATTATTTAGCGAACCCCTAAAAAATAATTCTCCACGATGCCTCTCATGCGTTTATAAACAAATTTTTTACAATGGCATTTTGAGACATGTGTTTCTCTCGACAGAAACTTTGAGAGAAACACTTGACTCAAACTTTCATTATTTAGTAAAACTTTGAAAAATGAATTTAATACGATGCCCTTCAAAAAAAAAAAAAAAAAAAAAAAAAATTATTTTTGGAATGAACATTTTGAGACAAGTGTTTCTCTCAACAGAAACTTTGAGAGAAACACTTGACTCAAAATGCCCTATGCTTCGACCAACAAAATAAAACAAAATGTGATCTGACTAAAACTCTCCGTCCTCAATAACACTTCTCATGACACCCCATTATGACAAAAACCCCATTAAATGCGCGACAAATGCGGGCCTTACCGGTGGGCAGACAAAGACTGGAACAGGTGGTAAAAATGTCCTGAATTATGCGGCGGAACATCAAATCGTGATGAATGTGCATGGAGGAGTCTTCGGCCTCCTGGAATCGAAAGTCCTGTCCCATACGGGTGCCGGTGGGACCGGCGGCCAGCGGCTGGGGCTCGATCTTGATGTGGGCCCGGAAATCGGGCTGCAGCTGCGAGGAACTGGCTTGGAAGGGCTGAAAAGTAAAAATTAAGATGGGGAAAAACGCATTTAAAGTTTATATTAGACGATCAGAAAATTTTGAGCTGAAAATAGGTAAAAAAATCGATTTGAAAAAGTAAAAATCGACGGTTTCCTTGTAGACAGTAAAAAATTATATTTTTTGAAATTAGATCCATTTTAGACACTTTAAAATGCCGAATTACTTTATTTCGAAAAGGCTAATTTTCTGCGTGATAGAGAATTTCCACTTTTTCAGCAAAATTTTTGCTCATAAAGGTCAAAAGTTGGTTCGAAAGACCATCTTCTTCTCCGCAGCCAATCAGCGTGCAGTCTCTTCGTCTCTTTCAAAAAAAAAAACGGGAAAAGGGAACAGTAATTTTGCAAGATTTCTGTTTTTATATAGGGGTGAATAGAGATGGGGATCCAGGAGAAAATTGGGCAAAAATTTCGGACTTTTTATCAGCGAGGTTTTTCGAGAGAGTAGGGAAAATGAGGAGGGTGGGAAGAGCAAAAAATTCGTGGCCGTGTCTTCGGGGATATGAGCCATGGAAGTTTGGTTTTTTGACAGAAATAGTTGAATAATTTCATTTCTAAAAAATCCTGAAATTTTAAATTTTTCTGAAAAAAATGAAAAAAAAATTTACAATTTTCGCCAAAAAATCAGTGTTTCCTGTTAAATCTAGGCCTCAAAACATCCCTCAAAGAGATTTTGCTCTAAATATCACAAAAAAATTTAGAGACTTGCCCTTTCGAAATTTTTTATCAAATTAAAAAATTTCGAAAGGCCACCGTAATGCCCCCTGGTTGCTTTGTACAAATAGAAAATGGTCATATCGAGGAGAAAATGCCCTAATTTTTATCGCAATCCTCAATTTATTAAAGAGACAACCATTCTTCTGGTTGTCTAAATAGTAATGCGGAACTTTTGAATATCCGTCATTTTAGAGCTTTTTCCTTTATGGGCCGGTAGCAACATAGCAAGATTAGGGCAAGCGGAGTTTTTGTGAGGAAAATTTTCCCGGAAATTCCAAATTTAACGTGAAATTAGATCCGGAAAATGGCATCCGGAACTGTCAAACTTTTTATCAGTTTTTATAAAACCCGGAGGTTTGAAGCAATTCCGTAAAGTTTCAACGTGAGACTTGCCGCTTATTCACTTTTAATTCTTCTATTTTGGGACTTTCCGTGCATTTCATAGCCCAAGGGAATATTTCTTAAGATTCGAGATTTGAGCCAAGTCTTTCTCTCAAAAGCATTTGAGAGAAACACTTGACTCAAATTGCCCTAAACTTTGGAGAAAATTTTTCGATCGAAAGGGCAGCGTAGGGCAGGTGGATACTCAAAAAAAAGTTGTAGGAAGTGCCTACGGGGTCTGATAAAGCCGTTGTAGCGTTAGCAAAGCCGTTGGATGGTCGGCGGACGCTCGGCGAAAGCTCGGTGGAGGCTTGGCGAAGGCTTGCAATATGCCCACTTTTTCTAATTTTAGCTATTAGTAACGTTAGTTTTCCTTACGGTGAGTTATTCTAACGTATAAAAGACCAAAACTTTTAGCAAAAAACAAAAATCCGTAACTTTTATCTAGATATTATTGATGTGAGTGCATGTAAAATACCTCAAAATAGGTGATAAGCTCTCCTAGGACTTCATAAATCTTTATCAAACATATTTTTGACCCAAACTGTCGCTCCCCAGAACAGTCGTAGCGCCAATTTTACAGTACCCGCAAAATAACTTCCCAAAAAAATTCTGTTCTCTAGCGTCTAATTAAATGAAATAAAAGTTGAATTAACAGTCAGTCTGCCCGACAATCGGCCAGATTCCCTTTGATTCATTGAAATCGCACCTTTTCAAAGGCTTTTTTCTTCGATTTCGGCGTTTTTTATAAGACAATGCGGGACTTCTACCGTTCTTTATTCATCTTTTTGGGACCGGATTTCACTTCGATTTGTCTTAATTCGCGGTAAATTTGAATAAACTTTTCAAATAAAAAATAGATTTTTTGAATAAAAATTTTCTTATTTTCCATGTCTTACTGTATTTTTAATTGAAAATTTTCAGCTCAACGAGTGTTTGATCACGTTATCTGCAGCGCCACGCCTAAATTTCCGTTTATTTTTTGGACCTTCCCTATCAAAGGCCCTATGATTTTTAATTTCGGAGGATTACTGTAGCCTCAAAAAAATTAAAAATGATGCCCAATCTTATCAAGAAATGAAGGTACTGCTGAAGGGAACAGAAATAATAAGGAATTTGTGATGATTTCGAAGGGAATGGCTAATAACGGGGGAGGAAAATGGAAAAAAAATTGTTTGAAAATTTGATGTGTGATGAAGATAGAAAATGTAAAAAATTGTGCATTTGCGACGCTCAGATTTTAACGAAACTATCACAAACTTAAAATTTTTTTCTGATTATATGTCAGAGATAATACAAGACTTCCAGCTCGCGTTTTTGCTGAAACAACGGAGATTTTTTGCTCAAAAAGTGGAAAAAATGAAACACTTTCTTGCCGAATTTCGGCATGAAAAGTTTCATGGCTATTTCTACCGTAGAGTATAATATTTCCTCGAAAAATCATTTTTTTTCCGCACGAAACTGACAAAGATATGGCCAGAAAGTGTTTCACGGTCTGACCGCTCTCCGCGCTTTGCGTGCTCTCTCGGCCGCAAAGATTGTTGAATTTTTTGGCTGCGACTGCAAAACGTGAGCTAAATCTTTCAATAATTTACAGTGGGGGACCTGATCCAGTGGCAAAAAACGTACCATTTTGCATCCGGGAGGTATCAAAAATGTGGCAAAATGCTTCCCTCTCCAGGTGAAAAAAACATCGTTTTGAAGGGCGCGCTTTTGAAATCGGAGTTTTTCACTTGGAGAGGGAGGTATCAGACCCCACTGTGTATGTGGCCTATGCCCGATATGTGTGCAAAATTTTCTTGCTTGGAGTACCTCTCTTGTAAGTGCAAATTTGAGTGAAATTTTCACAAACATTTGTCAGATTGTTAGCTTCAAAAAACCTCTGTACAAAGCACTTTGATTTTTTGCACTAATATTTTCCCACATTTTGTTGCCTTTTCGATTCCGTAATCACGAACTTCATCCCCTCTATAACCCATAAAATTATGTTTTATCACAAGTATTACTCCCGCTCCGATAAGTCTGCCCATTTCAGTCGGGCGTTAAACGTCAGCGTCCGCCATTAACCCCGTCCCGGCTAATCAGCGGAGGCTGGGAGATTGTTATCGGGGGTCGAGAGCCGTTTTCTGCACCCTGCCACACCCAAATTCTGCCCCCGGGGTTAAATTTTGATTTTGGTAAATATTTAACGTCAAGAAAAAAATGCCGCCGTTTCGCAAATTCAGCGCTGATAAGGAGAGTTCAGCTTGGGTCGCATGCTATATTAGGAATGTTGTCATTTGAGGGATTAACCGAAAATTTAACTCAAGAACCAACAAAGTTTGAAAAAATAAAAGTGTTCGTATAAAATGGCTGGTGTCTTGGCTATCGTTGAAAAGTCAGGGCTACACCCTTGAAGGACTAATCTACACCCTGCAAAGAAGATTGATGCAAAATGTTGGAAAAACTGAGAACCTTGGGTCAAGTCTTCCCCTCGAAAAAAAGATCGAGCATAATGAAGTTTTTCGTATAAAATGTCTCTTGGGTAATTACTAACAAACCCTGTCACAGAACGAAAATTGAGCTACGCATAGAAACATCTGCTTTACTATATTTATTGGGACCGTTGAGTCAACTCTTCCGCTCAATAATCAAAAAGTCCCATCTTGTTCTAGTTTGAAAATCTATCCGCTATTACAGTTAAAAACATTGAACTAACCCTAAAAACATTTATTTTACCATTTGAAAAACCTTTTTCCTATCACTGGGTCAACTCTTCCCCTCAAAGCCAAAAAGTCCACCCTTGCCCTAGCTTGAAAATCTATCCTCTATTACAGTTAAAAACATCAAAAAAGTCCTAAAAACATCTGTTTTACTATATGAAAAAATTTTTCCCCACCACTGGGTCAACTCTTCCCCTCAAAGCCAACCAGTCCCCCCTTGCCCTAGTTTGAAAACATTCCCCCCTAAATTAGTTTCAGTTAATCTGCATAAACAGTAAACATATCAAATGTAATCAACAATCTCGTCATTTTAATCCCAATAACAACAAGCTGTGGTGTTGCGTCATTTCGTCAGCTGACCAATGATAGCCTATCATTGAAATGAGCAACGGAGAAGCGGATTGTAGAGGGTGTGGGTGGGGGGAAAACACAAATCATTGTTGTTGTTTCTTTTTTACAAAACGTTTCCGGAGGTGCATTAAAAAGGTTTGCAGAAAGGCACGTTTACATATTGGAAATATGGAAAAACGCAAAAAAATGCAAAAAATACAGTAATCTTACATTTAAAAAAACTTTTATGGTCATCAAAAATTTCAGAAGACCAAAATCAGCTTTTAAACATCAAAAAACATCTTACCGCTCCATTATTTCCATGGCTACTTTGCTCTCCATTCATGTTGCCCATCCCGCCAAACGAATCCCGTCCGAAGGCCTCGATGTGCTTCAAATCCTCCGGAATCCCATCAAACTCATCGCCAGCGAATCCATTTGGTCGGAGCCGAGCAATCGGCCCTCCAAAGCCGGCGTCGTTCTCATTGTCGTCGATTTCGGACATGTCTGGTGACGAAGCTGCAGTCCAATTGCAGAGCAAGTCCGATGGCTGCTGCATGGTAGATTTCTGTCGGGTGGTTGTAGATGCTGTAGAGAATATATCGGAAGCCGGTATGGAACTCTTAAGTGTTTGATGTTTGAGGAATTCGAATTTTTTGAAAAACGTTGATCTGATGAGAGGGTCAGAAGAAGTAAAGATTTTCCAAAATTCTTAAGCTTGTGAGATAAATATTGATGTCCAGATCAAAGAATGTGTTATATAGATTATGCTGCAGAAGAAATAGTATGCAGCCGGTCGATATTATGCAAGAAACAAACGATATTCTAATTTCTTCAAATTTTGGCGACCAAAATTTTAATTTTAATATTATGCTTTCTCCAGTAGATTTGTCTATTGAAACTGTATTTCAATACATTTAGTAGACACTGTAGATACTGTAGAGTTGTTGTAGAGTAATTATGCAATAGTAATTTGATCGTATTTCAGCCTAATCCTCCATTAATCCAAGAAAATTCCAATCAGCGTAGTTTCCAAGTTTTTGAGGCGAATCCAAAAAATCACCGCTTAACGAAGCCCGAAATTCCGATGAAACCGTACCTGAAAGTGCAAGAGTTAAGTGGATTAAGTTTACAGCCAATAAACTTTAATTAACACCGCCACGCGAACATTACATAAAACAAGAGTGTAACAAACTTCGATCCATTGTGGCAAAGATGTAAACTTGTGTAAAACGCGCGTAGATTACCGTTTCTCACAGCGCCGGCATTTTTTGCACCGTGTTTTTACGGTCGCCTTTTTCGTAAATTCGTCGAAATTAAAGTCCGTAAAATTCGGTCGTAACGACCGGAAATCTTGTTTAAGGCTGATAAGCGTTTCCGGTAATTGAAGAGATTACAAGAAATCATAATTTCCGGAAACGAATTTTGTTTGTTTTCGGCGAATTATCACCGGAAATCATAAGACCAACGGGAAAAAAGCGAGCCGACTACACTTTATCATGTTTTACACGACTGTTGGAGCAACTGATAGCGAAGGTTGCAAAAATTGATGTCTTATGTGAGGATTGTTGTTTGCGTCAACAATCCACCCAATTTTGAGCGGAAATAACAATGAGAGGAAGAGTTGACCCAACTTGGGTCAAGTGTTTCTCTCGACGAAAATGGCGTTTATAAAGGTAATGAGGTAATTTACAAGTACTACAAGTAACAAGAGAGGTCTAATTAAGTTAGATACACCTAAATTTTTTCCTATTAAGCCGGCTCAAACAGTAAAATTCCATAAAATCGGAGAATTGTAAATTGTTACAATACTAAACTTCCGCTGGGAAAAAAGAAGAACAAGGCACGCCAATTCGCAGAAAATCTCACTGTGGAAACTTCGGCCACATCAGACTGTTGATTTCCATTGCACTTTTAAATGTACTCAAAGGTTTTCTTCCGGTTTAAAGTTTTCAACATTTCAGTTTAAAAAAGTACTATAACCGCAGTATGGTAAAGAAAAAAGTGATGGAATTGCTCCACAATGTCCTTAAAAATCTTAAAACGCGATTAAACCCCTTATAACATTAAAAGATCCAGACTTTTCGGCCTGTCTGGACCGAAAACCAAACTTTTCCCCCGGACGTTCAGTTCCTACACCTTGGGCAGGCCTTATATAGAGGAGAAAGTGCAAAGAACCTTATGAAATTTAGGTTTTAAATCGCGTGCGCGCTTGTTTTTATGTCACCGACTTTAAACTTTTTGGCGCACAAGAATTCGGCCGAAAAAAGATGGCATTTCGGGCGCGCTAAAAATACCGAAAATTTGTAGTCGAGAGATCGTTACGAATCGAGCGTTTATAACATTTTTTTGGATGATATGACGCAAGAAGCCCTTCGAAATTTCTTACAAATCAAGTTTGCTTTCTAGAGGGCCTATTTTGGAAATAGCCGTTGATTAATTCGAAGCCGACAGCCTGATTTCTTTAAAATTATGCATACGTGTTCTGTTCGAGTTCCAGATCAAACCATGAAAATCTTGGTTTGCGGTTTTCAGGCAGTGCTGAGATATTCAACGATCTTTGAAAGTAAGACAGTATGGAAAATGGGGAGAGACGGAGATAAAAAAAATGTTTTTGTCCGCATTTCTTTGAATTTTTAGTCGAAAAAATCGATTTTTTAGCAGGCTTTTGTTCTATGTGAGGAGCAGAAAACCATTTTTTACTTTGAAGGTCTCAAAAAATGCCACATTTTGATCATATTTTTATCTAAAAATCTCAAATTTTTTTGCAAAAACAAGCTAAAAATCTCGGATTTTTTTACCAGTACTGTATATGTTCCTATACAGCTAGCTTCGGAGAGAATTATTTTTATTTTTTGAATATTTTTTTGACATTTCTCAATTTTTGAAACTGCTGATCGAACCGAACAAAACAAAGTATATATCGGTTATCAGGAAGCAAGCCTTGGATGGCTGCACCCACTCAAAATTCCCTGAAAAACGCAGTGGATAGCACATGATAAAAGGCGCATAAAAATAGAACCTGCAGCGGTCACGATGGCCTGTCAAGTTCAAGGAATTAATTGGGCAGAATGGTGGAAAAAATACTGTAATTTTGAAATCAAATAAGCAAGTGGTTTGTGTCATCACAAAAAAATTTGTTTTTGTTTCAATCATTGCAAAAATTAGGCCAAAAGTAAAAGTAAAAATTTCCAAAATTTTGTCAAAATAGTCTATCAAAAAGCTAAAAAATTCTCGATATGTAATGACCGGATTTTCTTCAAATTTTGGGCTCATATACTGCATATACCACTAATCAATTTCTAAAACTTTTAGCGTTGTCAAAATTTGGCAAAATTTCAAAAAAAAATCCCAAAAAATATCTTCAAAAATCACAAGGTGCGCTCAAAAGCAACCATTTTCCTGGTTGTTGATGCCAATGGAATGCAGCTCAAAGGGAACACTGAAACTTTCGGGCGCTGATAACAACTTTTTTAGGCCATAACCGCGGAGTTCAGGTCTTGATTACTGCAGAAACAGGGATAGTTCCTGATAAAAGTTGCTGCTTTGGAACACTTGATTAGACTTTTTTGGAAGAGAAAACAACAATAAGACCTTCTAAAGCTTGAAAAAAAATTAACAGGAAGTACTCCAAGTGCGACGCTCAGATTTTGATGAAACTTGGCACAAATTTAGAATAATTTTTTTCTAAGATACATGCGAGAATCCTAGCTCGCACTTTGCAGAAACAACCGAGATTTTTAGATCGAAAGTCGGCCAAAATTTAGGACTTTTTGCCGAATTTCGGCACGAAAAGTTTCATGCCTATTTCTACCGTAAAGGATAATATTTCTACAAAAAATCAAATTTTACCGCGCGAAACTGCCAAAGTTATGACCAAAAAGCGTTTTCTCTCTGACCACGTTTAGCGTGCTCTCTCGGCGGCAAAAATCGTTTGATATCTCGGCGGCGCCCGCAAAGCGCGAGCTAAAACTTTCAGGAATTCATATTGGGTCCATACCCGACGTGTGTGCAAAATATAAAGAAAATCTGAGCGTCGCACTTGGAGTACTTCCCCTGTAATTAAAAAAATAATTTCAAATTAAAAATTTCGAAATCTCAAAAAAAAATTTTTTGCCGCTAAATTATTCATTATGTGTCATTTTTCAATGCCCAAAATTTTACTCAACATACGATGACCATAACCCACGTAAAACTAAAAACTTTCTAAAACCCAAAAATTGATGACTAGTATAATATAAAGCCTCTCTCAAGATCATGCTCGCCACAAAAACCCGCACTTTGATGGACATTCTTCCTTTACTCTCGCTTTCCGGCCATTTTTTACAATAAAAAGTGCCGATTTCAATGGGAAACCCGCCGATCTTCGCGCATCTTTTTATTCGCCCTTTTCGGGGAGGGAATTTCTGAGAAAATTCGCGACTTTTGGCCAAAAAATCGAAAATAAAGTGCAAAATAAGAGTTGGAAAATACTGTAAAGACTCTAATTCTTCTTACAGGGGAAGTTCTCCAAGTGCGACGCTCAGATTTTCTTTAAATTTTGCACACACGGCTATGGACTAAACATCAATTCCTGAAAGTTTTAGCTCGCGCTTTGCGGGCGCCGCCGAGATATCGAACGATTTTTGCCGCCGAGAGAGCACGCTAAACGTGGAGAGCGGTCAGAGAGAAAACACCTTTTTGGCCATAACTTTGGCAATTTTGTGCGGAAAAATTTGATTTTTTGTAGAAACATTATCCTTTATGTTAGAAATATGCATGAAACTTTTCGTGCCGAAATTCGGCAAAAAGTCCTAAATTTTGGCCGACTTTCGATCTAAAAATCTCGGTTGTTTCTGCAAAGCGGGAGCTAGGCTTCTTGCATATATCTTAGAAAAAATTATTCTAAATTTATGCCAAGTTTCATAAAAATCTGAGCGTCGCACTTGGAGTACTTCCCCTGTTAATACTATGATTTTCGAAAGTGCGTAGACTTTTGTCGCGACGCACAGTGCATTTTGCGTTTTTGCAGGGTGCGGAAAAAAGTCTACGCACTTTTAAAAAGTCGTAAAATTCTTTGAAAATGAAAGCAAAAAAGTGAAAAAAAATCAATTATAGCAAAATAAAAAATTTTATAGCCCTCCATTTCCCCTACAATAGGAGACTTTCGATTTTCGGCGATTTCACTTTCGAAAGTTGTTTGACCTCTCGCGCCCCTCCAGAAAAACGTCTAATAAGCCCATTTTCGGCGCGGAAAATTTCCGAATTTTTTGTCTTCGGCGATTATTTTGACCTACATAACGAGTAAGATCTTGAAGCGCCGCCGTCTTCAAGCACCTTAATAAGAGTTCGAATTCCATTTCAATTATTGCCGTTTGTCATGCAGAGTGAAAGCGGAGGGAAAGGGATTGCGCCAAGGAGGGGGTGTTAACCCAATTAGGGTCTAATTAGAAGCGAAATATTTGAATAAATCCAAAAAATCAAAAAATCATTTTTTTTTGATGACTAAAGAAAAAAGTTTTGTATTTCAAAAAGTTTGCGGTAAAATTTCATGAAATTTTGAATGGATAATCTCGGTGG